TCAAGCCTTTTTGGTGCCAGGAGAAGAAAAGGCTTTACTCCACGGTCAGGAAAAATCCTGCCCAGGAACCAAAATGTTTTTTGAAGCCAAATTTTTTTTTTGAAACCAAATGCAAAAACGGACACCAGGATGAGTTTCCTGATGAAATTCCATGTCTAAAAATGGTGTTGCTTCAACTTTTTAAAAATCAAGCCTTTTTGGTGCCAGGAGAAGGAAAGGCTTTACTCCACGGTCAGGAAAAATCCTGCCCAGGAACCAAAATGTTTTTTGAAGCCAAATTTTTTTTTTGAAACCAAATGCAAAAACGGACACCAGGATGAGTTTCCTGATGAAATTCCATGTCTAAAAATGGTGTTGCTTCAACTTTTTAAAAATCAAGCCTTTTTGGTGCCAGGAGAAGAAAAGGCTTTACTCCACGGTCAGGAAAAATCCTGCCCAGGAACCAAAATGTTTTTTGAAGCCAAATTTTTTTTTTGAAACCAAATGCAAAAACGGACACCAGGATGAGTTTCCTGATGAAATTCCATGTCTAAAAATGGTGTTGCTTCAACTTTTTAAAAATCAAGCCTTTTTGGTGCCAGGAGAAGGAAAGGCTTTACTCCACGGTCAGGAAAAATCCTGCCCAGGAACCAAAATGTTTTTTGAAGCCAAATTTTTTTTTTGAAACCAAATGCAAAAATGGACACCAGGATGAGTTTCCTGATGAAATTCCATGTCTAAAAATGGTGTTGCTTCAACTTTTTAAAAATCAAGCCTTTTTGGTGCCAGGAGAAGAAAAGGCTTTTCTCCACGGTCAGGAAAAATCCTGCCCAGGAACCAAAATGTTTTTTGAAGCCAAATTTTTTTTTTGAAACCAAATGCAAAAACGGACACCAGGATGAGTTTCAGGATGAAATTCCATGTCTAAAAATGGTGTTGCTTCAACTTTTTAAAAATCAAGCCTTTTTGGTGCCAGGAGAAGAAAAGGCTTTACTCCACGGTCAGGAAAAATCCTGCCCAGGAACCAAAATGTTTTTTGAAGCCAAATTTTTTTTTTGAAACCAAATGCAAAAACGGACACCAGGATGAGTTTCCTGATGAAATTCCATGTCTAAAAATGGTGTTGCTTCAACTTTTTAAAAATCAAGCCTTTTTGGTGCCAGGAGAAGAAAAGGCTTTACTCCACGGTCAGGAAAAATCCTGCCCAGGAACCAAAATGTTTTTTGAAGCCAAATTTTTTTTTTGAAACCAAATGCAAAAACGGACACCAGGATTAGTTTCCTGATGAAATTCCATGTCTAAAAATGGTGTTGCTTCAACTTTTTAAAAATCAAGCCTTTTTGGTGCCAGGAGAAGGAAAGGCTTTACTCCACGGTCAGGAAAAATCCTGCCCAGGAACCAAAATGTTTTTTGAAGCCAATTTTTTTTTTTGAAACCAAATGCAAAAATGGACACCAGGATGAGTTTCCTGATGAAATTCCATGTCTAAAAATGGTGTTGCTTCAACTTTTTAAAAATCAAGCCTTTTTGGTGCCAGGAGAAGAAAAGGCTTTACTCCACGGTCAGGAAAAATCCTGCCCAGGAACCAAAATGTTTTTTGAAGCCAAATTTTTTTTTTGAAACCAAATGCAAAAACGGACACCAGGATGAGTTTCAGGATGAAATTCCATGTCTAAAAATGGTGTTGCTTCAACTTTTTAAAAATCAAGCCTTTTTGGTGCCAGGAGAAGAAAAGGCTTTACTCCACGGTCAGGAAAAATCCTGCCCAGGAACCAAAATGTTTTTTGAAGCCAAATTTTTTTTTTGAAACCAAATGCAAAAACGGACACCAGGATGAGTTTCCTGAAGAAATTCCATGTCTAAAAATGGTGTTGCTTCAACTTTTTAAAACATCAAGCCTTTTTGGTGCCCAGGAGAAGAAAAGGCTTTACTCCACGGTCAGGAAAAATCCTGCCCAGGAACCAAAATGTTTTTTGAAGCCAAATTTTTTTTTTGAAACCAAATGCAAAAACGGACACCAGGATGAGTTTCCTGATGAAATTCCATGTCTAAAAATGGTGTTGCTTCAACTTTTTAAAAATCAAGCCTTTTTGGTGCCAGGAGAAGGAAAGGCTTTACTCCACGGTCAGGAAAAATCCTGCCCAGGAACCAAAATGTTTTTTGAAGCCAAATTTTTTTTTTGAAACCAAATGCAAAAACGGACACCAGGATGAGTTTCCTGATGAAATTCCATGTCTAAAAATGGTGTTGCTTCAACTTTTTAAAAATCAAGCCTTTTTGGTGCCAGGAGAAGAAAAGGCTTTACTCCACGGTCAGGAAAAATCCTGCCCAGGAACCAAAATGTTTTTTGAAGCCAAATTTTTTTTTTGAAACCAAATGCAAAAACGGACACCAGGATGAGTTTCCTGATGAAATTCCATGTCTAAAAATGGTGTTGCTTCAACTTTTTAAAAATCAAGCCTGTTTGGTGCCAGGAGAAGGAAAGGCTTTACTCCACGGTCAGGAAAAATCCTGCCCAGGAACCAAAATGTTTTTTGAAGCCAAATTTTTTTTTTGAAACCAAATGCAAAAACGGACACCAGGATGAGTTTCCTGATGAAATTCCATGTCTAAAAATGGTGTTGCTTCAACTTTTTAAAAATCAAGCCTTTTTGGTGCCAGGAGAAGAAAAGGCTTTACTCCACGGTCAGGAAAAATCCTGCCCAGGAACCAAAATGTTTTTTGAAGCCAAATTTTTTTTTTGAAACCAAATGCAAAAACGGACACCAGGATGAGTTTCCTGATGAAATTCCATGTCTAAAAATGGTGTTGCTTCAACTTTTTAAAAATCAAGCCTGTTTGGTGCCAGGAGAAGGAAAGGCTTTACTCCACGGTCAGGAAAAATCCTGCCCAGGAACCAAAATGTTTTTTGAAGCCAAATTTTTTTTTTGAAACCAAATGCAAAAATGGACACCAGGATGAGTTTCCTGATGAAATTCCATGTCTAAAAATGGTGTTGCTTCAACTTTTTAAAAATCAAGCCTTTTTGGTGCCCGGAGAAGAAAAGGCTTTACTCCACGGTCAGGAAAAATCCTGCCCAGGAACCAAAATGTTTTTTGAAGCCAAATTTTTTTTTTGAAACCAAATGCAAAAACGGACACCAGGATGAGTTTCAGGATGAAATTCCATGTCTAAAAATGGTGTTGCTTCAACTTTTTAAAAATCAAGCCTTTTTGGTGCCAGGAGAAGGAAAGGCTTTACTCCACGGTCAGGAAAAATCCTGCCCAGGAACCAAAATGTTTTTTGAAGCCAAATTTTTTTTTTGAAACCAAATGCAAAAACGGACACCAGGATGAGTTTCCTGATGAAATTCCATGTCTAAAAATGGTGTTGCTTCAACTTTTTAAAAATCAAGCCTGTTTGGTGCCAGGAGAAGGAAAGGCTTTACTCCACGGTCAGGAAAAATCCTGCCCAGGAACCAAAATGTTTTTTGAAGCCAAATTTTTTTTTTGAAACCAAATGCAAAAACGGACACCAGGATGAGTTTCCTGATGAAATTCCATGTCTAAAAATGGTGTTGCTTCAACTTTTTAAAAATCAAGCCTTTTTGGTGCCAGGAGAAGAAAAGGCTTTACTCCACGGTCAGGAAAAATCCTGCCCAGGAACCAAAATGTTTTTTGAAGCCAAATTTTTTTTTTGAAACCAAATGCAAAAACGGACACCAGGATGAGTTTCCTGATGAAATTCCATGTCTAAAAATGGTGTTGCTTCAACTTTTTAAAAATCAAGCCTGTTTGGTGCCAGGAGAAGGAAAGGCTTTACTCCACGGTCAGGAAAAATCCTGCCCAGGAACCAAAATGTTTTTTGAAGCCAAATTTTTTTTTTGAAACCAAATGCAAAAACGGACACCAGGATGAGTTTCCTGATGAAATTCCATGTCTAAAAATGGTGTTGCTTCAACTTTTTAAAAATCAAGCCTTTTTGGTGCCAGGAGAAGGAAAGGCTTTACTCCACGGTCAGGAAAAATCCTGCCCAGGAATCAAAATGTTTTTTGAAGCCAAATTTTTTTTTTGAAACCAAATGCAAAAACGGACACCAGGATGAGTTTCCTGATGAAATTCCATGTCTAAAAATGGTGTTGCTTCAACTTTTTAAAAATCAAGCCTGTTTGGTGCCAGGAGAAGGAAAGGCTTTACTCCACGGTCAGGAAAAATCCTGCCCAGGAACCAAAATGTTTTTTGAAGCCAAATTTTTTTTTTGAAACCAAATGCAAAAACGGACACCAGGATGAGTTTCCTGATGAAATTCCATGTCTAAAAATGGTGTTGCTTCAACTTTTTAAAAATCAAGCCTTTTTGGTGCCAGGAGAAGAAAAGGCTTTACTCCACGGTCAGGAAAAATCCTGCCCAGGAACCAAAATGTTTTTTGAAGCCAAATTTTTTTTTTGAAACCAAATGCAAAAACGGACACCAGGATGAGTTTCCTGATGAAATTCCATGTCTAAAAATGGTGTTGCTTCAACTTTTTAAAAATCAAGCCTGTTTGGTGCCAGGAGAAGGAAAGGCTTTACTCCACGGTCAGGAAAAATCCTGCCCAGGAACCAAAATGTTTTTTGAAGCCAAATTTTTTTTTTGAAACCAAATGCAAAAACGGACACCAGGATGAGTTTCCTGATGAAATTCCATGTCTAAAAATGGTGTTGCTTCAACTTTTTAAAAATCAAGCCTTTTTGGTGCCAGGAGAAGGAAAGGCTTTACTCCACGGTCAGGAAAAATCCTGCCCAGGAATCAAAATGGTGTCCGTTTTTGCATTTGGTTCAAAAAAAAAATTTGGCTTAAGTGGTCCAAAACCCCCAGTGGGATTTTTACATGAATTTGGGCAAGTGCTCCAAAGCCCCCGGTTGAATTTTTACACTAATTTGGCACCGTGCCAAATCCCATCAAAGGCCGCTGTGTCCCTTCTTCTGCCTTGTGATAACCCTGAAGCCTCAAAGATGGCCTCCAGCCAGACACATGGTTGGAAAAAATGAGAAAAAAACCACATAGATTTTAAACCAGAGATTTTTTTTTATTGGGGATTGTACCTGAAATATATAATAGAGAATTGAGATATCTGATTGTGAATGTATTAACAGTGGCTAGTCTTAATTAATAGTACATTTCATAATTCTTACCTTAAATCCTCACAATTAACAATACTTAACCTTGAATCACCTATCTCCCCTATTACCATCTTATCAAAAGTTTACTCTTTTTATTTATTTAATCAAAACAATTACCCTTCTATTAACCCACTTTAAGTCACGATTCAATTCATAACTCATATTACATTTCACAATTCTTGGCCTAAATCCTCACAATTAACAATACAAATCAAACATGTTTATATTTCAAAAATCTTATTTCCCTCTCTAAAACTTCCCCACATTTATGGTTGCTTCGTATAATGCTCATTAAATCTTTATTTCCTTATTACTTCACCAAACTTAGATCCTATCTCTAATCCCAAAAATATAGCAATTTACCATTGAAACCTAATTCTTAATTCAAATAGAACTACAATACAATTTCCAATTATTTCCCACAATTCCATCTCTGTAATCGTCTCATTTATATAAGCCAGTTTAAGTAATTCTTATTTGTAATTCATAGTCCTATATTATTTCACTTTCTTTTCTTTTTTGCTTAGATATATTATCAAAAATACTGAAAATATTAAAATATTAAAGTTATTGAAACTATTCAAATTATTACCATTGTTATAGATATTTGAACAATATCCCAATTTTTTTAGGCATCAATTATTCTCAATACCATATAACATCATAATAAACATTGATTCATTATGTCGATTGATACATTTTCTTTTAACATAGTCTATTTCTCATATATTAAAGCTTCCATCCATATTTCAATTTTAAGTATCTGTAACATATTCTCATATTTCTATTAATCTCATTATTAATCTCAATATAATTATTTTATAAATCAAAGTCCTGGACTTTTCTATTGTACCCCATATTCCCCAATTCTTTCACTGTTAATCCCAGTGTAATCATCTTTATAACTATTGTTATTCACAATATCATCTCTAAAAACCTCCTTTTTATTATTACTATCCTGTACATTACTTATTCATAATAAGGGGGGTGGGAGAGAGTGAGTGTTGGAAACCACCCCCCAAATCCATTCTGCAGCCATTTCCATTTCGACAATACTGTTTCTGGGATTAACAGAACCGGTCCAAAATGGAAGAACTGTCTAGTTCAGATGTTTTTTCCTCCTTTTCTTGGTCGTCCCGTCACCGACATTCTCTCCGCCGTCCGTTTCTCGGGCTTGGTCAGCGTTTGCGGATCAAAATGTCCCAGCTATCCTTCCAACGTAGAGCTTGTAACTCCGATTTTGAGAGTGCCGGATCTCCGTAGGTAAGTGGGCTGAACGTGTGGTACGTCAGGTAGACAGAAGACATCCAGGCCACCACCAAAGCGCCGTGCATGCTCTTGGAGAGCCTGGATCTGTGGGAGTGAAGAGAGAGACAAGCATTAAAAAAGGAGATTGAGCCTCTAGAAAGAATGCAGAGAAGAGCAACCAAGATGATCCGGGAGGGTGAAAAAGAGGAAGAATGGTTGCTGGAATTGGGTATGTTTAATTTAATGGGATTTGGGTATTTAAATTAATGGAATTGGGTGTGCTTAATAAAGGGACGTGGTGGCTCAGTGGCTCAGACGCTGAGCTTGTCAATCGAAAGGGTCGGCAGTTCGAATCCCGAGTGCCGCGTAACGGGGTGAGCTCCCGTGACTTGTCCCAACTTCTGCCAACCTAGCAGTTCGAAAGCACGTTAAAAAAAAAACGCAAGTAGAAAAATAGCCTGGTCGTAAATATGAGTCAGTTGCCAAGCATTCTGAGTTTTGACCATGTGCCCATGGGGGATGCTGCAGCGGTCGTTAAATGTGAAAAAAGGTCAGGGGTCATTTTTTTTCCCCCATGCAAGTTGTACGTTCTAATGGTCACTCAACGAACGGTCGTAAGTCAGGGACCATGTGTATGTCTCTTTGTGCTGTCTTTCTTCTGCTTTGCTTCTGATTATTATTTTAAAAGCAATTTAAAAAAAATGATGATGGAAACCAAGGGAAGAAGACAGGTGAGGTTGGGTGTCCTACCTGCAAAGGAAGTCGCTGGCGTGCTGCAGAATGACGGGGATCAGGAGGATTTGGAACGTGACGGCCGGCAGGTAATGGTAAAGGAAGAGGTTCTTCTCCATCAGGAAGAAAGGCAGGTAGTTCGCGGCCCATCCGCCCACGCAGACCCTCCGGCCAGGAGCCACTGCTGCCAAGGCTCTGCAGAGGAACGGGACGGGGAAACGGGCAGGTCAGTTGCTCAGCCGGAGAAAAATGCCAGGACGGGGCAACAAGAAATGGACAGAGGCTCTTTATAGGTTAGCATTTTTTCAAGATTTACTAGATTTGGGTGAACAAATGCTGATTGAAAGCCAGTCTGGCGTTTTCATGTCATACAGTTCTACAGAGGAACTATTGAGTCTGTCATCTGCACCTCCATCACTGTCTGGTTTGGTTCTGCAACCCAACAAGACAGACACGGACTTCAGAGGAGAATTAGAACTGCAGAAAAAACCATGGCTACCAACCTGCCTTCCATGGGAGGACCTGTCTACTGCACCAGTCAAAAAGAGGGCTGGGAAAATATCTACAGACCCCTCGCATCCTGGACATCAACTGTCTCAACTCCTACCCTCAAAACGAGGCTACAGAGCACTGCACACCAGAACGAGACACAAGGACAGTTTTTTCCCGAACGCCATCACTCTGCTCAACAAACAATTCCCTCAACACTGTCCACCTATTCACTAAGGCTGCACTACTATTAGTCTTCTCATCGTTCCCACCACCCATCTCTTCAGTCCAGTCCAGTCTAGTCCAGTTCAGGGTCGTTCAGGGTAGTTCAGTGAACATTGAGCTCTCCTGGACTGGATTGGACTGAACTGGACTCTGAACTGAAATACACTGAACTCTCGTGGACTAGATTGGACTGAACTGAATACAACTACACTGAACTGAACTGAATTGAACTATCCTGGACTGGACTGGACTGAACACTGATCTACACTTCAGTTCAATTCAGTTCAGTTCGGTTCCGTGTAAATTTTTGCTTTTGCCTTTTCCCATACTAAAAATAACGCATTCCTTACAGAGTGTCTTTGAAAATATTAATTTTGTTCTTACCATACCATAAAAAAACATGCCATCCTAATTGGAGATCATAACCTTCTAAATACAATAGTCTTTTATGTCTGAGAGTTATCCATTCTTTCACCCATGTTAATACACATGCTTGGTAATACAACTCCTAATCTGGTAGCCCAAATCCTCCATTAGTTTTGGATTCTTGCAACATTTTCAGTCTTGTTCTAGCTTTTTTCCCTTGCCAACTAAATTTCAAAATTGTTCTTATTCATCTCATCAAAATATTGTTTGTAAGTATTGTTTGGGACAAAAAAAGCAATTTTGGTAAAATTTACTTTATGATCGCTATTCTTCCTAAAATGGGATGCAGTGGCTCAGTGGCTCAGACGCTGAGCTTGTTGATCGAAAGGTTGGCAGTTCAGAGGTTTGAATCCCTAGTGCCGCGTAAATGAGCTCCCGTGACTTGTCCCAGCTTCTGCCAACCTAGCAGTTTGAAAGCATGTAAAAAAAAATGCAAGTAGAAAAATAGGGACCACCTTTGGTGGGAAGGGAACAGCGTTCCGTGCACCTTTGGCGTTGAGTCATGCCGGCCACATGACCACGGAGACGCCTTCGGACAGCGCTGGCTCTTCAGCTTTGAAACGGAGAGGAGCACCGCCCCCTAGAGTCAGGAACGACTAGCACGTGTGTGCGAGGGGAGCCTTTCCCTTTACCTGATTCTTCCTACCTTTGATAATTGCAATTTTTTTCCCATTTCTCCAAAATCCAATTTTATTTGGTATAATAGCCTTATATAGTTACCTTCTTTTGTCGTTGTGCATCTTGCTGTTAAATATATTCCCAAATATTTCACTTGATGGCCTGGTAGGCCCGTTTTTCTCTCTCACCAGGCTCCAGAGCCATTCTAGGAGCCTGGGGAGGGCAAAAATGGCCTTCCCCACCCTCTGGAAGCCCTCCGGAGGGCAGAAACAGCCTGTTTGCCAACTTCCGGTGGGACCGGAAGGCCCGTTCCTTGCTGTCCCCAGGCTCCAGAGCATTTCTAGGAGTCTGGGGAGGGCGAAAACAGCCTTCCCGAACCTCCTGGAGGCCCTCTGGAGGCAGGAAACTTCTTATTTTCCTACTTCTGGTGGTCCCAGAAGGCCCAAAAAACTCGCATGCCCACCAATATGGCTACGCGTGCCATCACGGACCTAGGGACATTTTACCATCTTGCAGGATGGGTGCAGAGAACCTGCAGACCTGCCCTAGCCAGGAGAGTTCATCGAAGCAAGAGTTAGTGCGTCCATCAACAGACACACTGACCTACAACCGACTGGTTGTCCAAGGCTTCCACCTTCTACAACAATTAAGGGGTCTTGGATGGAAGATCAAGATGGGTTTGGAGAGATCCCAGACCTTCAGGGATATCCCGGATATTCCGCCGCCGCCGGAGCAGGTACCCAAGGAACAAAGCCACGTAGACGATGGTAGCTACGTTGGCCGATGTCCAGCTGACGAGGTTGCCCAGAAGGTGAATTTGTGCCTGGCCAAGAAAGATCGAGAAGGTGCTTTGAGTTGTGTATTGACGGCACTGAGAAAAAGGGGACTGACTGTGTTTCAGAGTTATGACTTTTGCAGCATCTGATGGGCGCATGATAGTTCATATTTATGAGGGTGTCCCGGAGGGGGTGGGGTCAGGTGATTCCCTTTTGCAATCTCCTGACAAGCCAAGTCCACGGGGAAGCCAGGTTCACTTTAACAAGGGTGTTACCAACTTAACGGCTGCAATGATTTGCTTAGTGGCAAGAAAGGTCTCAAAATGAGGCAGAACTCACATAACAAATGCCTTGCTTTGCAAGCAGAAATTTTGGGCTCAGTCCTGGTTGTCAATCGAGGACTTGCCTGTACGGCTAAAAAAGGGCGGCAGGATATGGGCTGCTGAAATTCTCTCTGGAGCAAAGGGAGTTCTGGAGATTGCCCACAAGTATTCCAGAAAACATGATTTCTAATCCCACATAAAAATCCAGTAAAATCACCCCTGAGCTGGAATGGAACCAGTAAGCAATGTTGGTCTCCAGGGTGATCCAATCCAAGGGAGAGGAGCTGTATTTATGTTCCGTGTCCTCGTTTTTCAGGGTAAGGATCTTCCACTAGAACGAAACACAAGAATTGGGCTCGGCAGACATTCCCGGATATCAATGCAAGCTACGAGTTGATACGGCCCCTAATTCAGAATGTCTCTTTAAAGTCTACAACTCCCAAATTGTGAAACCGGCTGGCGGGATTTACACAACACACTTAACATGGTGGTTTGTTTAGGGGCTGTAGCTTGGGTGCCAGCTCTGCCTGGTTCGGATTGGCGCCTCACGGGCATCCTGCCATCAAGGGCTGGAAGGGGAGGGGAAGGATGGAAGCCAGTGGTGGAATTCAAATTGTTTTATTACCAGTTCTGTGGGCGTGGCTTGGTGGGTGTGGCAGGGGAAGTATTCTGCAAAATCCCCATTCCCACCCCACTCTGGGACCAGCCAGAGGTGGTATTTGCCAGTTCTCCGAACTACTCAAAATTTCCGCTACCAGTTCGCCAGAACCTGTCAGAACCTGCTGAATTTCACCCCTGATGGAAGGGCAGTAAAGCTGTGTGTGTACGTGATGGGAAATCGGAAGTGGGGGTGGGGAGATTGACAAAATCAATAAATGAACTTCAATTCCCAGAATCCCCTGGACAAGCATGGCGACTGCCGAGAATTCTGGGAAATGAAGTCCACCCTGTGACTTCATCAAAGGCTGACTTTCTCTCACCTGCAGTTCGGTGAACTTGGCAACGAAGGTGAGATTTTGGCTAATGTTGATCTGAGTGGGCAGATGCAATTCCACCTCTCTCTCTTTCTGCTCATGGCCTGCAAAAGATTAAAAGAAGAAAGATCTGAAAAATCAGGTTAGTTGGGGGCCAAACTTTCTCCCACAATCCTTCGGGGTTGATCTCTAAACCCAGGTGAGTTTAGACCCCTGCTCACAGACGACAATTAGGGTCAACGGACAGGTAGCCCTTGACTTACGAAGAGTTCATTTAGTGACGAAAGTTACAACAGCACTGAAAAAAGCGACTTATGACCGTTTTTCACACTTACAACCATTGCTGCATCTCCATGGCCCATCAAAATGCAGACACTTGGCACCTGGCATGTACCGTGTTTCCCCGAAAATAAGACCCCGTCTTATATTTTTCTGAACCCTGAAATAAGCGCTTGGACTTCTTGCCATGCGTTCAAAAGCCCGATTGGGCTTATTATCAGGGGATGCCTTATTTTGGGGGGGAAACAGGGTATTTATGACGGTTGCAGTGTCCCCAGGATCACAGTGATCCGCTTTTGCGACCTTCAAGTCAACGAGGAAAGCCAGATTCACTTAACAACCATGTTACTCACTTAACAACTTAAGCAGTCATTCTCTTAACAACTGTGGCAAGAAAGGTCATTAAAACGGGGCACTTAACAACTGTCTCATTTGTCAACAGGATTTTTTTTAGGCTCAATTGTGGCCATTAAGTCAAGGACAACCACTCCAGATCTGGACTGAGTGGGACTTTTTTGGGGGGGGGGGGGGGGGGGAAGACGTTCCAGAATTTTGCGGGGGAGGGCAGGAAACCTAGATTCACATCCAAAGAGATTTTCCTAAAAACTAACTTTTCCCATATCGGTGTTCCTCCACGTTCCACAACATGCTTTGGTGGTACCCCTTGGAGATCTTCTCGCCAATCACCTCCAGTTGTCGGTACCCCCACTCGGGGAGAGAAGCTCCGCTCAGCTGGAGGGGAGAAAAAGAAGGGAATGGTTTAAAAAAAAAAACAAAAAAACAAAAACAAAAAAGAGGTTTAAAATGCCAACCAGGATTCAAGAGGTTGAAGGATCTGGGAAGCCCAATCTGTTGTACCTCGCCAGCGGATCTGGCAACAGATTCAGACAGTGAGGAGGTTGGGGAGGAACATGGGCCAGTCCTGGAGTCTGGGGAAGGCTCTGATGAAGGCTCTGCGTCGGAGGCAGAGAGGGAGCCAGGGCCGTCTGACAGTTATCAGCTGCCTTCGGAGTCAGACATCAGTGGGGCAGTAGAACAACTGTAGCCTGTGCATATGTGCAGAGCTTCCAGAGAAGGGAACAGCTAAGGAACAAGGGTCGACTCAGGAGTAAAGCCACAGTGGACGATGAATGGCCCGTCCCAGAGGGAATAAAAGAGGAGCGAAAGGGGAGTGGAGTTTGCAGGAGACAATTAGTTCGCTTAATTGGTTTGTGAGTCTCCGGGACTCCTTGCCAAGTTTTGAAGATATCGGCTTGGCAGCTCTCCAAGCCAGATAAGGTCTGTGACTGTAAATTCTCCCTTGAAAGACTTTGCTGGATGTGAACGAGAAGAATTCACAGTAAAAGGGTTTTTTCTTGGGACAAGGAGTCCGCTTCATGCTCTTGGGAAGCCTGGGTCAGAACACAGTGTTCCAATACTGTCAACGTGGAGGAGGGGGTCAAGCTATTCTCCGAAACACCTGAAGGCAGGACAGGAAGCGACGGATGGAAACTAATCAAGGAGAGAAGCAACCTGGAACTAAGGAGAAATTTCTTGACAAGTGAGAACAATTAACCGGTGGAACAGCTTGCCACCAGAAGTGCTCCAACACTGGAGGTTTTTAAGAAGAGACTGGGCAGCCATTTGTCTGAAATGGTATTAGAGTGGTTGGACTAGAAGACCTCCAAGGTCCCCTTACAACTCTCTGCATCATTGGCCGCAAGAAACGTCAGAGGTCGAGACCCCCAAGCTCACTCACCTTTAACACGGCCGACGTGTTGACGTGGACCAGTCTGACTTCGGACAGGATCGTTTTCCAAATCTCATTATCCGAGTCGCGATTCACAATTTCCTGTGTATTAGAAAGAGACGCATCAGGAAGCGTCTCTTTGCTCCTACGGCGTCATCAGATTCAGCATCTTGATTATAACTAGGTTAGGAAAGGGGTTAAAGAGCCAGGATAGCGCCGCGGTGGCTAGAATGCGGTACTGCAGGCTGACTCTGCCGACTGCCAGGAGTTCGATCCTGACCGGCTCAAGGTTGACTCAGCCTTCCGTCCTTCCGAGGTGGGTAAAATGAGGACCCAGATTGTTGGGGGCAAGAGGCTGACTCTGTACACCGCTTAGAGAGGGCTGTGAAATCACTATGATATTGCTGTGTTTATTTTTTTAGTTCAGTCCAACTTTTTATCAATCCCTTTCAATTCTACAGCCTGGCACTTACCACTCTCCAGAGATTCTGAGCGGGCATGGAAATGTTGTAATCGATGTAACAGGATACCTCTTGGGAGTGCGGGCTGAGGGGTGCAGCCACGTCATGCCTGCAGAGCGGAGAAAGCAACGGGAGAGAATATTTGTAGCTCAGAGTTGGACTGGTGCTCTCTGAGCTTGGCTGTTTTCTTGCAGACATTTCATGACCCAACTGGGTAACATCATCAGTGCTAGGAAAACCCCAAGTAGCAGTCAGAAAACAGGATTAAAACTCCTTCATTGCACTTACACATGGGCGGACTTCATCGTCCCAGCTAAGTGTCAAAACGCTAGAGAATTCCCGGAAGCCTGGAGGCACTTAGACAGTTCTCACCCGGCTGCAGAGAAATTAGGGCGAGGGTCTCGTTCAAGCCCCTTGCCCAGCCCCGTTATAGAGGGCTAAGCTGCCTCTTCACTGACCACATCTCTGGACGCAGCCTCCAAGGACATCCCCATAAGGGTCTACAATCTTAAACACTCGAAGAGCCATTTGGACCCGTTTCCCACTGAAAAGAAAACACCGGGAGCCACAAAACCCTCCCCGTGCCTGACTACATTTGAGCGGCCACAAAACTAGCATATGTAGTTGAATTAAAAGTTCTGTTTTCTTCTGAAACTTTCCTTTTCTTGCATTTATCCATGGTTGGCCTACCAGAGGTTGAAAAGCTCAATAAATTGCGTGCCGGCGGGTGACGCATATTTTGAGTCACAGGGAGCCGCAGCAGAGGGGTGAAAGAGCCACATGCGGCTCCAGAGCCGCAGGTTGCTGACTCCTGCCACATACCATTACAGCAGTTTCGAGATGACGACACGCAGCTAGAAGCCGAAGAAGAAAACAGCTTACGTGTTCAGGTAGCGGGTTGTGATCCCATGGACCAGTTGCACAATGTTGCCGTGTCTCACAGGCCGTGGCGGGTTGCTAGCTACCAGCTGCTGCCTGTTTGGGAGAGGCAGAAAAACGGGAGGCTTCAACCAGCAAAATCAAAGTACGTCAATCCATTAAGTGTGGCTGTCATGTTATTATTTATTATCTTTTTATTATCTATGTTACTTCTCCCTTTTATTGGTATTCTGGAGTGGTGCGGTGGCCTAGAGGCGGAGCTCTCGCCTCACAATCAGGAGGCTGTGAGTTCGATCCTAGGTAGAGGCAGATATTTCTCTCTCTGGGCACAATGAGAATATATCTGCTGAACAAAACTCCTCATTGGCAACAGGAAGGGCAGTCGGCCAGTAAAAAATACTCTGCTAGCTCCATTCAGTTGCCCAGATTCTACTCCGCAAGGGATTAAATGAAGATGATGAGGATGATTATTTTCTCTGTTGCCTTGCAAATATCTTGAGTGCGTCTGTACCAGATGTCAGGTTTCGATGTCATCTCAAATAAATTGCACTCCTAAACAATTAATCTTTGCTGAAATATTCCATTTATTGAGTACGACAGATCTGGCCCCGACTTCGTCGTAGCCGATACTAACCCTCTGACCCCCAAACCCTTCCCTTTCTGTTCCCCAATTCTCATCTTCTCACTGGCCATCTTCCAAGTCAGTCTCCCCAGCTTCTGACCTCACCCCACAGCAATGTCCCCCCTCCCATCCCATCTCCTAGGGGATATTATCTACAGAGAAAATAAGTAAGTGAAAAGTCAAGCCTCATCTCCTCCTTTTTATGGCAGCATCAGAATGCTGACACCGGAAACAAATTCCTTGCGTGTGCAATCACACTTGCCCAAATAAAGTACAGGTAATCCTCAACTAACGACCATAATTGAGCCCAAAATTTATGTTGCCAAGCAAGAAATCTGTGAAGTGAGTTTTGTCCCATTTTACGACCTTTTCTTGCCACCGTGGTTTGAAGTGAATCACTGCACCTGTTCAGTTAGCAACAGGGTTGTTAAGTGAGCCTCGCCCCCCCCCCACCCCGGTTGACTTTGCTTGGGGAATCACACGACCTCGGGAGACACACGACCGTCATAAATGCGAGCCAGCTGCCAAGCGTCTGAATTTTAAATCATAATAACCATGGGGACAGCTGCAGCGGTCGTAAGTTTGAAAAACTGTCGTAAGTGACTTTTTTCAGTGTCTTGTAACTTCGAACGGTCACTAAATGAACTGTCGTAAATCCGAGGACTACCTGAAGAGGCCTACCTTCCAGGATCCTTGATGATCCACCAGTTGTTCACATCCTTAAAAGGGTAACACGTCACCTGTTGCTGATGGGAACTGCCCCGTCCGTTTTCGTACCTGGGGAAGGACACGGAGGAAACGGGACGTAACCACGCAAGATAATCTGAAGGGCTCTTTTAGGTCACAGGAAAAAAATACTTATTTTTCTGCATTCAACAGGAAGAAAAGACAGAGGTATCAGCCCTTTGAGGTCAGCTAGATTAGAAAATAGACAAAGGGAAAAACAATTGAGGGGTCCTTGATGCTCTCTGAGCTTGGCGGGGTTCGGTCTTGTTCCTGGGAGCCTGGCCCTCTGCCAAATTGGTCATCATCAGGCACACAGATATAAACCACATGTACATATCATTCAAAAGAGACAATCAATAGACCAAAAAGGGAACAAAAAAACCAAACCCACCTCCTCAGTAGCAATGAGCAGAAATTAACCCCAAGATTAACATTAGTCTAACAATCAAAAGGACACAGCGGCTCAGCGGCTAAGACGCTGAGCTTGTTCGATCGAAAAGTCGGCAGTTCAGCAGTTCGAATCCCTAGTGCCGCTCAGAGAAGCACCAAGGATCCCTCATTTCAATCCCGAATTACAAATATACTCCTCCCAAAATTTCTGGATTGCAACTTCATTCCTAGAAGGTATAATAGCAGAAGCCCAAAAGAAAAAAATAGGAAAAATGACATTCTCTTGGTTTAAACGCCAAACTCAAAATGTTCCAAATGTGTCGAAGAATCAGCTCCTTTAGAGTTCCGGACACCCTGAACCCCAAAATGTGTTAAGAATCTCTGTCTTTCGTTTCTTTTCTTTTTTTTTTTTTCAGAGTGCCCCTTTCTCGCAAAAGCAGACACCCAAAGATCATCGAATAAAGTTTGGCCACTTGTCCTCTGATATTGTGCTCCTTTTCTTGGGCAAAAAAAAATTCCCACGCCGAAGAAAAGAAGCATCGCCGGAAGATATCTCCGCCAGAGATGGAATCAGTGATGGGATTCAGCCGGTTCAGAGCGAATCGCCCCCCCCCCACCCGACTGGATGTAATGGCGTCCTATTAAGCCACATTTTTGAGCCTGTGTGCATGCGTGAGCTAAGAACATGCATGGACGGAGGCGTGTGCACTCACATTTGCAAACCGGTAGGGAAGGTAAATGAATCCCACCTGTGAATGGAATCCATTGTGAGACAGGCTGAGGTTGTACACAACGTCCCAGGTGCAAAACTTCCCTTCTCACCTGATGGGGTAGGTATTCCGGTGGGAATGAAGCCAACATGGTAAAGGTTTGCCCAAGATATTCCTCAAAGTAATCTGGGAACCATAAGCCACTTCCAAGGGCTGCCCCTGAGTGATGCGAGAAAGCCCTCCCTAAAAAAAACATACACACACACACACACACACACAGTCAAAGGGGAAGCACCGAACAGCCTTGCTATGGATTTAACAACTGTTTAACAGCTGTGGCAAGGAAGGTCGCAAAGCGGGGCAGATGTCTCACTTAACAACACAAACGTTGGGCTCGATTGTGGTCGTACGTCAAAAAACTACCTGTATAGAAATTGGTAAATTTCTGTGTGTGAATAAATATTTTGTTGTAAAGAAATAAATAAAAAATTAAAAAGAAAGAAAGAAAGAAAGCAGAAAGAGCAGATAAAAGTCCAGCAGGGGGTTGAAATAAATCAGGATTCAGTTCGTCAATTAACATATAATGGATATAAAAAACAAAAGTAAAAGTTTCAAAAGTGGAGGGAAAAAACGGCTGTTATGAGAAGGAAAGGAAGGAAGGAAGGAAGGAAGGAAGGGAGGGAGGGAGGGAGGGAGGGAAGAGAAGAGAAAGAAAGAAAGAAAGAAAGAAAGAAAGAAAGAAAGAAAGAAAGAAAGAAAGAAAGAAGGGAAGGGGAAGGAAGAAAGAAAGAAAAAGGAGGGAAAGGAGAAGGAAGGAAGCAAGGAGAGCAAGAAGAGAGGGAGGAGAGGAGGGAGGAAGAAGGAGGAGGGAGGGAGGGAGGGAAAGAAGGAAGGACCCCAAAATTTCTCCCTCTTTGACCAATTAGTCCCAGATGCAGCTCGGTCTCACCTCTAAGCTAGCTTGAAAGGCGCTGCTCATGATTTGATCGTGGGGACCGGATCGATACAACAAAACCAAGTGGATGTAGAAAAACGAGAGGTAGAGAGCGACCGGGAGGATGAGGAGAGCTAAACCCCGGGCCAAGAAATGCCCCAGCAGGGAGACCTAAAATGGAAAAGGCAGAATGGTTCACCTGGGCTTCTAAGGAGCTTCCTAAACTAAAGAATGCCGGATGAAGCTGCCTCTAAAATAACCCACTCTAGGCACCCAAAAACTTGAACAGGTGTGTGTCTCTGCGGGTCAGAGAGATCAGGGGCATGGCTCCTTGTTTAAGCTTAAATCAATGCTTTCAACAGATTTAAATTTTATTACTTTTACCCTGCCTTTGTTACGTTTAGAAATAATTCAAAATAATTCAATTCAATAATTCAATACTCTCTCTCTCTGTTTTCTGAGGTTTTCGTGGGTGTTTGTATGTAGGTCTTTGGTTATTTGGGTTTTCTCCCGCGTAAAATTGGAAGTGTCTTGGCGACGTTTCGACGAAGTCTCATTCGTCATCTTCAGGTTGCTGTTTTCGGCTTCGTGCTTCTAGGAGTGATCACACATTGCTCCTAGAAGCACGAAGCTGAAAACACCAGCTGAAGATGACGAATGAGACTTTGTCGAAACGTCACCAAGACACTTCCAATTTTATGCGGGAGAAAATCCGAATAACCAGACACACACACACACACATATATACCTTATCTATCTATCATCTTCTATCTATCTGCCTTTCTATGACTTTCTATCTACCTACCTTATTTATCTATTATCTATCTACCTATCTACCTTTCTACCTACCTATCTTATCTATCTATCTATCTATCTATCTATCTATCTATCTATCTATCATTTTCTATCTGATGGATATGACAGTTCTTTGTTAGAGAGCCTCGCATTTAATTTACCAATATTCCCAATTTTTACCATCAAACAGGTATGGGAAAACACATTTCTTCAACATTGACTGAACATGTTCCAAGAAAAACTGCCGTGCCAAGCTAAAACGCACGGATTCTGAAATCCAAAGTTCTCCAGAAGTCCTGGGGATCAACTCCCATCATCTCAGAGCGAACTCATCCTATTTCACCCTCCGACTTACGTTGGACAAGGAGCGATCGCCAATCAGTTGCCAGGAATGGATCCCCGCCAGGCTCAGAATGAGGAGGTAAGTGAAGAGGCCCATATATTTCACCCTGCAAAGCAAGCATGAAATGCCACCATTAACAATATTATTGTTGTGTTGTTGTTGTTATTATTATTATTATTATCGTTTTTATTCATTAAACATGAGACTCAGTCAACTGAACATTTAAAAATGTGTCATAAATACCATTGACTGGTGCTAATGGTTGATACGGGTTGCTGCCAGTGTCCTAGGTATTATTATTATTATTATTATTGGTTAATCTTTGGTGAGATTCACAGCCTTTGAGGCTGGTTAATAGCTCAGCAGCTCAAGTCCTAACCAAGGACCTAGGAACTGTTAAGGTATCGTCGGAGGATGTAAGCTGTTCCGAGTAAGGTGGTTTTTTTGTAATATCTTACAATAATACAAATACAAAAATACAAATTTACAATAATTTGTAAATTATAATTATAATTATTTTACATTTGATTAAAGATTAAATTGTACAGAATGGCCAGAAGTGAAGATTATATTGTATATATTATAAGAATAACGGCTCTAATTAAGGTGTATAATATTATGTATATTCAAAAGAGATTTGATATGGACAGTACACTGTCCGTGCAGAAATGGAAACGTGATGTATATATAACAAAAGGAAATGTATAATAAAAAACAATATATTTTTTTAAAAAAGAAAGAAATGCCACCATTAGGAGGAGAAGCTGGCTGCATTTGCATGTCACCTCAAATGGAGACTCAGGGAAGGAGGAGAACATGAATGGCCCAGAAGGGACAGGGTAGACTGCCAGAAAATCTAAGATGGAAGTGATCCAACCCTTAGCAGCTTGAAGACTTGTGGACTTCAACTCCCAGAATTCCTCAGCCAGCATGGGGAATTCTGGGAGCTGAAGTCCACAAGTCTTAAAGTCACAGTTGGACACGGCTAAGATGTTTATGAACAAGGCAGTTATCAAATATCATAGCAGACCATCAAGAGATAAGCTTACCCAACTGCACAGGAACAGGAGATCCCCGTTAGTAACAGCCAAATCCACCATCTTGCAGAAAAAGGGCTTAAAAAAAAAAGAAAATTCCAGATTCATTCAGTGACAGTTCAAAGTTACAACGCAAGTGAAAAAAAGCAATGGTGGCCGTTTTTTCTCTCTTACGACCATTGAAGCATCCCCACCATCACATGATCAAAATTTGAATGATTGGTGAGTGGTTCATATTTATGATGGTCGCCGTGTCCCGGGGTCACGTGATCCACCTTTGCAACCTTCCCCTTCAATGGGGAAGCCAGATTCATTTAATCTGGCTTCTTACTAATTTAACAACTGCAGAGTTGTCAATTCGCAAAGCATCCCTGGCCTGCTCTCAAGTTGTCATAGGCAAGGGGGATGGGAAAACGGCGAAGCACCACAGTAGCCAAAAACAAAAGCACATTCCAGACATATCTCTCTCAAGGCTGTCTCCCAGGGTTACCCACAGTGGCCGGAGGAGAGTGATCGCTACAACCCGCAAAATTGCTCCATTGGCGAATGTGACTGATGACACACCCTGGGGGGAGCAGGGAAACAGGGTCAAGCCTTGGCCGTAAATTACGTGGGGTCAGAGTTGGCTTCACTTGGAACATGTCAACATGAAGCTCCTAATAAATAACTGGATTTCTTTTGAAGCTTGGCTCGAGGCTCATGATTTAATTAGGGCATCCGTCGGTACCCTGACACAGGGATTCAATTAAGATTTGTGACAAGAAAGGTTATAAAATGGGCAAAATTCACTTAACAACTGTTTCTCTTAGCAACAGAAATGTCGGGCTGAATTGTGGCCGTAAGTTGTACTGTACATTACATACTACAAAAAAAATTTAGAGAAAAATTTTAAGCCCAGTTTTGTTGCAGAATTCATCCCCAGCTGGTTTTGGCTGAGCCTTAAACCACCATTTATAAACCATGTTAGTCTGGGTCACAGGTCCCCTTAGCGTAAATGCAAGACATGCTGTTGCTTGGCCTGATTTGGGGAACGTCATTGCAAACAATGCAATCAAAGGTGGAACATTAAAGAAACCTCTTACCTTTGTTTCTGCGTGTTGTGAAATTTCAGATAAGATAAAACTGCCAGCAGGATGAAAAAAATTAAAATTGACTCCAGCAGCATCAACCTGGATTGAGTAATTAGTGAATTTTCTGTTAAGACACAAAAGGAGAAATGAGAATTGAGGGTTCCCCCCCCCCCAATACTGATTCTTCTATGAGCTTTTTACAGGAGGGGTTTCCAACCTCCGACTTGTGGACTTCAACTCCCATAATTCCTCAGCCATGGCTGGTTGAGGAATTCTGGGAATTGAAGTCCACAAGTCGTAAAGTGCCTGAAACTGGAGAGCCCAGTTACAGCAAGCAATATACAGTAGCGGCCAAAATTGTGGAAACCTTTTGGGAAAAATGTATTTTCTAAAACTAGCTAATAATAACACCACTTTTTTTGGGAGCAGTGCCATAAAATTATACGTCAATGGAAAGATAATTGAATCAAGAATGTAATGCAATAACTTTTATGAAGGATTTGCAGCTGTGAAGAATAGCAGTTACAGTATAAAGAAGAAACACGTAGAAAAAATGAGATATACAAAAATTATCACCTTGTCAGTTAATATTTAGTTGGGTAATCTTTAGCATGAATTACAGCCTTACATCATCTTCCCATGGAGTGAACCAAGTCATACCGAATAAGTGAAAAATCTCAGAAAGGTTCTGTCCGAACTACATGAGAACCATGGCACCAACGATGGAGAATTGAAAAGGAACGAGATCTTAATTTACCGAGTAAAATCAGGACGGCAGCACCCAGGGCAACGAGATGGGTGAAATGTAACTCAACCAGGATTTGGTACGCCAAGGGAACACATAAGCCACCAGCTACAGCTGGTAGCAGCCGCAAAGCCCAGATGGGCACATTGGAGCTGTATTCTAGGATAAAAGAAAGAGAAAAATCAGTACCAACCTATGCATCAATTGCAGGGTTTTTTACCTGCCTCTCTCGAGTCAATTGCAGGTTGTTTACCTGTCTCTCTGTATTAGTTCTTCCACCCTCAAAACTATGTTATATAGGGCACTGCACACCAGAATAACTAGACAGAAGGACGGTTTCCCCCCCCCCTCCCGCGTGCCATCACTCTGCTAAACAACTAATTCCCACAATACTATCAGACTCTTTACAAAGACTGCACTACTATTCTTCTTCTCATCTTTCCTATTACCTATCTCCTTTTTTTTTTTTTACTTATGACTATAACCTTGTTGCTGGTATCTTATTTACATTGCTTTATTTAGTTTCCTAGTGTGATTTTGATTGCTAATTTAGTATCCTATGACTATCGCTAAGCGTTGCCTCTTATGATTCATGATGAACGTATTTATGATGACTATAATCATGATTTATCACTTATGGCTTTTATGTACACTGTGAGCTTATGTACCGAAGACAAATTCCTTGTGTGTCCAATCACACTTGGCCAATAAATATTTGCTATGCTATGCTATGCTATGCTATGCTATGCTATGCTATGCTATGCTATGCTATTCCATATTTCTATTCTATTCTATTCTATTCTATTCTATTCTATTCTATTCTATTCTATTCTATTCTATTCTATTTATTCTATTCTCTATTCAATTCTATTCTTTCCATATTCTATTCTATTCTATTCTATTCTATTCTATTCTATTCTATTCTATTCTATTCTATTCTATTTATTCTATTCTATTCTCTATTCAATTCTATTCTTTCCATATTCTATTCTTTCCATATTCTATTCTTTCCATATTCTATTCTATTCTATTCTATTCTATTCTATTCTATTCCATTCCATTCCATTCCATTCCATTCCATTCCATTCCATTCCATTCCATTCCATTCCACTCCACTCCACTCCATTCTTTCCATATTCTATTCTATTCTTTTCTACATTTCTCATCAGGAATAATACAAGAACAAAGATTTGTAGACAATGCAGGCATTATAGTTTCTTTTAGTTTTTTTTCCCCTCTCTAGTTTTAACAGGTAGCCGTGTCCTTATCAATGTTTAGCTAGAAGGTGAACCATAAACAACTTTACCTGCTCCTATCCTGTTCCACAAGAAATTTCCATCAAATCCCCCTAAATAACCTGAAAAGGAAGGGAAAGAGAAAAATAAATTTTCCAGGTCACAGAACCCAAACTTAAATTAAAAGTGGAGGCTGGCTAAACATCTGGATGTATCCCTAAGGATTCCTCAGCAATAGGTGGATTTTCCCCCCACCAGTTTCTCCATTCTACACCCATTTTATAAACTTTTGCAAACACAATAATCAGTTCAACTCTTTTATTATTTGAATTGACATATAGCCCAGATGTTCCACTGCCATGGATTTTGGGCGGCGTACAACAAAAATAAAAATCCATAAAAATAGATACTACCTAAAACCGCAGAAACACTTCATGCTAAAAAAATGATCTAAGGTAAGTCAAACCAATTGAAGCAAGGGTCCTAAAATATCAGAACTCTCCTGCCTGGGTCACAAATTGGGAAATTCAGGTATTATGACTAACAAAAGGGGAAGAGGGAGGTGACCCTAAAGGAAAGAAGGGGAGCTCAATTATATAAAACACTTAATCATGGCAGGAATGTCATAGCCTCAGGGCTAAAGTTTTAACTAGGAGGACTAGAACTCCCAGTCTCCTTGTGATTGGCCCAAAGTCACCCAGCTTCCTTTCATGGCTAAGGTGGGACTAGAACTCACTGTCTCCTGGTATTGGCCCAAAGTCACCCAAGTCGGCTTTCATGCTAAGGTGGGACTAGAACTCACTGTCTCCTGGTGATTGGCCCAAAGTCACCCAGTCGGCTTTCATGGCAAAAGTGGGACTAGAAACTCACCGTCTCCTGGTCATTAGCCCAAAGTCACCCAGCTGCCTTTCATGTCTTAAGGCAGGGACAAGAACTCACTGTCTCCTGCTGATTGGCCCAAAAAGTCAACCAGCTGAGTTTCATAAATAAGATGGAACCATAATTCCCCGTCTCCTGGTGAGCGACCCAAAGTCACCTAGCCAACTTTTATCTTTCCCTCTCTTTATTTGCGAAGTTTCAGGCAATTTGCTAATATTCAAATTCCCGGGAATACAGACTGAGTGCGGAGAGATGCCTTAATTTATTCTTGCAACACAGGATGAATTCTTTGAAAATTTGCATACCTCCCAAAGCGAAAAGCATGTGGCCGAACGGCGGCCCACTATCATCTATGAAAAATATCCGCTTCATGTACAAGGAGAGGAACTGGCCGTAGTAAACTTCATCAAAACTGGAATAATGCAATAAAATAATTTTTTAAAAAAAAAGAGAGAGAGAGAGAGAGAGAGAGAATTTCTTCATCAAGGAATTGGATTTGACCCCAATGGAGAAATTCACCAGATTTCAGTCCCAAAACAAGAAGCATTAAAGTTACAGATAGTTCTCGACGTACGACCACAATTGAGCCCAGAATTTATGTTGCTAAGTGAGAAAATTTGCTAATTGAGTTTTGCCCCCCTTTAAAACTTTTCCTGCCAGAGTCGCTAAGTGAGTCCCCACGGTTTTTAGATTAGGAACACGGTTGTTAACTGAATCTGGTTTTCCAATGGACTTTGCTTGTCATAATGTCATAAAAGGGGATCATGTGGACACTGCAACCATCATAAATGTGAGTCAGTGGCCAATCCTCTGGATTTTGATCGCGTGACCATGTTGGGATGCTGCAACGGTCTATAAGTGTGAAAAATGGTCGTAAGCCAATCACTGCAGTTGTTAAATTAGTAACACGGTTGTCAAGTGATTCACTTAACCTCTGAGATTCACTTACTGTCTATGCTGAGAAATGGTCATAAAGTGAGGCAAAATTGTCTTTTAACAACGGTCTCTCAGCAGCTGAAATTTTGGGCTGAATTAACAGTCGTAAATCGAGAATTATCTTGCATATCCGAAGCACAATATAGCACGAAGCCAAATTTAGCAGTTTATAGTAGTGGCTAAAATTGTGGAAACCTTTTGCAAAAAGTGTATTTTCTAAAACTAGCTAATAACACCATTTATTTTTTGGGGGGGAGTAGTACTGTAAAATTATATATCAATGGAAAGATAATTTAATCAAGAATGTAATGCAATAACTTTTAGGAAGGATTTGCTATTAGAAGAGCAGTTACAGTATAAAGAAGAAAAGTGAAACACGTAGAAAAAACGAGAGTTACAAAAATTATATACCATAGAAGAAACAAGATATACAAAAAGGATCCCCATATCAGTTAATACTTAGTTGGGTAACCTTTAGCATGAATGACGGCCTTACAACGTCTTCCCATGGAGTGAACCAAGTCTTTTAGTTCTGCAGCTGTTATCATGTGAAACCAAGATTGAATGATGGCTTCTATTAACTGGGTTTTATTGCTGGGTCGCTTCTGACTAACAAGTTCCATCGATTTTCCATTGAGTGAAGGTCTGGGCTATTCCCAGGCCATTCCAGCAGTAGAATAGGATTATCTTGAAACTCCAAAATAAAAGTGGTGTTATTAGCCATCAAACCTCAAAAATACATTTTTCCCAAAAGGTTTCCACAATTTTGGCCGCTACTGTAGTTCTGTTCATCCATTCAGCTACAATTCCATCAGAGCGTAAAAAATATCCAAACTCCATTGTGCACCATGACAGCCTGATTAATGTTAATCTCAATTTGTTTTCCAGGCTTTTTCACACTCCGAAAGCTGGACTGAATAATAAATACTTTATGTGGCTGGATTAAAAGCTTCTAAAAATTCAAAGGTGAGGTTTTCTGTAGACATTTTTATAAATAGCCAGAGAGAAAAGTTTCGTTTTAATCTCCGGAAGAGCCTTTGTCGATACGGACATTTTCAGTCTATTAAATCTATGGTATCCCCATGTATTGGAATATGTTTACTCACACTACAGCTCTGGGGTAGGACAGAGCCCACAGCCGGCTGATCAACCCGACTACAGTCAAAACCACCAGGTTGACATTGATTTCCACCGAAAAGACAATCGGCTGCTTTAAGAATCCGAGCATTTTTCAGAAGGATCTGGGTGGCATCTGAAAAAAAAAGAAAAGAAAGAAAAGGAAAATCAGTCCCATTCAGAAGAAATAAAAATAAAAATCTGTCACTCTCTCAAAAGTGTTGGAAAAGTTATGTTATTCAGACCATTCAGCCATCCACAGACACAGAGGGATAAACCACGTTTCCCCACCGTTCAGAAAAAACGATTAAAAAAAAAAGAGGAAACCAAATGACCTAAACGCATCTTCTCTAGCTGCCAGCACTTAAGATAAGCAGGGATTAACTCCAGACAATCAAGCAGAGAATAATATCTTAATTGAGGGATTACCAAGGAGAAAACCACACCGCTACTGTATATAAACAAGAGAGCAAACCCTCACACCCACTAGCCCTGATAATGTAACCTAGTAGAGTCACGAAACGCCTGCAAGGAAACAACCAAGCTCAGCGGGCAGCAAGGAGCCCAGAGTTTAACCCTGAGCTACAGGGGACTTGAAGGTGGCCCAAAATGCCAAATGCAGTCTAAAAATTTGGCTGATTGAGCGACAAACCATTAAGCATAATAACAGGGGAGAGTGGCAGGATCTGGAGACAGCAGAAGAGGAAGAACTGGAGAAGGTAACAATTTAGAAAGATATGCAATGCAATGCAATGCCTTTAACCCTATCCAGCCACAACATCTGCCTTTCCCGGGTCCTTGGGAGGGATTTGCTAGGTGGATAAAAATGCCAGCGCCAGTCTAAACAGCTGACCATCATTACCCATCAGTAGTCAATTGCAAAAGGCAGCTGGACTTGAAATCAGCTTGCATCATGCAACAATGCCTTTAACACATCACCCATCAGCATTGCAGCGTGCAAACTCTCTCCAGCAATTATTTCACCCCCTCCCAATATTTTGCACTAACCCCTATTCTTATTTTTGCACCCCGCGTCCGTCCCAAAGGCTATATATGCACGCCTGGAGGGGGGGAAAAAAGTCTAAATCTTATCGATAATACCCGGGGGGTTTGTTTTCACTTTCTTTCCGATTATTTCCAGAAACTGACCCGATCCCTCCTGCTTCTGGCTCGCCTGCTTGGTTCAAACTCCGTAATTTCTCCCCGCCCGCCCCCCTTTTCCTGGAATGCGCTCGCCTTCGTGCCGGTATTCAGGCGGCGGAGATGGGACGTACCAATTATAAAAAAGGGGAGGGAGAAAGGAGGCGGCGAACATAAGATCCGCTCTATCGTGGAGAAAGCAGGAAGGCAGGACCGGAGGTGACATCACGGACCCGGACAGTTGCCATAGGAACAAGAAACCATAGAGGATGTGCTATTTTTTTTCCCCAGATAGTCTTAGCTATTTGCAATCTGGTTGATTGCCAGGGAAATTAGTCTCCAGAATTCCTAGTATTCCTAAACCGACTGATTTAGATATTGTAGCCACCAAAGTCGTGACTTTTTAAATATTTTATACAATCAGAATGCCAGAATCAGAATGCCAATGTTGCCAGATGTTTTACACTACATCTCCCAACTGCAAATCTATTTGCATTACCCAATTTCTGTAATTATTCGCAGCGGAGCAAATGCCCACCTAATAAAGTGGCCCTAATTTTAAAAAAAATTCTTTTAAAATTCTTTTTCTCTTTTTCACATTCACCCTTATGAAATCTTGCTTTTGCGACTACAGCTCATTGCATTACTTGCAGTGATGCATGGCAACAGGATAAACAAAAATCACATGAGGGTGAATGCAAATTGTTGGAATTTCAGAGGGGCAGTTGGATAGATGTCCCAAAGATGCTTTTTTTTAGGAGGCAACTGGACTTTCGTTTTTCTTTTGAAGATGTTTCATTTCTCATCCAAGAAGCTTCTTCACCTCTGACTGGGCGGTGGGAAATTTATTTGATTTATTTGATGTTTGTAAGATGCAGTTGCTAAGAAATTAAGACGCTTGCTCCTGGGGAGGAAAGCTATGGCAAATCTAGACAGCATATGAAAAAGCAGAGAAAAAAGCAGAGATATCACCCTGCTAACCAAAGTGCATATAGTCAAGGCTACGGTTTTCCCAGTTGCAATGGATGGCTGTGAAAGTTGGACGATAAGAAAAGGCTGAGCGCCAAAGAATGGAGGCCTTTGAACTCTGGTGCTGGAGAAGACTCCTGTGAGTCCCTTGGACTGCAAGGTGATCCAACCGGTCAGTCCTAGAGATCAACCCTGACTGCTCTTTAGAAGATCCTGAAGAGGAAACTCAAAATACTTTATATACCTAATGAGAAGGAAGGACTCCCTGGAGAAGAGCCTAATGCTGGGAACGATGGAGGACAAAAGAAAAAGGGGACGGCAGAGAACGAGGTGGCTGGATGGAGTCCCTGAAGCAGTCGGCGTGAGCTTAAATGGAGTCCAGAGGATGGTAGAGGACAGGAAGGCCTGGAGGAACGTTGTCCATGGGGTCGCGATGGGTCGGAAACAACTTCGCAACTAACAAGAAGAGTGTCGTTGAGGCCACTTGGAAGTTTATCTGTGTCCTCAGAGTCACCTGAGTGGTGCAAATGGTTCCTGTAGTCTGCAATTTTTTTCCTCTGGAAATCCATTCCTACTCCCACACCATTCCAAGAGTGTTCATCCCAAATTGTACACCTAAAAGTCTGTCGAGATTCTCCAGTCATCCAGGTCATGGTTGTCCCAAAAGTGCTTTTTCGGGAAGCAACTGGACTTGTTTTTGTTTTTGCCTCCCAAAAAAGGGCATCATTGGGATAACGATGACCTGGATGACTGGAGAATCTCGACAGATTTTTAGCTGTACAATTTGGGATGAACACTCTATTTAGCTCTATGACGCGATCTTGTGTGTGGATCTTTTTCGTGACAGAAATGGCATTTTGCCCCTGCGTCTCTTCAAGCTGCATTCTTAATTAACTCCTGCCTCTGCAAAACTGGACCAAGCACGACACGAAAACGGCCTCACTTTTATTTCTTTATTTTTTTTTAATTTAAATAAGGATAATTCTTTCGTATGGAAAGAGCTAATACAATCACATATTTGAAAGGAGAAACCATAGAAACTGGAAGAAAAAAAAAAAACCCAAACAAAAACGAAAACCCTCCCCAAAAAAGAAAAACCACCCCATAAAAGGGCGAACGAGAACTGTCTTTTACCGGCCTTGGCAGTTCTCCGAAAGATTTTAAAACGTGTCGCGTGTCTGCAAATGTTATTCACCGTTTGCCCTTTCAAATATCTGCTCTACATGAAAAGACAAAACACAGGAGAAGCCCCCCACCCAAAAAAACAAAACAAAAACAAACAAACAAAAAAAGATTTTACTGTACAGGTTTGCAAGATTAAAACATGAACAGGTACGATACCATCTTTAAAATAAAATTTTAAAAAAAGAATGTGATTTATACAGGACGAGAGAAGAAACTTTTGCTATGAACATCATCTTATTCAGCTTCTGTTGATCATCTTCGACGGACTTTTAAGCAGTTCAGCCTTCTGTCGACGACCAAGTGTTGTGTTAGCGCTTACGATACCCACAATTTTCAGTCCGGCACATCTCTGGCGAAAAAATGCTCTTTAAAAGCCACAGGACAAATTAAAGCCAAGCGCTTTGAATCAGCTTTCCAATCGGATGAAAGCTAATTAAATTAAATCTGCCTGCCATATTTTGAGGTGACACGGAAAGAGGATTTTTTTTTGCATCACACCGAAGGCTAAAGGACACAAAGGAAAAGGGGAGGGGGGATTAAAATGGCATGCAAGGAAGTCTTGTGGCTAAGGATAAACTTTTAAATTGATGGGTTTTTTCCATCTATAACTCTCTGAAAAAATAAAAGAAGAGCCAGGAATATGGAGGGTCCTTTTGCAGAAGGCAAGAAGGGAAAAGATCTATGTTAACTACAATCTACAAATGTGTGTCAGTTCATCTTTTAAAACTTTAGCCTCTCCCTTTTTCTCTCTTTCACACACCTTCAGTTTAAAGAACAATTTTCGGAGTTTTTACAAGGGGGGGGGGAAATTAGGCCCAAATTGAAATGCGAGAGAGAGGAAGTGGTGAAATGCAGGATTTAAAATTCTATTTACAGGCATCATGTAGCTGAACGAAAACACAAACTGCAGCTGAAACCCAGTGCTTTAAAAAGACTTTGAGGAAAAAATAATAATAATGATCAAAAGAAGCGCTTATTAGCTTGTTTCTGGTTTATAAACGGACTGCGGTTCTTTCGTTCTGATTTTTTTTTCTTTTTTCCCCCCTGAATATCATGTGCAGAGCTGAAATTTGACAGGCGCAATCTTGGGAAGTGATCCAATCTTCTTTCCTTTCGGTAGGAGGGGAAAAAAAACAACAACCGTCCTTGCCAATATCCAAATTTTGGTGTTTACACAGTTCATGCAGGAGAAAATTGCTTGTGCCGAATCGCTCCCCTCTTCCTCTCACCGACACGCCGATCGGACGCAAAATCACAGCGGCTGCATTCAGAAATAAGGATCCGAAAACTTTTTGCTTGCAACTCAAGGTTCACACAAAACACGCACAAAAAAATTTGTTGAATTTGTAGTGAAGGAAACCGAGATGGGTTTAGTTTTCTTTCAAGAACATCACGATATTGTGAGCCGCCGAGTTTGGGGAGGGTTCCAGCAGACAAAAACAAAGCGAGAAGATTTTGCCAACAATTTAAACGGCTACGGTTTAAAAAGCTTTAGAATCAAAAAGCGAGTTTTGATAAAATAGAAAAAAATCTATGGACCCTTTCTTGGCCTGACCTGTGCAGAATAAATCCAGACATTATATAAATAGATCAGTGAAGTATTTAATTCTTTTCACCTACAACATCAAATACGTATAAATAAATTCTAGTGTTTTGTTTTGTTTTTAAATTTTGCTGGAGTGGAAGAAAACAGCTGAAAGGCAGAACGATCCTCTATCCTAAGAGTTGCAGTTCTGATTTAAATTCCCACCAGAAGGTTTACGATGCTCGTTTTGCATCTAACAATCAATCTAGCTGCCTCGCAACTTGAAAGAAAAAACGGCCAAAAATTCGGCCAGACGAAGAAAACAGTATAAAAATAAAAACTCACCCCGGGCGCAAAGCAGTTACACGCCACTAAAAGAAACAGGATTGCAATTTGCTAATCATTGCACAAAGGAAGGGAAAAATTAAAGGAAAAGCAAAGCAATTACGCCAAGATTGCAATTTAATTTTTGCACGGAGCTGGCCGGGTCAAATTCAAATGTTTTCGAGGCGTTTTGTGTGAGAAATTCTGCAGCTTGCAATATTTTTTAAGCAGAGGCATAGAAGGAAGCAAAAAAAAAAAATTTTTTTTTAAAATGCGAGAATTACAGGGAGTAAAACTAAGGTTCAAAATGCACAAAAAGTTTGGCAGAGTTCCAAAGGCAAATATCGAAGAATTACTAAACTCCAAATGATTAAAGCAGTAGAGAGTTTTGTCCCACCCCAAATTTCAGTGCCATTTTTTTTAAAAAAACAACACTGCTCCCTCTCCCCAGCAATGCTCTGAAAAGCCCCTCCATTTTAAACCTCTGGAAATGGTTGGGAAGGGATCTCAAAATGCACGCCGATGAAACCGAGGAGCTGACGAAGCCAACGTTATTGACAAAAGCTCTTGTAGAAAAACAAATGCTAAAAAGGACATTTGGACAGCTACCGGAATTCGAAATTCAAAAATCGTCTCTTTTGGACAGCAGGTCTGAGTCCAAGCTTGTCTGCTTCTGAAGTTTTTGCATTATGTTTCCCACCCACTCCAAAAAATGTGGTGTTTGGAACCGCCAACCAAGAGGCTGGTGGGACACCTTAGCTAAAGCAGAGGTTTTTTTTTTTAATGGCTTGGACTCTCAGTCATAGGGAATGTCTCTTGTGAGGGTTGTGGCCATTTGCAAGATGCTAGGCTTACTGATGACTCCTGCGTTTTTTTCTCTTAAAAAAACCAAACCCGTATGCAGAACTCCCCTACTTAAATCTATTTTTCCAACAATGATCGTGCAAAAAGGTGCTTTTGTCATTTTTAGCTATCAAGTTGGGAAGGAGAGAGAAGGAGGGAAAAAAATGTCAAAACCTCCCTGCATGCTATGGTTTATTTATTTATTTATTTATTTATTTATTAATTATCTTTGCAGGAATTTGAAAACAAAGCCCTTGGTTTGTTACCGAGAGACACTTCTGCTCTGTTTCTGCAGAAACGGGACTGCTGGATGAGAAACAGGATGGATGGAAGGGGTGAGAGAGAGCTTGGAAAGAAAAAAACAGAATTAGCTAAAGCAAAGGAAGGAATGCAGAGTCAAGGATGAGCAGAGGAGGGTGGAGGGGAGAGCGGAAGGAAAATGGGAAGAAGGGAAAGAGAAAAGCATCTTTCCCACGTTCAATCCACAATCAAATAAAACATATGCCTGGAAGTCAACTGTTTTTTCAACCTCAGCAACTTTGAAGATGGGTGGACTTCAACTCCCAGAATTCCCCAGCCAGCCTGCTTTAAGATCTGCAGACTTCAACTCCCAGAATTCATGCTGAAAAGCCTGCTTTGGGAGAGAGAGAGAGAGAGAGAGAGAGAGAGAGAGGTAACTCTGGGAGTTGAAGTCCACACCTCTTCAAGATTGAAAGAAAAAAAAAAAAACACTTTTCCGGCAAAGCAGCGGATTTAGCAGAAAACTTGAGAGAAGCTTTACGTTCCCATACTCCCTTGTCTTAAAAAATGTCACGAAAATAAATCGCATATAGAAATTAAAAAAACGGCATGAATGCCCTGGTTTGGAGAGCGAGGGGGGCAGATTTGGGAAGATCTCGAAATGATTTCCACACGTTGGGGATTTGGGAATGGGGCAATGGGGAAATAGCTGTTCTGATCTCTCTTCTATCTTGGTTGATTTCTAAAGCTTGTGTCTCTCGCGCAAAAGGGAAAGAGAACGCATGGTTGAAAAGGCCTTCAGGTACGGAGCTGAGGTCCCAAGCTTGATGGAAAGCCATTGTAGTTGCATATAGCCAAGAAGGAAAAATCCATCCAAATACATAATTTGGGGGGGGGGGGGGTTGGCAAATGTTTCCTTTCCAGATGAGTCAATCAGAAGCAGGAAGGAAAAAAAAAATCTAACGGAAGATGGAGAAGTTCAGCTACCAAATACAGATACAGCATCCCTGGGGATTGAAGGTTAAAAACCCTGATTGGGTTCAAGAGGATGGAGGAGGAAGTTAGGGAAGAGGAGAGGGAGAAGGAAGGACAGCAGAGGAGGAGAAGGAAAGGGGAGGAAGGAAAGATGGAGGGAGAAAGAAAGAAAGAGAGAGAGAGAGAGAAAGAAAGAAAAAAAAGAAAGAGAAAGGAAGGAAGAAAGAGAGAGAGAGAGAAAGGAAGGAAGGAAGGAGAGGGAGGGAGGAAGGAAAAAAGAAAGAAAGAAAGAAAGAAAGAAAGGAAGGAAGGAGTGGAGGAAGGAAGGAAGGAAAAGAAGAGAATGGAGAAGGAAAGGTAAGGAAAGGAAAGGAAAGGAAAGGAAAGGAAAAGAAAGGAAAGGAAAAGAAAGGAAAGGAAAGGAAAGGAAAGGTAAGGTAAGGTAAGGTAAGGTAAGGAAAGGAAAGGAAAGGAAAGGAAAGGAAAGGAAAGGAAAGGAAAGGAAGGAAAGGAAAGGAAAGGAAAGGAAAGGAAAGGAAAGGAAAGGAAAGGGAAAAGGAAAACAGGAGGAGAACAACAGATAATCTAGCATTTCCACTATGCCACGGGAAAAGCTTAACTCCTTAATGCTTTCTGCTGCTTTCAGGTGGAGAAAACAAACAAACAAACAAACAAAAATGGCTGGAGCCACTCCAGAATCCACGAATTCAAAAGGGGACTTCGAATGCTGCTGAATTTCGATGGAGCGGTCGTCGGTGTTCTTTTTTTTAAAAAAAAAAAAAACAAGCAGGCCAAGGATGAAAAGGAAAGAACGGCGCTGCAAGTAAAGCATCTCAGCGTAAAGCATCTGGGAGCCATCCACGCCCCACACCCTCCTCTCTCCCCCCCCCCCCGGGAGGCTGTCCAAGGGAAGGACGTGGGCTGCAAATCCTCTCTCTCCCTCCCTCTCTCTCATTCTCTTGAGCAGGAGGACTAGTGGGCAACCTTCCGGGGGTGGGGGGGTTCTAGAGCTTAGGCCTTGCTCTCCTCCACTTTGACAGCTTGAGGCTTGATGGCGCCTGTACGAGCTGGCTTCATCTGACCAGTAGAAGGAGCCTCCTGAAGTTTCACGGCTCCCAGGCTTTTGTTCTCATCCACTCGCTGTTTTGCCTGTCAGTCAAAGGGGGGAGGAGGAGGAGGAGGAAGAAAGGAGGAGGGAGGGAGGGAGGAGAAGAAGAAGGGGAAGGGAAGAAGGAAGAGGAGTAGGGAAGGGGAAGAGAAGAGGGAAAGAGGAGAGAAGAGGGGAGGGGAAGAGAAGAGGGGAAGATGAGGAAAGGAGAGGAGAGAGAAGAGAAGAAGATGAGGAAAGGAGAGGAGGAGACAGGGAGAGGAGAGAGAAGGGGGGAAGAGGAGAGAAGAGAGGAGGGGAAGAGAAGAGGGGAAGATGAGGAAAGGAGAGGAGGAGAGAGGAGAGGAGAGAGGAGAGAAGGAGGAAGAGGAGAGAAGAGAAGAGAGGAGAGGAGAAGAGAAGAGAAGAGAAGAGAAGAGGGGAAGAGGAGGAGAGGAGAAAAGAGGGGAAGAGGAGAGGAGAGAAGAGAAAGGGAGGGAAAGGAAAAAAAGACAGGTAAGTGAAGAGAGAAGGGGGAACAAGAGAAAGGGAAGAAGAATAGAAGGAAGAGAGAAGTGGAAGGGAAGAAAAGAAAGAGAAGAAGGAAGAAGAGAGGAAAGGGAGGAATGAGAGTAGAGGAGGAAAAAGGGAGAGAGAAGAGAAAAGGAATGAAGGAAAGAAAGAAGGGAGAGAGAGAAGAAGGAAAGACACAATCAGGGCAAGATTATCTTGTGTTTCCTTCTCCTGCTCTCCCTGCTCCCAGGACTGAGTTGCCATTCCTCTCCCTTTCCATTCCTTCCTTCTCCAAGGGTATCCATTCCTCTGCAATCCTTCGCAGTGCACCGAGGGGCGGACGGAGAAGGACAGATTAAAATCCCGGACCCTGCAACACCCAGAAGCTTCTTATGTCCCAGAATCCCCAGAAGGTCAGGAGACTAAGACCAAGTCTTAGTTATCACCTCACTTCTCCTGGTGGGGAAAGTCAACATTGATGTGGCAAGCTCAGTTCTCCGGAAGGGAGCTGGGTGTAACCATCTCTTTAGGGCCCGTGTCCAACTTTACCTGTTGAATGTAATGCCTTTGTACAGAGCTCATGCCGACGGCCGATCCAGAGGACTTCCCACTGGGGCTGGCAGAACTGGGCCTGGGGAAAAAGGGGGAAGGAGATGGCGGTAGTGGCGGAAGAAACGACGCAACACATAAACCATCGTTCAAAGTCAAGAATGGATTCCGTTGGCACCAGCTTGGCGTGAAAACAATCAATGATCCTCAATTCTCCATGCATTTAATTCACAAGATAATTTAAAACAAGTTCTCGAGGTAACGCCTAGCTATTCATGGACTCTGCTTTAGGTCGCCACTACCGGTTCAAACCACCTGAATACCATTTCATGACCCAACTAGGTAACATCATCAGTGCTAGTGTTGATGTTGCTGTAGCACTGATGATGTTACCTACCTGGGTCATGAAATGTCTACCAGGAAACCACCAGGCTCAGGGAGCGCCAAGGATCCCAGAGAGGAAATAGCCAGTTGGGAGGATATTTGACCAACCGCTTTTTCTCTAAGAACCAGGAAAACCCGCTGCCTTCATCCCGGTCAAATAAATCCAAGCATTGAGTTTTCACCTGTAAGTATGAGAAGACGGAATGGGTCCCCCAGGCACAATGTTCTGTTTAGTGTCTGTAAAGGAGAATCCTTTGATTTCCATGTGAGAAGGCTAGAAGACAAAAATGAGGGGAGGGAAAAACCAGCTTAATTATTTGATCCTGCAGAAAAGGGGAAGTTAAGAGACATTTGGGCTATATATGTGTTATAAGTGGTTCAAAGGCTTTTTCTAAAAAAATAAAAGTTTGTGAATAGAATAGAATAGCATTCTTTATTGGCCAAGTTTAGTATGGCGCAGCAGACTAAAGTGCTGTTAAGTAGCATCAGCTGCCTGCAATTACTGCAAGTTCAAATCTCACCAGGCTCAAGGTTGACTCAGCCTTCCATCCTTCCGAGGTAGGTAAAATGAGGACCCGGTTTGTGGGGGCAATAAGCTGACTTTGTATAAAAAAAAGAACACCGCTTGGGGGGGCGCGAAAGCCCTACTAAGCAGGTATATACAAAAAGTATGAAGGCTATTGCTTAACGCATTGTAAGCCGCCCTGAGTCTCCAAAGAAGGGCGGCATATAAATCGAACCAATAAATAAATAAATAAATAAATAAGTGTGATTGGACACACAAGGAATTTGTCTTGGTGCATGTGCTCTCAGTGTACATAAAAGAAAAGATACGTTCATCAAGAATCATAAGGTACAACACTTAATGATAGTCATAGGGAACAAATAAGCAATCAGGAAACAATATCAATATAAATCTTAAGGATCCAAGCAACAAAATTACAGTCATAAAGTGGAAGGAGATGGGTGGTGGGAACGATGAGAAGATTAATAGTAGTGCAGACTTAGTGGATAGTTTGACAGTGTTGAGGGAATTATTTGTTGAGCAGAGTGATGGCGTTTGGGAAAAAACTGTCCTTGTGTCTGGTTGTTCTGGTGTGCAGTGCTCTCTAGCCTCGTTTTGAGGGTAGGAGTTGAAACAGTTTAGGTGTGCCAAGTTCACACAGGGGTGCCCTCCACCCCCGAGAAAGAGTCACTACTTACCTCCCTGTTTGTAACCAGGGCAGACGGCTGAGAGTTGGGGGAGAGGATTCTGCGTGGGGCACCAACGGGGAGGTTCTGCGCCTGGGGCAGGTGCATGGACTGGGATAATAAGAGAGGCTGCTGGCCAGATCCGTAACGGGCCATCGGAAGCTGGGACCCCGGGATTGACATCGTGAGCTGTGGGTAGATGGAGCAAGGAGGAGTCACTTGATGGATAGCAATTGGGGGGGGGGTTCTGTAATTTTTAAGAAGTAAATCTATTCTCCAAAAAGGAATTCTGGGAGTGGAAGTCCACAACTTCAAATTTGCTGAGGCTGAGAAGTACTGTACTAGTTGCTACAACTGCACTACTCCAGACCTTGCCCAACCACTGCTTAAATCGAAACCCTGAGGAAAACAGCCACAGTCGCGGGGCCCATCCAGACCTGCTGAAGCTGCGAGTCCATCATTTGGGATGCCTGGTTGATCTGACCCTCGTAAACCAGAGCTTGGCTGCCGTTTACAGGCTGGTAAGGGGTGCCCGACTGTGTCTTCACCATCTCCAATGGCTGCATCCCTGGAAAGGCGGAGTAGGGTGCCTTCAACGCTGTGCCTCCTGTCAAGACCATCGTGCTGGGCTGGGATAAACTGGGGTGCATGTAGACCTGAGACCTTGAGAGAAAAGCGGCATATCAAGGGATGAAGAAAACAGAAGACGAGGAGGTGGAAGAAGAAGAGGAGGAGAAGGGGGAGGGGGAGGAGGAGGAAGAGGAGGAAGAGGAGAAGAGGGAGGAGAAGGAGAAAGAGAAGGAGGAGATGGAGGAGGAGGAGGAGGAGGAGAAGAGGAGGAAAGAAGAAGAGGAGGGAAAGGGAGGAGGAGAAAGAGGAGGAGGAGGAGGAGAGAAGAAGAGGAGTAGGAGTAGGAGTAGGAGTAGGAGTAGGAGTAGGAGGAGTAGGAGAAGAAGAAGAAGAAGAAGAAGAAGAAGAAGAAAAAGAAGAAGAAGAAGAAGAAGAAGAAGAAGAAGAAGAAGAAGAAGAAGAAGAAGAAGAAGAAGAAGAAGAAAGAAGAGAAGAAGAAGAAGAAGAAGAAGAAGAAGAAGAAGAAGAAGAAGAAGAATTTGTCTGGAGAATGGGAATGGTGAATTCATTGGTGAAGCTAGGCCACTGAATAAGGACTCATCCTGTTACCTGAAGGGAGGGATGGAGCTATAGATCTCCTGGGACTGTGAAACTGGAAGGCCGCCCCTCAATCCGAGCTGAGCCTGGGCTTGCAATGAAGTGTGGAGGGAGAGCGGAATCTGCTGAGCAGCAGCTGCCTAAAAGAAGGAAAGAACAAAAACGCCGAGGATGAAAGCAAAAGTAGGAAGGTCCCATCATCAAGGCCAACTTTAGATGGATGGACTTCGACCCAGAATCCTCAGCTATGCAGGTTGAGGAATTCTGGGCACTGAAGTCCACGCGTACGGAAGAGGCCTTTCCACTCCCAGAATTCTCAACTGTGGCTATCCTGTGGTTGAGGGATTCGGGGTGTTGAAGTCCACATTTGGGGAGCATCCAAGGCCACAGCCTTAAAGGACCCTTTCCCCACAAACTTCAACCAACGTTTGGCACACCTCCTAGAATCCAAGATTCCTTGGAAAGTTTGAGTTCAAATTGGAGTCAAGTTGAAACGTTGCTCAAAGCATAACCCAAAGTTGATTGGTGGAGGCGCAGTTCTTTGACACAGGACATATTCACACTCGCACACGAAGCAGTGACTTGCCTGTTGGTAGCCTTGTTGCTGAGGTATTGTCGGGGGAACAAGTCGCGGCTGGCTGGCAAACACGTGTCCATCTAAATACAGGGGTGTGATGTGGTTACCTAGAATGGGTGGGAAACGAAGCAAGAGGTTAACTTTGCCTCTCGTGATCTCCCTTCTGCTTAAAGATGCAAACATGGCCGCAGAACCAGGAGTCTCTCAGCCTTAGAATCTCTTCAAACACCCTTTGACTGACTGCACCGTCAGGGGTTCAGTAGGATCCATTGGAAACATCACAGAGACTACAGCAGGAAGCTTTCCACGTAGCTTGTACGAGCCCCTTCTGTTACACTAGGTGGAAATCATCATGGGATACAGTACCCAAAGACACCGTCTAGGGTACAGTCAGGTAAGAGACTACATAGCCTGCAGCTGGAGAGCGGGGGTGGGTGGGCAGGGCAAGAGGCTCAGAAGAGACCCTCCCTAGTTTCTCAGGCAATAAGGGTGACCGTGGGAGAATTATACTTCCAGACTTGCAAAATTCTCGTTGGAACTCATTGTTGGGATGTATTTCTATGCAACAACTACAGTAGCATTCATCCAGTAGATGGCAGTGTTTACAAGTTTGGATCTAGGGTACATACTCTATGCCCGTGATGGCGAACATATGGCACGCGTGCCATAGGTGGCACACAGAGTCATATCTGTGGGTACGTAAGCATTGCCCTAGCTCAACTCCAGCATGCATGCGTGCACCAGCTAACTGATTTTCGGGCCCACTGGAAGTCGGGAAACAAGCCGTTTCCGGCCTCCGGAGGGCCTTCGTGGGGGGTAGGGAAGACTGTTTTTGCCCTCCCCAGGCTCCAAGAAAACTTCTGGAGCCTGAAGAGGACAAAAAACGGGCCTTGCGGGCCCACTGGTAACCTTTTTGCTGTTGCATGCTAAAAGTGGGGGAGCACAGGGAGGTCATGCACGCATGCGTGGGGGGGGCATTGAATTATGGGTGTGGGCACATGCGCACGTGACCCCCCGTGCGACCCTGTATTTAGCACGCGATGGCAAAAAAGTTAGCCATCACTGCTCTATGCTCTTTTGTTCTAAGTAGTTTCCCGTTTCCTGTTACAGTTAGATAACTGAGCAGTAAACCACATGGTGACTGTGTGGTGCTATATATATAAACAGAATTTCTAACAATTCTGTTAACGTAGCCTACAATAAAGTAGAAGTAAAGTAGCAGCGATGAGACCCTAAGAGAAGCAGACGTTACCAATGAAAGACTAACTAGACAGCCATAAGCCAGGACTGATTCATTTTGGATTCCTAGAGAGAGCAACAGTTTGCAGGGCATGTCTTTACGAGTGCTTCCCACTTCCCACTACGAGTCTTTTAAAAAAAAATGGATGACACACCTGGAATCGAAGCAGAAGGCGCCACAGAGGCCACTGGCATCGGGGGGACAGAAACGCCCCCAAAGGAGCTGTAGCTGACTCCACTGGAAGCCCCAATGCTGGACGTAGGCTGAATGCCAGAGCCAACAACTCCGGGGGAGTTCTGTTCGGGAAGGCTGGGAGAATTTTCCCACGCCTTTCGGGCCGACTCCATCTGCAAGAGGACAAGGGGACAGGTATTAGCGCCGTAGCATCCAAAGGATGGGTCAGAAAGTCAGAAATAACATATATTTCACTCAGCAACAGAAATTTTTTCGCTCAATCTGAGGACTACCTTTATCTGGTTACCCTGTTTAAGGCCCTGGGGATGACAAATGAATGCTTTTAATGTATTTATTTATTTATTTATTTACAGCTCGTATTTCTTGACTGCCCATCTTCCTCGTGGGCAGTGATACCTGTCCATCAAAGATATGCCCCGCTGCCTTTTTTTGTGAGTTACCCCCCTCTGCGAAAAAACTTACTTTAAGGGTGAGATCTGCTGTAGGGTAAGATATGTTTAAGCTGATGCAACGGGGAAGTTGGTGGTCTCGTCGAATAACAGGGAGGGATTGGGTTAATCCAGACTGTTGAAACATAGATGGGATATAATTAAATCTTGTTGGGTTTGCAGAATTCTGTAAGATTCGTGGAAAGAAAAAGACCCTTGGTTAACAGCAGCATTTTGGTGGGAAACCTAACATACAATCAAAGAATTGGACAGAATTAACAGTGAGTAAAGAAGCAGGCTGGGAGATCAGTTCTTAAAGAGATTGCGGAGTAGTACACACATAAACACAGATGCGAAGCTCATGCAAATCACATTTTAAGCGGTGTGTAATTTCCCAAACTAGGGGGAAGATCTCCACCTGATTTCCAAAAGGAGGAGGAGGAGGAGGAGGAGGAAGAAGGCAGAGGAGGAAGTAGAGAAGGAGAAGCTGGAAAAGGGGGAAGAATAAAATAAGCGCAGATGAAGAATCAAGTAAGAGCAAGTAAGAAGGGGGAAATAACAAAGGGAAGAAGAAAACGACGAAAGAGGGGAAAGAGAGGAAAATGAAAGAAGAAAAAAGATGGGGGAAAGGAGGAAAGGGGAGGAAGTGGAGAAGGAAAAACAAGAAAAAAAACAGGAGGTGAAGAAAAAAGTGGGGGGAGAGAAGAGGAAAACGGGAAGAAGAAAAAAGATGAAGAAAGGAAAGAGATGATGGAGAAGAAAAAGGGAGAGAGAGAGAGAGAGAGAGGAAGAGGCGTAGTGGAAGATGGGAAAGGAAAAGAAAGCAGAAGATGAAGGAAGAGAAAATGAAAGAAGAGAAAGAAAAGATTGAGGAGGAGGAAGAGGAAGAGGAAGAGGAGGAAGAAGAGAAGGCGAAGAGAGAAGAGAAGCAGCACACCAACCACGAAATATTCTTACGTTGCTGGCGAGCACGTTCTGTAATTTCGCAACCGGGTTGGCCGGGGTGCCAGGAGACGAGCCAGGGGGGAGACTGAAGTCCGAATCCTGCAACAAATTGGTCTCTTTTATTAATCAATCCTCCACACTGCAACTGGGTTTAACTGGGAAGCAAGGATGGTTAAACCTCCTAGTAGAGGGAGAGGTGTGCGGAGCAAATGGTTTGTTGCTCCTCCACACCCCCGAGGAGAATTGGGGCTGGACCTCCCCCCAATGAAACCACGAAGAAGGGAACTGACCCCCTCAACTCGTGGCCCCAGGCCCTTCTCTGCGGAAGGAGGGAGGGAGACACCCAAGGAAAGGAAGAAGGGAGCACAAACAGTCCTCACTTTAGGGTTCACTCCGAATTCAATGGGCGGGACAGGGAGAACCGAATCGACGTGAATATCCACCCCACTGGGGGGGGCGATGTTGCCCTCCAGGCGCTCGGCCCCTTCCGAGCCTTTCCGGTTTTTCAAGGAGCGCTCGTTGCCGATGGGCCCCGGTTTGTGGTCCTTCGTTGGAGTCAGGGTTTGTTCCGAATCCTGGGCAAGAAGACAGAGAGGCTGAGATGGAGGGAGGGAGGGAGGGAAAAGAGGAGGAGGTGGAAGAGGAGGGAAAGGGATGGGAAAAGAGGGAGAGCAAGGAAGAGAGTGGGAGAAAGAGGAAAAGGTGGGAGAAGAAGAGTGGGAGAACGTGAAAAAGGGGAGGGACGGATGGGAAAAGAAAGAAAGGGAAGAGAGGCAGGGATAAAGGGGAAGGAGGGAAGGGAGGAAGGAGAAAAGAAGAGAAGAGGAGCAGGGATAAAGAGGAGAGAGGAGGGAAGGAGGATAAAGGGGAGAGAGCAGGGATAAAGGGGGAAGAGAGGAGGGAAGAAAGGGAGGGAAGAATGGGAAAAGAAAAAAAAGGGATGAGAGGCAGGGATAAAGGGGGAGGCAGGAAGGAGGGAAGGAAGGAAAGAAGGAGAAAAGAGAAGAGAAGCAGGGATAAAGGGAGGGAAGGAAGGAAGGAAGGAGAAAAGGGAATAGAAGCAGGGATAAAGGGGGGAGGGAGGAGGGAAAAGAAAGAAAGGGAAGAGAGGCAGAGATAGGGAGGGAGGGAGGGAGGGAGGAAGGAAGGAAGGAAGGAAGGAAGGAAGGAGAAAAGAAGGGAAGAGAAGCAGGGATAAAGGAGAGGGGAGGGAGGAGGGAAGGAAGGATGGGAAAAGAAAGAAATGGAAGAGAGGCAGGGATAAAGGGGGGGGAGGGAGGAGGGAAAGGATGGAGGGACGGATGGGAAAAGAAAGAAAGGGAAGAGAGGCAGAGATAAAGAGGGAGGGAAGGAAGGAAGGAAACGGAGGCAGGAATAAAAGGAAATAAAGGATAAAGGAATGTGTTTTTTGCTTCATTAAGACAGCCAATAAGCCAAAACAGGATCCCAGATGAAAAAGTTCAGCCCTCCACATCTCCGCTTCCATCCTCACCTTCCATCCGTCCCCAATTTTAGAGAAACGCCTTTTGAATGCTCAAAGAACGGCACCGGGTTTTAAATCACTGGGTTCAGATAAAGCTTACCCATATTTCCCTTCTCCCCTCCCCAAGAAAGCCAGGGACTGAGCCATCCTACCTTAACTGGGGGGGGGGGGGGGGGGGGGGGGGGCTTCCCCCCGAGATCTGATAAGCCCAAGACCCAAGCCTTCCTTGGGTTCCTCCCTCCATCAATTAAGAGCCAAGATTTGCTCCACAGGACTAGAAACACGGTTTACCTTTTTCTCCAACTGCTTCGAAGCCGGCTCTTTCGGCCCGTCTCCCTTGGCCTCGCCCAGCCCGCCTCCGCTCATCTCCTCCGGTTTGAGGGTGCCGTACGGAGAACTGCGCTGGGAGGAGCTGGCCGAAGATTCCCGCGACTCCGCGCTCAGATCGATGCCGCTGTCTCCCTGGCTGCCTTTGAACCCCTGCGGGGAAGAGGGAGGGCCAGGGGAGTTGGGAGCGACCTTAGCTACGTCGGCCTTCACCGGAGAAACTGAACACGCAGCCAATTTTGAGACTGTTTTAACGTTTAAAATATTTAAATTAAAATTTAAAATAGCAAGAGCGCTAGCAGTTAAGGCTTCTATACCGCTTCCCAGCCCTCTCTAAGCGGTTTACAGAGTCAGCCTCCAACAATCTGGGTCCTCGTTTTACCCACCTCGGGAGGATGGAAGGATGAGGGAGGAGGAAGGAAAGGAAGGAGGGAGGGAGGGAGGAAGAGCAATAGCACTTAGACTTATATACCGCTTTACAGTGCTATCACAGCCCTCTCTAGGCAGTTTACAGAGTCAGCCTCTTGCCCCCAACAATCTAGGTCCTCGTTTTACCCACCTAGGGAGGATGGAAGGCTGAGGGAGGGAGGGAAGAAAGGAGGGAGGAAGGAAAGAAGGAATGGAGGGAGGAAAGGAAGGAAGGAAGGAGGGAAGGAGGGAGGAATCAATAGCACTTAGACTTACATACAGCTTCACAATTCTTTTATTTTATTTTATTTTATTTATTTATTTATTATTTTAATTTAATTTAATTTAATTTCCAATTTATATACCGCCCTTCTCCCTGAGGACTCAGGGCGGTGTACAGCCAAGATAAAAAACATAGAATACAAATATTAAAAAACATTTAAAAATATATATTCTTATGGCAGCTGAAGCAGGCAAAGCTGAGGCTGACATATATATAAATTTTGGCCCGAAAGTTAAGAATCACAGACTGATTAAAAAATTAAAAAAACATTTTTACAGCCCTCTCTAAGCGGTTTACAGAGTCAGCCTCTTGCCCCCCAACAATCTGGGTCCTCGTTTTACCCACCTCGGAAGGACGGAAGGCCGAGTCAACCTTGAGCCTGGTTAGAATCGAACTGCCAAATTGCAGGCAGCCGGCAGTCAGCAGAAGTAGCCTGCAGTACTGCGTTCTAACCACTGAGCCACCGCGGCTCTTAAAATAATTCTCTTTCCCACCGAATTCAATACTACAGGTAGTCCTCGACTTACAACAGTTTGTTTAGTGACCGTTCGAAGTTGCAACGGCACTGAAAGAAGCAACCAATGACCGTTTTCATACTTATGACCTGCAGTGGTCAGGTGATCGAAATTCGGATGCTTGGCAACTGGTTCATATTTATGACGGTCACAGAGTCCGGGGTGGTGGTGGGGTTACATGAACCCCTTTTGCGACCTTCTCACAAGCAAAGTCAACGGAGAGGAAACTAGATTCGTTTAATGACTGTGGTGAGAAAGGTCATAAAACGGGACAAAACCCATTGAACTTTGCTTAGCAACAGGAATCTGGGGCACAACTGTGGTTTTAAGTCAAGGACGAAGCCAAATCTTAAAAGGTTGCTATCCGATTTCTGATTTTGGTCGAACCTGAGCCGACTCGCGTGACGCAGCTATGAAAAAGGCAAAGGAGATCTTTGAGTCAGTGAAGAATTAAGCTTCGGAGACCCTGCTCTGATCGGCTGAGACCCTCCTGCCCCATCGTTATAAATCCTTGGCGCGAGAGAGAATGGCCCATCGGACGCCACTGACCTCCGCAGAGCCGGACTCGTTAGCGATAAAGGTGCCGATGGGTTTGTTCCAGGAATCGGGACCGGATGACTGAACGGACAGAGCTGTCAGAAAAGGAGAAAGACAAGATGACCTTTATGGAGCCTTTTTTTTTTCTGGGAACGCACTGGCATACATTAGAAAATGAAATTCTGATGCCCGCTCTCAAAATACATACGCACACGCATATATACCCATACACATATATGCACACAAATATACATACATATGTGCTCTCGCCTTCTCTCTCTACACACACACACACACAAAAGCTCTCTGAACATGGTTGTTTTCTTTCTTGTTTCATGACCCACCTAGGTAACATCATCAGTGCTAGGAAGGAGCGGTGTGTGTGGACTGGAGGAGGAGGAGGAGGAGGAGGAGGAGGAGACAGACAATGAAAAGGAGAAGGACGACAATTGCAGGGTCCTTGTAGCTCTCTGAGCTTGGGTGTTTGCTTGCAGACATTTCTTGACCCAACTACGTAACATCATCAGTGCTAGGAAGGAGTGGTGTGTGTGGACTGGAGGAGGAGGAGGAGGAGACAGATAGAGGAGGAGGAGGAGGAGGAGGAGGATGACAACTGTGGGGTCCTTGTTGCTCTCTGAGCTTGGGTGTTTGCTTGCAAACATTTCCTGACCCCACTAGGTAACATCATCAGTGGTAAGAAGGAGCGGTGTGTGTGGGGAGGAGGAGGAGGAGGAGGAGGAGACAGACAATGAGAAGGAGAAGGAGAAGAAGGACGACAACTGTGGGGTCCTTCTTGCTCTCTGAGCTTGGGTGTTTGCTTGCAGACATTTCCTGACCCCACTAGGTAACAGCATCAGTGCTAGGAAGGAGCAGTATGTGTGGAGGGGGAGAAAAGGAGGAAGCAACAAAGAGGAGGAGGAAGAGGAGGAGAAAGAGGAGGAAAAGGAAACAGAGAAAGAGCAGGAGGAGGAGGAGGATGACCCTGAGCCTGGCTGTTTTCTTGCAGGCGTTTCATAACCCATCAGAAAGATCCGATCGTTTGCACAGCGGCATCCGAGTTCAAACTTCCCGACTTGGGTTTTACCTGCGCTGTTGGTCTCCCAAATCTCCGTCCCCAAGGTGTTTCGAGGCACCGAGACGTCCCCTTGTTCCAGGCACAGGCTGTTCTGTTTTTTGGCAAAGCGAGGTGGGATGCGCGACTGAAGGACGCGGCCTTTCGCCGGAGCCTATAAAATGAGGAAGGAAAAAAAAAACAAAAACAAAATTGCTGGAGTTAAGGATTCTTCCCAGTTTCTCTTCGTTCGGCGGAACCTATCCCTAAATCCTACGGATTCGGAGGCTGATTTAGGGGACGGTCTTCCTGCTGTCTAAGGGATGCAGTGGCTCAGTGGTTAAGATGCTGAGCTTGTCAACCGAAAGGTCGGCAGTTCGGCGGTTCGAATCCCTAGCGCCGCGTAAATGAGCTCCCGTGATTTGTCCCAGCTTCTGTCAATCTAGCAGTTCGAAAGCACGTTAAAAAATGCAAGTAGAAAAATAGGGGACCACCTTTGGTGGGAAGGGAACGGACAGCGCTGGCTCTTCGGCTTTGAAACGGAGATGAGCACCGCCCCCTAGAGTCGGGAACGACTAGCACATATGTACGAGGGGAACCTTTCCATTTACTGCTGCTGTCTCCATCTCATGCTCTTTGGGATGGAGGTTTGGGGGTTCCTAGAGGGATCCCCAAACTCTGTATCCTTAACCGTACCCCAAAATCCCAAATGCTGAATCTTGATGAAATTCCATTTTGGAATGTGCTCCTTTCTCGGGGGACCAATGCTGCCAGGCTCCAAAGAACACACAAAACAAGTGCCGCAATTTTATGTGTGTGTAACATTGGCAAAGATTTCCTCCCTGGCAATTAGGGCAATTTAATTTAATAATTTAAGGAGGCAATAATTGGAATTAGACTGGTCAAAAAGGAATCCTGGAGACCTCCACATAAGAGAGGGAAAAAGAAAATTAAACTGTTGACACTCCCCAAAAAAACGACTCTTACAGGTAATCCTTGACTTATGACCAACGATCGAGCCCAAAATGTCTGTTTGCTAAGCGAGACAGTTCTTAAGTGAATTTTGCTCCATTTTGCAACCTTTCTGGCCAGAGTCGTTAAGTGAATAACATGGTTGTTAAATGAATCTGGCTTTCCCCACTGACTTTGCTTGTCAGAAAATTCGCAAAAGGAGATCATGTGACGCCGGCAACCCGTCATAAATATAAGTCAGTTGCCAAGTGTTCGAATTTTGATCCCGTAGTGCCACGGTCATAAGTGTGAAAAACACATAAATCGGGTTTTTTTTCCCCCAGTGCTGTTATAACTTCAAACAGTCACTAAATGAATGGTTGCAAGTCAAGGACTGCCTGCATTTCTGGTTTCTCTCACCTGTGCGGCTTGCTCTTTCTTCCTCCGTTCCTCTTCCAGCAGCCGTCGCTGTTTCTTCGTCAGGACCTCGATGAACCCTTCGCTGTTCATCGTCCCCACTTCCGTCTCTGCCCCGGGCCCTGAGCCACGGCTCTCCATCACACCATCTGCGCAGCCGCACACAAGCATTTGGACAAAGACTTAAGTTTTTAACGCAAGTTCGAAACCTCCCGCTGGAAAGTGAATTTTCTCACGGCCCTTTAAGGCCGTGGGAATTTGGCCTTGGGAAGACTGTTTGATCTGGTGCTTTAAGGCACCGAGAAAGCAAGAGGAGGTGAGTTCAAGTCCTGCCTTAGTACGAAAGCCAGCTGGGTGACTTTGGGACAATCACCAGGAGAGTGGGAGTTCTAGTTTCATGTTAGGCATGGAAGTTGACTGGGTGATTTTAGTCCCATCACCAGGAGACGGTGAGTTCTAGTCCCATCTTAGCAATGAAAACCAGCTGGGTGACTTTGGGATAATTACCAGGAAACGGTGAGTTCTAGTTCCATGTTAGGCATGGAAGTCAACTGGGTGATTTTAGTCCCATCACCAGGAGACGGTGAGTTCTAGTCCCATCTTAGCAATGAAAGCCAGCTGGGTGACTTTGGGCCAATCACCAGGAGACTATGAGTTGTAGTCCTGCCTTAGTACAAAAGCGAGCTGGGTGACTTTGGGCCAATCACCAGGAGACGGTGAGTTCTAGTCCCACCTTGGGCATGAAAGCCAACTGGATGACTTTGGGCCAATCACCAGGAGACGGTGAGTTCTAGTCCCAACTTAGCAATGAAAGCCAGCTGGGTGACTTTGGGACAATCCCCAGGAGACGGTGAGTTCTAGTTCTGCCTTAGCATGATAGCCAGCTGGGAAAACAGGAGGAGGAAGGTGTGCTGGATATGTTCACCACCTTGTTTATAAAAATAACAAAGGCAGGATACAAATAAACAAAACAATAACGGGAAAATAATAACAACAACCACCACCACCACGGACTAACAAAACCTTGCAAATTTGAAGATTCTTTCAGCACAGCCCTTGAAGGGACTTACTTCGGTAGCTCATCTCGAATGGATTGATGGTCTCCGCCATCTCGTTGACCGCAGACTTCAGCTCCTTCTCTTGCCGTTTCTCCAGATTTTCGGCACCGTTCAGGTTAGAGTGAGACCCGTAAGCGGAACGGTTTTGTCCAGGACTGCCGTTATCAAGAACGCCGTTTTCTTCCGGTGATCTGCAGGGAAACAGGTTTCCGACTCAATGCAAAATGATTTCATGCGCGGATTCCTGCAGCGAGTAAGGAAGATGGTCCTGGCAGAAATAGGCCAGAAATGTTGCCAAGGCCATAGGGGCAGAAGCATTTTTTTTTAAAAAAAAGTTCAGAACTACGAAATCATACGGGGAGTCCTCGAGTTATGACTGTAACGGAGCCTGGCCAGGAGAGTTGTAAGTCGTGACGACTGCACATCGAAAGTGTTTTTCAACTTTTAAGATGTGTGGACTTCAACTCCCAGAATTCCCTAGTCAAGACTATGCTGGCTAGAGAATTCTGGAAATTGAAGTCCTCACCATCTCAAAGGTTGGATGATGAGCCACGGGGGAGCAGTGGTTAGACTGCAGTACTGCAGGTTATTTCTACTGCCTGCCGGCTGCCTGCAATTTGGCAGTTCGAATCTCACCAGGCTCAAGGTTGACTCAGCCTTCCATCCTTCCGAGGTGACTCAGATTGTTGGGAGCAAAAGGCTGACTCTGTAAACCGCTTAGAGAGGGCTGTAAAAGCACCGTTAAGCAGTATATAAGTCTAAGGGCTATTGCTATTGCTTCCTTCCTTCCCTCCCTTTCTTCTTTCTCTCTCTCTCCCCCTCCCTTCTTTTCTCTCCCTCTCTTTTCTCCTTCCTTCCTTCCTTCCATCCGTCCGTCCGTCCCATGGTGGTGCAGTGGTTAGAATGCAGTATTGTTGACTGATTCTGCTCACTGCCAGCAGTTCGATCCTGACCGGCTCAAGGTTGACTGAACCTTCCATCCTTCCGAGGTGGGTCACATAAGGACCCAGATTGTTGGGGGCAATAGGCTGACTCTGTAAACAGCTTAGAAAGGGCTGTAAAGCAAAGTCTAAATGCTATTGCTATTATGATATTGTCTCTCTTTTCTTAAGGGGGGAACCAATGCTTCTGGTCAATGCTGGCTGGGGACTTCTGGGAGCTGAAATCTAAAAGTTTAGAAAGAGTGGTTTTGACTGTGAGGTCCATTCTGTATTCAAATATTGTCTCTGTTTTCTTAAGCGGAACCGGTGTTTCTCCACCTTAGTAACTTTGATATGTGTGTGGAGTCCAACTCCCAGAATCCCCCAGACACACCATGCTGGCTAGGGAATTCCAGGAGTTGAAGTCCGCACGATCTCAAGATTGAGCTGGACTAGGAGGTCCACTCTGTATCCAAATACTGTCTCTTTTTTTCTTAAGAAGCGGGAAGATTATTACCTTTTGCTCCTCATTTGTAGCACATTCTGCTGGTTTTCATAGTAGGACGCTGGTCGGTTCCCACCAGCTCGTACGGCTTTCTCCCCAAATCCTACAGGATCAGATTTACGGCTCTGCCGATCTACCACAGGCCTCTGACTGGAGAAGCTCCTCTTAGCCAGGTCTCTCTTCTCCCCCAAGGAGCTCCCGGGCACCCCGCCATCCAACGGCGCCTCGTTCTCCGTGTTCCCACCGCTCCTCCTCTCCCGCCTCTCGCTGAAGTCGCTGCTTTCCGAGGCCGTCTCCCATTCTTCGTTGGCGTGATCCGAGGTATTCTGATAGGAGAGTTCCGGAGATCTTCTGTTCGAGGAACCGTTATAATCTGTCGTGACCAGTTTGGCTCTCCTGGGCCACTGGCAAGCGACCAGGTTGGCTCCACCTTCTTCGAGGGTCCACTGACCCACGGACTCGCGTTCCTGCCTCAAGCGCCTAAATCGGGGAGGTTTGTCTTGACGAGGCGGACGCCGTCGACGGAATGGCCGGTTTTCCACGTTTTCGGGGTCACCTCCGTAGTCCTCTTCAAACGCCCGTCGGCTAAACGAGTCTGACGCCTTGTAAGACTCTTGGCTGTAATCTCTCTCTGGTGGACGCCGGATGCCAAAGGCGTCCAGAGGGGCATTGTGGCCGTATTCTTGCCAAGTATTTCCACCATTTCGGCTCTGCCATTGGGAAGACTCTTTGGAAACGAATCCTCGTCGCCCGTAAGTCGAGTTGCTCAATCTTGGGGGTAACGATCGCCCGAAAGCTCGCGGGGTCCTCAACTTGGCATCCTGATCATCTGAATAGATCTTATTGGATCTCCAGGAGTCGTGGAAATCTCCTTTTTTGAGGTCGTCCTCTTCTCTTTCCGCCAGGGAACCCTCGTTATTATTCTCAGAGACCCTTTGACGCCGGCGCTTCGGCAGTTCTTCATACTCGGAGCCTTCGCTGTGGGTCTCGCTCGCAATCCGGCGCCTGGGCTTTCCCCGTGGGAACTCCTCCCCCTGATTGAAGTCTCTCAAGGCTCGTCCTCGGCTACTTCTCGTGGGACCCCCGACGTTGCTGCTGTTGTAACCGCCTCGGAGATTCCCACCACTGCCACTACCAGCAACAGCCGCACCTCCACATCCCACTGTGTTGCTACGGCCTCGGAAGGTGAATTCTCGGAATCCGCGTCCACGGCCCCGTCCTTGCCCCCGTCCACCAAAGGCCTGTTCCTCATCAATGAAGATCCAGTTGTTTCTTTTGGTCGGAGGCAGCTCAGCAAACTCCCTTGACTGATTCTTGCCCTCTGAGTCCTTGGTGATCTTCTCCTTTTCTTTGCTATCCTCCTCGTTGTCTTCGTGACGTCTCTCATTGTCCTGGACGGGGGTTTGTGGGGAGCGTCTTTCGTAGTGAGCGGAGTGGACAACCGCTCCCCCGGGATTGATCTCCTCTGATGCCTTCGGTGCGGGGCCCTTTTCTTTAGCGGGATGGGACATCTCTTCTCCCTCCACCTTCACCTTCTCCAGTTCTTTTTCCTTCTCCTCCACTTTGAGAGCCTTCAGTACCGGCTTCTTAATCGGACCGGATCGACGGGTTCTGCCTGTTTGCTCTTGCTGCTGCTGTGGTGTTTGACCGTTGGTGTTTCGGTTCTCGGGAGTCGTCCATCCAGTTCCAGGGTTGGCTTGCTTGCTGGTAGATCCTTCGTTCTTCCACATCTCGGAGCCAAACAATGAGTCCTCCTGGAAGACCTCTTCTTTCCCTGAAGGCGACTCTTCCAAGGGTTTGGAAAAATGGCCGATGTCCCAACTGTTGTATTCGGACTTCTTTTCATCCGGAATGGAACTGGACTCCAAAGGGGAATTCAACAGGCTCCTATCACAAGGATCGGAAAGGTCAGAGCCGCACTGGGGGGGCTGAAAGAGGCGTTCTTGGGGTGCCCTTTCGGCAGGACTGACGCACCGATGGAAATTTCCCTGGGGTTTCTTCTCGAAGGAGCTTAAGTAGTCTTCTCCGACTTCTTCGAAGAAGTCACGTTGGGCGTTTTGCCCTGAGGGCGCAGAATAAGGATTCTCAACCCTGGAAAAAAGCACCCCAAAAAAAGAAGGAATTCCATGTAAGGAGTTGGGGAGCAGGAAAAACGATACATTTTGCATGGATACCCCACCCTATCACTAACACTCTCCAAAGAAGCTGCTATCAAATAATTTAACAACCGGTTCTCTGCCGTAATGATTTCTTCCAACCACCAGTTCACCAAACTGCTCAGAAAGTTAACAACCGGTTCTCCCGAAGTGGTGCGAACCGGCTGAATCCCACTATGGATGCTATGGACTAGGAGGAGGGAGAAATTACAGGGAGTCCTTGACTTACAGCAACTTGTTTAGTGATCTATGACAGCTGCCGTGAACTTTCTAATAAGAAAGTTAATCTGGGGAAGCCAGATTCACTTAACAACTACGTTACTAACTTCAGTGATTCACTTAATAACCATGGCAAGAAAGGTCATAAAAAGGGGCAAAACTCATTTAACAACTGCCTCACTGAGCAACAGAAATTTTGGGCTCGATGAAGGCAGCAAGTCGAAAACTACCTGTATTGAAGAGGTAAAATGGGTTCCTACTGTGTCTGCTGAATGGCAGGTAAATATAAATGAGATCAATTTTAATTGTTTTTGCCAGGCTCTCAGCAGCTTTGATTTGCAAGGGCAGAAAGACCAACATGGCGTAACCTTCTTGTAAAATTCTTAAGATTTGTAGGCGAGACAAAGTAATGCCTTATTTTCTACCTTCAGGACACCGGAGCAACTCAACACTGACTCCAAACCACCTCCCTCTAAAAAACAAGGAATCAAATTGATGGTAGCCCCATTATAGGTTGACTCGGTTTAGTGAATGCCTCACTTAGTGACCGTACGCGGTTATTTGGGATCAAAAAGTAACTTCATGTGCAATCCTCGTTTTTACGACCTTCAAATACCTTGTATTTAGCATTTTAAACTCCATCTAGGTGATCCTACACTTACCTGGTATGTAATCCTTCCTCCGTCACACTCTCTGTTTGCTTTGGCTGGGAAACAGAACAGTTTTTGCTCGGCAAGGGGACAAAACTTTCCGGACCCCAAATCGGGGTGGCTTCCCCTTTTCTCTCCTGCAGCCCCACAGATTGACAGCTCTGCTCCTCCGATGGACAGCTGCCCCCGTTCACGGAATCTGGTTGCATGGCAGGCTTCATAATCCCTAGCAGAGTTAGAAAGAGAGAAAATATAAATCAGAGCACACTCAATGCTGCCTAATCATAAGAAATAGAGAGGAGATTCCACATTTAAATGACCGTATTTTTCGGAGTATAAGACACACTTTATTCCCCCTGGGATGGAGAGAAAGAGGGAGAAGAGAGGGAGGGAGGGAGAAGTGGATGAGATATCGAAAGAGACACAGAGATGGAGACAGAGAGAGAGAGAGAAAGAGAGAAGGCATAGATGGATGGTTGGATAAAATACATGAATAGGTGGAGATGGAGAGATGGAGGCATAGGACATGGAGGGATGGACAGATGATGGATGGATAAATTGGCTAGATAGGCAAACAATGATGATAAGAAACAGAGATAGAAGACATGGCTGGATTGATGGATGATAAGAGGAAATAAGACAATAGATAAATATATTCTATGAGATGGAGAAAGACAGACAGAAGACGTCAATGGATAGATTGATGGATCGATGGGTAGATAAAAGACATGGATGGATAGAAGACATGAGTGGATGAATAAATAGATAAGCCTTATTGAAAGAGAAAAAGGAAAAGAATAGATGAACAAAAAAAAATAGGAAAAAATAAAAGTAAAACACAAGGAATGAACAGGAAACTTACAAGCATCATACAATTTAAAAAAATTCATATTTCATATATGTTTTACCCGATTGATGAAGGGATGATGGGTAGAAATCCACAGGTGGGCGTCCCGGGGTGACTCGAGGGTCCATATAAGAAGGCATCATTAACCATCGAGGATCGAACCCCAACATCTGTGGGTGGGCTGGGTAGAAAGTCCGCTGAGGGTGGGAAGAAGGGGGATAGACTTGGGAGGGTGGCCAGTTTTGCATTTTGTAGAGCTGGTCCTGAAAGAAAATATGGAACAGTAATTAATGTGCTATCGGTAGACACGGCACCGAGAACGCCGACATCGAAAAGAAAAGCAAACTTACAAAACGAAGACATTGAAAAGGAAAGTATATTTTTTTTTAAAAAAAATCGAAAGTAAATTTATAAAAAATATACTGTGTTTCCCCGAAAATAAGACCCTGTCTTATTTTATTTTTTTTGAGCCCTGAAATAAGCGCTTGGCCTTATTGCCATGCACTCAAAAGCCCGATTGGGCTTATTATCAGGGGAATGACTTATTTTGGGGGAAACGGGGCAGATAGATAGATAGATAGATAGATAATGATATAGATAGAAGATAGACGATAGATAGATAGATAGATAGATAGACAGATAGATAGATAGATAGATAGATAATGATATGTCTAAATTTAAATCAATGAATGCAAACAATTACTGGAGTGCTGAAAAGTGGCAATCTTTGGCCAAATCCAAGGTAGTTGATCTCAAAGAAGGAACACACTTATACTCGTCCCCAACTTCGACCCCCTTGGCAAAACCCCCCTAATGATTGAGAAAAATGGTATAAACCATTTTCTTTCTCTTACTTGCTGCTTTCTCTGGAACCGCGGGGGAAGGAGCTTGGGGAATTTGCTGAATTCCTGCATGGGGGAGACAGTTTCGCGCAGCTCCTCCTCGCTGCTACTCCGGAGCGCCGCGGAGGCAGCAGCTGTTGGAGTCTCTTCATCCACGTAACCGGAAGGGGGTTCCTGGGTGTGAGACTCAGGGACGGCTAAGGAGGGAAGAAAAGGAGAGGGCAAAAATTGAACGCTTGCTTGCTTGCTAAGTGACCAGTTGTAAGCCTACAAACTACTTTTTATTTTACTGTAAAGCTAAAGTAACAGAATCTTCCAGGTCTGAAAGTACAAATTCTCTCACTGTCTCCTTTACAGACTGAGAAACTAGGGAGGGTCTCTTCTGAGCCTGTTTCTCCACCCACTGTACAGCTCAGGGCTGTGTCCTCTCTTATCTGACTATTCTCTTAAAGCTACATCAACAGAACCCTGCAAGTCCAAGGTACAAATCTCCCACTGTCCCTTCTACAGCCTGAGAAACTAGGGAGGGTCTCTTCTGAGCCTCTTTCTTTACCCATTATGCAGCTCTGGGCTATGCTGTCTCTTATCTAACTGTTCCCTAGGCAGCATCTCTTCACCCCATCTCACGTCTTTCCCACATACCATCACATCAGCTAGACTTAACATAACAAACTTGCCACTTAAGCATAGGAGAAGACGAGGCAGAACCTGGTGGCGGAGTCAAGAGAGTAATCAGCCTGGAGTCCCTGCAAGCAATCCAACTCCAATCCCTCTTAAATTCTGTTATATCTAGCACCGATTTAGCGATAACCGTTAATTGACTAGGTGAGCAAATAAATTATCTTAACTGGAAATTAATGAGTAGTTCCAGACACAACGGGACCTACACTTCATTTTTCATCATGGCTTTTTTTCTGGACAAGAGGTTTGCGGCTCCCGGGTCCTACCTAAAAGTCCGATCTGTGCCAATTCTGCACCCCCTTACCTCTCCGAGTTACGTGGCTGTTCTCCGAGACGGCATTCTTCTCCGAGCTCGAGGATCGGGGTTCATCACTCTCCACGTGTTTGGGACCATCTCCCGCTTTCTGCGCAAGCTTGCATTTCTGATCCAGCTCCTTCAGTTTCGCCGCACAGGCGGCCAGGCGCTCTTCCCGCGCTCTGCGCTCTTCCTCTTCCCGTCGCCGCCTCGCCCGCTCGACGGCTTCTGACATTTCCGAGTAGACAAACTTCTGTCTCAGGGGCGGCTTCTCTTCTTTTTCTTCGGAACACTGTTGCCGCAGACATGATAGCGGGGGTTTCTGGCCAAGAACGAAGAAACCGATATCACAACAAGACGGGAGAGAAAAGGCGCGGAAACCCACACGGCTCTCTCGTCACACGAGTTAGAAGGGCGACGGAGGGAAACAACGGATTTTTCTTCGCGTACAAAGTCAATCGGGGCCAATTTACCGATCGCAGATTGTCCCTGCCACTGTTTGAAAAGTTACAACGGCATTGAAACAAGCGACTTACGATCAATCAATCAGTCAATAGGAGCAGGTTGCCAAGCATCTGAATTTTGAACCCGTGATTGTGGGGATGCGGCAACGGTTTTAAAGTGTGAGAAACGGCCCCGAGTCACATTTGACTTGTAACTTTGAATGGTCACTAAACAAACTGTTGTAAGTCAAGGACTACTTTTGCACTGGGTGGTTTTTAATCTTCTGGAGGTCAATTGGTGCTTATGTGTAGAGAATTGTGTGTGTGTGTGTGTGTGTGTGTGTGTGTGTGAGAAGGGGAAATCCAAATTTTAGACTTTTTTCCTTCTTCAAATGAACCCGCCAAAATAGAGAAAGGGGCATCCATTCACAAGCTGTGAATTCTGCAGTTTTGGGGCGTCAGTTCGAAATACCTGATATTCTGGCAGAGGGGTCCACCCATTCAGCTTTCTCGAGCCTGGCAGACTTTCCGACACTTTGCGGATGGAGCGAGAGAGGCTGGCCGAGTCGTTCCAAGTCTTGGGGTCCTCTGTGGGGTACCTGGCGTCGGTGTTTTCGGCCGAGCTCAGGGAAGGCGGCCTTCGGGGATCCCAGCTGTTCCTGCCAACGGAGGCATGGAGCCCTTTTTATTCGTGTATTAATAACCTGCCTTTATATTGTTTTTATAAATAACTCAAGGCAGCTAGCTTCCTCCTCCTCCTCCTCCTCTTTTCCTCCTCCCACAACAACAACCCTGTGAGGTGGGGTAGGCTGAGAGGGAGGAACCGGTCCAAAGTCACCCAGCTACGGTGCCTTAAGGGGGGACTAGAACTCACGGTCTCCTGGTGATTGGCCCAAAGCCACCCAACTGGCTTTCACAACTAAGGCTGGGACTAGAACTCACAGTCTCCTGGTGATTGGGGCAAACTCACCCAGACTTTTTTTACATGAGACGTAGCAACCCACTACATGTGCATCTCTTTCCATTTACCATTTCTGTCTCCCGTCTTTGGAGGTGTCTTCCTCCTCCTCATCCTCACTGAACTTCAGTTTTTCGGAATAGTCCACTTCGTCGTGAATTCCTAGAGAAAGCAAGGAAGTGAACGAGGAAAACAAAGCCAACGGCCACTGCTATTTCGGTGTGAACCTACCCACCAAACAAGGAATCTGTTTGTTGGGGTCTTTTGCAGAAAACTAAAAGCAAAAGCTATTCGTTTCTAAGTCTAATCTAGGAAGAGGAGGAACAGCTGGGTCCAGTGCCTGACACGCAGATGTGCAGAAGGCAGAGAGGAGAGGAGAGCAGTGGAAATCTATGGGCCGGTCCTTGGGACAAAAGAGCCACTGCTGCCAGCGAAATCCCACCCTAGCTCTGGGGATAAAAGGCAGGGGACAGAGATGAATAGAAGTGTCAGAGAACTATTCATCTTCCGGACGGATGGATTTTTTAGCCTGCGTTGAGAGAGAAACTTTTTGCCTGGGTTGCCAGCACTCCTAATTAAAGGAATCTTTGAGTTCACTTCAGAGGGTTTGTCGTGTTTAGGGAGCCGGGTCAGAACACCTAATCCTGAATCTAGCTGCAAACCACAATTCGTTACACAGCCTAGAAAAAGAGAGTTTCCTTAAACCAGGAAATCCAAACCAAAGTGTGCAAGAAAGAATATAGAGACTGTAGGACAAGACCCAAGTGCGGGAATGGAGGGGCTTACCTGCCCAGCCGTCCTCTGTATCATTGTCCAGTTCATCCAAACCTTTCAGGTTCTCTGCGTTGATGATGGTCGGTCTGGGGACTCGGTCTCCCGGCGGTCGGACCGGACGAACTGGACGTGGGGCCCCAAGTCGCTTGTCTTTTCTGCAACAGAGTTTGGGAAAACGTTTTGGTGGAGAAAGGAGTGTAAAACCCAACTACCCTGTTTCCCCGAAAATAAGACCCAACCCGAAAATAAGCCCTAGCATGATTTTTCAAGATGCTCGTAATATAAGCCCTACCCCCACAAATAAGCCCCAGTTAAGATGGGTGCATTTAGTACCGTATTTCCCCCCAAAATAACCAGAAAATAAGTTCCAATGTGTCTTTTGGAGCAAAAATTAATATAAGACCCAGTCTTATTTTCGGGGAAACATGGTAGGTTGGGACCACAAGCAGCAGAGGCCGAGATAAGACCGGGCTGCTTGTTATTCAGCGTATCTTTAACAAAGATCTTGAGATCTTTGGAGATCAAGGCCCAAGAGAGGGGACGGATGAGTGAGATCTCTACCTGGGAATTCACAAGATTGCAAACTCATCTCAACGGGAAGATTAGCAAGTTATGGGATGATAGAAGAGGGAGGGCAGACTGGCCCCGGGCAGTTCCTTTAAGATGCATGGATTTCAACCTCCAATCAGCAAGCTGACTGGGGAATTCTGGGAACTGAAGTCTTAAAAGTTGAGAAATACTGGATTTAGCAACCTACGGACTATGGCACTGGGTCTGTGGCATGTGGAGCCATGTCGCCTGGCCAGCACGGCGTCGACCATTCCTCTTCCGGGTTTCAGGCGCGCATGTGCGCACGACAATCAGCTGCGTGCGGCAGTGCTGGAAACTGGAGGAGCTGGTCTTCCATTTTCCATGTATGAGCCAGCTGATTGTCGCAAGCACATGCGCACCAGAAACCCAGAAGACTAGCCAACCAGCTGGCTGGCGCGCATATGCACACTGGAAACTAGAAGTTCATTTTCAGGCATGTGCATGCACCATTGGCAGCTTCTCTTCCGGGCTGCGGCCCAGACGAGTGCATGAAGCGCGCGAATGTGGATATGCTCCCTTTTCGGCACCCAGTGCCGAAAAGGTTCGCATTCACTGCTCTAAAGAGTTGTTGCAAAAAGTTGTTAGGAACAGTGCTTGCAAACAGACATGAAAACAATCAGTGCAGCCGGATTGACAACCATCTCGCATAACGCTATTGACTTACCCATCTTGGTCGCTGGGCTGATGTTTTCTGAAGGGGACACGGGGCTCCAGACAGAAGGAGGGGAGAGGGAAGCATCCCCGTTCAGGCAAACTTGGGGTCTCGGCTGGCGGATTTGAACACATCTGAGATGGGATAGCAGATATAAGAACAAGTGTTAGAAAATGGTTAAGCCCTCCATCTTTCTTTCTTTTCTGGGAAAGAGGACATACAATGTGTTCAATCTCAAAGACAACATTCTTTTGAACTTTCTAAAAAATATATATAGTATTTTTGTTAAATAAAGATGGGAAAGAAACTATTGGGGAACCTGTTGTGTAAGGGGAAGAAAATACATTGGATTTTTTGATGTAGAAGTAATGTATTTTTCGGACTATAAGAAGCACCTGAATTTAGAAGAGGAAAACGACGACAAAAAAGGTTTTGGCCTCCTTTTAAGTCTTTTTTTTTGCCTGTTTTCTAGGCGTTTTTCAGTCCGTTTTTTTGGCCTGGGTTTTTTTTTTTTTTTTTGGAAAAAAACAGGCCAAAAAAAGCCTTGAAAATGGCCTGAAAACGGTGTGTGTAGAGGTCAAAAAAACAGCCATTGCGTGTACGGGGCTTTGGCAATATTCAGTGTATAAGAAAGACAGACATTTTCACCCCCTTTTGGGAGACAAAAAAGTATGTCTTATAGTCCTAAAAATACGGTACTCACAACAGTTTGTTTAGTGAAGTTGCAATGGCACTGAGACTTATGGCCGTTTTTCATACTTATGACGGTTGCAGCATCCTGTTGTAAGTGGTGGGCTAACCTTTATTTAGGAAGGCCGCAGGGGGCTCCCCGTCTCTTGTAATGCAGTAGGTAAAATTGGGAAGGCGTTCAAGGACTTACGAAGGCGGGAAGCATGTCGTGGTATGTGGGAGGCTGGTACGTGTTTGCCATAAACTGCGATGCTCCTTTGCGAGGAGGCAGAGAAGGGCGGAGAGAAAGCTCCTTGGGATCGGCCCCGTTGGCTGAGGTCGGAACGTCCTCGCCTGCGCTAGAGCTCTTGGTACCCAGCTCGGTTGGGAAGGGGGACAAAGAGGTGGCCGAGGTGCTGTTTCTACCACCACCTTCCCTCCAACTTGTGACATCTGAGAGAGAGAGAGAGAGAGAGAGAGAGAGAGAGAGAGAGAGAAAGAAAGAAAGAAAGAAAGAAAGAAAGAAAGAAAGAAAGAGAAAAAGAAAGAGAAACAGAGAGAAAGTGAAAGTGAAAGAAAAAGAAAGAAAGAAAGAAAAAGAAAAAGAGAAAAAGAAAGAAAAAGAAAGGAAGAAAAAGAAAAAGAAGGAAAGAAAAAGAAAGAAAAAGGAAGAGAAAGAGAGAAAGGAAATAGAAAGAGAAGGAAAGAAAGAAAAGGAAAAAAGAGAGAAAACAATCAGCAACGTTATTGATGTGCGTGTGATTTTTTTTTTAATGATTTTCAAGGATCTTTCAAAATTTAAGGGCTGTTGGCTTCTCCAAACTCTGAATATTTCTATCTACTTACTTGCTCTTCATCTCCTGCTTCAGGTTTTTATAAGAGAGGGAAGGGGAAGGAGAAGATAAATTAGGATGACAAGAAGGAGGAAGGAGAAGATATATAAGGAGGAGGAGATAAAGGAGGAGAAAAAAGGGGAAGGAGGAAAGAGAAGGAAGGAAGGAAAAAGAAAGGAAGGAAGGAAGGAAGGAAGGAAGAAAGGAGGGAGGGAGGAATTAAGGAAGGAATTGAAGGAAGGAAGAATTGGGAGGGAGGGAGGGAAGGAAGGAAGGAATTGAAGGAAGGAAGAATTGGGAGGGAGGGAGGGAGGGAGGGAAGGAAGGATGGAAGGAAGGAAGGAAGGGCAAAGGCAAACAGTAAAAAAAAAAAAAAAAAAAAAGACCTAACGTTGAAAACTCTGGCATACTGCAAACATTCCTAAACAAACCCACATGGGGTTTGTTTAGACATAGAAAAGAATTTCGGTTTGGATCAGCTTCTGTTTAAAGGATTTCTGTGAGTGTTTTTTTTTTCCTCTCCTTTTCACCAGCCTGGAAAGATGACATCCGAAGACACAAAAAAGGAGCAGCAGGCTAAAAATGAAATATTCGCTTTTTTTTCCCTTTGGTCCCAGAAAGAAATGTTTGACGGACCGAGAAAAGAACGAGTGGAATGCTGAAAAGGGCCTTTGGATTGAGTTCTGGAAAAAGGAATCGCCTTGAGAAAAGCCGAAACTGTTACCGTAGACTTGAGAGAGGCCGTTTGGGACCCCAAATCATTCAAAGCTTTTGGTAGACTGGCTGGTTATGGAAACCAAGACCCACAATAGTGTTGGAAGGGTCCTTGGAGGTCTTCTAGTCCAACCCCCTGCTTAAGCAGGGGGACCCCTATAGCAGTGGTGGCAAACCTTTTACTCACCGAGTGCCGAACAGGTACGCACTTCGCGGGCATGCGTGCCATCCACGCTAATGCCCACTGTGCGCTGTGCACAATCGCACAATCTGTGTATGTGTATGCGTGTGAATGCCTTCTGTGCCACCACGTACGCAAACACACGCACACCTGCGCAGGAGAGCGCCAAAGACCAGTGGGGGCCCCTGAATTGTGTGCATGCGCACCAGAGGCCCAAACACCAGCTGGGGCAAGCAAAGCGGCAGGCAAGTTGGGAGACCAGCTCGCCTGCCCAGAAAAATGGCTCTGCATGCCACTTCCGGCATGTGTGCCATAGGTTCCTATACCATTCCAGACAAATGCCTGCCCAGTCTCTTTTTAAAAAAACCTCCCGTGATGGAGCACCCACAACTTCTGGAGGCAAGGAGTTCCACTGGTTAATTGTTCTCACTGTTAGGAAATTCCTCCTTAGTTCCAAGGTTGCTTCTCTCCTTGATTAGTTTCCATCCGTTGCTTCTTGTCCTACATTCTTCGGACAATAGGCTGACCCCCTTGTCTCTGTGACAGCCCCTCAAGTACTGGAAGACTGCTAAAGTGCCACCTTCTTCCTTCCAACCCACCCGTCCGTCCACACAAATGTCATTTTCCAGGGAGTGAAAGGTGTTCTCCCTGGGCAAGGACGCGAGGAGACATCCCAGGTACGTACTCTGGGGGCGGAGGCTTGGTCCGGGCCCATACGACGGATCTAAGGTGCCCTTTTCTTTGCCAGACTTGTCCTGCTCTCCAGCTGCTTTCAACGTTGGAAAATCCTCGGGAGAGAAGGATAACAGTCGGTTTGAGACCCTTGAACCTGGGGAGGGGAGAGAAAGAGAGGCCGAGGGATCAGGACGGCGCCATCCAGAAGGCTCATATCCTTCCACTCGTGACGGGAAAGACGGACCTGCCTAAGCACAAACCGCCCGCAGACGGGGAGGATACTCACCACCTTCTAATCTGGCTGGCTTTCCATTCAGCTGCGCCCATGATTTTACACCACCGAGTGCTGAATTTGTATTCTGCAGAAGGAATAAGAAAAACGGGAACGTTTACAGGCGGTCCTCGACTTTCCGTCGCTAAGCGGTTGGCTCGCTTTACGCTTTTGTCCCATTTTACGACCTTTTCTTGCCACGAATTGCTCAGCGAATCGCTACCATTGTTCAGTGAGTCACACGGTTCTAGAGCTGGGATTCAGCCGGTTCGGATCGGTTCACACGAACCGGTAGTAGCGACCTGCAGCCCGGCTCGGCGCTATGCCGTCCTATTTAGCCATGGTTTCAAGCCGTGCGCGTGCGTGAAAGCCGCGCGTGCGAGCAAACCCGTCTTTTGAGTTTGAACGCCCAACTCACTCGTCCTACTCACCTCCTGGCTGATTGACGGGTTCCGTTTCTGTAAATTGGAGACAGATTTCTGTAAATCCTGCTGCGGCAGCGACTCCCGCGGCTGTGCGGCTGTGCAACTGGAACTGACACAAAAGAAGAAAGTGACTATACCATCCAAGTCCCTGTGAGTATCACAGATCGGTGGGGTTTTGGGTTTTTTTTTGTAAATCTCGGTTGATTTCAAAAGGCTAAAAAAGAAAAAAAAAAGTTGGATGATGCCCACAATAGAGGAATGGCTGTAAAAGTTGATGAGAGTCAGCAGAGACGGCTATACATTAACTGCTTCGATTAAGGAAGGAAATACAATTAATTTTGTTTCCACTTGGAAACCACTTCTGGACTCTATGCTATCCTCTATGTAGAGAAAAAATGAATAAATTATTTAGATTATTTTTACTTGCTGGGATGAAGGAGGTAGTTACTTTTTTTTTTCTTTTTCCTTTTCCTTTTATATACTTTTTGCATGTCTACACTCCTTGTAGTATGCATTCTTTTTTTCCCCTCGTGACTGTGTACCAAGTTTGGTTGAAATTGCTCGAGGCGTTCCAGAGTTATGCTGGAACATACACACATAACACACAGAGCCATTTTTATATATATAGATGTCATATTGGCACATTGGGGAAAACCCGAATCTGAAAGCTTCCAGGTTTTCCCCACCCAAAGGAAAGTCCAAGTCCCTGGCCAGCGCCTACATATCCATCACATGGTCCAATCAAAGCACTGTCCCAACTGGAGATACCTCCCAGTTCCAGCCCTCCAGGTGCAGGGCAAGATGACCTTGACTTTCTGAGAAAGGAATGTTATTATGACGTGGCCCCATACAATCCCCCCTCCGTTTCCCACAGCACTAAATGTGGCAGGCCTGAAGGCCGAATGCAAAAGATGGCCTGACACCTGGCCTATCTTGAAGAGCTGATCCATCCTGGCCTACCTCGAAGGGCTGGTCTTTCCAAAGAAGGCAGGTGGAAATGGCCGGCTCACCTCTTTTGCTCTGGAGGGTCTTGCTTGTTTGCCCATCCTGTTCCGTCCTTCGGCACGATGATGATATTGGGGTCGTTTCCTTTATGCTCCGATTTCAAACTTGGCAAGTTGGCAGGAGGGGGCATACGCCGTGCGGAAGCAACTTTCCCGAGACTCTGTAAGCCATGTCTAGGAATAACTAGCAAGAGAGAGACAAGAGAGAATAATCCATCCAGGCCCATTATCCTCGGCATGGATGGCTACAAGCAACTGCTATCTAGAGCCATAAACGGACATCAAAGTGGGACACTTCTGTCCCAGTTACGTCATTTTCAATTGCAGGTATTCCTCAACTTATGACCATTTGTTTAGTGGCCGTTCGGAACTTTAAAAAAATGACTTGGGATCGTTTTTCACACTTACGACTGTTGCAGCATCCCCGCGATCAAAATTCAGACGCTTGGCCACTGACTCGTCTTTATGACGGCTGCAGCGTCCTGGGGGGGGGGGTGTCACGTGATCCCCTTTTGTGACCTTCTGGGAAGCCAAATCAATGGGGAAGTCGGATTTGCTTAACAACCGTGTGACTAATTTAAGAGCCGAGGTGATCCACTTAGCGACGGTGGCAGGAAAGGTTGTAAAATGGGGCAAAGCTCACTTAACAGATGTCCCACTTAGCCATAGAAATTTGGGGATCGATTGTGGTCATAAGTCGAGGACTACCACAATTGATAAGTGCAGGAATATGTCCTCCTCCTCACAAACGCACCTCAGTTGCATCCCAAGCACAACCCAATCCGATCCGTTGCACCCAAAAGGACAGGGGAGGAGGGGAAAAAAAGGAAATCCTCCTGCGGAATCACCTGGTGGTGCCCCATCCATCTCATAACCAGCTTCCCTTCCAAACCCAGATGGGCAGGTGCAAATATTATTGAAAGACGGCTGCTTTAAATGCAAAATCTTCTCACACACCCACACAGAGACACCTTGTTGCCAATCTTACCTGTACTTCTGACTGTTTCTACTGACTTTCCTTTATATTTATCAAACAGGCTGAGCGTCGAGTACTTGTTTTTCCCATCCTTTCCCTTGGTTATTTGCCCCGAACGATCGGACATCGCGATGAAATGTCATCGAGTAAGGAAATTTCTCTGCACCGCTCCTGATCTGCCTGCAGGGAAGACAAACAGGCGGCCAAAAAAATAAATATGACCAAATAAATATTCAAGATGAGCCAGCAGCGTGAATTCCGCACGGAAATTCCTCGACTGCCCCATGTTGTCTGATCTGAAAATGCCCCTGGGGAAAAAATATTTGTGAAACCAGGAGCCAGACTCCTATCCACTGCAGGGAGACGCAGGTGACGAAAAGATAAGGGCTAGTTTTGGCCATTTACGGTGGGGCCAAACAAGTTCCACCTGCTTGTTGAATTGAGCCATTTTCTAAGTTTGTGCAATGTTTTTTTTGTTGTTGTTGTTTTTTGAGCTATCGGCACAACAGTTCCCTAGGAAAAATATAAAAAAGCAGTCCAACTTTAAAACTAACCACAATTAACAGGACAACTGAGTTGGAAAGAAGACTTTCCTGCTTGGAGAGGCTCAAGCAGGAAAGGAAGGAAGGAAGGAAAGAAAGGAGGGAGAAAGAATGGAAGGAGATCAGAATGAGAGGGAGGGAGGGAGGGGGAGAGAAGGAAGGGAAGGGGGAGGAAGGAAGGAGAGAGAGGGAGAGGGAGGAAGGGAGGGAGGAGAGAGGGAGGAGGGGGAAGGGAGGGAGGGAGGAAGGAAGGAAGGAGAGGAGGGAGGGAGGAAGGGGGGAGGGGAGGGAGAGAAGAAAGGGAGGGAGGAGAGAGAGGGAGAGGGAGGGAGGAGAGGGAGAAGGAAGGAAGGAGAGAGAGGGAGAGGGAGGAAGGGAGGGAGGAGAGAGAGGGAGAGGGAGGGAGGGTGGAAGGGAGGAGAGGGAGGGTGGAAGGGAGGAGAGGAAGGAGAGGAGGGAGGGAGGGGAGGGAGGGAGAAAAAGAAAGGGGGGAGGGAGGAAGGGGAGGGAGGTAGGGCGGGAGGAAGGAAGGAGAGAGTGAGAGGGAGGGAGGGACGGAGGGGAGGGAGGGAAGAAAGGGAGTGAGAGTGGGAGTGAAAGAGGAAGGAAGGAAGGAAGGAAGGAAGGAAGGAAGGAAGGAAGGAAGGAAGGAAGGGTTTTTCTAATTTTTCAGACAACCCAATTTTTCATCTCAGCAAACAGCCTCCAAAAAAAGAATTTCACCATCTCAGTTTATGGTAGCATTTCTACCTCCAAAACAGTCCATCATAACATCTGGATAAAGGCAGGCAGCTCTTCTGTCTGAGCATCTGGAGACAACCAATACATGCCGACTCTGTGCACTCGAGGTGGTTTAAAACAAACCCTAAAACTACCACTTTATTTTATTTTATTTTTAATTATCCTTTTTTCAATAGGACCATGCGCGATTTTTTTTTCAAATCGATTCGTTTCCAGCAACAAAAGCAGCTTTCTCGTTCCGTGTGCAAAATCATCACATTTAATTCAGGAAATGTTTTGAGGCCTAAACGGAAATGTTTTGTTTTGCGATTAAAAAAAAATAAAAATCAACCCAGTTTGGTGGAGCTAAAATTCTGAACGCTGGGGAAGCCAAGTATGAAGGAAAAAACCCTGCTGAAAATGGAGCAATTGGGATTCAGTTTACAGTCGTGAGTGGTTAAGGGAAACAAACGTTAAGGTTAACTTTGAAGCTTCTTTAAGTTCCTAAAACGGAAAGGATGGCCACAGGCAGAAGAGGAATTTCTTCCTTTTGCATATTTATCCTCCCAGTTGATTGTAACTGGGTAAAAAGCTAAAGCTAAAGGTTCCCCTCGCACATCTGTGCTAGTCGTTCCCGACTCTAGGGGGCGGTGCTCATCTCCGTTTCAAAGCCGAAGAGCCAGCGCTGTCCGAAGACGTCTCCGTGGTCATGTGGCCGGCATGACTCAACGCCAAAGGTGCATGGAACACTGTTCCCTTCCCACCAAAGGTGGTCCCTGTTTTTCTACTTGCATTTTTTAAGTGCTTTCAAACTGCTAGGTTGGCAGAAGCTGGGACAAGTCACGGGAGCTCATCCCTTACGCAGCACTAGGGATTCGAACCGCTGAACTGCCGACCTATTCGATCGACAAGCTCAGTGTCTTAGCCACTGAGCCACCGCATCCCTTTGTAGCTGGGTATTGGCCAGCAAAAGATACAAACCATTGTGACCAACGAATTTCCTGGCTCGGTAGGAAACGAACCCCCCAAAAAAACTGAGTTGTAGGAAGCAGACTAATACAGAAAGGATTATGAAGTCTGCTGTGCAATGTTGCAAGATTGGCTATGTCTCAAAGAGCAAACTCCAGTAGAATAATTAAGGAAAACTTCCAACTGGACCACTAAAAAAAATAAATAATAGCAATACTGCTTCCAGACATGCTGGAGCTTTAAAAAAACAACAATAAAATCCTTTTTCTCTATTGTAAAATCGCAAATAATTCAGACTGCCTTTTTCCTGGTTGTAAAAAAGAAAAGACAAGAGGGGGGAAAAACATCCCTCAAAATCCATTTTTCATTTCTTAGGCCAATGGAAACTTCAGAAAACGTGCACAAATTTTAATCTGGCACTATTTTGCCTGCCTGAAGTTTCAGAGAATGATGGAGCAGATGGTTTGAAAGGAACTCTAGAGAGCATCTAGTCCAGCCTCCTTTCCAGGGTGGGCATTTTTCGCTAATCAATTCCATTTCCTGAAATGATTCCGTTGGGCTCACATAAGGCCCAATTTGCACACTCAGCTCTGTTTCTATTTGATAAACATCTGCCGTGTTAATTCCTTTTTTGGGTTTTTGGGGTTTTTTTGCAAAATGTATAGCCCGGTTAAATTTTTTCCAGATTTTGTGCAGAGAAAAATGGATGCATGGCCCCGGATCCTGGTTTTCTCGATTCACACAAGTTCAAAGCTGGCTTAACTCTTCGAATTAGGATCAGAAAGTGTCATCTGCAGAACAGGAGTTACAGTTTAACAGGTAATTCCAGTTTTTTTGTATCTTTTCTGGTAAAGCATGAGCCAAACAGATCTATCTTGACACAATATGTCAATATTAATGTTTATTTATTTATTTATTCAATTTATAGCCCGCCCTTCTCCTAGTGGACTCAGGGCGGTGTCTTACTGGCTGCGAGATTAGTGGCATATAAATTTATTAAATACTAACTAAATTAAATTCAGGTAGTCCTTGACTTACAAACACAATTGAGCCCAAAATTTCTACTGCTAAAAGAGCCAGGGAGGGAAAAAAAGCTTAACCAAGTTTAGCCTGTAGTACGAAAACACACAACTAGTAAAAAGCACATTGTGTGATACAGGTAGTCCTCGAATTACAGCCATTCAGTTCGAAGTTACTAGAGCACCGAAAAAAGTGGCTTACAACCTGTTTTCACACTTACGACCTTTGCAACATCCGCATGTGATCAAAATTTGGGCACTTGGCAACCGACTCATTTTTATGACGGCTGCCAGTGTCCCTTTTGCAATCTTCTGACAAGCAAAATTCCAAGTAATAGATAATAATAATAATTTTATTGTCATTGTACGTGTATACACAGTATACCCATACAACGAAATTCACTTAACACCCAAAGACCAGGTCCAACACACATAACAATCCCCAAACACACTCCCACCCACCACAAATTCCCCACCCCTAAACCACCCAAACATCCACACAACAGACCAAGTCATGCTGTCCAACAGCTCACCGATGGTGGCCCTTTATTTGAGTGCAATTATAGCTCTGGGATAAAAACTATTCAGAAAATGTGCGGTCCGAGTTTTAATGGTTCTGCATCTTCTGCCAGAAGGCAACAGTCCAAAAAGATTGTAAGCAGGATGGGAAGAGTCTCTGAGAACGTTATGCAACTTTCTCAAAGAGCGAGATTCGAAGATGTCGTCCAGGGCTGGTAGCTGGAGTCTTATGATATTCTGGGCAGTTTTAATGATTCTCTGTAGAGCTTTTTTTGTCCGCTGCAGAGATGCTCCCATACCATGCAAGAATGCCGTATGTCAGGACACTCTCAATGATGCTGCGATAGTAGGACAGAAGGAGATGCTGAGATAGATTTATCTTCCTAAGCATTCTCAGGAAGTACAGCCTCTTCTGTGAGGCTGTGAGATCCATAGTAAGCCAAACTCCGAGGCAGGTAGATTCCGCAAAGGAATCTTTATTGGAAATATCATATTGGCACATATCTGGTGAAAACCGACTCTGTAGCTTTATAGCTCCCGCTGCCTTAAGAAAGTTCAAAACATTTTTAAAGATCCATCTCATCCTGGGTATTTTTTTTTAAACTATTATCATCTGGCAGGACAATAAAAAACAAGGACAAATAGGCTGAAAAACAGCTTCTATCCCAGATCAGTAACTATATTGAATTCTACTGTATAGTGCAACGTTAATGCAATATTAGGGATTTTCAATTGTGCAGGATGTGATGGATTTACGTTTTTGTTTTATTTTTATAGTTTTCTTAGGTATGATGTACACTGAAGATGGCATTTAATTTTATTATACAAGGTGCAATGACAATAAAGTAACTAACTAACTAACTAAACTAACTAACTAACTAACTAACTCTAAAGGTTCCCACAGTTTTCACCTAGTTAAAAGAGAAAGTTTTCCCACAACCCCGAACAATCAAGATCCAGTCTTGAACAGATTAACTATGATGATAAAAAAAAAAAGAGAAGACTCAGAATATTTTAAGATATGGAATCAATTTTACTATTGGTTAGAAAAGAGATATAAATAAGCTTTAATAGAGATAGATTAAAAAATGTTACAACTACAACGTTATATTAGTGGAAAAGTTTTGTAATGGACTTGGCGAGAACGAAGATAGAAGAGATAATAGAAAAGAAGAATGTCTGGAGATAACACCAAGATGTCACATGGAAGAAATGAATGATGTACTAAATGTTTGTTTGTCTTTAAAAAAAATAAACTTTTATATATATATAAAAAAAGACCCAGTCTTGTTATCTGGTGAGCTTCCTCCTCGGTCCAGGTGTGAGAATGTCCTTGATTCTCAAGAGAAAGTACTTTGTTTTGGCTACACAAACCCCTCTATCTCTAATCCACCCCCCTCTTTCCCAAAACTCCAGTATGGCAACACAGAAGCTCCGATATGGAGGTCAGCTTCAGGGATGACACAAAGAGGAAATCTGATTCACTTACTAACGTAAGTACTGCAGTGATTCACTGAACAACTACGGCAAGGAAGGTCGTAAAATGGGACGAAACACACTTAACAACAACTGTCTCGCTGTCCCAGGATCATGCGATCACCAATTGCAACCTTCCCGGCTGTTTTCCAACAAGCAAAGTCAACCGGGGAAACTGGATTGGCTTAACAACTGCGTGGTTCACTTAACAGCCACTGCAGGAAAGGTCACAAAACTGGGCGCGACTCAGTTACCAAGCGCTATGCTTTGCGATGGGAAATGTTGGTCCCAATCGTTCACGAAACGACAACCACAACACACCTCCTCTTTGCATTAACGACTGCACAACATTCTTCAATGCAACGTATGAAGTCCTCGCCACACGGTGTCCATTCTCAGCAGGAAGAAGCTTCCTACAGGAAGACGCCGTGGCGGCGCAGTGGTTAGAGTGCAGTACTGCAGGCTACTTCTGCTGACTGCCTGCAATTTGGCAGTTCAAATCTCACCAGGCTCAAGGTTGACTCAGCCTTCCGTCCTTCCGAGGTGAGTAAAATGAGGACCCAGATTGTTGGGGGCGAGAGGCTGACTTCTGTAAACCGCTTAAGAGAGGGGCTATAAAAGCACTATGAAGCGGTATATAAGTCTAAGTGCTATTGCTATAGCTAACTCCCCCCACCTGCTTCACTTACTGTCCCATTCAAAGCAAACAGCCAGAAGAGAAGGACACGCAAAGAACACGCAAAGTACATTGAAATGTCATGCGTGAATCCATGCGCTGCTGTGGATTCCAATCAGTAGCCGAAAGTCAGGTTTGCCCCCTCCAAAAATTAACAAGAAAAAAAAAATAATGGAGCAGAGGAAAAATGCCTTTTTGACTGAACTTCCATTGAAAGAAAACACATTTAAAGGTAGTCCTTGACTTACAACAATTTGCTTAGTGACTGTTTACAAAGATAAAACCAAACATTTTACAACAACCAAATGAAATGTTGGTTACAATGGCGTAGAAAAAAAATTGACTTGTGACCGCTTTTCACACTTATGACCGTCGTGGCATCCCCGTGGCCACATGATCAAACTTCAGACGCTCAGCAACTGACTCGCATTTATGACGGTGGCAGTGTCCCTGGGGTCATGTGATCCCCTTTTGCGAACTTCTGACATGCAGTCGATGGGGGAAGCCGGATTCACTTAACAACCGTGTGACTAGCTTAACAACTAACTGCAGGGGTTCACTTAACCACTGTGGCAAGAAAGGCCGTAAAATGGGGCAAAACTCACTTAACAACTGTCTTGCTTAGCGACATAAAATTTTTGGGCTCAGCTGTGGTCGTAAATCAAGGATTCCCCTTGAAGACTTTTCCAACTCCATTTTTCTGGGTGGATTGATGGAAATATTTCACTACTGTTCTTCTTGATTTCTTTAAACCTGGACTCTCCTGGTGGTGTCCCATCCTAGCCACAAATGATGAGCACCTCTACTTCTTCCTCCTCAGAAGCCAAAAGGTTGCAGGTTTTATAGCGAAACTAATTACAATTTTAATTTACTTTCACACACACACACAAAACGGATCAGTGTCGATGTTGGTTTTTGCAGCATCTCTAATATTTGTCACGAGAGAGAGAAAAACCAAGATAGATATTCAGCCAAACCTACCAGAAATATATCTACATTACATGGGAAATAATACTTGACAAATTCCAGCCTCTTGGTGTGAGGTAGCAACATTATAATTATCTGCTGCTTTTTTTTCATCAACACGTCAAAATTGTGCATCCAGAAACCCATTTTTAAAAGTAGTTTATTTAATTTGGGGTTATAAGGGCTGGGAAAACAAAGACAGACTGATTTTTTACAAACCCACAAGATACCAAAACAAACTTAGCTTAGTCAACCAAAGGGTTTGAGAAATCAAAATGCGAAATAATGAAAAATCCAACCGAAATAAGAAACTGCATGGTAAAACTTTTTTTTTTAAAATAAACAAAAAATCAGGAGACAACACAAATTAGAAACTGCAAGCTGGGAAAAAAAATATCAGCAGGCCTCGTAGAAAGGCCAGACAATTTAAAAACACGGTGCAAAAATGCGCTCACACACGGACTCTTGGCCTCTCAAGAGATTTGCTACAAATATGAAACCCTTAAAACTTTGGGGAACCACAAAGGATCCAACATGTTGCAATAGGGAGATTAATCCGGGGAGAGTTGCACTTAGCAAATATAAACATAAATCTATGTTGCTACAATTCTTAGTTTATTGCTTCTTTCAGGGAGAGATTGCAAATAAACAAAGGGGAAAAAAAGTAACAAAATAAATGTGGATCTGTGTTTGCCCACACAAGGGCCAAGCTGGGCCTTGGTTTTTTTAATCTACTAGATCCACAAAACCTGTAGGGGGTCGGGGAGGAGAGACAGGATCTACGGGCCACAAAAATAATAATGAAATATCCCACAAACCCTATCACAACATTTGCACGCAGTTTTGCTCCAGGCAGGAAATCCTGAACTTTTGAATTTCAACTTCCTCCCAAACATCGCTCTCTGTGTCACCAGTTTTGGATTCCTGCTGGGACACCCCCAATTTAAATTAAAAAAAAAAAAACAAGCCAGGGTGGATCTCCTGATAACCCCCAACATCCAAAATCCAGGTAAAAGAAGATTTTTTTTTTTTTTTTGGTGTGTGTGTTTAAAGCAGGTAACACACAAAGCCACCGAACCGGATCCCAAAGAGAGGTGCGCACATCGAAACATGCTTTCATGTTAATCGCCCTGTCTCCAATCCAGGCGCCCCCTTTTTTTCCATCAACGCCACCCCCCAAAAATTGCAAGCTAAAACCCCCCACAGAAATGCAAATTTCGCCCCCCCCGCCCCAAATAATAAGCATCACCTTTTTTAAAAACAAAAACATTTTTTTTTCCTCTAGCGCATGAAAGGAAAAAAAAAAAAAAGGAGACGGAAGCCATTGCATTGCTCTGCTTGGAAACGCCAGGTGTGTCGTAGTGAAAAATGGGAGAGATGCCCGTCGGATTTTGAGGATGCTTTTTTTTGGGCAAAATGCAACCAGGGGGAGAAAAAAATAAATAAATCCAGAATGGTGTTTGCTTGATGCCCAGCGGGCAGTTTCGGTAGCCCCTTCAGCACCCCAAAAGGTGGGTGGGTGGGGGGCATGGATGATTGTGGGGAGGGGGTCAAGCATCGCCCAGGCCTGGTTAGCTAAGCGACACCCGCAACCAAAACAATGGAAAAGCTAACCCCTGGTTGGAGAAAAGCAGCAACAGCAGCACAAAATGGCAACACAACCACACACACAGAGACAAGGGGAGGGGGGGGTGGTTTGAGCTGGGGGACGACACCCTCAAGAGGCCAGTTTGGTTCAGATCCAGGAAAAGGGGGGGGGAAAAACCCCCCTCCCCAAAAAAAAGAGGAGGGGGAGAGAGAAATAAAAAATGCCATTAAGCCAGGATTAAAATGCCGCTGTTGTTGTTTTCAAAGAGTTGTTTGCAAGACGGGAGGCGTAAAAATAAATAAATAAGAGGGAGGGGTCTGGGGGGGGGGGGGGGGGGGGGGGGGGGGGCCAGAAGGAGAAAAAAAAAATACATTAAAAAAAAAATAGGGGTGTGGGGGGTTTCCAGACAGGCCTTGCCAGCCCAGGACGACCTCCAAAGAGTCCCCCCTCCCCAGATTTAAAGAGGGAGGGTCTGTTGCAAAATAATAATAATAATAATAATCATCATCATCATCATCATAAGCACTCAAAATAAAGAGTTGGAAAACGGGGGGGGGTGAGAAAGGGGGAGCGCCCCCTCCCATGCAACGTCCTTGCAAAAAAATAAAAATAAAAAGCAAAGCAAAGCCCCCCCCTCTCTGAAATGCACCCCCTCCCCTTTGCAGGGCACCCCCGATTTTTTTTGCAATGGGGAGAGGGGGGGGAGTGCAAAAGCTGAGGCGAGGATGCTTTGCTTTTGCACTGGGGCTGGGAGGGAGGCCAGAGAGAGCCAGGCCTCCATCTTACGACCGGCCGCCTCTCCTCCGTCCCCCGGCGGAGCCCCCCAGCGCCGCGGCCGCCCCCCGATGCCCACCTGTGGTGCTTGTGGGGAGCCCGGTGCTTGTGGGGAGCCGGGGGTCGGGCGGGCGGGGCGCCTGGGGGCGGCGGATGGCGGCGGATGGCGCGGCGGCAGCGGAGCTCGGCGCGGCTTGTGCTGCTGCTGCCTCTTCGGCGTCTCCTCGACTGGCCCTCCGCCTCTCGCCGCTCGCCGCCGCCTCCCTCCTCCTCCGCCTCCGCCTCCTCAGCAAGGCCTACCAGTCCCCGGGCTGGAGTGAGCAGCTCAGCCCGACGCGGACGGGCCGGCGGAAGGGGACAGCGGCGCCTGCAGGGCCCGCCGGGGAGAGCAAGGGGGAAGGTGGGGAGGGAAAGAAGGAAGGGAGGAGGAGAAGAGAAGGAAGGAAGGAAGGAAGGAAGGAAGGTCAGGAAGGGGAAAAGGAAGGAAGGAAGATAAGGAAAAAAGAGATGGAAATGAGAAAGAAGGAAGGGGAAAAGGAGGGAAGGAAGGAAGGGAAGGAAGGAAGAAGGAAAGAAGATAAGGAAAAAAGTTGAAAATGAGAAGAAAGGAAGGGAAAAAAGGAGGGAGGAGAAGAAGAGAAGGAAGAAAGGTCGGGAAGGGAGAAGGAAAGAAGATGAAAAAATATGAAAATGAGAAAGAAGGAAGGGGGAAAAAAGAGAAAGGGGAGGAGGGAAGAGAAGAAGAGAAGGAAGGAAGGTCAGGAAGAGAGAAAGGAAAGAAGAAGGAAAAAAGATGAAAATGAGAAGGGAGGGTAAAAGAAGGGAAAAAAGAACGGAGGAAAGGAGGGAGGAGAAGAAGAGGAGGAAGGAAGGTCAGGAAGGAAGATAAGGAAAGAAGATGAAAATGAGAAAGGAAGGGAAAAAGAAAGGAGGGAAAAGAGGGAGGGAAGAGGAAAGGAGGGAGGGAGGTAAATGAGGAAGGAGAGGAAGAGAAAGGAAGGAAAAAGGAAAAGGAAAAATTAGAAGGGAGGGAAAGAAAGAAAGGAAAGAGAGAGAAAGAAGGAAGGAAGGAAAAAATGAGAAAGGGACAGAAGGATGGTGAGAAGGAAAGAAGGGAGGAAGGGAAAAGGAAGGAAGGAAGGAAAGAAGACCAAGAATTAGAGAGGAAGGAAAATGAGAAAGGAAGGAAGGAAGGCAAGGAAGAGAGAATGAAGGAAAAAATGTAGAAAAATGGGAAGGAAAGAAAGAAGGAAGGAAAGGAAAAAGAAAAGGAAGAAAAGAAGGGAGGGAAAATACGGAAGATACCGATCCTTAGAATGAAGGAGAGTATTCCTCTCCTGAAATTGACCAGCCGTAATGGAACTGACTAGAATGGGCCAAATGAATTTTTGATTACAGAATTGCTTGATATAAAAGGGGGGGGGGGAAGGTTAATGACTCCAGCTTTCTGCATTCAAACATAGTTTAGCCAATAAACTATGGTTTAATAATCCCAGCCTGGATTTTCTTTTCTACATGTACACACCGTCCGTGATGCAAGAATCTTGCTTTGCGCAAACAGCGGATCCTGGAAACGGGGGACCGGATCCTTCATCTTGATGCTCGGAATTAGTTCATACTACGCACCTTCTCCCAGCCCGTTACTATGAATGCCATGTTCTCCAGAGATTTATGTATCTCCAAGGCAACCCATCAAACTCAGGAGAACAAATAATACCTAACATTTTGTGCAAACAGGTAGAAGAGTGAACAAGGGGAGATGCGCGCCAGAAAAACAATTTTAAAAAATGTGTGTTTTTATATGCGGTAGGTGTGTGTAGGTAATATTTGTTAATATTTGTACATTGCCCAGAGAGGATCTTTACGAGATGGGCAGCTATATAATTTTGATAAATAATAAATAAATACTTTTAACGATATGGCATTTGAGCAATCTTTTAAATAGTGTGCATGTTACATATCTTAACAATATTGAGTTTGAATAATATTTAAAAAAATAGGTATAGTACATACTTTAACAATCGCAGAATTTCAAAAATATTTTAAATAGTGTGCATTACCTTAACAATACACAGTTTAAATGTTAAGTCTGTCATGCACTCTTTAACAATATACAATTTAAATATATAAAGAGTACATACGTACAACATGCTTTAACAATCCATAACTAATATTGCGTGTGTACGTCATTCTTCCACCGTCTATTTAAATTAATATGCGTATTCATTTAAAAGCTTCCAAGCAGCAGAAGAAAAATAGTAGGATAATCGGGTATCTCCACAAGATGGAGTCCTTGGAAAGCCGAAGAGCCAATATTAAGGCCAAATGACCAAGGAAATAATTGTCCAACGGCTGGATTTAGAATGCAAAGTTTATATGAAAGAATCATCGGATAATAAGGTTTGGAAGGGACCTCGGAGGTCTTCTAGTCCAACCCCCTGCTTAGGCAGGTAACCCTACACCACTTCAGACAAATGGTTGTCCAATCTTTTCTTAAAAACTTCCAGTGTTGGAGCATTTACAACTTCTAAGAAATTTCTCCTTAGTCCTAAATTGCTTCTCTCCTTGATTAGTTTCCACCCATTGCTTCTTAATTTTTCCCCAATTCTTCTCTTGGTTAGACAAACTTAGTTTACTTAACTATCATATTATTTAGCGTCCAGACCACTTACCTTTGTTACTGGTTCGGAACTGTGAGTGCTTGCTTTGTTTGCACGTGGCACTTCTGCGTCCGTCATGACGTCCGGGCGAATGGACGGAGCCTCCCACCGCCGCCACTACTGGTAGAAACTCACCACTGCTCCAGACCCTTTATTCCCTTTATTGCTGTTCTCTGCACACTTTCTAAGATCCTAGCATCTTTTGTGCATCATGGAGACTGGAACTAGGCACACGATTCCAAGTGTGGCCTCACCGGTGGTTTACCTGATGTTGAAATTATCCCTCTTTTGATGCAACGCAAGAGTACGCCTCCAGTGTTGGTTCAGAATAACAATGTATATACCGTATTTTTCGGACTATAAGACGCACCGGTGTATAAGACACACCAGGATTTTGAAGAGGTAAGCAAGAAAAAAAAAAGATTTTGCCCTCCCCGGGCCCCAGGAGCACTCTGCAGGCCTCCCAAACCCTCTGCGCATCCTGTTTTCGTGAAAAACATGCCCATTTTTTGCAAAAACGGGACGCACGGGACGGGGCTTCGGGAGGCCAAAAATGGCTGTATTCGGTGTATAAGACGCACCAACATTTCCACCCTCTTTTGGGGGGGGAAGTGTGTCTTATACTCCAAAAAGTACGGTATATATAGAGAGAGAGAGAATAACAGGATTGGAAGGGACTTTGTTGGTGAAGTCGGAGAAACTATACCGCCGTGATGGCGAACCTATGGGCACCCATGCCCGAAGTTGCACACGGAGCCATGTTGCCTGGCATGTGCGGTGGCGTCCGTTCCTCTTTCGGGTTTCTGTCATGCATGTGCATGTGCCGATCAGCTGGCCTTTGAGCGTGCGGCACAGCTGGAAACCAGAAGTGCTGGCCTTCCGTTTTCTGGTGTGAGCATGCGCGCCAGTCAGCTGATCGGTGCATTCTCATGCGTGGCAGTAACCGGAAGACTTCCTTGCCAGCACGCCTGGGTGTGCTGGAACCCAGAAGTACCTTATGTGTGCCATCGCTGGACTATACCATATTCCTCTTTTATCTTCCTCTCTGTAGAAAGTTTCTTGGTTGTCTCCGGCGAGCTCTTTCCCGTCACCGTAATTTCTCAGAGGCTTCCAAAATACAATTCCAATTTTGTGCTGATTCAGGCAGAGAATTTTCCTTGCTCAGCTGGCTGGAAACGTCTCCACTTTTGCCAACTGCTTCCTGCTTAATCGGCAGCTGAAGAAAACCACCATCTCAAACCGCTTCACCCAACGTTTTTTTTTTCCCGGCCAGCTTGGCATCTGTGCTGGCCAGAAAGGACACTGGTCAAGGAGGTTGACAACACTGCAGGAGGAGCTGGCACCTCGATTTCTGATGCTTGCAGTTGCTATCCGTCCTCATACGTTAGTCCTCAACTTACGACTGACACTGAACAGCAGACGTCTGTTGCTAAGCAAGACAGGACACTGATCAAGGAGGTTGACAGCACTGCAGGAGGAACTGGCTACCTCGATTTCTGCTGCTTGCAGTTCCTATCCATCCTCTGTACATTAGTCCTCGACTTACAAACCGCAGACATTTGTTGCTAAGCGAGACAGTTGTTGAGTGAGCTTTGCCCCCATTTTACAACCTTCCTTGCCGCAGATGTTAAAGAGAATCACTGCAGTTGTTCAGTTAGTCACACCGTCGTTAGAGGAATCCGGCTTTCCCCTCTTGTCAGAAGGTCGCGAAAGCAGATCCCCTGACCCCCGGGACACTGCAGCCGTCATAAATATTAGTCGATTGACAAGCATCCGGATTTTGATCAGGTGACCAAGGGGATGCTGCAACGGTTACAAGTGTGAAAACCGGTCATAACTTGAGTCACTTTTTTCAGTGCCGTTGTCCCCTTGGAATGGTCCTTCTTTCTCTCTCCTATTTTGGTAACCCCAAAATCTTGCCAAATTATTTGGCGAGGTGCTGCCCTCAAAAAAATCCGTACCTTAGAGATGACTAGCACGCCTGAGCTTTGCAAAGGCAGCTTCACGATTCCTTCGGAGCCCATCCGGCTTAAAATTAAAAGGCATCCAATATCTTTTCTTTTTTTTTCCCCTTCCAAAGCACTGCAATTGCTTCTCTGGTGCCTGAATTTTCTTTCCTTTGAAAGAAAGATCAAGAAATGTTACACGGAGTCTTTTAATGGGATGCTGGTTGTTTTAAATCAAATTATGCAGGGGATGTTGTCACAGTCGCTTTTCAACTCAGCGGTGTGCTGCCTATCCAGGCTAATGTCTGGATAGGAAGAAAAAAACATGGAGTGCTAATTAAAGTATTAAAACCCAACCATCCAAAAGCTCATTAAACGAGAATGCATTAGTAAGAAGTAAAGCACAGCGTCTATCAAGGTTTTGGTTTCAGCCGGAAGACGGTTGCCAAAGCAACATTCAACCCTGTAGTCTGAATTCCCAGCTTGAACTGGTCAGCCGCTGTCCAAGGTGCTACTTCCTTGGACACGGAGTTGATCTTGCCTTGTTTTCCAAAACTAGGATTAAACTCTCACTTGGGGATCACGGGTGGGAAACTTCCTGAACGCCGATGGACTAAAACTCCCAGAGTTTGGGGGAGTTATGTTTCACCGATGATCATATTAATGTGATGATGATGATGAAGATGAGTTATCCGTTCATTCGTGTCCAACTTTTAGCAATTCTGTAGGCCTGGTCTCTCCATATCTTCTGACCTTACACTACTTCTTTCAGTTGTTGCTTTCCTCTTTGACCGCTAACTCTTCCCAACATAATTGCTTTCTCCAGTGAATTCCCACGGATGGCATGGCCAACGTAAGTGAGTTAGAGTTTTGTGATTTTTGCCTTCTAGTGAGATGTCTGGTGTTCATCTTTACTGTCCAAGGAATTTCAGCGACATCTAAAAGAATCACGTCCTTGGCTTCATCTTGAAAGAGATTTTGGTTTTTAAGATGCTTGTTAGAAGACAGATTTGTGAAATAGTTTACAGAAAGAGCCAGATCTACCCCATGTTTTGCTGAGCACGCAAGACTTCAAAAGTTTGCAAAAGAATCAAGGGGACCTTCATGCACAAATACATTAAGAAAACAGAGGTGTTTGTTGCATGGTGATTTAAGTCATCTAGAGTTTGTGGAATCATGGAAACATACGGCTGGAAGGGACTTTGGAGGTCTTCTAGTCCAACCTTAAGGAGACCTCCAATTTTTTTTTTTCTTGAAAGCCTCCAACGATGGAGCACCCACAGCTATAGGAGGCAAGTTGCCCCATTAATCATTCTCACCAACAGGAAATATTTCCTTACTTCTAAGTTGTGTCTCTCTTTATTAAGCTTCCACCTATTGCTTCTTGCCCTGCCTTCAATTCCTTGAGATTCCAGCTTTTCCAAATTTTGGGATCATAATCTTCCCATTCTTCGCCAACGTATTTTGAAAATCCGAAAACTTAAGTCTGCCTCAGCGGTTAACGTTCAAATCAAATGAAATCCAATCTCAAATCAAAACTCAAGTCAAATCTCAAAATCAAATCCAAAGCCAAGTCAACTCAAAGCTTTATTAAGATCATAAACCAGCATAACCAGTTCACATTTAGTGTGGAGAGCTTAGGGCAATACAAGCCCCAAGGCAATTCAATTCAATTTGATTTAATTACATTACCTTCATTCAATTTGCCGAGGATATTTCCACCGCCCCCTCCCAAAACCCGGCGACCACAGAGAATTCAGATGCTCTTAGATGGATCTTTGAAACTCATCAGCTCTGAGGATAAAAGAATTATAACGGAGAGTTATCCTTCCATCTGCAACGGTTGCTATGGAGACGGGAGCAAAATTCTTCCCTTTTGGAGGCGGTTGTGTGGACCCACTGATGATGGGGGGGGGGTTTGCCTCTCCGTGGGGCTTCAATCTTGGGAAAAGCACCACCAGTCGTTTTGGTTGCCCCAAAAACATTTGTCTGAGCTCTTTTACTGAATATCAGAAAGAACGAAAAAGACCAAACTTATCAGACCCTGTATTACAAGTTAAATTCCAGCCCCATCAAGTGAGAAAAACTCCAACGATATTAGAAAATCCTTCTTCTTCTCGATCATCCAATGTAGTGAATGAAGAAAACAGCCCTATATACCTATAAGTTGTCCTTTCATTGGTCTACTTTACTCTCTTAAAAGTCAAGTCATTGTTTCGTTCACCCCAATTTTAGCCTCGCACTTTCTCTGTGAGGTTGGGGGCGGTTGGCTTCCCCCACAACTATGGTTTAAATAAGCAAGTCAGAGAGGCCTCATTTGCATAAATTTTGCCCTGCATGAACTAGAAAAAACATTTTATTTGCTTCAATGAATCCTACGTCAAGGCTCCTTCAACCAATATCACCACATAAGCCACAGCTTTGACTCATCCTTTGATGGTAAAGTCAGGTTTACAATTTCAAGACTTAGCTTGGCTTCCATTATGCCACCTCAGCCATTGTTGTTCTGGTTTATGGCTCACCATGACCTGACCACCAATGGTGCAACAAACCACATTTAAATACGTGGGAGATCAAGTTATTACTCTAAGCTCAGACTTCTCTCTAAGTCAAGGTCCTTCAACCATGGCAATGACCAGGGAGATGATCTTCATCTCCCAGAGTTCCACAGTCAGCCTAGACATTGTTGAGAATTCTGGGAGTTGAAGTCCACCTTGAAGTTGCCAAGACTGGGAAACATTGCTGCAAATCATACGTTTGTGGGTTTGATTCCACTTCTGCACAATAGGTGAATCCAGGTTTACATCGGAGGATCCACTGGGTGGGAACTTGGCTACTGGCTTGTAAATTTGAGAGCTAAGGATGCTTTGAACTGGATTACGATTTCCGCCTTAGTCCACCGCCTTACCCCGGCTCGCTTAATGGTTCCTGAATTTTGCTTGGCTAAGAAATTGGCAATAAAACAAGGAAAAAATGTCTAAGAGATACAGAATGCTCCTGTGTCATTGTCAATAATTTATAAGGCATGGTGTTAGTTTTTCCCCATGGTACATTGTCCAAATGCATTAATTTCAACTTCCAGAATTCATCACCTGGAAGCTGAAATCCACCTTTCTGGAGGAGGGGGGGAGGGTCCTTGAGTTCCCAGAATTCTCAGTGTTGACCAGATGCTGGTGGGGAATTCTGGGAGCTGAAGTCCACCCTAGTTGAAGATGCCCTTCCTCTCCCGCAGTTCTCTCATTCTGACTAGAGAATTCTGGAACCTGAAGTCCATAAGTATGGAGGTTGCACTTCATCTCCCACAATTCTTAGCAAGTGACCATACGGACTAGGGAATTCTGGAAACTGACGTTCATACATCTGGATGATGTCCAAGTTGGGAAAGTAGGCAGAGAAGCTGGGATGTCCAAGAACGAGAGTCTCAACAAAACTGGTGGACACCTCAATTTAGGCAAGGAAGTTCATCCTGTATTTCTCAACCGTTATTAAATTCTACGATTGTCTCCAGATTAAAAAGCAAGAGCTATGAGATGTCTCAACAGCCAGATAGCAAGAGAAAGCAATGTTATTATCCTTGATCCTTGGATTTGCTTTCTGGTTGGAATCATGGGGGGGGGAAAACAGCCAAATATCAATCAATCAATCAATCAAAAATCAATCTCAAAGATTCTCAGATGAGGTTGCTACATGAGACAGAACGGTCTCTTCAGCTTCGTGAGGTTCAGATCCATCGCTTATTAGAAGAACAAACTTCTAGGAAGAACTTGGAAGAACTTCTAGAAGAACTCTTAGAAGAACAAACTTCATGGTTCTTTTGCAGAACATCTCCCTTTCGGAGAGATCTCTTGCCTTGTCCGTGTCCTCAAACAGAAAATGAAAGGATGCTGATGAGGACATCACTCCACTTCACCACATAGAAATCAACATCTGGCACGTGTTGGAGGACATCCAGAGAATCTCCACCAATCGGAACTGGATGTAACCAAAGACAAACCCGGAGAAGACATCGGTGACATGGTGGCGTCCCACCATGATTCGGGAGAGTCCCACTAAGAAAGCCCAGAGGATAAGAAGAATACGGAGTGGGACTGCTAGAACGAGGTGGTTGAGGAAGAACTTGGACACCATAGCAGCCCGGCTGGCGTGACCAGCAGGGAAGGCGTAGACATCCATCGTCAGATAGTCCAAAATGCCCGGGCTGACATCATAAGGACCTTTCCGCTTTGCCATTTTCTGTAACCCGGCTACAATGATGATGTCCAGGAGCAGAGCTGTAGGATGGATGAGAAAGAAAGAGAAGGAAGGAAGGAAGGAAGGAAGGAAGGAAGGAAGGAAGGAAGGAAGGAAGGAAGGAGTGGGAGGAAGGAAGGAAGGAAGAAATGGGAGGAAGGAAGGAAGAAGTGGAAGGGAGGGAGGGAGGAAGAAAGAATGAGAAAGAAAGAAAGAAAGAAAGAAAGAAAGAAAGAAGTGGGAGGGAGGGAGGAAGAGGTGGGAGGGAGGAAGGAAGGAAGGAAGGAAGAAAGAAAGAAGTGGGAGGAAGGAAGGGAGGAAGAAACAAACAAACAAACAAACAAACAAAAAAGAGGGAGGAATGAAGGAAGGAAGAAGTGGAAGGAAGGCAGGACGGGAGGGAGGGAGGAAGAAAGAAAAGAAAGAAAGAAAAAGAAAGAAAGAAGTGGGAGGGAGGGAGGAAGCAAGCAAGCAAAAAGTGAGAGGAAGAAAGGAAGGAAAGAAGGAAAGGAAAGAAGGATAGAGAGAAAAAGGGTAGGAACAACAAGTTAATAATTATATACAATTTAGTAAATATACATTTCTTAATTAAATAAATACAACCTGTGTTTTTCCTAATGCAATGAAGGGATTGGCTTCAACTCACCCAACCAGTGTTCACATCTAAGACATGACTAGAACTCACCGTCTCCTGGTGTTTGGCCCAAAGTCACCCAGCTGGCTTTCATGCCTAAATCGGGACTACAACTCACCATTTCCGAGTTTCCAGTCTGGTGCCTTAAACACAAGACCATACTGCCACCCAAAAAAAATTGACTAAAATTTTGGGAGTCAGGGCGGTGAAGCGATAGAAGAAGAAAGCTGATTTATGAACGCACACTGCAGAAAACATTATTCTGGGTCAGTCGAAGTGAAGACATCAACCTCTCTTACCCAAAACTGGAGTTGTGAGTTACGCAACAAACTGGCCAGGGATTCTCCCTCCCTCCTAAGGGCCATGTCCTTGGGGGGAAAAAACACTGTTTGTGTATCTGAACCAGATACTTTAGTGTGGCTTCTGCCCAGTTTTCAGGAACATTCGTCCAGACAAACGTGTGCCAAGGAAAGATCGTGTTGCAAATAAGTTGGTTTCCCGCAGAGCATTCTCAGCTCAAATCCAATTTGGGAATTACTGGGAGCCCAGAATAGCCTCCTCGGGATTCACACTATAGTTCCCTTTGCATCATCTTTGAGAGAGAGAACCCTCGAAGAAGGAGGGACCCCAAGCAGAACTCTTGGGAAATTCACAAAGTTGTCTTTATTTATTATTTCTTCGGCAACCTTCAGAAGGTGTTTATGCATGCATGTCTTCAGATGGTTGTTTTATCAAGTGAACCATTTATAATCCTTACCAAATCTCTATCATCCATCCATCCATCCATCCATCCATGTCTCTCTGTAATCTCCATCTATCTCTTTAATCTATATTCATCCATTTTCCCCAAATATCTATCTCTCTAATCTCTATCCATCCATCCGTCTGATCACTCTCTTTCTCTAATCTCCATCCATCCATCCATCCATCCATCCATCCATCCATCCATCCATCCATCCACTCTAATATCTATCTATCTATCTATCTATCTATCTATCTATCTATCTATCTATCTATCTATCTATCTATCTATCTATGTCTTTCTAACCATCCACCTATCATCCATCCATCCATCCATCAGTCCATCTCTCTCTGTAATCTCCATTTATCTCTCTAATCTGTATTCATACATTTTTCCCTAATATCTGTCTCTAATCTTTATCCGTCCATCATCCCTCTGATCACTCTCTTTCTCTAGTCTCCATCCATCCATCCATTCATCCATCCATCCATCCATCCATTCATCCACTCTTTCTAATATCTATGTCTGTCCATCTGTCTGTCTGTCTATCTACCTACCTACCTACCTATCATCTATCTATCATCTATCTATCTATCTATCTATCTATCTATCTATCTATCTATCTATCTGTATTTACATAATCTCTTTCTATCATTTTGAAGGTTTCAACAATAGTAAGAACTAGTACAAACCAAAGTACAATGAAAAAAGAAGAAGCTAAAACAAAAACAAAAAAGGAGAAGAAAAGTAGAAAAGAGAAGGCATAAAAAAAGATAGAAAGAAGTATCTCCCGCTTTGCCCAAAAGGTCGAGGTGACTGACTAGGTGGCTCAGTGACTAAGACAATGAGCAGTTCGGCAGTTTGAATCCTTAGTACAGGTCTCCTGCTGGACTAGATGACCTTGAAGGTCCCTTCTGTTACTGTCTAAAGGGCTTTCCAATCATTGATAAACGTGGATTGTGCTGTTTCTGTAACCGGATCCGTCCGTGTAGCCGTTTCAGCAAGTTTTGTCGCCTTCCATGGGAGGTTCCATCTTTCTCCATAGGTAATTTTGTGGCAGTTATCATCAGTGGTGAAATCCAATTTTTTTTACTACAGTTCTGCGGGCGTGTCTTGGTGGGTGTGGTGTGTCTTGGTGGGTGTGGCAGGAGAAGAATACTGCAAAATCCCCATTCCTTCCCCACTCCTGGGGGAAGGATATTGCAAAATCCCCATTCCCACCCCACTCTGGGGCCAGCCAGAGGTGGTATTTGCCAGTTCGCCGAACTGCTCAAAATTTCCCCTACCGGTTCTCCAGAACCTGTCAGAACCTGCTGGATTTCACCCCTGGTGATCATATATATAAAAGCAACAGCCTTCACTGGATGTGTGTGTGTTTTTTTCAGAAGGCTGTTATAAATACAAACGGAACCCAAGCAGAATTCTTTGCAAAACAGGAAACGCTCCGGTCGTTTAAAGCGAGATATGAACCACATCGCACATCTGGTTGGGGGGAAAATTCTCAAACTTTAAACATTGCGCTTAGTTAGAAAAGCTTTAGTGAGTCGCCTCCCGTTGCAAAAATTGTTGCAACCTCTAACCTTCACTTATCTTGCTTTAAGATAGGAAGAGTGAGTCAAAGGCCTTCTTACACATTGCTCAAAGACACAATCACACACACACACGTCTGCTTCGTTGCTAGAACAGGCTGAGTCCTGAAATATTCATAAGCGAGGCCGCCTTGCTAGTGGAGAATGTTTATTTTTTGAGCAACCTGGCTTCCAATCTTGCAACAAAAATCCCCTCTTCCACGTCCTTCGAGGCCTTGGATTGTCTTCAGGAAACATCTTGAATATGCCCTGGTTTTTTGTTTTTTTTCCCCTTCTTCTCCATCTTTCTGACCGTGTGTCGGTTTAGATTAGAGAGGCAACGCGCAAGAACGAAGTGCTCTCTCCCCTTGGTGTTTTCAAAACCCTTTCCCCACCAAAAGATTATCCATTTCTTCATCCTCGGGGTGGTAAAGGAGAAAATATGGAGACTTGGAAGATAAATAGAGAGGCAGTTTGGCCTAGGGGGTTAAGGCACCAAGCTAGAAACCAGGAGACGGTGAGTTCTAGTGTCGCCTTAGGCATGGATACCAGCTGGGTGACTTTGGGCCAATCACCAGGAGACGGTGAGTTCTAGTCCCGCCTTAGGCATGGATACCAGCTGGATGGCTTGCCAATCACCAGGAGACGGTGAGTTCTAGTCCTGTCTTCAGCATGAAAAATGGCTGGGAGACTTTGGGCCAATCACCAGGAGACGGTGAGTTCTAGTCCCACCTTGGGCATGGATACCAGCTGGGTGACTTTGAGCCAATCACTAGGAGACTGGGAGTTCTAGTCCTGTCTTCAGCATGAAAGACGGCTGGGAGAATTTGGGCCAATCACCAGGTGACGGTGAGTTCTAGTCCCATCTTAAGCAAGAAAGTTGGATGATGCTCTCTCTCTCTCAGGCCAACCTACCTCAACAGTTTGTTGTTGTGGGGGAAAATAGGAGAGGGAAGGTGCATCAGCTATGTCAGGCCCCTGGAGTTATTTGTAAAAACAATAAAGGCGGATACAAATAAATAAATAAAAATAATAGTTTCTCCAAGGGCCTCGCCAGGTTGATTGAATCACAGAGGTATGTTTTAAAATCTTCCCTTCTGGAAGGATCTGGAGAAAGCTAGATTCTCAGGCCTGATTTGTCCCACCATGGAAGAACTAACGTTCTGAGAAATTTATCTCCAGACAGGTGAACTTTCTCTTGTTTTTTATTTGGAGATAAATTTCTTTAAGAAATAAATTTCCTAGTATACTACCCCTGAAAACGGAGGTTCAACAGACTTATCCCAATAAAAAAAACCAACTTTTCCTTAAACAAAAACGAATTTTCAGCATCCTGTGGCCGTGAACTGTGTTTAAACCAATATTTTCCCACCTGATTTGGAAGTTTGCTTCAATCTTTTGACAGCTGGGCCTACTTGCGGATGAAACCCTATGCTGAATTTATTTGGAAGTCCCAAATAAACATCAGACAGTGCTCCCTGAGAATTCATTACAATATGTAATACAATATGAATTTTTGCTTGCTTCTGGCTTTGCCAGGGGTCTCTGCTGCTAGAGTATTATCAAGTTTTCGGTTTGATTAGCACTGTACCCATTTCACAGATGAAGGACTGAGTTTGAAAATAACAATGCAGCCAGGGGTTAAGATGAGGAAGATAAAGGAGTTAAGAAAATAGGAAAAACAATGAGACTTATGGAATCTCATTGTATAGGATTAACTGTGTAGGAGAAACAGGGGAAACGAGATGATCAGATCTCATTTCGTAGCGTTAATTATGTAGGAAAACAACAAGATTATAGAATTTCGACCTATGGGATTGAGTAGGATAAATGGGAAAAACAGTGAGAATTGTGGGATTTCTTCGTATAGGATTATGTAAAAAATAGAATAGAATAGAATTTTTTATTGGCCAATTGTGATTGGACACACAAGGAATTTGTCTTGGTGCATATGCTCTCAGTGTACATAAAAGAAAAGATGTGGAGACTCTAGAAAGAGTGCAGAGAAGAACAACAAAGATGATTAGGGGACTGGAGGATAAAACATACGAAGAACGGTTGCAGGAACTGGGCATGTCTCGTTTGATGAAAAGAAGGACTAGGGGAGACATGATAGCAGTCTTCCAATATCTCAAGGGCTGCCCCAAAGAAGAGGGAGTCAAGCTATTCTCCAAAGCCCCTGAGGGTAAAAAAATAATATAAATTAAATAATAAAAAAAAAAGAAGCAATGGGTAGAAACTAATCAAGGAGAGAAGCAACCTAGAACTAAGGAGAAATTTCCTGACAATTAGAACAATTAATCAGTGGAACTGCTTGCCACCAGAAGTTGCAAATGCTCCAACACTGGAAGTTTTTAAGAAGAGATTGGATAGCCATTTGTCTGAAGTGGAGTAGGGTTTCTTGCCTAAGCAGGGGGTTGGACTAGAAGACCTCCAAGGTCCCTTCCCACTCTTGTTATTCTATTCTATTCTAAGTGAGTAGGACAAATAGGAAAAACAGGGAGAATTATGGAGTTTTTTCCCTTATAGGATTGGTTGACAGGATAAATAAGAAAACAGGGAGAAGGACAGAATCTGGGGATGTTGAGAGGAGAAAAAGGCAGAAGGTCCAAGGAAAGAGAAGCTCAAACCACTTACCCAAGAGGAGGTTGAGGAGAACTTCCTGGCCAGCTAAGGTGCTGCTTTTGACCAAACAGATGAGGGTCCCTCCGACCCAAGGGATACCGTGCCCGGTGATGCCAATGAGGTTGACCATGGAGCGGGCATTGCCCCAGGCCGCTGAGTTGCTGGCACAGACCCCCAGCCGCTTGGAGAGGGAGATGTCAATGGCCAGCAAGGAATTGTAGGCGATGCCTTTGAAAGAAGGGTTCAGTTGCATGCAGTCTTCTTCCGGCAGCAGCTGCTGAGACGGGCGCTGCTCCTTGGACCCCTCGCTCTGGGATGGGGCAGGGCCCCCTTGGCTGTTCAGCCTCCGGGGGAGACTCCGAGACTCCTGGGCATTTTTCAAAGGCTGGTTGAGGGAGAGGAATTCGGTCCGGTTCAAGACATTGTTTCTCTCCCGGGCCCTGGCTCGGTTGGAAACGGCTGGCATGGTGGCACGTTGTCTCTATAGGGGAGGGAAAAAAGGAAAAAAATTCGGCCGTGGAAGCCCTCCCCCTCCCCTCCCTTGCTTCTCTCCGGCTTAAGCCTCGGGGTAGTCTTGGCATCCCCCTCCTCAAAAGTCATGAGGTTGGGAAGCTGCCCATAACTCTAAATATAGACGCTGCTGGAAGGGGAAACCCACCGATGGCCATAAACATTGGCTTTCCAAACCCACCAAGCTTGGAAAAAGAGGAGGGGAGGGAGGGAGGGAGGGAGAGAGGAGGAGGAGTGGGGAATCATTGACAGCTAAATTAGCCACTCTGGCACCTGAGAAAGGCCTGGGCATCCAATGGGTAGAAGTAGAAGGAGGGTGGAAAATCAACCTGAAGGTTCGGTTGCTTTTAGGTTGCTCTCTTCCCATTTTTTGGCTGTTTCTTCTGGGGCGGGGGAAGGGATGATAAAAAGGATGCAAACGCCACTCCGCCACTCCACCCCCTTTGCAACTTCCTACGCCCCTCGGTGCCTTTTGGGCTCCAGGGGCTGCAGATCCCATCCTCCCCGGCTGACAGGGCTGGGATAATGGGTTCTGGAGTCCAGGGGTGGGTGGGGGTTGGAGAGCAGCTGGCTGGGCTGGGGTAGGCAGCGAGGGATTCTTTTCTGAGCTGATGAAGGGCCAGAGAAGGGAAGAGAGGGTTTTGCAGCCGTTTATTATGTTTTTTTTTTCCCCTCTTCTTCTTTTTTTTTTGTTTGTTTTTTGTTTTGGAGTTCTTTCCATTGCAGCTTTTAAATTAAATATGAATGGAAAGCGGGGAGGGTTGATGGGAAAAATCTCGTCCGCTGGCTTTTGCTGTCAAGAAGCAGTTTTGTTAGTAAAGAAAGGGAAAAGATGGAGAGAGAAAGAGATGAGGGAGGGAGGGAGGGAGGGAAGGAAGGAAGGAAGGAAGGAAGGAAGGAAGGAAGGAAGGAAGGAAGGAAGGAAAAAGAGAAGAGGGGGTGGAAGGAAGGGAGGAATGAAAGAAGGAAAAGCAGAAGGAAGGAAGAAGAGGGGAGGGAGGAATGGAAAAAGGAAAAGAGGAAGAAAGGAAAGAAGGAAGGAAAGGGAGGGAGGGAGGAAGCAAAAGCAGAAAGAAGGAAGGAAGAAGAGGGGGAGGGAGGAATGGAAGAAGGAAAAGAGGAAGGAAGGAAAGAAGGAAGAAAAAAGGAAGGAAGGGAAGCAGGGAGGAAGGAAGGAAGGAAAAGAAGAAGGAAGGAAGGAAGGAAGGAAGGAAGGAAGGAAGGAAGGAAGGAAGGAAGGAAGGAAAGGACTCTGTCATGCAGTATTATGATTTCAAGGTGCAGATACAAACTGATGACCCATTTGGACTGTTCACACATCGACTTCACCAGCTCAGGTCAATGCTGAGAAACTGCATCTGCACAATTTATTCAAATATTGCAAAGAAGCGTTTTGTTTCCTTTTGTTCTATTTTGAGCTTGCACTGTGAAAACTCAATCTGCTGGCTTGGCTTTGTGGTCCGGTGCTTTGCATCAACCCAGGAAAAAGGGCTATTTTGGTAGGCAGGTGGACCGCTTGGATGAATATAGCTGAGAAAGGGTGTTTTTTATGGACTTGCCTGTTGATTTTTCATCCTGCACACCAAATGTACATCCCCCCCAGATTTCATCCCAACACTCAAGAGATCATCTGGGCTGAGAGAAAAACACAATTCCAGGATGAACCTCTGAACTCAAAACTGTTTGGATCTTTAAGTGTTGTGAGGTGCCATGAGTGAATAGAATAGAATAGAATAGAATAGAATAGAATAGAATAGAATAGAATATAGAAGAGAAGAGTAGAATAGAGTAGAATAGAGTAGAGTAGAGTAGAGTAGAGTAGAAGAGAAGAGAAGAGAAGAGAATAGTAGAAGAGTAGAGTAGAATGTTATTCTATTCTATTCTATTCTATTCTATTCTATTCTATTCTATTCTATTCTATTCTATTCTATTCTATTCTATTCTTGGAAGGGACCTTGGAGGTCTTCTAGTCCAACCCCCTGCTTACTCTATTATAGTGTTTGCATTGATTTTTATTTTAGGATGGCTTTAGGCTTAAGATTTTCTCTGCTCCCTCCTTCCCTCCCCCCCAAAAAAAGAACTTTCAAAAAAAGAAATCACACCCACACTAACCATGTTAAAGTCCTCGACTTAACAACCATCCATTTAGTGACTGTTCCATTCGCTTTTTTTTTCCAGGGCCGCTGGAACTTAGAACGGTCACTAAATGAATGGTTGTAAGTAAAAGACTATTGATAGTAAAAAAAAAAAAAGGGGGAAAAACTGGGAGTTGAACCTGGAGATTTAAAAGCATGCTGAACATTGGCTCAACTACGGCTTTCTGGTTGACATTTCCAAACCATCTCCAAGGACCGCCCCAGAGAAAGCTCGCTGCAGTAGTCCAGCCGAGACATTCCCCTGTCGGAAAAATCCGAGAGTGAGATTTAAGCATTTTTTTTTTGCTTGGGGGCCCAAAACTCATTCTGCAATCCTATCTATAATAGGTCATTCTGCAAAGTTCGGAAACTCTTGGATGGATCTGGAAGTTTTTAGCAACGAAGGTGTAACGTGCCTCTTCTAGCATGGTTTGCTCGTTGTTGTTTCTATGCAGAGCCGGCTACAAACCGGGTTTGTCTGGCTGTCGCTCTTCTCAGTTCAGATTTCCAAGGTGGCGGAGACAGGCTGTCACTGCTGCGGTCCTGGGTCTATTTTGGTCCTGCAATCTGATCTCTTGGCCCAAATCTATTTTAGCACCTTGGACAATTCTCAGTATACAAAATTCCAGGCAGTCGAGAGTCCCCAACCAGTTCCTTTCAGACCCCTGAAACCAAGTTAGTTGGTAGAGTTGGAGGACAAAAGGGGTTGGGGGGGGGGAGAGGGAGGGCGGATTGTAAAAAACCAGATTCTAATTCCGTATTTTGGATTAGAGCTGTAATCTCCAGGCTGCCGTATATTACAAAAACTTAAAATAAAATCCTGTGCGGTTTGGGCGGGAAAAAAAAAAACTATTTCAGAGATTGACCGTAGAGGCTTAAATCATTTTCGACACAGATCACAGAAAGAAGTGACTCTCTCCTATTCCTGTAGACCTTTAGAAAACCTGCAAAAGGTTCTTTGGGGAAGGGAGGGAAAAATCCAAGATGTATGATATGTAGGAGGGCGTATGATAGGTAGAAATCCTGTTGTGCTGTATTCTTTTTCCTGTTTTACAATAATCTTTCTGTGGGTTTAGAGTGTAGGTTGCTTAAAGTTCTATCTCGCTAAAGAAGCCTATATGTTTAAATAGATTAGATAGATAGATAGATAGATATGGATGGTAGGTAGGTAGGTAGATCGATCGATCGATCGATGGATAGATAGGCAGGCAGGCAGGCAGGCAGACAGACAGACAGAGACAGGAAGATGGATGGATGGATGGATGGATGGATGGATGGATGGATGGATGGACGGATAGACAGACAGACACACAGACAGACAGATCAGACAGAGACAGGAAGATGGATGGATGGATGGATGGATGGATAGATAGATAGATAGACAGAAAAAGGAAGATGGATGGATGGATGGATGGGAGAGAGAGAGGAAGATGGATGGATGGATAGATGATAGATGATAGATAGATAGATAGATAGATAGATAGAAAGAGAGAGAGAGAGAGAAAGGAAGATGGATAGATGGATGGATGGATGGATGGATGGATGGGAGAGAGAGAGAGGAAGATGGATGGATGGATGGATGGATGGATGGATGGATGGACAGACAGATAGAGAGAGGCAGGAGGATGGATGGATGGATGGATGGATGGATGGATAGATAGATATAGATAGATAGTAGATGGATGCATAGAGATCATAGATATAGATAATACATAAATAGAGGATAGATAGACACACAGAGGATAGGTAGACAGAAAGAGAGAGAGAATAGATAAATAGTGGTGACAGATAGATAGAGAGATGATAGAGAGATGACAGAGAGAACCAACGAGAGAAGCAACCTAGAACTTAGCAGAAATGTCCTGACAGTGAGAACTCTGGTTCAAGAAGAAACCATACAGCCATCTGTCTGAAATGGGATAGGCTCTCTCCTGCTTGAACAGGGGTTGGACTAGAAGACCTCCAAGGTCCCTTCCAGATCAGCAATTCTGTCATTCTGACTGGAAAGCAAAACCACCTGGCCTAAACCCAACCAGGGTAAGGATGGATGCACACCACACCATTTGTGTGCGCAGAGGGTCTTGGGAATGCTCTGTAGCATCTTCACTGAGAGAGGCAGACTCACAGCTCTCGTCCCAGGACCAAATCTCTCTCTCTCTCGGATGAGTCTTCTTATCTCAACCACAGGACAGCCTGGCTTCTGGGCTCCACACCAGCTTATCACCAAGATCCAGGAGACCTTAAGCTACCATTCCAGGTCACTTCTGAATCGTGAGGGAGGAAAAAAAAAATCCTTTTAGCTTGTCTTGCTTTCTGCCAACAGTACATCAAGAGGTGGAACTGGGCCAAGGTCATGCAGCCAACTGGGGGACACTAGGACCCAGCCATCTCTTCGTCCCACACCAGCACCAGTCCGCCAGGCACCTAGGATCCGCAGTCACAAATCGGAGGGGGGGAAAAAAACACCCAACAACCACACAAAAGAGAACAAGGTTTTTTTCTACAAGGGCGATGGAGGGGGACGCAAAAGCAGAATGGAAACTACAATACCCAGCATTCCTCAGACTTGGAAGGCACTGCCTGGCGCTTTCAAAAGTGCTGCAGTTTGGAGATGGGGGGGAGGGAGGGAGGGAGGGAGGGGGAGAGAGAAAGGGGGGGTTGGCCGCCCTTCTGTTCGGGACTCCGCGTCAAGGCGCACAGCCCAGAGGGGGGCGCCGGGTTGGCGTTCAGGACGGACTGCACCTATCAAGTTGCCAAAGAGGATAAAACAACCTGCTCTCTGCGAGAGGCCCCGAAGTAGTCTAGAGATTGATAGATAGGCAGATAGATAGATGATTAACAGATTAACAGAGTTGGAAGAGACTTTGTAGGTCATCTAGTCCACCCCCTCGCCCAAACAGGAGACCCTACACCAGATAGATAGATAGATAGATAGATAGATAGATAGATAGATAGATAGATAGATAGAGATAGATAGATAGATAGAGATAGATAGATAGATAGAGATAGATAGATAGATAGATATAGATAGATAGATAGATAGATAGATAGATAGATAGATAATTAGATAGTTAGTTAGACAGGCAGAGAGAGAGAGAGAGAGAGAGAGAGAGAGAGGCAGATAGACAGACAGACAGACAGATAGATATAGATAGATAATTAGTTAGTTAGTTAGTTAGTTAGTTAGTTAGTTAGTTAGTTAGTTAGTTAGTTAGTTAGTTAGTTAGGCAGGCAGGCAGGCAGGCAGGCAGGCAGGCAGGCAGGCAGGCAGAGATAGATAGATAAGAACAGAATAACAGAGTTGGAGGGGACCTTGAAGGATGGATGGATGATACATATTTTTTTTTTCTTTTGCAAAAGTTTGGTCGCCGGTGCAACCCATAAAGCCGGGAGCCCCGGACTCCTGCCTTTCACCCCCCCACCCCACTCGCCTCTTTGCCCGCGGGCAGGGAAGCGGGCGAGTCGTGCAAGCAGGGACGCAAAAGAGGTCAGACCCCAAAGCGCCGGCCCGATTCCCTGCTCCCGAAGCAAGAAGGGGCGAGGGTAAGGGGTGGGGGGGGCAACCGGGCATCAGGATTGCGGCGCGCTCCTGCCTAGCGCGCGGCTGGGAAGAACGGGGGGCGCCACAACTACCACCCCCCCCGCCGCCTTTGCGCGGAAGGTGGCTGCGGATCCAAGGCAGCCGGAGCCAGGCGCGCGGGGCTGCTCCTTGGGGAAAGGCGAAGGGGGCATTCCTTCCTCTCCCCAGCGGGGGGGAGGGGGTGCGGGTGGGGTAGCCAAAAGGTGGGGGCCGCCCTGCAGACGACCGGCTTGTCCGGGCATCTTCCTCCTCTCCAGCAGCCTTGCAAAACAGCGGAGAGTGGCGAAGGTCGGTGCGCAAGCTTGCCAGAGCGAGGCAGTCCGGAGATCCCCGGAGCTGGAGGAGGAAGAGGAGGAGGAGGCTGCACGGGGCTGGATGAAGGGCAGCGGAGGGACGAGCCAGCCAAGCCAGGGAACTGCCCGCCCCGCGCCGCCGAAGACCCTCTCCGAGGCCGGCAGAGGCGGTCGCAAGGCGAGAAGAGGAGCAGAAGACGCACCGGCGCGCGGGTCCTCCTCGCTTCCTTGCGCCTGGCACCCCCGCCGCCGCCGCCGCCGGGGCTGGCCAGACGCTGCAAGGAAGGCGGCAGCGGGAGCATAGCAGGCGAGGCAAAGGCTGGGGCCAGCGAGGAAGAGGAGGCGAGGAAGAGCGCGGCGGCTGCGGCGTTGGCCGGCTGGGAAGGACGCGGAGACGCGCGCAGAGAGACGGAGGGCGAGGAGGAAGCGCCACCGGGGAGGGGGGCGCCCAAGAGGAGCCCCCTGCACGGCTGCTGGCCGCCGGGGCCGCCTCCCCCCCCCACACACCTCTTTCAGGTGGGGGCCCCTCCGCGGGGGAGGGGGGGCGGAGAACGTGGCGGCCGGCGATTGTGAGGTGCCTTGCGCGGTCACCAAAGGCGCGATTGATGCGCAAGCGAGTGGCGGAGCTGGGGATACACTACTAGGGCGCCCAAGCAGCCGACGGTGGGGAGACAGCGCAGGAGCCTCAGACCCGGTTTTGAGCGGCGGGGGAGGGTTAAAAAAAAAGAGAAAGAGACAGAAAGGGGGTGAAACCCCAAAAAATCACATCCAATCCAATCCAGAACCCGCCAGAGGAGGAGGAGGAGGAGGAGGAGGAGAGAGAGAGAAGGGGTCCAAAACACAACACGGAAAAACAAACCAAAACACAAAAACCCAACATCCAACCCACGAGAGAAAAGTTGAAATCAAACTTTTTCCGCCTGGCTTTCCAGCACCCCGACTTCGCTTTTGGAGAGGAGACCGCGTGGGAGATTGAGGTGGGTAGAGAGGCTGGCCGCAAAAGAAAATTACGCGTGGGCGTGTAAATGCTTTTTTTTTTTGGGGTGGATGGATGGATGGATGGAATTGTCCACTGGTGATGAGGACTCAGTGAAAAAAGCTGGATATTTTAGAACCTCTGCAAACTTTGAAAGAAGATCCTTATTACAATTATTAACACTATTCCTGCCCAAAGGTGAGTAAAAGGCTTCAGAGACCTGAGCAAGAGAACATCCTGGGTCAGAAATAAGTAATTCTGAATTCTGAATTAATGGCTCTGAGAGGAACCTTTTGCTTCCATTCTCTTATTTTTTTGCCCTTCCTACCGTTTTGCGGATGTGACTAAAGAAAAATCTACAAACGGAAGGAAGGAAGGACAGATGTGTCTGTTCACTTAAGAACTCTTCTTCGGAGGAGGCCTGGAGAAGGTCTTGACTGGCCTCACTTAAGACAGCTTATTTCTAAAACAGGGAGGGTAACCCAGGACTGTTAACAGCAAACACACAAATTGTGATCCACCTTGAAAACTGGTGAAGATTGTATTGACAGATTTGGAGAGTCAAAACTGGACTTTGGATCATTAAAACTCCTGTAAGTTTAAGCAGCCTTTACTGATTGTGGCCCAATTTATTTATTTATTTATTTATTTATTTTCTCTTTCTTTTCTTTCTTTCTTTCTTTCCTTTCTCTCTCTCTCTCTCCCTCCTTCTCTTTCATTTTCCTCTTTCTATCTCTCACTCTCTTTCTCTCTCTTTCATCTACTATCTATCATTCATCTATCTTCTGTCTCTATCTCTGTTTTCTCTATATATCATTTATCATTTATCTTATTATATCTATGGTATCTTATCCATCTGTCTATCTATCTATCTATCTATCTATCTATCTATCTATCTATCTATCTATCTTATTTCCCACAACTCTTAAGCCAGGAATCAGGTACTACATGCTGATATATATATTTCCTAATATTTCCACTTGGAGCTCATCTCTTATATTCCAATACAGTTTACAAAACAGGGCAAACTTTAATTTAATTTTCATTTAATTCATTTGAGTGCTAATATTTATTCTTGTCACGTTTTCAGCTTTTATTCTGTTCCTTTTACTCATGCTGAGCTGCCCAGAGTTGTCGCTTGGTCAGATGGGCAGCAATATAAATTTCATAATAAATAAATCTGCAGGACCAGAAAACTGTGACTATTTACTGAGCTATTTTTGAATGGTGTTTTTTTTTTCTTTTTTTACACCTGGGCAAATGTTTTTCAGTAGCTGAAAAAGGAGATTAAATAAGAGACAATGGGTTAAATATATCGAAATTTACCAATTTGGGCTTTTGCTTGGGCAATGCTTGAAAAAAATCATTTTGGCTGTTTCAAAAACAAAATTAATGCTTTTTTTTTTTCTGCTTTCCCAAAGGGGAAGTTATGAATGAATCTCCATCAGGAAGCGAAAATTTGAAGCCGTCACCGAGAAACTAGAACCTAGAGATGAAAGAGAAGCATTTATTCTTCGCCTTCATCTTGTTTTAAAAGATTAAAAACCAGAAGAGAAAGAAGAAGAAGAAAAAAAAAACCCCAAAGAAATATATCAAAGCAAATATAAGGCCAGTTGATTGTAACTCACCGATCAGGGAATCGAAGACAGCTGGTTAACGGTCTTTACACACACATACACACAAATCAAGCAAAAGTGGATTTTTGGACTCCCATCTTCTCGCTTTGGAGCAAAAGGCGTGGATTTGGCTCCGTGGCACGGAGAAACTTACCCCCTAGGGCAAAAAAAAAAAAGAATTTTGATTTATTCAGCCTGCCAGAAACTGGTTCAGGCCTTCTAATGAGAATGCGTCTTCTATCCTATGGATATCAGTTTTGAATTGACCGATGAAGAAGATTGTTGGTGCCTTCTGGCGATCGTGCTGGTACTTTGGGCCATGGGCTGTATCCAAAGCATCAGCTGCAAGGCGAAAGGCTTTCGGGAGAGCATCACCGTCTTGGAGATCAAGACGTCCATTGACCCCGTCCCCACCAACATCGACGAGTCATCCAGCGTGGTGTTGAGATACCGCACCCCGCATTTCCGCGCTTCGGCGCAAGTCCTGTTGCCTCCGGTGCCCAAAAAGGAGACCTGGATTGTAGGCTGGATACAGGCTTGCAGTCACATGGAGTTTTACAACTATTATGGTGACCATGGCATGTAAGTGACTGTCTTTTTTGGGGGCGGGAGGGGTGGAGAAGGCGGTTGACAGGGTTGGCTGGACTAGTGCCATTGCAAGCCAGGCTGCCTCTCTGCATTTTTGGCAGGATATAATTTTGGGTTTATTTAAGGGGTAGTGCAGTGTTTCTCAACCTGGCCAACTTTTAAGAATTCCTGAGCCAGCATGCTTTGAGATGGGTGGACTTCGACCTCTAGAATTCCCCAGCCAGCATTCTTTAAGGTGCATGAATTTCAACTCCCAGAATTCCCCAGCCAGCAAGTTTTAAGATGAATGGATTTCAACTCCCAGAATTCCCCAGCCAGCAAGTTTTAAAATGAATGGATTTCAACTCCCAGAATTCCCTAAGATGCATGGACTTCAACTCCCAGAATTCCACAGGCCAAATGCTTTAAAAGGCATGGGCTTATCAGAATTCCCCAGCCAACATGCTAGGAATTTTGCGAGTTGACGTTCACACAGCCTAAAGCATGCTGGCTGGGGAATTCTAAAAATCCACCCCTCTTCAAGTTGCCCAGTTGCTGAGAAACACTGGGTTGGCATATTGCGCAACTCCAGAAAATGTAGGTTTAGTGTGTGGAAAAGTGTGTGTGTGTGTACGACACACAGTTTTTCACCATCAGCATATTGCCGTGTTAACTTCCTCTTGGTTTAACACAAGAAACCTCCGGAGGACCGACGTAAGCAAGAATCCAAGAATCACCTCTGCCAAGCCCGTTAAAACTCACAACTCTACAACAGAGGTCAAGATTCCCCCTGCCATTTCACGGCAGGGCAAATAGAGGAGGGGGCACAATGATTTGAGGGCAATTTGCAAGTCTTATATGATCCCAAAGTCGCCTCTCCTGGATAATACGAGGCTGCAAATTTGTAGATGCCCTCCTTTTAAACCTTGAGCCGTTGTACTGAACATGTTGTCTTTATCTTTTTATAATTTCAGTGATCACAATTTATCATGATCTTCTTTAACTTCTAGGCTAGAGCGCTCTCTGATAGGTTTCCATCAGTTACTTCTTGTCCTGCTGTCTAAAATGCTTTGGAGAATAGGCCAACCCCTCTCATCCCTGTGACAGCCCATCAAGGTCTGGAAGAAAGCTATTGTGTCACATCTCATCTTAGAACAGAATAGAAAAACAGAGTTGGAAGGGACCTTGGAGGTCTTCTAGTCCAACCCCCTGCCCAGGCAGGAAACCCTACCCCACTTCAGACCAATGGTTATCCAACATCTTCTTAAAAACTTCCAGTGTTGGAGCATTCACAACTTCTGGTGGCAAATTGTTCCACTGGTTAATTGTTCTAACTGTCAGGAAATTTCTCCTTAGTTCTAGGTTGCTTCTCTCCTTGATGAGTTTCCACCTGTTGCTTCTTGTCCTGCCCTCAGGGGCTTTCTTCCTACCCTCAAATCTTTCTCTTTGTTAGACTCCCTAGACATACCGTACTTAGTTGCCATCCTAGCCTCCAATCCTCTTATCACCTTTCTTGCTTTTCTCAGCACTCTTTCGAGGATCTCAGCATCATTTTCTGTACATGGTGGTGACCAGAATCAAAGTTGGTTGAGATTTAGGAGTTTTATGGCATTCAAAGCCACTCTGGTCTCAGACAAGACTCCAGTCCAGTGATGGTTAACCATTTTGGTGCCAAGTGCCAAAAGCACACTCACATGCGCGAATGTACACACATGTGCCCAAACCCCCAAAATGCAGTGCGAGCGCCCCCCCCCATGCATGTGCCTTGCCCCATGCACATCTCCCGCAGATGCGCCCCCTCGCACATGCTCCCTAGCCACCCCAGGCCCCATTTTGGCTTCCAGGTTGGTGCAGGAGGCCTTCCATGTCCAAAATGAGGTTTGGGGGTGGCACGTGCATGAACCCCCAAAATGCAATGCGAGTGCCCCCCTGTGTGCGCATCCCTCACAAGTGTCCCATGCCCCGTGCATGCATGGCAGAGACCCAAAAGACCAGCTGGCCAGCGGAAGGCACGCACTCATGAGTGGTGAAGCTGGGCTGGAGAGATGGCTGGCGTGTCCGCAGAGAGGGCTCTGCGTGGCACCTGTGGCACGCATGTCATTGGTTCGCCATCACGGCTCTAGTCCTTATGATGCTGAGTTAAATCACCCTGGGATGTAGGAAACGCCTTATCATTGCCCTCAAAGCCCTTGTGGGCACCCGTCCAGCCTTATCTAGTCTTTCAGCTCAAGATTGATTGATTGATTGATTGATTGATTAATTGATTCGATTTATATGCCACCCTCAGGGTGACTTACAATGCGTTAAGCAATAGCCTTCATACTTTTGTATATACCTGCTTAGTAGGGCTTTCGGCCCGCCCTAAGCGGTGTTCTTTTTTTTATACAAAGTCAGCTTATTGCCCCCACAATCCGGGTCCTCATTTTACCTACCTCGGAAGGATGGAAGGCTGAGTCAACCTTGAGCCTGGTGAGATTTGAACTCGCACTAATTGCAGGCAGCTGGCAGCTAAGTGCTAATTAACAGCACTTTAGTCCGCTGCGCCACCAAGGCGCCAAGATTGTCTGAAGCTCGACCATACTTAGCTTACTATGGCATGCTGAGGCATGGCAGGAATGCTTGAACCCCTGACACCTGGCTGGCTGTTAACACAGGAAGTAAAAGAGGAAGCTTGCTCTGAGTAGCCTTACCAGCGCAAGAGCAAAAAAGGAAGTTGAAAACAGCAGGCGTTAAAAAGAAACAGCCATCTGCAGAAGAAGATTAGGGGTTTGCTTCCTATTTAAATCTGGCCTTGTTTTTTTTTTTTTTTAAAGAAAAGGACTCTAGAAAGGTGCAGAGAAGATCAACCAAGATGATTAGGGGGCTGGAGGATAAAACTTATGAAGAATGATTGCCGGAACTGGGTATGTGAAGAGGAGGATCAGGGATGATATGATAGCAGCCTTCCAATATTTGAGGGGCTGTCACAGAGAGGAGGAAGGCAGTCAACCTGTTCTCCAAAGCAGGAGAAGAAGCAACGGATGGAAACCAATCAAAGGAGAGAAGCAACCTAGAACTAACGAGAAATTTCCTGACGGTGAGGACAATTAATCAGTGGAACCACTTGCCTCCAGAAGTTGTGAATGCTTCAACATTGGAGGTCCTCAAAAAGAGACTGGAGAGCATTTGTCTGGAATGGTATGGGGTCTTCTTCATGATCATTGCAGCATCCCCGCGGTCACTGATCACAATACAGAGACTTGGCAACTGACTCATATTTACGACGGTTGAATTGTCACCTTTTGCGACCTTCTCACAAGCAAAGTCGGTGGGGAAACCACAGATCCACTTAACAAGTGTGTGACTAACTCAACAACTGCAGTGATTCACTTAACCACCGGGGCACCCAAGGTTGCAAAATGGGGCAAAACTCATTTAACCAGTGTCTTGCTTAGCCACATAAATTTTGGGCTCAACAGTGGTCGTAAGTCGAAGACGACCTGTACTAACGAGGGAGCAAAAGACAGAATATAAATTCCTGATGGAGATCAGATGGAAATAAAGTAAAAGGCAAAGGTTCCCTTCGCAGATATGTGCTAGTCGTTCCCGACTCTAGGGGGCGGTGCTCATCTCCGTTTCAAAGCCGAAGAGCCAGCGCTGTCCGAAGACGTCTCCGTGGCCATGTGGCCGGCATGACTCAACGCCAAAGGCGCACGGAACGCTGTTCCCTTCCCACCAAAGGTGGTCCCTATTTTTCAACTTGCATTTTTTACCTGCTTTTGAACTTGGCAGAAGCTGGGACAAGTCACAGGAGCTCACCCCGTTACGCGGCACTAAGGATTTGAACTGCTGAATTGCCGACCTTTCGATCGACAAGCTCAGCATCTGAGCCACTGAGCCACCGTGTCCCAGTTCCAGATGGAAATAGCCTTTGGAATTATGCTTGCCCATCGGTTGGGACCTGTTTTGCTTATGGGTTCCTGTTTGGAGTTGCACGTAGTGGGGGAAATAGCAGAATAATCACCCCAAAAGGGCCACGCCATCCTTCCTGGCTTCTTGTTCTCAGCCCCAGCAAGGCCAAAGATCTCCAAAGGGTCATTCAGAATCTCAAACATGTCTTGGTTGGGAGCTGAAAGACACCCGTTTCCTGAGGAACGTCAAGGAGACTTCCTTAAATTTGCAGGAACAGATGAGTTTGGAAGATAGTAGACGGGCGAAAGGGCTTTTATTTTCGCAGATGTGCGTGCCAGGCACAAGGGAAGTCGACTCGCAAACGGTGGGCAGGATTGGCGGGGGCTTAGAAAAGATGGTGGGCTGGACCCAGCTGTTTGGGGGGGTTTGTTTTGCTGCAGCCTTGAGCGAAATAAACCAGGATGCTCCTTGTCGGAGGCAGATAACGTTCGCTTGATTTCCAGGCGGCAAACCAACCGAGCATTATCTGCAGATCAAGGAAGTCACCTTGGAGGGACAGAATTCACATGGCGGGCAGGCCAGGAGAAGGGCTGGTTAGCCGATGGCCACACCTTCCCTGACCTAAGAGGTTGAACAGAAAGGCATCGGCTTTCCTCCGATGCACCGAGTAGTTACTTATTTATTTGGCATTTCTTTTATTTATTTAGCAGATTGCTTGCGGCAGGTCACAAAAGCTTCTGCCTTTCAAATAACACCTGGCCAATTATTTATTTTTTTTACATCCCTCTGTTTTTGACACACACACATACAAGCAGACATAAACATAAAACAATATCTATCTCTATCCATCCATCCATCCATGTCATCTCTCTCTCTCTCTCTGTCTCTCTATCCATGCATCCATCCATTTATCCATCCATCCAACTACCTATGTGTCTATGTGTCTGTCTACCTTCCCACCTCTTTCTCCCTATCTCAGCTATCCACAAACCTATCCAAGCTGTCTTTCTATCACTCTATCTCTCTACTCTCTTCCATCCATCTCCTATCTATCCCTCCCTCCCTCTGGGTCATCTCTCTCTCTCTCTCTCTCTCCCCTCCTCTCTCTTTCTCCAAAGCACAAAGAGGGAAGCAACCTAGAACTAAGAAGAAATTTCCTGACAGAACAATTAATCGGTAGAAAAACTTGCCTCCGGAAGTTGTGAATTCTCCCAACACTGGAAGTTTTTAACAAGACATTGGACAACCATTTGTCTGAGATGGTATAGGGTTTCCTGCCTGAGCAGGAGGCTGGACTAGAAGAGCTCCAAGGTCCCTTCCAACTCAACTCAACTCAACTCAACTCAACTCAACTCAACTCAACTCAACTCTTCTACTCTGCTCTGCTCTGCTCTGCTCTACTCTACTCTATTCTACATTATCTATCTACCCTTTGTGTTTATTTTTTTGTAACTCTCAGTTGGGCAAAGCGATGCATCCCAGCACAGCAATTTTCAAAGCACTACATTATGACTATCATTAAGTGTTGTACCTTATGATTCTTGACGAATGTATCTTTTCTTTTATGTACACTGAGAGCTTATGCACCAAGGACAAATTCCTTGTGTGTCCAATCACACTTGGCCAATAAAGAATTCTATTCTATTCTATTCTATTCTATTCTATTCTATTCTATTCTATTCTATTCTATTCTATTCTATTCTATTCTATTCTGGAATGAGCCCAAAATTTGGGACCATGACTCCTGTGGGATTGAAATTTGGCCGGTCCCCTGATTGTCCTTTTCAACGCTTCCTGCCAGCATCCTACAAGGAAAATCAATGGGGAAGCTGGTGGGAAGTCAAAAATTGCTTTTGAATGGCCCAGCCATAATCACTCTGTCTTTCTGTTTAGATAAGGAAATATCTCTGAAATAATGACCCAACAAGTTATGGGTTCTCTATTTTGTGTGTGTGTTATATAATATGTAGTAGGCATACACTGTGTACATATGGTTTGTTTTTAACTCTTCTAAAAAATACCAATTAAATTATGGTATTCCCATTGCATCACGCCAAGCTGATTGATTATACGCCATCAAATTCTGGTTTTCCTTCCTAGCGACTGCATGGATAGATTTTTCTACGATCGCATCCCTAACCCGCTCTTTCCAATTTCATGCTTTGGTTAAACAACGCTTATTCAATAAAGCTCGGCTGGTTGGGTTGGATTGACAAGCCAGCGAAGCTGCAGTAAACCACGATTTTTGAAAACACGGGGTGGGGTTGGCTTCGCAAAGCAGGTTACATAAATAAACAAGCAAATGCTGAACTGAGAACCACGGGACTGGTTGACGGTTTGCAGAAAACTGGGCAGCATTTTCTGCCCTGCTAGGAATCTAAAAAGAGATTTCCACGGATCGCAGGCAAGAACTGAAACAGGAAGAGAGAATTTCGGTTTTGAAATTTGTTTGGATCAAGAGATGCAAAAAAATAGGGGAGTTTTTGAAATTTGCAAAGGCCTCTCTTTGAGTTTTTTTCTTTTCTTTTCTTTTTTACCTTGCTAGCAAACTATGAGGGCAGTTGCAAAGTTTCCAGTTGTGGTTATGAGCCAAGGATGATCTGTAACCATAGAACAATTCCGACGTCGTGGCAGTGTTCGAACAAGCTAAGCTCTTTGGCTGCATTTGGGAACTGATCAAGGAGAGAAGCAACCTAGAACTAAGGAGAAATTTCCTGACAATGAGAACAATTAATCAGTGGAACAACTTGCCTCCAGAAGTTGTGAATGCTCCAACTCTGGAGGTTTTTAAGAAGAGATTGGACAACCATTTGTCTGGAATGGAATAGGGTTTCCTGCCTGAGCAGGGGGTTAGACTAGAAGACCTCCAAGGTCCCTTCCAACTCTGTTATTCGCTTATTCCGAGTCTTCCAGTTTATTATTTTTTTCAATTGAAATTGAAAACTGGATAGAAAATTGAATGTAGAATGGGGATCCAGACTGGGAGCCTTCTAGTACATTACAACGCTTGCAACCGTGGGCAAGTATGTGGTAAAGCTTTTGTAAACCATTGTCCTTTAAAATAAATGAAAGTCTGGGGTTTAGTCATCTGGGAAGCTATTTTGAGGTTGTGATGACGAACGGAGAACCGCTTCTTTGCAAGACGCATTGCTTGGCGTTCAGCCACCTCTTTGGATGGCTGTCAAAGAAGATTAGGGAGGTTGAGAAGATTAGTCTCTCAGTCACTGCAGGCTACGGTTTGTTTGACTGTAGCTTGCTGAATAAACCACCATTGGTGGTTTTGCTGCATCCATTCTAGGCACAACTGAATCAACTATATGCTTAGGACAGTGTTTGATATTAGCCGATGAGCGTTAAGTCAAGATCGTTGCTTCTCACCTAAGACACGTGGACTTCAACTCCCAGAATTCTCCTCTGAGGGCTGGAGGATTCTGGGAGTTGAAGTCCATGTGTCTTAAAGTCACCAAAGTTGACAAACATTGAGATCAAGATGGCCCTAATTCACCTTCAGGCCCAGAGATAGCATGATCGTAGATAGATAGATCATAGACCTGAATTTTGATCATAAGTGTCGTGCAATGGTCGTTAAGCGTCGTATGTCACTTTTTGCAGTGCTGTTATAACTTTGGTCACTAAATGAATAATTGCAAGGTTGTATTTGTGGGGGACACTAACCGATTTGTGCCTTGCAGAACAATCCCAGGAACGATCGTGATTTGTTGGGTCCAGTTGAGTTGCCTTCTTCTGCCGTCTTCATGCTCACCTTCTATGAATTCTAAATTCTAAAACCTTCTTCAACCTGGTCCTTCTCTCTCACTTTCCGCCCAGGTCAAGTTGGGAACTTCCCGATCTCCTCGAGGGCAAGATCCAAGCCATCAGCGACTCAGACGGCGTCAACTACCCCTGGTACGGGAACACCACCGAGACCTGCACCATCGTAGGTCCCACCAAGAAAGAAGCCAAGTTCACCATCAGCATGAATGACAATTTCTACCCCAGCGTCACCTGGGCGGTCCCAGTGAGCGACAGCAACGTGCCCAAGCTGACTTGCATCCACCGGGATCAGAGCTTCACCACGTGGCTGGTGGCCACCAACACTACCACCAACGAGATGGTCATCCTGCAGACTATCAAGTGGCGGATGAAACTGGGCATCGACGTGGAGCCCAGCCATCCTCTCGGGCGCCGGGCCAAGCTGAGGGAACCTTCTGCTCAGGAGCAGCCCCAAATCCTCAGCAAGAACGAGCCAATACCACCCAGTGCCCTAGTCAAACCCAACGCCAACGATGCCCAGGTCCTCATGTGGAGGCCCAATGACGGGCGCCCCCTAGTGGTGATACCCCCAAAGCATCGGTAATCGGAACCCCCCTGTGGCAAGGGGGGGACAGAGGAACGGAGAGGGGTAAAACAAAAAAAAAACACTTCGTATTTATGAGAGAGAGAAAAAATCAGCAAAAACAGAGGTGCACTTTTAAACTCATTTATCAGAAAAAACAGACAAAATGCAGCCATTCTGCCTTGTCCCATCAGAACGGATCTCACTGTGCTTGCCAAGGTCAACTTTGAGGACTGCCTTCAAGATTTCTAGCCTGGGGGTGTGTGTGAGGGGAGGAGAAGGGGTGAGTGGGCTATCTGATTCCCTGATGCCCTGCTCTTACTTCCAGGTTTTTAAAAATTCGCTTTTTCCTCCCTTTGGTGGTTATCTGATGTTCTGCTTGGTGGACTTAAGGCGGGGCCGCTTCTAGAGAAAGGAAGGGGGAAAAAAGTGGGTTTTATTTGGAGGAGGGGGAGAAAAGAGGGGTGGGAGGCATTGGTTGGGATGGAGGAAGGAAGGAAAGAGGAAGAGAAAAAGGAGGGAAGAAGGAAGGAGAGAAAGGGAGAAGGAAGAAAGGAGGAGAAAGGAGGGAAGGGAAAGGAAAGGATGGATGGAAGGGAGGGAGGAAGGGAAGGAGGGAGGGAGGAGAGAAAGAAAGAGGAAAAGGAGTGAGGAAGGAAGAGAAAGAGAAGAGGAAGGGAGGGAGGGGGGAGAGAGGGAAGGAAGGAAGAACGGAAGGAAGGAAGGGTGGGAAGGAGGAGAGAAAGAAAGAGAAAGGAAAGGAGTGAGGAAGGAAGAAAGGAAGGAAGGAAGGGGTGAATGAATGCGGCAGAGTTCGTGGTGCACAAATGCGGACTGTGGATTTCCGTGGACCAGATGTGGATGATGGGTTGAAAGTGGTGCCTGTTTTCCATTTTTGGTTTCCCCCACCCAAAAGCCAAGTTGTGTGGCCTTACCCAGACGTTTGCTTTGCGTTGCCAAACATTTGCCTTAATCTGCATTTTGGGTCTCCATGAGCCTGGCAGGGAGAAGAAGGAGGGGTGTGTGTGTGTGTGACCAGCAAGGAATTGTGTTCTCCTTTTTCTTTTTAATGTGCGTGGCAGAAGCTTTACTGTAAGGAGGATAGGAATTGTCTAAAAAGACACCCCTTCTCCCCCACAAAAAAACCCGGTCTTGTTTCTGTCGTGGGGGTCGAACACACAGGCTGAAATGACACCGGTTGAGCTCATTTCTGCACCATTGGAACTTCTACCTGTGGCAGAAAGCCAGGTCTCTCATCCCATGGTTGAGTTAGGGTGTCCCCACGAATGCTGACAAAGGATTCGATTCCAGTGGTTTTTCCTTGATCATTTCCTATTTATTTTTTTCACTGTTTTTCCTCTTAAAAAAACCACGACGACACTTCCGTTTTCTTTAAGGGGGACTTCTCTCCCTTTAATTAAAAGATTCCTGTTTTAGAAATCCCCCGTTTTACAGCTTTCATGCCAAGCACAGCCGAGATCTTCCCTTTGTGGATTTGCACCGAGCAAAAAAAAGGGCCCTATTTTTTTATTGAAAAAAAGAGAAGAAAAAGGAAAAAAGAAAAAAAAAAGGGGGGGGGAGGGGGGAGGGAATCAAAGTTGAAAGCCTCTCCGTCATTTACGGTTCAGGTTGGAAAGAATGAAGATTCAGGATGCAGAACGATCAAAAGATAGTTTACCGCTCACTGTGCCCAAGTAGGAAGTAAGGTAATGGATGCAGAACAAATTTTGAATTACAGTAGTGGCCAAAATTGTGGAAACCTTTCCACAATCTTAGATACTTGAAGGCCACTTCTGTGTTTGTTTTACAAAATTCTGTCTACTCAGATGCACTGAATACTCCTTAAGTTTATTCTTCCAGGCTCGGTCTATCTTGTTCATAGTTGGTTTCATGTAAGGATGATGTAGAAAGTTGGTGATGGCCATCACTATGGACCAGTGGTAGGACATCGGAGGTGTTCCTCATGGGAGACTCCAGCTGTCATCAGCCACATCCGGTCTGCAGGGAAACAATGGAGATATTTCTCACCATGGTTTCCTTCCTTAAAAAAAAAAGGGGGGGCGGTTCTTCAGAACACTACAAAACCCAACAATGGCCTCCTCTTGTCTTCTGTAGAGGAGTGCGAAGTTCAGGAAGCAGAGGCTGACCTCATCCTGGAAACTTGCTTGGCTTGGTCTGACGGGCCTCCCCCCGCCTGGTCCTTAAAGCACGCTAGCTGGGGGGATTCTGGGAGTTGAAGTCCACGCATCGTCAAGCTGCCACATTTGAGGAACCCCAGTAACAAGAGTTGGAAGGGACCTTGGAGGTCATCTAGTCCAACCCCGCAGGAGACCTATACTAGGGATTCGAACCGCCCGAAGGTTCGACCGCCGTTTGTTCTTCTGGGTAACAGGATCCCCCTCATTGTATCACTGTGAATGGTTTTTGATTTGGGGTTGTCGAGCTCTTGAGCAGCCTCTCGGTACCAGTTCACACACACACACACACACACACACATACACACACACACACACACACACACAGAAGGGAGACAAGGGCCAAAGAATTCAGAAGGAAGGTGGGAGTTTACGGGGATTTCATCAGGGACAATGGGGACTGGCCCCTAGCCACTTCCACAACCAACTTTCTGCCTGGATTTTGATTCAGCAATAAGAACTGTTAAACTTTTCTCTTTCTTTTTTTTTTTGCAAAAATACTGTGAATTTACTCTGTGTGTGGGGTTGTTGTTTTTTTTTAAAAATACCAGGAATGGGCACTTGAAAAAAAGTGTTGAAATAATAATAATTAATAAAAGAGGTCAAGATGAAAAAAAAAAAAAGAATATTTCTGCTTTTAGGGAAATTAAAAAAAAAAGAGGAATGTTTAAAAAGAGCAAAGAAATTAAACAGTAATTTTTTTTTTTCAAAAGAGAAACGGATGTGATGTGATTTTATTTGTGCGAAAAACGAGGAACGGAATGGTGTGGAAGAGGAAAAAAAGACAAATACAATTGTCCTCGACTTACGACCACAATTGAGCCCAAAGTTTCTGTGGCTAAGGGAGAAATTTGTTAAGCGAGTTTTGCCTCATTTTATAACCTTTTTTTTTTGCCATGGTTGTTAAGCAAAGCCCTGCAGTTCTTAAGTTAGTCACAGGGTGGTTAAGTGAATCTTTGCTTGTCGGAAGGTCGCAAAATGGGATCACGTGACCCTGGGATGCTGTGACCGTCATAAATATGAATCAGTTGCCAGAGGCGTAAAGGTCTGGGCTATTGCCAGGTCATTCTAGCAGTGGAATAGCAGGGGTGAAATCCAGCAGGTTCTGACAAACTGGTAGCGGAAATTTTGAGTAGTTCGAAGAACCGGCAAATACCACCTCTGGCTGGCCCCATATCCTTCCCCCTGGAGTCGGGTGGGAATGGAGATTTTGCAATATCCTTCCCCCTGGAGTCGGGTGGGAATGGAGATTTTGCAGTATCCTTCCCCTGGAGTGGGGTGGGAATGGAGATTTTGCAATTTTGGCCACTACTGTGTGACAAGTAAGCATCATTTAATGTTCCAGGGAGACATCAGAAAAAGAGATGTCCAGCTCGGTGAAGGCTTTAGGCTGACATCTGTTTAGGTTGCACCTGTAGGAGCTCAGCATGGAGATATTTTTGCAGGGTTAAAACCAGGATCTTCTCTGCAGCTCAAACCTGTCGGAGGCTGAGCCAACAATGCATGGCATTTTGAGAGTCAACAATCTTGGCTAGAGCGCAGGTCTATTTCTGGCACCATGACGAAGGCCCACACAAGACGTTCGGTGGCCGGGCCGCCGTCGACAACTGCCAGATAACACCGGCTCCTCTGCGACGTTAAGACTTCAGAGAATGGAAGGATCGAAAAATAGGACAAAGGGTCAAAATTAGACCGATAGGTTGACAAATGCTTGGAATGTTTCTTGCCGCTTTATCATCCTGGTTGGCCTTCCATCTTTGTGGGTCAGCGAGAAGCACCGAAAAGGTCTGAAAAGTCAAGATGCAATTTGGTTTGGGCACGCCTGCAGCTTTGTTGTTCAGTTTTAAGTTGTGTCTTGATTCTTTGTGAGTCTTTTTTTTGCTGGGTTCCTATCTTAGGAAGAACCGACTTCAATCCGTGCTTCGGGAATGAAGACCTTCAAATAAAACAAATGTTCAGTTGTATGGGTATACTGTGTATACACGTACAATGACAATAAAGTTGTTATTTTTTATTTATTTTGTTCACCCATGGACCACAGCATGCCAGGTCCTCCTGCCCTCCCCTGCCTCCTGGAGTTTGTCCACGTCTGTTGCGTTGATGACACCATCTAACCGTCTCCTCTTCTGCCATCTCCTTCTCCTTTTGTCTTTCATCTTTCCCAACATCAGGGTCTTCTCCAAGGAGTCCTTTCTTCTCCTTTGATGGCCGAAGTATTTCAGCTTCAGGATTTGTCCTTCTAAAGAACAGTTAGGATACACCCGAACGAGTGTTGTGGTCCGCCAGCAAGACAGTCCTGGAGTCAGGGGAAGGTCCGGATGAAGGCTCTGCGTCGGAGGCAGAGTTTGAGGGCAGCTTCTAACCGACACAAATTAATGTTAAGAATTGGAGGACTCACTTTGCTTATTCAACCCGTAGATGGAAACGACTGTGTGATTCACTTAACAACCGGGGGTGAAACGAGGCTGTAAAATCGGCCCCGACTCCCATAACAGCCACTTTTGTTTAGCGACAGAAATTCTGATCCCGATTGTGGGGGTTAAGTCGCGGGTATCTGTATTTGTAACTATGTTTTATGGCTGGTTGTGGGCTGCCTGGAGCCTGTGTTAGGGGGACAGCTGGCCAGAAAAGGCCTGCGAATTAAAAAAGAAAATAATTTATTCTCTTCCGTTGGACAAAGTCCATTTGATCTGGCATACCAGAGATACTAACGGGAGGGGCCAAAGGATCCATCGCTGAGATTAACTCTCCGCCGATAACTGGATCCCGGCCAGCTCAACCAGCTGCCAAACTGGAATGCCTCTTCCTGCTTCTGGATCGAGAGCGATTGGAGAAAGGTATTTAGGGGGCTCCGCCATCCAGCCGCCGGTGTGGTTGTGTGTTAAAATACGCTGTCACGCCTTCGCTGTGTTGACGTTCGGGTAGGAAAGGGGCAACGCTAAGAGTTTATTGGAGAGGAGGAGGAAGGAAAGGCGTGTAAGGAGACGGTTATAAGGAACTCTGTCCGAAATTTAAGACTTCACAGCAGGGGTGAAATTCAGCAGGTTCTGAAGAACTGGTAGCGGAAATTTTGAGCAGTTTGGAGAACCGACAAATGCCACCTCTGGCTGGCCCCAGAGTGGGTTGGGAATGGAGATTTTTGTAATATCCTTCCCCCAGGAGTGGGGAGGGAATGGGGATTTTGCAATATCCTTCCCCTGCCACGCCCACCAAGCCACACCACGCCCACAGAATTGGTAGTAAAAAAAATAATTGAATTTCACCACTGCTTCACAGCCAATATTCACAAAAAAGCAGAGAGCATTTGTAGCTCAGGGTTGAACTGTAGAGTCCTTGATGCTCTCTAGGCTTGGAGACGTTTCATGACCCAACTAGGGAACGTCATCAGTGTTGGAAGGGAGGGACTAACCAACCCCACTGCTTTCTAACATTGATGACGATACCCAGTTTGGTTACGAGACGTCTGCAAGAAAATAATCAAGCTCAAAGGGCACCAAGGACCCACTATCCTCCTCTTCCTCCCTCCTTTCCTCCTCCACTCCACACAACCCATTAATTTTTTTTACACAATTAGCATAACTGTGTATCACAACTTGATGGCCTTAAACAGGGGCAGTAGTGGATAAATATTAAGAGACAACCAGTCAGAAAAAAGTGATTTTCCCCCCCCCTTCGATCTCAAGAGGGTCCCCGAAAACCGATTAGGGGGCTTAAGGGATACCGAAGGTTAAGAACGACTGAAATAGCCCGACATGCAGAAGATTCTTAATAGATGCCATTAGGAAGATAAAAGTCCAGCTGCCACAGCTGTCTTCCGTGATAAAACTCAAATGGAAAAAAAACAAAACAAAAAAAATTCCTGCACGAGAAGAGCTGCCTGCAACATAGCAATGGAGGCAGGAAAAAAAAAAAAAATCAAGATACGCCACGAAGTGGGCTTCGGCTCAGGTCTTGATTTTCACGTGGGCCTGCGAGGTATCCTTTCTCCAGGCTGCTATTTTTAGGAAAAAGGAATCCGGCGTCCTTTCCCCGACACAAAAGGAAAACGGTGAGCATCTTTTTTTTTTCCCTTTTTTAAAAAAAGGCTTCTAGTCCTCATGGTTTTGGAAAACGGGGAAATCGATCTTCTGGGTGCTGAACCCTTCCTTCCTTTTCCCATATCCTTCCTTCAGTCCTTTCTTTCCTTCCTTCTCCCATAACTACCCTTCCTTCCTTTCTTCCCCTTCCTTTTTTTCCACGTTTCTTAATTTTATTTTTATATAAACAATCCATTTTCCATTAACCAGCGTGTCATCTGGGTATAAATATTTTGTGCCAACATTAAAATACAGTTTTATTCATTGTTTCATCTCATCTTGGCTTAATTTCCAATCCCTTAAGCATCTAATATTATAACAACCCCATTGTGATTTATTTAACTCTATTAATTATATTAGAATAGAATAGAATAGAATAGAATAGAATAAAGTAAGAGTTGGAAGGGACCTTGGAGGTCTTCTAGTCCAACCCCCTGCTTAGGCAGGAAACCCTACACCAGTTCAGACAAATGGTTGTCCAACCTCTTCTTAAAAACTTCCAGTGTTGGAGCATTCATGACTTCTGCAGGAAAATTGTTCCACTTATTGTTCTGTCAGGAAATTTCTCCTTAGTTCTAAGTTGCTTCTCTCCTTGATTAGTTTCCACCCGTTGCTTCTTGTCCTGCCCTCAGGGGCTTTGGAGAATAGCTTGACTCCCTCTTCTTTGGGGCAGCCCTTGAGATACTGGAACATACTTCTATCACGTCTCCCCTAGTCCTTCTTTTCATTAAACTAGACATACCCAGTTCCTGCAACCGTTCTTCAGATGTTTTAGTCTAATTATTAACTAATTAATATTATACATTTTCTATTCTTTAAATAACTTCTTTTACTATAAATTCTTATGTCTTCTATTCTCTAACCACCGGCAAAAAGATTCCCAAATTGTATAATAATCAGTTTGTTCTTTCTCTTTGATAGCCAGTGTCAATCTGTTCAGTTCTGCACATTCTCGTATTTTTCCTAATCGCATTCTCATCTGTAGGGATCTCTTCACTTTTCCAATTTTGTGCAAATACAATCCTAGCTGCTGTTATAACATGAACAATCAAATTTACATTTTCTTTACTGTAATTTTCTGGTATAATTTTACGGCCATCACAGGTCAACTCCGTTAAGGTCGTACCTCGAGGACCTTAGATCTCGAGTAAACCGATCACCCAAGAGGATGCAGATCTGTAAAGGATCCCTGCGCGCCCCTCCCCCCCAGCTCCTTCAAAGGAACCCAGCGGATCCCTATTAAAAACGAAAACAACCACGCCCACGAAACGCCTCTCTGGGCTTTTGAGGTTTGCCAAGGCGGAATTCAAAGACCAGCAGACAAAATAGCTTTTATTTAGCGAAGCCGAGCAACATTTCCATTAACAAAACGAAACAAAAAAAAAAAAAGAAAAGAAAAAGAAAAATAGGCAATTTTGCGAAGGTTTTTTTCTTTTTTTTGTTTCCTGTGTTTTGGTTCGGTATAAAAAGTTGGAGGAAGCGACATTTAAAAAAAGGAAAGTCCCAGAACAGCAAAAGAGCCGTTGCCTGTTCAGCTTCTCCAGCCGCTGAATCCAGAATTGGATCTAAAAGGGGGAAGAAATAATAATAATAATAATAATAATAATAATAATAATAATAATAATAATAATAGTAGTAGTAGTAGTAGTAGTAATAATAATAATAATAATTTGAGAAATTGAGAACGAAAGCTGGTTGGCTTTAAGACTGAATCTGCTCCGTTTCAGAGTACGGGTAATCCTCGATTTACGACCAGAAAAAAAGAGCCTGAAATTTCCGTTGCTAAGTGAAACATTTGCTAAAGTGAGTTTTGCTCCATTTTACGATCTTTCTGGCCGCAATTGTTAAGTGAATCCCTGCAGTTGTTAATTGAGTCACCCGGTTGTTAAGTGAATCTGGTTTTCCCCATTGCTTATTGGTCGCAAAACGGGATCACATGTCCCCGTCCCCCCCGGGACACTGCGACTGTCGTAAATGTGAGTCAGCTGTCAAGCACTTGAATTCTGATCTCGTGGCCACAAAGATGCTGGGACGGCCATTAAGTGTGAAACGCGGCCGTATGTCCCTTTTTTGAGCGCCGTTGCAACTCTTGAAAGTTTAAACGAACGGTCGTAAGTCGAGGACCACCTGAACTGGATTGGAGGCATTCCAATTTTAAAAAAGCTTTGAATGGACACTCAATGAATTTTGGCCGTGTGACCGCGGGGGAGACTGTGACAGTCGTTAAATCAAGGACTACCTGAATCCGAGGCCTTCGGATGTGAATGGCTTCAAGACGCTTTGAGTGGTCACTAAACGAACGGTTGTGAGTCGAGGACTATCTGTATCCCCCCCCCGCCCCCGGTGGATCAAGAACTGATGGTCCTTTCGCGAAAACAGCCGAAGCCTCATCTCAGTTTAAAGAAAAGCACCCAAGGATGGGGAGAGGACAGAGGGGATTTCTACGGTGGGATCAACTCCGGGGGGGGGGGGGTGGGGGGGAGGAGGGGGGAGAGAAAGTGGTGTAGTTGCCTAGAGGTGAAGCTCTCGCCTCACAATCAGGAGGCTCTGTGAGTTCAATCCTAGGTAGCGGCAGTTATTTCTCTCTCTGGGCACAATGAGAAAATATCTGCCGAACAAAACTCCACATTGGCAACAGGAAGGGCATCCGGCCAGGAAACACTCAACTCCATTCAGTTGCCCTGACTCCACCCCGATGCAAGGGATTACGGGGTCATTAAAAGACAAAAAAATAACCAACAACTCCGTGTATTTGTGTGTGTGTGAGAGAGAGAGAAAGAGAGAGAGAATTGTCCGCCAGATCCTCGGCTTTTCCATTAATGCTCTTACAAGGAGACAGAAGAGACCCAACAAAGCCGGCCTCTCTGATTAAAAAAAAAAAAAAAAAATCCCGCAAGCAGAATTAAGCGCTTTTTAATATATCTTTCAGCCACAGAAGAAAGCTTTCGGATACCGAAAGCAGCCGCTAGAAAGGCAGACGGAAGGGCAGGGATCTGGACTTACGCATTCGACGATCCGAAGCCAAATCCTACGGGAGGGGGGAGGGGGAAAAAAAAAAGAGAAAAAGATGAACAAAAGGAAAAGGAAGGATTACTGGAGAAGTTACAAAAGAAGGAATACACTTTGCAAAAGGACAGGATTCGAAACACTTCCCTTTCCAGATAAGAAACCCCTTATTTATTCGATCTGACGCCACCTTTTATTATTTTTTAGAAGAAACTCAAGGGGGTGAAATACTCTCCTAATACTCTTTCCTCCTCCTATTGCCCTCACAACAACAAACAACAACCCTGTGAGGTGGGTTGGGCTGAAAGAGAAGGACCTCATGCCTAAGGCTGGACTGGAACTCACGGTCACTTGGTGACTGGCCCAAAGTCACCCGGCCGACTTTCTATGCCTAAGGGGCACTAGAATTCACCGACTCCTGGTTTCTCGGTCAGCACCCTTAATGTCTCATCTTTCAAATTCTTTCCTCCCTCCCTCCCTTCTTCTCCGTTTCTTATTTTCCTTCCTTCCTTCCCTCCCTCTCATTTTTTCCTTCCTCCCTCCCACCCTTCCCATTCCTATCTCTTTCCTTCCCATTCCTATCTCCTTCCTTCCTTCCTTCCTTCCTTCCTTCCTTCCTTCCTTCCTTCCCCTCCCTCCCTCCCCCTGACCCCCATCTCCTACCTCCTCCGCTGGACCCAAAGCCGGAGAAGCCGCTGCTCTGAGTCCCAAAACCCGTAGACTGCTGAGAGAGGGAGCCGAAGGTTGGGGTGTTCTGACTCGCCAGCGTGCCGAAGGAGACCGTGCTTGCCGTGTTGCCGAAGCTGGGGGGGAGAGAGAGAGAGAGAGAGAAGAGTGGGGTGAGGAGGGCCTGGGAGAATGGATGTCCCTGGGCTGCTGGACAATCCTTTCTTGGCCACCCAACAAAGTAGACCCTCCCTTCCCTTTCCCTCTTTACGACTTTTCCTCCTTTCTTCCTATCTTTCCCTTCCTCCCTTCTTCCCTCCCTCTTTTTACCTCCTTCCCTCCTTTCTTCCCACCTCTTCCTACCTGCTTCTCTCCCTTCCTCCCTCTCTACTTCCTTTCCACCTTTCTTCCTCTTTCCCTTCCTTCCTTCTTCCCTCCTTTTGCTTCCTTCCCTTTCTTCCCACCTCTTACTACCTGCTTCTCTGCCTTCCTCTCCCTCTCTACTTCCTTTCCTCCTTTCTCCCTACCTTTCCCTTCCTATCTCTTCCTTCCTTCTTCCCTCTGTTTACTTCCTTCCTTCCCTACTTTCCTATCTCCTCCTACCTGCCTTTTTCCCTACCTCCCCCCTCTCTTTCCCTTTCTTTCTTTCTTTCTTTCTTTCTTTCTTTCTTTCTTTCTTTCTTTCTTTCTCTCTCTCTCTCTTTCTTTCCCTCCCTCCCCTCCTTTCCCCTCCTCTCCCCCTTCCCTCCTCCTTTCCTCCCTCCCTTCATCCCTTTCCCCACTCCCTCTTTTCATTCCTTCCTTCCCTCCCGAAGGGCAAGGCAGGGAGCCGGGTGATACAGGCATGCAAGGATGGTGCGGAAAACCATGAGGTCTAGAAACACAGGAGGGGCCTTTTGGCCAGCTTACCCGAATCCGCCCGTGTTGGCCGCCGCGGTCCCTTCACCGAACACTTTGCCTCCCGCCGAGCCCAGAGGACTTGCAAAGGCCGGGGCTGAACCGAATGCCGGCACCCCTCCGAACCCGGGGGAGCCCCCAAAAGTGGGAGGGCTGCCGAACACTGGAGCAGCTCCGAAGCCACCTGAGCAAAACAGAGGCAAAAAAGGAGAGAGAGAGAGAGAGAGAGAGAGAGGGACAGACGTCATATATATATAGACAGACACACATCGACCGACACCACCACCCATCGAAGTCAACCGTAAACAAGGTTACAACTGCACTGAAGCTCAACCTGGGGCGCCTTCCTGCCACGAGGAGCCCCCCCACCTTCCCGGCAAAGCCTCTTTTGACCCCACCCTGCCGCCCTCTCAACGTACGTTTTTCCCGGCCAGAGCGTGGGAAAATTTTTAGCCACCCGGGAAGAAGAAGAAGAGAAGAGCAGGCTCAGCTGAGGTGGGTTTGGGGGGGCAGGGGAAGGGTCCTGGAGTGCCCACCCTCCGTTCCAGAGGCTCAGACAGCAAGCCTCCTGCCCCCCCCCACACCCACCTCCTCCTTCCCACGTCAGCACAAAACCCCAAACACCGGGGTGGGAACCTTCAGCCTCCGGGAGCCCCGGGCACTTACTGCCGAAGGAAGGCCGGCATTCAACAGGCATGGTCTGAACCAGAAATCCTTTGGACATGGATTCGAGGAAGAGGGCAGGAAGGGGGGGGGGTGCCCGCATGCGAGGAGGAGAAGAGGCGGCAGGGCGGCTGCGGAAGCCGCTGCGGCCTGCAGCTTTGCAGCCCGAAGGAGGGAGAGACAGAGCGAGAGAGAGAGAGAGAGGGAGAGAGAGAAAAACCTCTCGCCCGCGAGCAGTTGCTAAGGTAGCAATTCTCATCGCGCTGGGGAAAAAAAAAAAACACACACACACGCAACTATTTCAGCCAGGAGGAAACCTATAGTAGGGATCTTCCTCCTGACCTGGGAATTGACTGGGAATGGAAAACAACCCTTAAGAGGAGAGAGAGAGAGGGGCTTTTCCTTCTGGGGCCAGGGACGGGCTGAAAAATGCAACCGTCTGGAAGCCCCGGGCTCTTTTCGGAGAGTCTGGAGCATCAGCGCTGGCCGGGAAACCAAAACCAAAAATCTTAATTTTCCCTTTAGGCTGCCGTGCGGATGGGCCCGGTCCCTCGAGGCTTCTGCCTCTTCTTTTGAAAGGGGCAGCGAAGAAAAGCCTTGAAGGTGGGAGGAGGAGGAGGAGGAGGAGGAGGAGGAGGAAGGGGGGTTTCTCTCCAGGGCCCAGAAGAGGGAAGGGCTGTGTGGTTTTTCTGCTTTGATCTTTCCCTCCCTTATTTCTTCTCTCTCTCTCTTTTTCCTTCCTTCCTTCCTTCCTCCTGGCTTTTCTTACCTCCCCCTTTTCTTTTCCGTCCTCTCTCCTTCCCTTCCTTCTCTCACCCTCCCACCCTTTCCTTCCTCCTCCCCTTCTCTTCCTGTAGCATATTAACACCTTCCTTCCTTCTCTATAGCTCCCTCGCTTCTCCTTCCTTTCTTCCCTTTCCCTCCCTTCTCACTCATCTCTGTTCCTTCTCTCATCTTCCTTTCTTCCTTCCTCCTTTCCCTTCCCTCTCTATAGCTCCCTCTTCCTTCTCCTACCTTCCCTCATTTCCATCTCCTTCCCCTTCCTTCCTTCCTTTCCTTCCTTCTCTATAGCTCCCTCCTCCTCCTCCTTCCCATCTCCCTCCTTTCTTCCTTTCTTCCCTCATTTCCATCTCCTTCTCCCTCTTTCCTTCCTTCCCCTCCCTTATCTCACCTTCCTTCCTTCCCCTTCTTTCTCTCCCTTCTTTCTCACCTCCCTCCCTCCCTCTTTCCTTCCTTCTCTATAGCTCCCTCCTCCTTCTATTTCCTTCCTTCCCATCTCCCTTTCTTCTTCTTCCTTCATTTCCATCTCCTTCTCCCTCTTTCCTTCCTTCCCCTCCCTTCCCTCCCTTCTCTTTTGCCTTCCTCCCTCCCTTTCCTTCCTTCTTCCTTCCTTCCTATCTCCCTTTCTTCCCTCATTTCCATTTCCTTCTCCCTTTCCTTCCTTCCCCTCCCTTCTCTTTTGCCTTCCTTCCTCCCTGCCTCCCTCCCTTTCCTTCCTTCCCATCTCCCTCCTTTTTTCCTCTTCCCTCATTTCCATCTCCTTCTCCTTCCTTCCCTCCCTTCTCTCTGGCCTTACTTCCTTCCCACTCCCAAAAAAAGTGACTTTGGGCAGCTTACAAGCGGAATAATTAAAACCACATCCCAATTGGGGGGCGGGGGGGGGTCAGAGCACTTTGCAGGCTCCCCGGTGTCGCTGGGAGAACCAGGTGGAAAGCTGAGAGAGATATGGGGGGGTGGGGGGCACGTAACCTCTCTTGCATCCACCCACCCCATCCGCTCTGGCAGGAAAGGGGCGTTTCTTCCCTTCGAATTTAAATCGGGGAGGATGACAGCTGGGAGGAAGGAACAAAAGCTTCCGTCCGCCTGCTCCATACCGGCAGTCCTCGACTTACAACCACGACGGAGCCCCCCCACATTTATGTCGCTAAGCGAGACGGTTGGCTTTTATTCTATTTCAACACCGTTCCCGACACGGTGGTTGAGAGAACCACTGCCGTTGAGTCACACGTTCTCGAGTTAAGCGAGCCTGGCTCCCCCGTTGACTTTGCTCGTCAGAAGGTCGCAAGACGGGATCGTGTGATCCCCAGCCCCCCCCCCAGACACCGCTGCAACCGTCATAAATATGAGTCGGTTGCCAAGCCTCTGAATTTTGATCACGTGACCGTGGGGATGCCTCAGCGGTCGTTAAGTGTGAAAAATGGCCCTAAGTTGCTTTTTTTTTTTTTTCTAAGTTGCTGTAACTTCGACCGGTCACTAAACGAGTTGTTGTAAGTCGAGGGCTTCCTGTACCAGGAATTGCCTCCGTTTTTATTGCAAAATCCAAAACATCTTTTTCCTCTTAGGAAAAGCTCTCCTGAGGGGAAAAAATAAAATAAAATAAGGAATTGCCCAGAATTACGTTTGTAATCGGTGTTCTCTCTCCCCAAAATCTCTTCTGAGCTTTTGCATATTTTTAATTATTTTTTACCCAAGCTCAAAGGCTACCGAGGCCGCTGCTTTTCTCCTGTTTGACTACGGATGCTTTTAATACCCCTGGGTGAAATTTCAGTCTAGGCCAATGTAATAAGATATCCCACCCTGGCTGTAAACACAACGATCTGGGGAAAAAAAAATAAAATAAAGGAAGGAGAAAGAGAGAAGGGAGGTGAAAAAAATTAAAAAAGCAGGCCGGTTGAATTATTGAAGGGAATCTGGTGGATGTTTGTCAAACAGCGCTCGGATCAGGGGTGAAATGCTCCCGGTTCGGACGAACCCGTAGTGATGGCGTCTGGTGGTTCGGCAAACTGGTAGCAATGGCGGTGTGAGGCTCCACCCACCCGCCCGATCGTCGTTACTTCGTGCTTTTAACCAGGAAGTAACCTGTTTTTTACCCTCTGCACATGCGCAGAGGATCCGCGCGGTGCGTGCACTTCCGAACCGGTTGGGAAGGTAAGTAGATTTCACCCCTGCGTCGGATTCTGTGGAATTTCCTGGATATTGTAAACTACAGGTGGTCCTTGACTTTCAACCATTCATCGAGGTCACAAAGGCACTGAAGACTTAGGACCGGTTTTCACACTTAACGACCGTTGCAGCATCCCCGCGGTCACATGATCAAAATTCGGACACTCGGACAACCGACTTGTATTTATGACGGTCGCAGCGTCCTGGGGGGGGGGGTCATGCGACCCCAGCCCTTTTTTTGGCGATCTTCTGACGAGCAATGGGAGGAAGCCGGATTCATTTAACAGCCGTGCAACTGCAGGTATCCGCTTAACAACGGCGGCACGCAAGGCCGTTAAAAACGGGACAAAACTCGCCCGGGAACTTAGCCATGGAAATTTTGGGCTCCATGGCGGTCGTAAGACGAGGAACTATCTGTAAATCTGCCCCCTGATTTCCCCCCACCAAATTAGGGCAGTAGCTATTTGGGAAGGTGGTGCTAATATCTAGTAATAGATCATGATCTAAATCATTTAATTTAAGGTTGGACCTTGTGGGAATTTAGTACCTGTTTTGGTGGGGCTGGAGAATCCAAAGCCTTGGGATGCCACACTTCCTCCACCGGAGCTGAAGGTGCCCATCGGCTTCTGCTCACCAAAGGAAGCGGTGCCAAATCCAAAACTTTTGGCCCCACTGTTTCCAAAAAGAGTCGACGTGTCTGCGATGGGGAAGGGAGGGAGAAATTAAGACGTGGCTCTTTCCTTTCTTGCCAGGATAAAAAAAAAACAAAAAAACACTACAAGGCGGTCCTCGACTTACGACAATTCGTTTAATGACCGTTCGAATGTTACGACGGCGGTGAGAAAAAGAAAAAAAAAGGGGGATCGTCACGGTTTTTCGCACACAATTTAGTTTTATATGGTAAAAGGTCCTTTATGTTGGCTGGGTGCGCGTCGATGGGTCGACAGCAGAAATTCGCTCCACGGAACCAGTGTAAACAGCGGTCCTCGACTTGCGACCACAAGGGAGGCCCCAAAGGTATGCCGCTAAGCGAGAGAGTGGCTAATTGAGTTCTGACACCCGCTCTACGACCTCCCTTGCCGCAAATTGCTAAGTGGATCGCTGCGGTTGCTAAGTTAGTAACCCGGTTGTTAAGCGAATCGGGCTTCCCCGTTTGACTTGTCAGAAGGTCGCAAAAGGGGATCACATGGCAGTGCGACCGACGTAAATACGAGTCAGCGGACAAGCGTGTGAATTTTGATCGTGCGGCAACGATGCGAGAAACGGTCATAAGTCACTGTTTCCAGTGCTGCTGCAAATCTTGAAACAGTCACTAAATGAACGGTCATAAGTCCAGGACTACCGGTACAAGTGTGCCCTGTAGATCTGCAGCCTGCAAAGAGACTGCTATCCAACTGGAAAGCTGTAGTGGCTGAGCCCTCAATGCTACTTACTTTGATTGGCTGAGGACCCGAAACCGCTGGTGGTACAGCCGAAGGGGTTCTTGTTGGCCGCCTCGTGACTCGGTTTCCCCCCCAGGCCGCTGAAAAAGCCCCCCGTTCTCCCGCCACTGCCGCCGGATCCGAAGAGACCCCCGCCGGAAGAGGACGGCTGCGAAAGACCAAATGAAGAACGTTAGACCGGCTCTGTCTGATTCAAACAAAGCCCTAGAATAGAATAGCAGAATTGGAAGGGACCTTGGAGGTCTTCTAGTCCAACCCCCTGCTTAGGCAGGAGACCCTAAAGCATTCCAGACAAATGGTTATCCAACCTGTTCTTAAAAACTTCCAGTGTTGGAGCATTCATGACTTCTGGTGGCAAGTTGTTCCACCGGTTAATTGTTCCCACTTTCAGGAAATTTCTCCTTAATTCTAGGTTGTTTCTCTCCTTCGTAAGTTTCCATCCGTTGCTTCTTGTCCTGCCTTCTGGGGCTTTGGAGAATAAATCAATCCCCTCCTCTCTTCTGTGACAGCCCCTCAAATATTGGAAGACTGCTATCATGTCAGCCCTGGTCCTTCTCTTTGTTAGACTAGACATATCCAGTTCCCGCAACTGTTCTTTACATGTTTTAGCCTCCAGTCCCCTCATCCTCTTTGTTGCTCTTTGTTGTGGCTCCGTTGCCTGAGCCTGGGCTATCGACAGATGCAGACTCTGAGAGTGAGGGAGAGGAGTTGGCAAGGCCTCCCTCTCCAGGACCCTCCTCTCTGGCAATGCCTCCGGAGGACACCGAAGGCCAAAAGATAGGCCCAGAGCCAAGCACGTCCCCACAGCCACAGGTGGACAGCGACGAAGGAGATAAGTGCTGGCTGGACCCTCGGCAGAGGCGCAGGGAGAAGCGTGCGCAGCAGCGGGGAAGGCGTGCCAGAGATTAGCTGAGTCACTGGACCACACCTCACAGGGTATAAATGTGGGTGTGGTGGCCGGTTCAGTTTGTGACGAGCAAAAACTGGAAAAAATCCATGATCTCTGCGTTACTGGACTTTGCCTGCTTTATCGGACTGCATTTGGATTCATCCTTGTATTGTTGAAACTCTGCCTGCTTTATCGGAATGCTTGCAGTCTAATCTTTGTTTTGTGTGAGTAGAGTCTGAATTGGCAGCTAGCCACTGGGTTGCTGCCAGCTTTATCTTCAAAGAGTTTTGTCGTGTGGCTTATTAACTCCGGGCCGTCTGTGGGGGTGCGTGTGTGGTACGGGGACAGAACACTCTTCTCTGCACTCTTTCCAGGGCCCCCACATCGTTGCTGTATTGTGGTGAACAGAACGTGAAGACAGTATTCCTAGTGTGGCCTTACCAAGGCAGTATAAAGCGGTACTAACACTTTGCGTGATCTTGGGTCTATCCCTCTGTTAATGCAGTCTAGGAGTGTATTGGCTTTTTTTAGCTGCTGCAGCACCCGGCTGGCTCATACTGAAATGGTGGCTGATTACAATTATATACAGTAAATTTTCTTCTGATCAGACCCGGCCCTTAGAAAGGAAGAAGAGCTGGTCTGAAGAATTACCTGGCCGAAGAGGTTCCCACTGGTGTTGGCAGCTTGACCAAAGACGGTACTTGGGGTGCTGGAACCAAACGCTGAAAGAATCAGAGAAAATAAACAGCTTGTGAAAAACCGAACACTGGAATTTTTACCCGTACAAATCATCCTTACCACCTTTCGTTTAGTGACCATTCGAAGATGGCAAATAGCGAAGACGTGACCGCAGGGACACTGCAATGGTCGTTAGATGTGAGGACTAGTCGTAAATTAATTTTTTCGGCACCATCGTATTCGAAGATGGGATACGTGGTCCACCAATACATTAACCCACGTTCTACATAATGTGGACAGTGCAGACTATGGTTAATGGATTAATGCCTTATGAGGTCTGAGTTCAGCGTAGAAGGGAAGGGGAAGCGAAAGGGAAGGACAGGAGAAAGGGAAGGGGGGAGGGAAGGAGAAAGAGAAAGGGAAGGGGAGGAGAAGGGAAGGCATATGGGAAGGGAAGGAGGAAGAGAAGAGAAGAAGAAGGGAAGGTGTAAGGGGGAGGAAGAAAAGGGGAAGGAGGTTGGAAGGTAGGGAAGGAAAAGGGAAGGGGAAGGGGGAAGGGAAGAGGAAGGGAAAGGAAGAAGAGGAGAAGGGGAAGAGGAAGGGAAAGGGAAAGAGAAGAGAATGGGAAGGGAAGGAGGAAGAGGAGAAGGGGAAGAGGAAGGGAAGGAGGAAGGGAAAGGAAAGAGGAAGGGAAAGAAAAGGGGAAGAGAAGAGGAAGGGGAAGGGAAGGCATAAGGAAAGGAAAGGAGGAAGAGAAGGGGAAGGGAAAGTGGAAGGGCAGGGGAAAGGGAGGAGGAAGAAAAGGGGAAGGAGGTAGGGAAGGAAAAGGGAAGGGGAAGAGAAGGAGGAAGGGAAGGGAAGAAGGCAGGGAAAGGAAGAAAGAGAAGAGATAACTTGGTCTCTTCCTGATTTTCTGGGCCTCTTGTCTTAAACCGCATTTATGATGGTTGAAGCATCCTGGGGTTGTGTGATCGACACCTGCGACCTTCCCAACCGGCAAAGTCAACGGGAGAAGCCCCGTTTCGCTCAATGACCGCCTGATTCACTTAACAACTGCACGGATTCGCTTTAACAACCGTGGCAAAAAAAAAAAAAAAAGATGGTAAAATCAGGCCCGATTCCCTTAACCCCCCCCCCTCCCGGCCTTGCTTAGCAACGGAAACGCTGGTTCCAATTGCGAGTCATAAACCGAGACCGACTGGGACAAAGCGCAGCCTTGCCAAGGATTGAACTGGGCACATACTGATTTTTCTCCCCCTTCATTAGTTAGTTATTTAGTTATTTATTCAGTTATTTATTCATTCAGTTATTAATTAATTAATTAAAAGCCAGTCTCAAAATAACCCCTAACTGACTTTTCAGCAGACAGAAACTCGGCTCTGTTAATCACACATTCCTACGAGACGGTAATGAAGGACTCCCGATTTAAAAGGAATTTCTCAGCTCTTCCTAACGCGCTTCTGGCCAAGTTGTAATTACAGAGCAGGGTATTTTTCCCCCTAAAATATATATATTTTCCCCCCTAAAATATATATATATATATATATATATATTCTTTTGTCCCAGTAATTAAGCGGAGTCTCTTTCCTTCCCCCCAAAATATGAGTCTCTTATAACAGTTAACCTGATTAGTGGTCTGGCATGGGTGCAAGGAGTCGGGAGAAATTGTTAATTCCTCTTTGCAAAATTACTCGGGCCGATGGTGCTCCGGGCTGCCCCCTCCCCTCCCCCCAAAAAACCCAGCCAATTTCAAATGCATCAAATTACACAACGTTTTGCTCAACATGAAAAGCTGCCTAAGCTGGGATTCCAGTCAGAAAACGGGTCGGCCGAGGTCAGGATCAAAAACTAAATTTGTAAAAATCCATCCTCTTTGTGTTTTTTTTTAATCTCTCCGCTCTTGGGAAGACGCACGTTTATTCCCGGATGCAATCCGGGGACGTTTGAATTTCAAACTTTTTCATCTCTCTGGGGGTAACCGCAATTTTTTTTTTTTAAAGCTGTAATAGAGGCTGTCCTCGACTTACGACGGTTCATTTAGTGACCGTTCGAAGTTACAACGGAAAGGGGGGAACAAAAACCCAGAGGATTATGACCATTTGGATGGTTGGGCAACTGACTCCCCTATTTATGACGGATGCGTGACACGGGTTCACGCTTTTGCGACCTTACCGGAAGCTTGACAAAAGCTGAATCCGGCCGAAGACGTCGGAGTGGTGGTCGTCATGGAAGCCGGACTCGCAAAGATGGCCCCGCTCTGTCCAAAGCTGGAATTCTGGCCGAAAACAGGAGCGCTGCTTTGAACGAAAAGTCCAGTGGCCGTCGAAGGCTGTCCGAAGGAAAAAGAGCTGGCCGTGCTGGTGCTGGACGCTGCCCCGAAGACGTTCCCGCTGCTGGACGCCGGAGGGGTGGAAGACGGCGCTTGCCCGAATGCCGGAGTCGCTCCAAAGCCGGCCTGGTTGAACGTAAAACCGCTGGATTGGGTGGACTGGCCGAAAACGGGGGCTTGTCCGAAGGCCGACTGGCCGAAGCCCGAGGTGGCTGCAGTCCCGAAAACCGAGGTGTTGAACCCAGTGGCGACGGCCGAGGAAGACGGAGAGGTGGCCGGAGGTTGACCGAAGGGAGTAGAGACCGGGAGGGCTGCCGCGGGGACCTGACCGAAGACGGGGGGAGCAGAAGGGTTGGCTAAGCCCGCAGTGGTGGGCTGGCTGAAGGCCGAGCCGGTGGAAGAAGAGGAAGAAGAAGCAGGGAGTCCGGAGGGTTGTGTGAATCCAGAAGAGGTCGGGACTGCTTCGGTAAAGGCAGAGGTGCTGTTGGCTGGGGCTGGCACGCCCGCGGTGGTGGTTGGAGGGGAGGCAGTGGCTTCCGTGAGTTGTGCACCAATGGCCGGTGGAGTTGAGGAGGCCGGCGTCTGCTCTTCTGCAGGGCCCTCAGGAGGAAGTAGCCCCTCAGCCTTGGGCTCGCCAGGCGCCGAGACCGGAGTCAGGTCTTTGCTAGGTGCCGCTTCCGAAGCAGTCGCAAGCTGCCCTCCTCCTTCCGCCTCTGCATGGGGAGGGGGCGCTTCTGCTGGACGCTGCTCAGGGGCCAGGACGGACGCCTGGGGGTCAACCTGTGCCGTGGGCGATGTGGTCCCCTCGGTCAAAGGCGGCTTCTCAGGAGGGCTCGTTCTGACGTCGTCTTCTCCCTTACTCGCAAGGGCAGCCGGCGTGGCCGGAGCGCTCAAGAGACCCCCGAACGAGAGGCTCGGGGCGGATGGCGGAGGGGCCGAAGACAAGGAAGTCGATGCTTGGGGGGCGCTGACCGGAGGGCCCCCGAAGGCAAACGGAGTCTTGGCACCGCCCGCCGGTGCTGCGAGACTGAAGATTCCGGGAGGACCAGAACTGACCAAATGGACGTTGCCGAAGATGCCACTGGTCGTCGAACCGGCCGTGGTGGTCAAAGTGGCGGGGATGGCCTCGGCAGGCTTGCTCGCCGACAGAGCATTCCCAGCCGAAAATCCAGGCGGCTGTGGCACGGCGGCTGTGCCGGTGGAGGGTCCCTTAGCCGGAGTGGCCTTGGCGTTCTCGTCAGCTTGGCCGACCCTCAGTCCAGAGAAGCTGCCTAATGTCTCTCCGGCCGCCGAGGCCTGGATTGCCGGATCGCCTTGTTTGAGGGGAAGGCTCTCCAGTTTGGAGGTGTTCGCGAAGGGAAGGGAAGTCTCAGACGCTTGTCCGTTGCTGCTCAGGCCAGCAGGGTCTCCGGAGCTGGTTCTCCCGAAGGCAGAAAGACTGGGGGTCTTGGGACTCCCGAAAGTAAACGGGGTCTCCGGGACAGAGGCGAATTTCATTCCTCCTCCAAGGGGAAAGGCTTCGGGCTGGTTCGGCTCTTTTGCTGGGGTGGCTGTAGCTGCCAAAAGAATAACAGAATGACTGAGTTGGAAGGGACCTCGGAGGTCTTCTAATTCAGGGGTCAGCAACCTGCGGCTCTGGAGCCTCAGGTGGCTCTTTCACCCCTCCGCTGCAGCTCCGTCACTCAAAATATGCATCACAACCGCCAATGTGTAACACCCGTCGGCACCTGATTTATTGAGTTTTTCAACCCCCAGTAGGATAAATCCAGTTTAATTCCAACTACATATGCTAGTTTTGTGGCAGCTCAAGAAATAGTCAGGCACGGGAAGGGTTTTGTGGCTCCCGGTGTTTTCTTTTCTGTGGGAAACGGGTCCAAATGGCTCTTTGAGTGTTTAAGGTTGCCGACCCCTGCACTAGTCCAACCCTCTGCTTAAGCAGGAGACCCTTCCCTCTGTTTCCTCCGAATAACAGTTGGAAGGGACCTTGGAGGTCTTCTAGTCCAACCCCCCCCTGCTCAAACAGGAGACCCTACCCCCAAAAACTTACCTTCCAAAACAGAAGAAGCCGGCGTCGCAGCAGAAGCAGGCACCGCAGCGAAGTTAAACCCAGCCCTACGTTTGAAAATAAAACAAACCAACATCCTATTTGTAAGAACTGCCTTATAGATGGCAGCAAGATTTATCCGTCGCTTCTTCTATGTGGTCGTATTTTCCCCCCCCCCCCGGGTTTTCTGATTTTTGGGGCCACCCGTTGTTCTCTCTCCTACGGACAACGGAGGATTCGGTCAAATTCTGGGGACTGTCATTGTTATCAGAATTGATAATCATCAACCCTCTGATAAATCAATTACAAATTCTGGTAGTCCTTGACTCACGAACCACACCGGAATTTCTGTTGTTAAGCGAGGCAGTCGTTAAGAAGGGAGCCACGCCCGATTTCACAACCTTCTTCTGACGCGGTTGTTAAGCGAAATCGCTGCCTTATGAAAGGAATCACATTAATTGTTCAATGAACCCATTGACTTTTCTTGTCGGAAGCTGGATGGGAAGACCCAAGTGGAGATCGCGTCTCACACACACACACAAGGGATGCTGCAACCGACACAAGTACATGCCAGTTGCCAAGTGCCCGAATTATGATCACACATGACCGTAGAGGGAATGCTGAAATGGTTGTTAACTGCCAAGTACCGCGAGTCACTTTTTCCAGTGCCGTTGGTAACTCTGAACGGTCACTAAACGAATAGTTCGTAAGTCGAGGACTACCTGTTGTCCAAGAGTGGCAATTTCTGGAGGCCTGGACTCATTTTCCCAGGATTCTTTGCAGCATGGCTGCAAGGAATCCCTGGGAATTGGGTGTCTGCCTCTTGGAAGGCGCCGAGATTCAAAAGGCCGTGCTTTAGCTCTTATCTTTGCTCACAACGTCACTAAAATGCAGCAGGGCTCTTCTCTCTCTTTTGTCCCAGCAAAAGCTGAAATCTGAGTCTCTTGGATCACTGCTTGGTGCTACATCCGCTGTACGATGCCCCTTTAAAATGCCGCCCCAGCGTTCGAAAAGAGAGGAGAGGATGGGAAGTTGGACAGTACTGACCCCGATGGGGCGAACGTGAAGTCTTTGTTGAACTGGGAAGCAGCGGCCGAGATGGACGTCGCCGCCGGCGTGGGGACAGATGCGACGGTCTTTGCGGCTCCTGGAATCGTGACAAAGTTAAGTGAGAAAGAATAAACGAAAGTTAGCAGATAACCAAAGCTCAAAATAAATAAATAAATAAAAATCCTGCCTCTCGTCCCGACATTCCCAGCAGACCTCTGAGCTATTTCTCTTTAGTATCCCACCTTCTTCCTTCCAAGGAACGAATTTTGATGGCTTTGCAAGGTGTGATTTCCCCCCCCACACACATACACACACCTAAGAGGGGATTTTGGTGGCACCAGAAGACAATATCTGTAGGGTTGAATTGTGGGGCCCTTGGTGCTCTCTAAATTGCTTCCGTGCAGACGTTTCGTGACCCAACTAGGTAACATGATCAGTGTTAGAAGGGAGCTGGGTTGGTGCAAGGAGGAGAAGGGGGAAAAAAGAGCAGGAGGAGGAGGAAGAGGAGGAGGACGAAGAGAAGGAGGAGGTCAACGACTACGGGGTCCTTGTTGCTCTCTGAGCTTCATGGTTTTCTTGCAGATGTTTCACTACCCAAGTAGGTAACATCATCAGCGCTAGAAGTGAGGGGGGTTTGCTCTGTTTATATACTAGTGACTTGCTCTGTCTGTGTTGGCTGGTGTGTTCTTGGTGTGTTTTTTTGATTAGGCTACTGTTTACCGTTGATTTTTTTTGTCTGTGTTGATAATTTCTTGACTGGGGTATTGTTTAATCATATTGTTGATCTGGTGTCAATCTGGCGTCAATCTCTTGCTTATCTGGGTGCTGATTGCTGGTGAGGAGGTGTTTGGAGTCTCTTTGTTTCTCTTTCGCTTTTTGATGGGTGTGTAAATGTGGCTTCTCTCTATGTGCCGGTTGAATAGGAATATTGACATTAAGAACAGATTCCCCCCCCCCCCCACACACACTTTCTACAGTGAGCTGAGACTCGCTAACCAGTAGTGGGTTTGAAATCCCAGCGCTACTGGTTTGCTATTGGAAGTGCGCGCACTTGCGTGCTCACTTTGCAAGCCTGCAGCGCTTCTGTGCCTGCACGGAGCGTTTTTGATGACGTGGAGCCTCCTGCTGCCGCTACCGATTCGCCTGAACCGGGGCGAACTGGGAGCAACCCACCACTGTCGCTAACCCTTGGGAACAGGGAGCCGAAAAGCAGAAGCATTTCAGCTCTCCAAACTCGTCGACGTTGCGCGATCCCATTTTTCTTCCTCCTCGACCTTCCTGCGTCACTGAGCTCGTCGAGCCCCAAGCTTCGACACTCTCGGTGTGGCTATCTTTGGCGCACCTGCACATGTTTTGCTGAGTGTGCCGCAATGCTCAGGAAGGAGGGCTCAGCTGACGGCTCTGTGCATGCATGGAGGAGGTGCGCGTGCTCACATTCGCAACCTGTAGCTGAGGTAAGTGAATTTCACCCCTGGTTCAAACCCTCTACCCAAAATTTGAGCTTAGGGACCTTTGCACTTCCAATGGCTACCAGAAATGCCCGAGCGCTGTCAGAAATTCAGCCTCCTGGCTTCGGCATTGGTAAGAAGGGATTATGCTTAATCTCTCCAAATGGTGTGTAATTGAAAACGTGGGATAATGCCTCACATCTGGCCAGCCCCCGCCCTTTTTAGCCGTCTGGAAGGCTCTAGAGATTTGTTCTTTACCCAGGCGGTGGGGTTAAATGAGGAGAGAGAGAGAGAGAGACCCTGCGGATGGATGGCTGTTGGGGTTTCTTTAGGTGGACGATGGAGGTGCTGAGTTTTTAATTTCGGTTTTTAATTCCGGCTTTTGCAATTTTATTGTGGTTGGCAGCCAGCCAGCCAGCCAGGGCTGGGTTTCAAGGCGGGCAGCCAGATGGATCTTTGCAATAAATGAACAGAAGGGGGTCCTTGCCTTACAATTATTTGTTTAGCGGAACTATTCGTTACAACGGAGCTGGGCAAAAAAAAACGACTTGCAACCGTTTTTGACACTTGGGGCATCCAACACGTGGTCCAAAATTTGGAAGGTTGGCAATTGACTTGTAGTTATGACGGTTGCAGTATCCTCTGTGTGTGTCTGTGTGTGTGTGTGTGTGTGTGTGTGTGAAAATCTGGACTTTTAATCGCTGGGATTTTTGTTCTTTTTTTTAATCTCTTGGGAGTTTTTTTCCCCCCCTTTTCCCCTGATGTTGCCGTACTTCAGCAAGGTCAAAGATGTTGTCGGGTTTGCTTTTCCTTCTGCCTCTTATGACGGAAGGACGGGCAAAATCTCGACTGACCTGAATTCTTTTTCCCAACCGAGGTCTGGCTGATGGATGCCGCTGCCGAGCTGGGCGGCGCCTGCATCTTCGGGGTGCTTGACGGGGTTCCCTAAAATATTAAGCAAAAGGGGTTGGTTAGAAAACAGGCAGGGCACAAACTGTCCAGAAAGCAAGAGATGAGAAGTTTCCATTGAGGGAGGCCTTGGGAAAATTTATATCTATCGTATCTTATCTTCCCCTTTTATCTGTTCTTTTCTTTTCTTTCCTTCCCATCCTATTTCTTTCTTTCTTTCTCTCTTTCATTCCCTTCTCTTCCCTTCTTTTCCTTTCCTTTCCTTCCTATTTCTTTCTTTCTCTCTTTCATTTCCTTTCGTTCCCTTCCCTTCCCTTTCCTTTCCTTCCCCTTTCATCTGCCCTTTCCTTTCCTTTCCTTCCCATCCTATTTCTTTCTTTCTTTCCCTTTCGTTCCCTTCTTTTCCTTTCCTTCCCCTTTCATCTGCCCTTTCCTTTCCTTCCCATCCTATTTCTTTCTCTTTTTCGTTCCCTTCCCTTCCCTTCTTTCTGGCTCTTTCTCTCCCTTTCATTTCTTTTCCTTTCCTTTCCATCCCACCTCCTTCCTCCATTTCCCCCCTCCCTCCCTTCTCAGGCGTTGCACGTTGGTTAGTATGCAGTATTAAGCGCTAACTCTGCCCACAGCTTGGAGCTCAATCCTGACCAAATCAAAGTTGGCTCAGGCTTCCGTCCTTCCGAGGTGGGTAAAATGGGGACCCAGATTGTTGGGGGCAATGGGCTGACTCTTGTAAACCGCTTAGAGGGCTGTAAAAGCACTATGAAGCGGTATATAAGGCTAAGTGCTGTTGCTATCAGCCTCCTCTGGCTTTCCCTTCCTTTCGACCCATTCACTCTTCCTTGACGAGAAGGACTGATCTTCCAAGAGATCAGCCTTACCTGGTTGACTTGATTTGTTGCCACGGTAGCCAAAACTTGATGGACACCTTGAGCAGCACTTTGAGGAACTGATGACCTGGAAGAGGAAGTGGGGAAAATGGCAGAACCCAACCAAACAACTCAGAACTCAAACTAAACAAATCTTCTGTTCCATAAATAGGCTAGAAACCAACTTGTGTATGTGGCCACTAATCTCTGCCTTCTTTGTAAGCACCAGCTAGACTTTGAAGTCCTTGGTGGTCTCTGAGCTTGGTTGTTTCCTTGCAGACTTTTCACCACCCAGCTAGGTAACATCTTCAGTGCTAGAAGGGAGAGACCAACCTCTCTCTCCTCTAGCATTGATAATGTTCCCTAGTTGAGTCATGAAGAACGTCTGCAAGAAAACCACCAAGCTCAGAGACCACCAAGGGCTACACAGTTCAACCCTGAGCTGCAAATATTCTCTTCCTATCGGTAAGCTGGACTTGACCAAGCAAGCACCCTCTGAAGGGGTTTGAGATGATGACTTCTGGAATGCAGAGGGAAGCGGGAATTCAGGAAACTGCTACAACCCTAAAACTTCTGGATAGCATCTGGCTGGAAAAGGCTGGGCTAGATGGCAAGGAGAACAAATCAAATGTTTTCATTTATGAGAGTTATCTAAGGTTGTAAATGTAATACTGCCTGATGCATCCATGGGTTTGAGTTACTCAGAAGCATCTTCTTGTATTGGCATACAATCCTTCCCTCCCTCCCTCCCACCATCCTTCCTTCCTTCCTTCCTCTCTCCCCCTACCTAGGTTGGTCTGTTGTTCTATCTATCTTCCTTCCATCCATCCATCCATTTCTCTCAATCATCTGTCTGTCTGCCTGCCTATCTATCTTCCATCCATCCATCCTCTCTCAATCATGTCTGTCTATCTTCCTTCCTTCCTTCCATCCATCCATCCATCATTTCTCTCTCAATCATCTATCTGTCTGTCTATTTATCTTCCATCCATCCATCATTTCTCTCTCAATCATCTGTCTATCTGTCTGTCTGTCTATCTTCCATCCATCCATCCTCTCTCAATCATGTCTGTCTGTCTGTCTGTCTATCTATCTTCCATCCATCCATCCTCTCTCAATGTCTGTCTGCCTGTCTGTCTATCTGTCTGTCTGTCTATCTTCCTTCCTTCCTTCCTTCCTTCCATCCATCCATCCATCCATCCATCCATCCATCCATCCATCCATCCATCCTCAGAAAATTCAAGGCAGGACTCCCCAGATTATATTCCCATAACAACGGCCCCGAGAGGTTGGCTGGGCTGAGACTAAGCAGCCGGAGCAAAGTCCTGGCCAAGAAGCAGGGACTTTGAAAATCCAATAGTTACAGCGAGAACTGCAGCCTTTTGACCAAGAATCCACCGCTGCAGCTACAGCTAAGAGAGGTGAAGTGGTCAGGACTCTCAGCAGAGAAATTGCAGGAGGGGAAAAAAAAATATGAAGTCTCACTGGCTCATGATTTGCAACTCCTGCCAAACTTTTCAGAGTCAGCATAAAACAAAAGACTAATGGATTCCCCCAGCAGTGGGAGTACAAAGAGGAAGATTTATAGCCTATCACCGCTTAGCAGAAACACGTTGTACAAACTCACACAGGCCCTGATTTAGAAAAAGACAAGGATAATTCTGGAGACAGCTGAGCATTTCCCTTCCAGCTCTTTCCACCAACTCTGACACCGGAGCATTTGACGTTTTCCTTCCTGCCTCCGGTGTTCAGGTAAGTCCTCGATTTACAACCATCCGTTTAGTGACCGTTAGAGAGTTACAACGGTACTGGGGAAAAAAGTGAGCGGTGAGAGTTTTTCACACTTACGACCAATGCAGCATCGCCCACGGTCAAAATTCAGGGGCTTAGCAACTGACTCCTATTTATGACGCTTGCAGTGTCGCCCGGGGTGTGGGATTCGAACCGCTGAACTGCGGACCTTTCGATCGACAAGTTCAGCATCTTAGCCACTGATCCACCACTCAGTGCTAACTAACTAACTTAGTTAACTTACCTAACTAAGACTTGTTAAATTCCTAGAAACTGTATGCACACAACCCTGCTCGTCTAGGACAAGAAGCAATGGGTAGGAAGAGCAGTAAAGAGAGGTTCAAGCTAGAACTAAAAAGAAATTTCTCTCAGTGAGAATGATTGATCAGCGGAACCGCTGGCCACTGGAAATGGTGGGTGCTCCATCAATGGGGGCTTTTCAAAAATAACTGTCCAACTTCTTCAAGGCCAAATGTCCAGCTCTGAGCAGAGTTTTGCTCCGCTAAGCAACATTAGTGTGTTCTTGGCTTTGATAATCAACTGCTCAGGAGAGATTCAAGGACAAGTGAGTGGGAAAAGCTACTTATTACGACTGGAAAACTGGACAAAACACAAGTGTGGAAAGCCAGCACTCGCCTCCACCTTTTAAAAGAAACTTATTTCATTGAATAATATTTTTTACCCATTATAGATACAAGCTGCAGCCAAAAAGTTTAACATTAACAATGAATGAACTCGATCCACTCCCAATATCTTTGCTTTAGGGGATTCTGCGAAGCATCTGTGTCAACGGAATTAAATTCTTGCTTATTCATTCATGGTCCGGCCTGAAGGATCTTTCCCTTTATTTGAAAATGAGACAGGAGGAAAGGCAGAGGTTACCTACCCCGCTGCTGCAGAAACGGTCGGGGGGGACCCACTGCTCTTCAGCTCACGGACGTTGACCACTTGAGGGACATTCTTCAGAGTCGATTCGGTCAGGGAGGTGTTTGCCGCTGTTGAATTAAGAATAAAGAGCAAGAAAATTTAGAGACCCCCTCCCAGGAGTCTCCACGCGATCCATTTTGGATGCCAGGTTAAGTGCAGGGCCCCCGCGGAGGCTCTGGGAGGGTGAAAAAACGGGCCTCTTGGAAGTTCCGGAGGTCTGGAAACGGGCCCGTTTTCGCCCTCCCGGAGGCTCAAGAAAAGCCTCCGGAGCCTGGGGAGGGCGAAAATACCCCACCCACCCCCGCCGTGGTACAGGAGGCCGTGTAGGCCACGCCCACCCAGCAACTGGGCAGAGAACTGGTTGCTAAAATTTTGGAATCCCACCCCTGGTGAGTGTGTGTGTATGTGTGTGTGTAGATATTTTCACAGCCCTCTTTCTGGCTCGTGCAAACAGAAGAGATGTTACTCGTACAAGGGTTTTAAGTCTCCAGTTGGGGCAAAACAAAAGATGTTCAGCCCATTTATGAAGAAGCGGAAGATGGACTTTGAAGAAGCAAGGCAGAAAGATCATTGGCGATTTTGGATTTTGGCGCCGGAGAAGACCAAAATTCCGATCCTTGGCCACCGACTCCTACTTATGACGGCCGCCAAGGCGAGGCAATCCCCTTTGGCGAACCTCCGACAAGCAGCATCAACGGGGAAGTCATGGGACTGATTCACTTAACAACGGTGGCCCAAAATGGAGCGAAACTCACACAACGACCGTCTGGCTCAGCAGTGGAGATTTTGGGCTCCGTTTTTAAGTCGAGGGCGACCTGTAGACCAGGTTTATTATGCTGGAGCTTACCTGGATTCTGGTTCGCCACCTGTCTTCTCAAGGCAGCTTCTGCAGCAGCCTGGGGGGCTGGGAGAGTGACGGAAGAAATGGCGGCTCGGTGCTTCACCGTCTTCGTTGCCAACATTGTGTTCTCTGCCCCAGGGATGATGGGCTTAGGGGTAGACGCTAGAAGAGAGAGGGCAGAAAAACAGATCCTCGGTTAGAATTCTCTCAAAAGTCCGAACGACGTGATGGAAAACAGTCATGGGACAATTAATCTAGGTTGAAGAAACTTGCTCTCTCTAGATGGGTTCACCTACTTTAAACCATAGTTTGTTTTGAATGTCTTGATTAAGCCACAGCGTCTGCCTGGACTTAGAGGACTTCAACTCCCAGAATCCCCCATTCTTGCTGGGAAGCGTGGGAGCTGAAAGGCTCTCCAAATTCTTTTTTACAGTCCCCAGAATTCCCCAGCCAGGAATTTGTCCGTGGCAAAGGATTCTGGGAGTTGACCTGTGTTCAGATTGGGGAAATCTATCCTGACCTCGGCTTCCCTAAAAAGCAGGAAGCAGAGTCTTGGTCCCGGCAAAACCCCTTTTATTTACACGGCTGTGAATTCCTTTCATTCACAATCAGCAAGGCTTGTCCAAACAGTCTTTCAGAGGAGTATTTATCGACACAAACCTTATCTCGCTTGGAAAGCTGCCAGATAACTAGTTTCCAAACGCAGGGCAAGGCAAAACTTGGGATAGAGTCTCTTATAGTCACTAACAGAACTTTCCACTCTTGAAACGACCGAACGAATGAATTGTTTCCTGCAAAAGCCCCCTCCCCGTTTGCTCCTCTTTTGTTTCCTATGGGAGGGGCCAATCAGCTCCAAGTTGTGGCTTTACTCCCAAGTCGTCCCTGCTTTCTGAGTTGTTCTTGTTTTCTGGCAGCTCTGCACACGTGCACACCGGGAACAGGCTCCAGCTGTTCCTCTGCCTCACTGCTGTCTACCTCCCTCTCTGCCTCCGACGCAGAGCTCTCGTCCGAGCTTTCCCCAGCCCCCAGGACTGGCCCAGGTTCCTCCCCAACCTCCTCATTGTCCGACTCTGCTGCCGGCTCCTTAATTTTGTCTGCTGCCAGCTCTTGCAAACTTTGATTTTAGCTTCTACATCATGCTAAGCCAAATGAGCTGCATACGTATTAGTCCCACGTTGATCACAGGACCGCAGGGACGCTGCAATGGTCATTAAGTGTGAAAAACACTTTTTCGTGCTGGAAGGACCAGCTCCCTTAATTATCCATAAGGTCCATCCCGAACCATGTTGGGGCATGAATTTCCTTTCCAATGTTATGAACAAAGGATTTCTGCTTTCTTGAGAAGGCCCGAGAGCCACGGTCCTTTAAGAGGTAGGATCACAATTCTGTCTTCAGCTGGATCTAAGCCATGATTATTCAGAGTCTGTTTTATGACTGCAATTCTATGCTCCCAAATGGAACGCTAAGCGTTCCTCGGAGGCCGATTAAGCTAATTATTCCAATATATGAACCGGAGGAACTGCTGTCATGGCTCGGGATAAATTTTTCTTTTGCCGTGGCAGAAAAGAGTTTGAAGCCATCTCATGGAAGGTCTTTCTGGGATGAAAGACAGGTGGTCTTCCACTTACGACAACAATGGAGCCCCAAATTCCCGTTCTTAAGGGAGACATTTGTTAAGGGAGTTCTGCCCCTTTTTATAACTACTTTCTAATTTTAATGCAAGTCTCTTAACAGCAAACAGCCCAGCCAAAGAACCTCTAAGACCCTCCTCTCCCCACACACATACACACAACACACTGACAGGACAAGCTACTAGAGTATAAATTGACAGCAAACCCCATTCCTTACTAGCACTGATGATGTTACCTAGCTGGGTCATTAAACGTCTGCAAGAAAATATCCAAGCTCAGACAGCACCAAGGACCCCACAGTCATCTTCCTGCTCCTTTCATTCATTTTTTGCAAGTCTTAACCACCCATCTCCCTCAAGGAAGATCTCTAGATGGCAAACGATTTACTAAATCCCGCACTCGACTCACTTAAAGTGCCCATTGTGATGTGGGGTTTGCCAAGAGGCAGGGGCTGTGACAACAGGGGAGGTTGGATCGAAGGCGTCCGGACGACCGGGGCGTGACGAGGCGCTTGGATTGGTACCACCTCCTCCGCTTCCTCCTGATCCACCGCTTCCGTGTCCTCGTTCTCCAAGGACGGGGTGACCGAAGACGCGGAGCTGATGTCATCCAGGTCTTCGTCGTATCTCAGAGACAGGAAAGCCGATTGGGACAGAGTTGCTGCAAAAAGAAACAGAAGGGGGGGAGGGGAATTATTAATATGGATACGACCGCAATTGAGCCCCGAATTTCTCTTGCGAAGTGAAACCTTTCTTTAAGCGAGTTTCGCCACATTCTATGACCTTTCTTGTCAGTGTCGTTAAGCGAATCCCTGCAGTTCTTAAGTTAGTAAGAGGGCAGTGAAGTGAATCTGGCTTCCCCATCGACTTGGTTTGTCGGAAGGTCGCAAAAAAAGGGATCATGTGATCCCAGGAAACCTTTTCCCTTTTCCTCCCCGCTATGTCTGACTATTTGCTTCTGTATTTTTGTATTTTATTCTATCATTTAATAATAATAATAAAACCACGTTTCCAGGAAACTGTCATAAGTACATGCCAGTTGCCAAGTGTCTGAATTTGATCACATGACCCTGGAACGCTGCAACGGTTCCTAAGTGTGAAAAACAGCCATAAGTCTCTTTTTTTCAGAGCCGCTGTAACTCCGAACGGTCATTAAACGAACAGTCGTAAGGCAAGGACTCCCTGAACTGGATGGAGGCATTCTAAATTTGAATGGCTTCAAAATGCTTTGGATTAAAAGGAATGGTCGTTAAGTCAAGAACTCCACTGACCATTGAGAAAAATTCAGTTGCTAAACGGGAGTGAATGAAAGGTTAAATAACTCGGTTTTTGTCCTGAAATGGAAAATATTCTCAATGATGCTGATTTATTTACCTGGTGCTGTCGAGCGGACAGGTGGCAGTTTTCTCTTGGACAAGAAATTCCTTAGCTGAGCCTGCTTCACCAGGGACAACTTAGCTGTAAGAAGCAGGGAACAAAGAACACAGTTTTAGGGCTCTACTTTGGTTTGTGATTCAGTGTGACTACAAACGGTCACTAAATGAACTGTCATAAGTTGAGGACTACGATCCAAAGTTTATTTATTTACTTTTCGAATCGATATCGTTTTAGAAACCATTGTGTGACCTATTACGCTACGACAAGACAACGTGGTTAAAGCGTCAGGCTAGGAAAACTGGGAGGCTGTGAGTTCCAGTCCTCCCTTAGGCACACAGAGCCAGCCACTTTCTCTCAGCCCTAGGAAGGAGGCAATGGCACATTGCCTCTGTGGAACCTGGTCAAGTAAATGGCAGGGACTAGTTACCAGCTGACGGGGATGAAGCTTTGGTGGACGATTCCAGCGTGGCTTTCGTTAAGGCGTTGCTCAGATTCTCCAGCTCACTCTCCAAGCTGTCACAAAAGGGGGGGAAAACAAAAAATTGTTTAAAAAAAGCAGGCAAAAGTGAGATGCGAAATTGTCACACAGCTCACAACCGGAGTGCAGTTCAAGGACTTGAATACGCATCCATTCGTTGGTCCACCACCAGTTCTGATTCGTGCAGCATTATTCCTCCATAATCTGTTCTCACTCAACTCAGCTATGGCAATATAACAGAATAACAGAGTTGGAAGGGACCTTGGAGGTCTTCTAGTCCAACCCCCTGCTCAGGCAGGAGACCCTATCCCATTTCAGACAATTGGCTGTCCGGTCTCTTCTTAAAAACCTCCAGTGATGGTAGCCCCCACAACTTCAGAAGGCAACTTCTGTTCCACCGATGAACTGTTCTCGCTGCCAGAAAATTCCTCTTTAGTTCTGGGTTGGTTTTAATTTAATTTAATTTAATTAATTCAATTTATATGCCGCCCCTCTCCGAAGACTCACGGTGGCTCACAATACATTTTAAAAAATCATTATAAGTTGTCCCAAAGGTGCTTTTCCAAGAGGCAACTGGACTTTCGTGGTTTTTCTTTGAAGACGTTTTGCAGGCAAGTTGTTCCACTGGTTAAATTGTTCTCTCTCTCAGGAAATTCCTTAGTTCTAAGTTGTTTCTCTCCTTGATTAGTTTCCATCCGTTGCTTCTTGTCCTGCCCTCAGGTGCTTTGGAGAATAGGTTGACCCCCCCTTATTCTTTGGGGCAGCCCCTCAAATATTGGAAAGCTAGCTACTAAAACTAGGGTAGGCTTCCTCTCAACCAAATGATGTCCCATGCAAATCCAGAAAGATCCGACATTTTCCAAATGGGTCAAGAGAGGTGTCAGGCCTGGAAGCCATCTTTTGCATTAAATGACAAGAGGAAGGAAAGCTTTTCTGGAGAACTCTTCCAAGCAGCCCTCACCTTTGGATGCTGGTGTGAGAAGAAACGGGAGCGGACCCGTTCCACGGAGTGACTTGGTTGTACAGACGGAGCTCGTACAAGCTGTCTACCAACTTCTTCAGCCTCTTCCTCTGCTGGTGGATGATTTCCCGGTTGTTTGTCAGGGCGTTGAAGAGAGTCTCTCGCTCGGGGACAGCTAAACGCCTATGTCAAAAGGAGAGAGAGAGAGAGAGAGAGAGAACGAGGTAAGGCATCGAGGAAAAGAAAAAGGGACGGGAACATGGCTGTGCTTGCAACTCATTAAAAGCGGGTTCAGAAGTACCGTATTTTTCGGAGCATAAGACGCTCCGGACTATAAGACGCACCTTTTTTGGGAGAAGAAAACAAGAAAAAAAAATCTGCCTCTGCCTCCCAGCAATTTGCCTCCTTGCAGCAAACAGCCTGTTTCAGTTTCATTTTCAGCACAGCCTGATTAGCACAAGAAACAAAAAAATCTGCCTCCCAGCAATTTGCCTCTTTGCAGCAAACAGCGGAGGCCCACGCGGCAATAGGCCACGGAGATCCCTGCAGCCTGAAACAGCTGAGGGTCGGGAGGCCGATCCGACCGACAATCAGCTGCTTGTGCTAATCAGACTGTGCTGAAGCTGAAACAGGCTGTTTGCTGCAAGGAGGCAAACTGCTGGGAGGCAGAGGCCAAAAGGAGGGGGCCGGCGGGTGGGCAGGGCTACATTCTGTGTATAAGACGCACCCAAATTTTCACCCTCTTTTAAGGGGGAAAAAAGTGCGGCTTATAGTCCGAAAAAATATGGTACTTTACGAGAAATGTTTTGCACTCTTCTGTACATAATAGAATTTCCTATCCTATTAGGCTCGAAATTCTTGGTTTGGATAACTCGGAACCGCGTCACTTGCGGTCAAACTTAGGCAGGACTGACCCACGTTCCTCCCCAACCTCCCCACTGTGTGTCTCTGCCGCCAGCTCTGCCGCTGCTGGCGGGCCACAACACTCTGTTTAATGGGTGCCCCTGTACAATATTAGCCTCTGTTATCTCTCTACCCTGTAATGAGTTGCTTCTATGAATATTGCTTCTGTGTTCCTGATTTTGTATGCTGGTTTCTGCTATATGGTATTGTATATAACGATGTAAATTGAATCCTGCAGAATTGTCTGATTGTGTGTGCTGCAACAAACTCTTTGACAGAAGCAGACCTGGGAGTGACCATCAGCATTTAATATCTGAACCACTCAGCAGCTAAATTGACAAAGCGGGGCGCTGTTGGCACTTAAAAAGCCTGCAAGAAATGTTAAGGGGGGGGGGAGATTTCTTAATTTCCCCGTTCGAAGTACACTCACTTCTGCTTCTTCTGCTGTTCCAGGTGCCGATCCCACTCTAAATCCAGAACGTCGTTCACGTCTTGGACGGCAAACTTCACGTACTGATGCAAGCGACGGATTTCCTGCCCGGGAGAACATTTCAAACCTTCAGCTTAAAATCTGCAGGGGTGGAGCAAGCCGTCCCGAGGGGAATGTTGCGCCCTCGACTAACTGGGATTGAGCAAACACCAGGGATGGCTTGGCGTGGCCTCTCCGGCATTCTCAGATCTGGATGTCCTAAAGTGAACAATCCATATGGATCTGAACCCTGGTGGTGTATTTGCTTGGGTCTCCTCTCCTCTTCTCTTTCCGCTTCCTTTCCTCTCTTCTCCCTTCCTTCCCTCTCTCGTCTCCTTCTTTTTCTCTCCTTTCCCTTTCCCTCCTCTTCCTTTCTTCTCCCTCTCCCCTCTTCCTCCTCTCCCTTCCCTTCCTTTCTTCCCTCTCTCCTTTCCTTTCCTCTCCCCTTCCTTTCCTCTTTTTTCTCCTCTCCCTTTCCCTCTCCTTTCTTCTCCCTCTCTTCACTTCTTCTCCTTCCTCCTCCTCTCCTCTCCCTTCCCTTCCTTTTTTTCCTCTTTCCTCTCCCTTCCCTTCCTTTCCTCTCCCCTTTCCACTTGTCCCTCTCTCCTCTCTTCCTTTTTTCTCCTCTCCCTCCTCTCCTTTCTTCTCCCTCTCCCCTCGCTTCCTCTTCTTCCTTCTCCTCTCCCTTCCTTTCCTCTTTCCTCTCTCTCCTCTCCCATCCTTCCCTCTCCTCTCTCTTCCTTTTTTCTTTCCTCTCCTCTCCTTACTTTCTTCCTTTATCTTTTCCCTCGCTTCCTCTTCTCCTTCCTCCTCCTCTCCTCCCCTCTCCTTCTTCTTCTTTCCCCTCCTTCATCTCCTTCCTCTCCTCTGCTCTCCTCCCCCCTTCCCAGTTCAACCCTTGGCGTCTTCCCACACTGCAAAATGACAATGACTCCTCAAGATAGGGTTATGGCTAGCCGCTAGTTTTTGACGCTGAACCCCACTTCCTGAATCTCAGGCAGCTTCTTCCCTCAATAGACCAGCGGGTAGATGACAGCCACCACAGAAGAGGACATATTGGTCTCCTGGTCCTCTTGGGGAGCTTCCTGAAGGCATCTGCTCAGACATTCTGGAGCAGAGAGATCCGCTCTGCTCTGCTCCTACCTGAAGCTGCCCTTCGCTCTTGGGGTCCAAAGGCTTCTTGTAAAGCAGGCGCAAGTACTCCGAGTTATGAGCCTGCTCGTCCTTCTCCTGGGCTTCCTCCACCCCTGCAAAACCTTCCAACAAATCGGTCTTCAGAAGGCTGATGTCTCCGTGAAGGGACTGCAAGAGGCAGATGGGAGAAAGAGACCGGGAGGGAACGCGTTACAAGTTAGTCCTCACCTGACAACCATATTTTTAGTGACCGGGAGCTGGTGAGTTCTAGTCCTGCATTAGCTATGAAACACGGCTGGTGCTTTGGGCCGATCACCAGGAGACAGTGAGTTCTAGTCCCGCCTTAGCCATGATAGTTGGCTGGGTGACTTTGGGGCAGTCCTCCTCTCTGAGCCCAACCCACCTCGCAAGGTTATTGTAGTACTGGGAAAATAGGAGGAAGTTGTGTCGTGTATGTTCGCTGCCTTGAATTATTGGTACAAATATCGTGTTTCCCCGAAAATAAGCCCTCCCCAAAAATATTTAAACGGATGCGCAGCTGGTCCCCGCCATTTCCTCTGGTTAGGGTTAGGGAGACAAGAGCTGGAAATCAGGTAAGACGGCAAGAGGATCTCCGTCTTGCTCCACGAGCCCCAAATTAATAAAACCTCCCCGAAAAGAAGGCCAAACGCTTATTTCGGGGTTCAAAAAAATATAAGACAGGGTCCTATTTTCGGGGAAAGACGGTAGTAAAGGCAGGATACCAATATTAACCAAGAATACAGTAAAAAGAATAAAGGAAATAAAAATAAAGGGAAAAAAATAAATGCCTGACTCTAACAAATAATCTGCTCTTGATTTTATTAATTATTTTAGATTATTAATTTATTAATTAATTGCAGGTTTGGCTAGTCTAGCGAAAAGAAGGATTAGGGGGGGACATGACAGCAGTATTCCAGTATCTGAGGGGCTGCCACAAAGAAGAAGGGGTCAAATTATTCTCCCAAAGCACCAGAAGGCAAAACAAGTAACGATGGGAGCTAACCGAGGAGAGAAGCAACCTGGAATTAAGGAGAAACTTCCTAGCAGTGAGGACAATTAACCAGTGGAACAGCTTGCCACCAGAAGTTGTGGGTGCTTCATCACTGGAAGTTTTCAAGAAGAGACTGGACAGTTACCTGTCTGAAATAGTACAAGGTCTCCTGCTTAAGCAGGGGGTTGGACTAGAAGACCTCCGAGGTCCCTTCCAACTCTATTCTGATTGTTTTTCCCCAAATCTGCCGCTTTTCGTACCCGGCAACTTCACCGCCTCCTCCTTACCTCTGTGGTCTCTTTGATTTCCAGCAGAAAAGTGTGCAGGTCACTGGCTTCCACGCGTAACTTCTTCTTCTCCTCTTCGCCGCCCACCTGAAACGAGGCCTTGGCAGTTCGACCCTTGAGTTCCTCCAACTCTTTCTGGAAATGGGCGATCTGCGGAATCGAGCCACCGGGAGGGTGGATATTTGAGAATAAATAGTGACAAGTGGGAGGGGAAAAAAGAGACACACAACAGGACTTTTTTTCCGGTGTAACACGTTAAAAATGTGCTTTTCCTACTCCACTGAGTTCTTCCTCCTCCTCCTCCTCGCTTGGGCGAGGTCGAGCTGTGCGTGCGTGATTGTCGGCCTGCTTTTGGCACGGCCTGGCTGCAGGCCGTGACCCCTCGGATTGGGGACTCCTGCCTTATACTATAAAGCAGTGATGGTGAAACTTTTCAGCACCAAGTGCCAAAACCGGAATGTGTGTGCATGCGCACACGCCAGAAATCCAAAGATCAGCTGGCTGGCACACACATGCCTGTTTTTTCAGTGTTTTTTGGCCCGTTTTTGGCCTGAAATATGTCCTGAAAAACAACCGTTTTCTGGTGCTCCGGTGCCCATGAAGAATAGTTGGTCGGTGCGCGCATGCCTGATATTTGGGCGTTTTTCGGGCTGTTTTCGGGCTGAAAAACGGCTATTTTCTGGCGCTCTGCCACCCGTGAAGACCAGCTGGAAACCAGAAGAGCAGCTGGCAATGGCACACATGCCCACAGAGAGGGCTCTACGTGCCACCTCTGGCACGCGTGGCATAGGTTCGCCATCCTGGCTATAAACTGTATAGCTCTGCCAGTTCAATCAGGGGTTCCCTCCAGTGGTGGGTTGCTCCCGGTTCAAGTGAACCGGTAGCGGCGGCCGACCTGCCCAGACGTCATCAAAAACGCTCTGCGCATGTGCAAAAGCACCACGCGATGATAGCGAACCGGTAGTGTCCGGATTTGAAACCCGCTACTGGTTCCCTCTCTCTGCACCTGATTACCTGCTATTCTTCACGGCAGGTAACGAGGAAACAACGACACCCAGCACAAACTTTCAATGCCAATCTGTCTTTTAAAACCCCCTTAAAAAAAAAAAACTTCAGGAAGAATCCACTGGGGGGGGGGGGGGGGGGGGAAGGAAGGTGATTTGGTGAAGGTGAAGAGCCTTGGTGGTGCAGCGGACTAAAGTGCTGTTAAGTAGCACTTAGCTGCCTGCAATTACTGCAAGTTCAAATCTCACCAGGCTCAAGGTTGACTCAGCCTTCCATCCTTCTGAGGTAGGTAAAATGAGGACCCGGATTGTGGGGGCAATAAGCTGACTTTGTATAAAAAAGAACACCGCTTAGGGGGGCCCGAAAGCCTACTAAACAGGTACAGTATATACAAAAGTATGAAGGCTATTGCTTAACGCATTGTAAGCCTCCCTGAGTCTCCGGAGAAGGGCGGCATATAAATCGAACCAATAAATTTACCTCTTCTCTTATCCCGACGATGACAGGATCCGTCTCTTTCCACTGGCAGGGCTGCTTCTCCACTCCAACACCGGCAGGCTGCTGCCGACTCTGGAAGGTGCAACACGAAAGCATCCGTGATGTGTCAAGAGAAAGAAGCAAGAGGGATTGAAGAATCGGGATGAACAGAGTTCAGGATTAGCACCCGACTTTCGGAATGGTGTAGTTCTATTTAGAGCCTGTGCAGAGATAATAACCCACACTTGTTCCACCTTCAAGGTGTTCTGATGTGGGCTTCCCAAGAGCATGAAGCGGGCTCCTTGTCCCGACAAAAAAAAACCTTTTTATTAAGTGAATTCTTCTCGTTCACATCCAGCAAAGTCTTTCAAGGAGGAATTTACAGTCACAGACCTTATCTGGCTTGGAGAGCTGCCAGGCCGATATCTTCAAAACTTGGCAAGGAATCTCAGAGGGTCACGAACCAATTAAGCCAAGTAATTGTCTCCTGCAAACTCCACTCCCCTTTCGCTCCTCTTTTATTCCCTCTGGGAGGGGCCATTCATCGTCCACCTGTGGCCTTACTCCCGAGTCGACCCTTGTTCTTTAGCTGACAACTTGAGGGCGTGTCGGCTGTCAGTTCGGCAGTGCCATAAATACCCATAAATGTATTTTACGTATTCTTACCTGCGAAGGGCTCGTTTTCGGAGCAACTGGGGATATCTTGGCAGCTTTCTGAAGGCCCGAGGTTGCGGGAGCGCTCTGAGATGGACGCACTGCTGGGGGCAAGAACACAAAAAAGAGAGACACGCACTCGCATAACTGCTGCTAGCGGTCAGTTACGACTTAAGCCCTAAAAGATAAAATGAGGGGAACGCCCATTCCGAGAAAAGTAAAATTAGGGTGGCCCGCTTAACAGCTACAAATGACTTACACCCATGTAATTCTGGGCTCAATTACCGTCGTAAATCGAGGACGATCTGCACTTGTGGATCACTTGAGAAGAACAGAGAGGGTGGGGACACAGGAAACGTCCCTGCCCCAACAGCTTGCACTCAAACGTCCCAACAACCACAGGAAAGGAAGCGTGTTCTGATCTAGGCTTCCTCAGCTCGTCCTCGTCCCCCTTTTGTTTAATTTACGGAGAATTCCTCTCCAGCAAAGTCTTTCCTCTCCCACAGTCTTTCTAGATAGTTCCCAATGACCGGCCTTGATCGGGCTTGGAGAGTGGCCAGGCCGATATCTTTCATACTTGGCAAGAATGCAGGAAAGAACTAATTGTCTCCTGCAAACTCCCCTCCCCTTTCGCTCCTCTTTTATTCCCTCTGGGAGGGGCCCTTCATCGTCCACCTGTGGCCTTACTCCTGAGTCGACCCTTGTTCTTTAGCTGTTCCCTTCGTTTGGAAACTCTGTGCATGCACACGCTGGGAACAGGCCCCAGCTGTTCTTCTGCCCCACTGATGTCTGACTCCGAAGGCAGCTGATAACTGTCAAGACGGCCCTGGCCCTCTCTCTGCCTCCGACGCAGAGCCCTCATCAGAGCCTTCCCCAGACTCCAGGACTGGCCCATGTTCCTTCCCCAACCTCCCCACTGTCCGATCCGCTGGCGGGCCACAACAAAGTGGGGAAAGCAAAGGCTAAACCGTACTTGCAGCAGTCACCGGGGTAGAAGCCTTTATTGGGGCAGGAGGCGGCGTGGCCAGGTTTAGGGGTCCTGCAGAGGTAGATTTTGCAGCCACGGGAAAGAGGAAAGGCAAAGAACCTTGGCTGGTGTTGGCAGGAGGAGGGGCAGCAGACTCGGCAGCGGCAAACCTGAAGAGGAAAAACTTAAAATGAAAATGGGCAAAGCCACATACCGCCTAGCATTCTTCAACTACTTAAGAGTCGGCTAAAAGGCCAGGATTTTGTTTGGAAGGGTAAAGAGTTGTTTGCAAAAAAAAAAAACAATAAAAGGTGGGATACAAATAAATAAAAAAATAGAGGGGGATGAGAAGCGGCCGGGGCAGAGACAGAGACAGAGACAGAGACAGAGAGAGAGAGACCCCACGTACTTTTCATTGAGGTTGACCTTGACAGAGGACACCGCTGGGGCAAAGCTGGGCTTTGTCACGACGGGAGGAACGGGCCCGTCAACGCGGCTCTTGAAGCTCACCGACCCGAAGGAGAAAGACGGAGCGGACCCCGGGACGAGGCCGGACGAGGAGACGGGAACTTGTGGTGCTTTTGGGGTGGCGGGAGAAGAGAACTCGGCGGCCTTGCTTGTGCTGGGCCCGGGAACCGCTGCTGTCGAGGCCTCCGAGGGGAAGGGATAAGGCAGGGAAGAATTCGGAGCCGGGACAGGGGCTTTGAGAGGGGGACTTGTAAAAGAGAAGGGGGTGGCCCCACTGCTTGGGACTAAGGAGGGACCCGGGGCCGGAGGGGCTGGGGGAGCATCGCTCTTGGCAGCAGCTGAAGGAGTGGTGGTGCCTGGAAGGGAGAGATTGACCATTAACACAAATAATATAGGAAGTCGTCGGCTTACGACTGGCGCTAAGTGAGCCAAGCGGCCATGCCCTGATTTTACAACTGATTTCGGCCGCAGTCGTTAACGAAAATTATAATCGCAACTGATTTTAATTTCTGGTATTTTATTTGAAGGAGGCTCCCTTGGAAACCACGAGATCTTCTCAATGCCTCCGTTACCCTCTTCGACCAAGCGCAAGGAAATCTCCTGGCGAGGGCGTCAAATGCCTACCTGTGGGTTTTGCTCCTCTCTCCCCTTCTGCAGAGAGAGGTTCGGGGGCCACCAGAAGAGATCGGACGCCGGGGTTTTGATTGACCATGTAAAAGGGGCATAACACCCCGTCTGTGGATAACAACATCAAGACCGGAGCGGGATCCAAGGTTTTATCTTCACCTGGGGGGGAATCATAACGAAACGCGACACGTTCACTCCAAGCAAAAACTCTTAAAATCCAGGAACTGTTAAGTAGCGTAGACAAGTACTGGGCTGATTTTGTAAACCGCTTATGAGAGGGCTGTAAAACACTGTGAAGCGATATATAAGTCTGCTATCTTTTTCTTTCTTTCTTTCTTTCTTTCTTTCTTTCTTTCTTTCTTTCTTTCTTTCTCTCTCTTTCTTTCCCTTCTCTTCCTTATTTCCTCCCTCCTCTCACTCTCCTTCCTCCCTCCCTCCCTCCCATGATTAGAATGCCATATTGCAGGCTAACTCTGCCAATTGCCAGAGGCTCGATCCTAACGAGCTCAAGGGCGACTCAACCTTCCACCCTTCCGAGGTCGGTAAAACGAGGACTAAGTAGTGCAGACAAGTACTGGCAGCAAGTAAAACGAGGACCCAGATTGTTGGGGGCCAGAGGCTGACTCTGTGAACTGCTTACAGAGGGCTGTAAAAGCACTGTGAAGCGGTATGTAAGTCTCAGTGCTCTTGCTATTGTTTTATTGCGTTATTTATACTCTCGTAGGCCGCCCAGAGCTGCTTAGTAAAGAACTGGACGGCGTACAAATTTAATAAAATAAAACAAATAGTGTTGGCAGATTAGACGGCGTCCTTATGAACCTTTCGCCCTTTTTCTCGGATCAAACGAATGATCCTTGTACTTACTGATAGTTATGGGCATGTTGTTGCTATAATCAATGGCAACTCCGACCGGCAAGGAATCGTCGCTTTTATCCGTCACGGGAAGCTCTGCACGACTGGAGTCTTCCAACACCCACAGTTCCCAGTTAGTCTGCAAGGAAAATTCATCCGGTTTCCAACATGTGCTTCGCCAACAGCTCTCCAAAGCCTTGGAGGCCTCCACAAGCGCATGACCCCACCCCAGGTAGCCCCTGACTCACAACTGTTCATTTAATGACCGATCAAAGTTACAATGAAAACAGTGTCGTTTTTTCACACTTGGGACTGTTGCGGTATCCCCCCAGTTACGTGATCCACGTTAAGACGCTTGCCGACTGGCTCGTATTTATGACGGATGCAGCGTCCTGGGGTCTTTGCTTGTCGGAAAGTTACAAAAAGGGGATCATATGACCCCAAGAGCACTATAACTGTCATAAATATGAACCTGTTGCCGAATGTCAGGGGTCGGCAACCTTAAACACTGAAAGAGCCATTTGGACCCGTTTCCCACAGAAAAGAAAACACCGGGAGCCACAAAACTCTTCCCGTGCCTGACTATTTCTTGAGTGGCCACAAAACTAGCATAGGTAGTTGGAATTAAACGTTCTGGATTTATCCATGGATGGCCTACCAGGAGTTGAAAAGCTCACTAAATCGCGTGCCGACGGGTGTCGCACATTGGCGGTTGTGGCGCATATTTTGAGTGACAATATTTTGAATTTTATACCCAGATGACACACTTTTTAATGTAAGAGGAAATGTTTGTATTAAAAGAAAATTTAAAAAATCCAAAATGTACCCCACCCCCCTAATTTTCTTACAAAGAGATCTTACTGTGCCTGAGTTTGGGAGGAGAGTTACCTGATCCCCTTGTCTTGACAGGATGCTGACTTCGGTGGAAGCGGCAGAAGCTAATAAGACCAGATCCCTGGGAAGGGGGAAAAAAATAAAATAAAACAAAACACGTAAATGTGAACATTTCAAGGAAAATCTTGGATGAACAAATTCAGTTCCCACTGTGGTTTCCCTGTGAAAAGAATAGCCTTGAGGGAGCCCAGGGATCTGATCAGCCTGCAAAAAACAGGAAACCAACGTCTTGATGTTATTGGTGCTCTCTGAGATGGATTGTCTTCTTGGAGACTTTTCATGACCCAACTAGGTGACATCATCAGTGCTAGGAGGCTTCTTGGGTCATGAAACGTTTGCAAGACGGCAACCCAGCTCAGAGCTACTGTATATAAACAGGGAACAAGTTACAATTAGCATTGATCAAAATGGATTCCTCCCAAAAAGACAAATTAGAGACGATATAAGAATAATTTTGGATGCTTTAGAGTATTATGAAGCACATCCTGAAAAGCAGATGGCTTTGGTATTTTTAGACGCACAAAAAGCTTTTGACAATGTAAACTGGCGATTCATGATACTCCAAATGGAAAAGATGGGCTTTGGTAAGTTACATTTAGCATTGATGATGTTACCTAGTTGGGTCATGAAATGTCTGGAAAAAGACAACCCAGCTCAGATCTACTGTATATGAACAGGGAGCGTGTTACACCAGCACTGCTGATGTTATCTAATTGGGTAACGAAACTCCTGCAAGAAAGGTTCAGAGAACGCCAAAGACTCCCCAGTTCAACCCTGAGCTAAAAATATTCTCTTCTATTGGTACTTACCAATCTTCAACGAAGTTAAGGAAGTAGTGGTGCAGCCTCTCAGTGCAACTCCCATAACAAGGCTCCATAAAGTTTACAAACAGCTCGGGCCTCTTCTCTTCTTTTTTCTGAACAAAGAGAAGAACAGCTTGGTTTCTCATCTTATTTTTCCTTTTTTTTAAAAAAAAACAACGCAAGATGTGGATACCTACCGGCAACAGAGCCATAACCACTTCGGGGGAAGTTTCTAAGCTGCCGTCCGCAGCGGCGTAAATGATGGTGAAGACGTAAGTGCCAATCCACAACACATCCAGGACTGGAAAAGAACAACAAAAAAGATTATTTTATTATTATTCTTACAAGTTTTTTATTATTTTTTTTAATTTTTTTTACAAACACATCAATGCGTGAACAGTTTTATTTGTTTTAACACAAATAAAACTAGGAAAATTTGTGTTTTTAAACTTCACTAAAAATGGTTATTTTTCTCCAAACCAAGCGCTGTACTTTCCCAGCCATGTCAGGTTTACCTGGCCTAATTTAGTTATTAGAAATGTGCATTGAAATTAGAAAAGAAGGCCTACCAGGTATTCCTACCGAAACATCACTAAATTAGTACCTTTGACAGGATTATCTGCCACGTAGAATGGAGGGCAAGGAATTGTTTTCTTTTCCTGCAGGTTCTGAAAAATTGAAGAAAAAAAAACAACACAGTGAGACCATATTTTTGTCTGTTGGTGCAGCACTTGAGTTAAATTCTAAGTCCTACCCTCAGGTGCTTGGGAGAATAGCTTGACTCCCTCTTCTTTGGGGGCAGCCCCTGAGATATTGGAAGACGGCTATCATGTCTCCCTTAGTCTTTCTTTGCATTAAACCAGACATACCCAGTTCCTGCAACCGTTCTTCAGATGCTTTAGCCTCTAATCCCCTAATCATCTTTGTTGCTCTTTTCTGCACTCTTTCTAGAGTCTCCACATCTTAACTAAGATAACTACACCCCAAAGCTCCATCCAGATCCTTAATCATCAATTGAGAACGGTTGGGAAATTATTGTGGACAGGAAATAAGCCAAAATTAAGACTTACTGGCAGATACTGGACCACTGTGCCATTCTGCTTGCCGACTGCCAGTTGTTTTCCTTTAGGACTCCAACATACTGGGGGAAAAAAACATTTTTTTAAAAAAAAAAAGCCTCAAAAACGGACACATTAATGACACCAACCTGGCTCACAAACCCGAATAAAACAATCCGTTCTTGAAACGAATCAGGCCAATTTTTGTGCCCCGGCTTTGTGCCAATCAAGGACACGTCAGTTATGGTTCGTCAGACCAGATAATGAAGCCAGCAACGTGTCAGGCTGAGAAGATAGAAGCTATATAGTCCAACATGGCTTAGCAGTTAACAAGCTGCCCTTGTAAAGCAGCTTGAGTTTGTTCTTCACCAGTTTAGTCTAGTGGTTAAGGAACCAGGCTAGAAAATAGAGGAAAGTGAGTTCTAGTCCTGCCTTAAACATGAAAGCCAGCTGGGTGACTTTGGGCCAATCACCAGGAGACGGGGCCAGTCCTTCTCTCTCTCTCAGCCCACCCAACTCCACCGGACCAAGTTGTTGTTGTAGAGAAAACGGGAGGAAGGAGGAAGATTAGGTATGTTAATTGCCTTGAGCAATTTTTTTAAAAAAATAATAAAGGGTGAGATAGATAAATTAATAAATACGTACAAATAAATAACTAAGAAAGAAATAACTAAAAAGGAGACGACCAGGTTGGGTGAGGGGATGAAACCACGCAACCCACCGGATGTGACGGCCACCGAAGCAGGAAGTGTGGCGTACACCTTCACGGTTTCCGCCACCTGCAGGACGGAGACGCTCCCATCGGACAGACAGACAGCTAACATCGTGGCATTCACCGGATTCCACTTAAGGTCGTTGACCAGCGCCCCTGCCATCTTTTGATAAGCAAATGGCCGTTTTTGCTGTTTAGCCTGTTGCAAAGAGATCGAATGAGAATTTAAGAAGGGTGGGTGGGTGGATGGACAGAGTCGAACAAGACAGATAAACAGATAGATGCTACGCATCCATGAGTGGATAGACAGGTAGAGAAACATGGATGGATGCACGGATGGATAGAGATGTGGTGTCAGGCCTGGAAGCCATCTTTTGCATTGGGCCTTCAGGCCTGACACGTTTACTACTGTGGGAAACTGGGAGGGGGGAATTGTGTGGAGTACGGGTGATATATAGTCAAAATAACATTCCTTTCTCAAGAAGTCAAGGTCATCTTGCCCTGTACCTGGGAGCCTCGAGCTGGGAAGCATCTCCACTTGGGATGGTGTTTGGATTGGACCATGTGATGGACCTGTGGGTGCTGGGCAGGGACTTGGACTTTCTTTGGGTGGGGAAAACCTGGAAACTTTCAGAAAACTCAAGTCTCGGAGTTTTCTTTCGTTACTTGGAATCCTGACATGTGGATGGATAAAGAGACATCAATGGATAGATACATGTATGGAGAGAGAGAGAGAGAGGGGGAGAGAGAGAGAGAGAGAGAGAGAGAGAGAGAGAGAGAGAGAGAGAGAGAGAAAGACAGGAGAGACAGACAAGCAGAGAGAGGAGACAGAGAGAGAGAGAAATGGATAGACAGACATGGATAAATGGATAGAAAGACTTCCCCCTCTAGCTTTGACAGATGAAATTGACAAAAGCTCTGCCAATTTTAGGAGAAGGTTGTAGGAAAGATAAGAAGGAATGAGAAGACCAGAAACTGGTTAGATTAACCTCAGGCACAAAAGATCAAACCGTAACATTAAATTTCGTTGCTCGAACCTACCCGGAGGAATCGGCTCACCTGATTCACAAAAGTGCGGACGTCGAAAAAGCCGATGAAAGACCCAACTTCATTCGAGGCCATGCAAACCGACAGCGTGAGGTTATCGCAGCTGAGCGCCAAGTGATGCACCCAAAACTTGGTTGGGACAAAAAGACCCTGGACATTCTCTACTGTGGAAACAAAACGAAAGGAAAAGTTGAAAAACAAAACAAAACATAACATAACAACAACTCTACTGCTCTTGGATAAGTTTCCATCCCTTGCTTCTTGTCCTGCAGGAGAGAGAATCCGATAATAAATAGTCACCTATTTTATTAGGAGAATCTCCAGCCTGAATCTGCATAAGCAGGTTTTTCGTCTGAAAGATTTGCAGTCCGGCTGCACAGCCGGTGAAGGTCAGCCCGTATTTGTTGGACACGACCAGCAGGTTGCCACGTTCCTTGGGAAGATCCTCGGGGGCTTCGAAGATCCGGATTTTCTTCAGGGCTCGGAATTGAAAATCCTGCCAAGAAAACACCATATTAAGAAGGTTTACTAGAAAGAGAAACGTTAAAGGGGCCGCATGACATCCCTTAAGGGGAAAAAAAAAAAATAATAACTTTTAACTCTGTATGTCTAGTCCAAGAGTCAGCAACCTGCAGCTCTGGAGCCGCATGTGGCTCTTTCATTACTACGCTGCGGCTCCATCACTCAAAATATGCGTCACAACCGCTAGTGTGCGACACCCGCCAGCACACAATTTATTGAGCTTTTCAACCCCCGGTAGGCCAACCCTGGATAAATCCAAGAAAAGAAAAGTTTCAGAAGAAAACAGAACATTTAATTCAACTACATATGCTAGTTTTGTGGCTGGTCAAGAAATAGTCAGGCACGGGAAGGGTTTTGTGGCTCCCGGTGTTTTCTTTTCTGTGGGAAACCGGTCCAAATGGCTCTTTGAGTGTTTAAGGTTGCAGGCCCCTGGTCTAGTCTAATGAAGAAAAGGACTAGGGGGGATGATTGCAGTATTTGAGGGGCTGCCACATAAGAAGAGAAGGTCTCCAAAGCCCCTGAGGGCAGGACAAGAAGCAATGGAGGGAAACTAATCAAGGAGTGAAGCAACCTAGAACTAAGGAGGAATTTCCTGACACTCAGAACATTTAATCGGTGGAACGGCTTGCCTTCATACGTTGTGGGTACTCCATCAATGGAGGCTTTTAAAACACTGGACAGGCACTTGTCCAGAAGGGTATCAGGTCTCCTGCTTGAGCAGGGGGTTGGACTAGAAGACCTCCGAGGTCCCTTCTAACCCTATTATTCTGCAGTAGCTGAGCTGAATGAGAATAGAATCCCTACCAGCCCTATGGTTCTATGTTCTAACTGTTAGCAAATGTAACTGTCGGTTTACCTGCTTTAGGTAACCAAAGTCAGGATAATCTGACAGTGGGATGGGGGTGGGTGGGTGGGAGGCAGTAAATCCAACTTCTTGGTTGGGAAAACTTTTAGGTTATCCGAATCGGGATAATTCTTTTCATTTTATTTTTTAATGGAGGGGATGGGGGCTCTCCAAAGACCCCATAGCCGGATCCCAACTTGGAAAGCTCCTAAAGCCACTTTGGGTTATCGAGAGGAGCAGCGTACAAATTTGCTCAGTAACACATTAAAACCAAATAAAGTAAAATAAAAACAAAAATATAGTATATAACATGTAAAATATTAATTAAATATAACATAATATATAATACATAACACAGTATAATATAATATACAATACAGTAATATAACAATATGAATATAATATATATTATATTTATATTATATCACTGTATTACTGTATTTTATATCTGTCATAAAACACATGCTTGACGAAATAAAATATATTTATTTTATTTTATAAATATTGCATTATATTTTGTATTGTATTATGTATTAATATAATATAATATAATACAATATATACTGTATTATATTGTATTGTATTATATTAATACATAATAGAATAGAATACAAAATATAATACAATATTTATAAAATAAAATAAATATATTTATTTTATTTTGTCAAGCATGTATTTTATGACAGAATTATATTTTGTATTGTATTATGTATTAATATAATACAGTATAATACAATATACAATATTGTATTGCATTGTATTGTATTATATTAATACATAATAGAATAAAATACAAAATATAATACAATTTTATAAAATAAAATAAATATATTTATTTTATTTTGTCAAGCATGTATTTTATGACAGAATTATATTTTGTATTGTATTATGTATTAATATAATACAGTATAATACAATATACAATATTGTATTGTATTGTATCGTATTATATTAATACATAATAGAATAGAATACAACAAAATATAATACAATATTATAAAAAAAATAAATATATTTATTTTATTTTGTCAAGCATGTATTTTATGACAGAATTATATTTTGTATTGTATTATGTATTAATATAATACAGTATAATAAAATATACAATATTGTATTGTATGTATATCGTATTATATTAATACATAATAGAATAGAATACAAAATATAATATAATATATTATAATATAACATAATATAATTATAATATTATAATTTATTTTATTTTATTTTATTCATGTTTATATGCCGCCCTTCTCCCGAAGGACTCAGGGCGGCTCACAACAATAAACAACAAAACAATAAATTAAAGCTAAAATAATCCAGTTAAATTAATACTTCAAAATAATACAATATAATAATTATAATAATATAATATTTATTTTATTTATTTATTTTATTTTGTCAGGCATGCATTTTATGACAGATATAAAGTAATATTAATGACAGGACATGAGACCCTTATCCTGCCTGGCCTACCTGGCGGGGTTGTTGTGCAGGAAGACCGTAACGGAATAATGGGGGTGGGGGAGGGGAGGGGAGAGAAGGGGAGGGGTGACTGACTCCCCCTCCCCACTTATAAAAGGAGCCCCCAAAAGTGGCCATGAACCCGGGGGAGGAAATTGGGGGATGAGGGGGGGTACTAAAAATCCCCCTCCGGCTCTTTCTGCCCCCCTTCGGCCTCCGAAGCCCGGCCTCACCTTCATCTCCCGCTCGGGGATCACGTCCATGTCGTCGCCCATCTCGCCGCCGCCGCCGCCGCCGCCACCGGCAGCCTGGACACGCGCCGCCCCGCTCTTCCTTACATTCCCCGCTTTTTCAACGGAGGGGAAGGAGAAACCCGACGGACGCGTCAGGGCGCTTCCGCTTCCGGCGACGCTCTAGGGCGCCGCTTCCGGTTTGACACATACTACTCCCACCACCCTTAAGGAGCTGGAGGGGAGTTGCGAAAGGGAAGGAAAAAAAAAGGACGTCCTTCCGGCATCGGCCCTCTTTCGGTCGCCCAACTCTATGGCTGGTGCTAAGGAGATGAAAACAAAAGCATGAGGACGTAGATGTAGGAATAGTAGAGAGTCATGCAGACTCTCTCTCACTTCCGGGATTATTTACTCCCTTTTAGATAGACAGCCTCTAAAGATCTCAGCATCTTCTGAAGAAAAAAAAAAAGATTTTACAGTAGAAAACTAAGTAATAATTTTAATTAGCAATTTTATGATGTTTGTGTGTCTATATTTTTCTTGACTGTACACCGCCTTGAGTCCTACGGGAGAAAGGCGGTATAGAAATATAATAAATAAATAAATAAATAAATAAATAAATAAATAGAAGGGGATCTCTTTTTTGCAAGAGGAGGGATCTCTTCCTGGCTAGGTGGCTCGGTGGCTAAGACACTGAGCTTGTCGATCAAAAAGGTCCGGCAGTTCGGCGGTTCGAATCCCTAGTATAGGTCTCGTTGGGTGAGCAGGGGGGTTGGACTAGATGACCTCCCGAGGTCCCTTCCGACTCTGTTACTGCTCCCCCAAGGATCAACCCAAGTCAGGGTTGCTGCTTGCGTTTCTCCATCCAGAGGCTGCATTTTGCACAGCAGCCTTGTGCCAGCTGGAATTGGATTTAAAATTAGTTGTGGGAAATCTCTGCAGCCGCTATATAGATGCTGGTGGGACGATCTGGGGTGGGTGGGTGGTATGGGAATCCAGTCAAGGAGAGCCACTCTCCCCACTGCAGTTGGGTGCATAGGCTTATCTGCAGAATCACGATATCTGTATGCAATTGGTTATTGCTACATATCCAAAGGTATGTAGTACATAACTTCATATCCAGCAGAGACATACAAAAGTGTGTATAGTCAAGGCGATGGTTTTCCCAGTTGCAATGGATGGCTGTGAAAGTTGGACCGTAAGGAAGGCTGAGCGCCAAAGAATGGAGGCCTTTGAACTCTGGTGCTGGAGAAGACTCCCGCGAGTCCCTTGGACTGCAAGGCCATCCAACCGGTCATCCTAGAGGAGATCAACCCTGACTGCTCTTTAGAAGGCCAGATCCTGAAGAGGAAACTCTAATCCTTTGGCCACCTAAGGAGAAGGAAGGACTCCCTGGAGAAGAGCCTCATGCTGGGAACGATGGAGGGCAAAAGAAGAAGAAGGGGACGACAGAGAAGGAGGTGGCTGGATGGAGTCACTGAAGCAATCGGCGTGAGCTTCAATGGACTCCAGAGGATGGTAGAGGACAGGAAGGCCTGGAGGAACGTTGTCCATGGGGGTCGCGATGAGTCGGACACGACTTCGCAACTAACAGCAACAACAACATATCCCAAAAAATATGTTTGCAAGGAGCAGGATTTTTTTTAAAATAGATGTTGATGAGTTGGTGTGTTTCTACATGAACATACACTGGCTTGTGCAACAAAAGAAAATAATAGAAACCAGCATCATAAAAATAAAATAAGAAGTTAAAGTGCTGTGGGTCTTTAGAATTCAAACAGGCACCTGCTACATAACACCCCAGACTTAATAATTGTCAATAAGAAAGACAAAAAAAGTCTTCTCAACACCCCTCAATAGCCGGCTCTCAAGACATCCTAGAAGACGAATGTTCCTCATAGCCCATGTAGCTTAGTGTTACCCGTGTTGCTAAACCAAGATTTGATTAACCGCCGTTGCTGGAATAAACCACCATTGGGTGGATTGAGTCCTAAGCCTCGGTTAGCATCCTCCTGGGTTTACACTAACCAGGAAGCTAAACCCCAAATAATAGTTTTTTGTGGCTTTGTGCAATGTGTGACTCCAGAGAGTGTCAAGTGAAGGACATCAAATGCCCATAAATCACACGTCGTGTGAATAGAGCCACGATCCTGAGTTTAGCATGTGGCATGAATTCTCTTGCACACCAGGTATTTTTCATTGGTGTCCATAATATATATCTCAGAAGCAACGGTGGGTTACACTTTATGTTACTACTGGTTCGCCACACACGTGCACTCTTGCTTCATGCATATGTGCCCCCAGTTTGCATGCGCGCCTGCCTTCCACACGTGCGCCCGGCCTCAACAATGGGCCTAAATAGGATGGCATAGAGCATCTGGATGGCATCCGGTGCGGGTGGGTGGGGATGCAGGCCAAGCCACGATTTCCACTACTGGTTTAGGCAAAATCGGTTCAAACCGGCTGAATACCACTTGTGCTCAGAAGTCAGAATTTTGATTTATTTACTGTGAGTCTTATTGGTCCATTTGGGTTGAAAGCCAGCAGGGGGCGCCTCTAGCCACCTTGGAAAGTTAAGCAGGGTTGAAGCTGGTTAGCGTTTGAATGGGAGACAACCAAGAGAGACCCCCCCTCCCGAGGCTGAATGGTTAGACTGGGAAGTTGAAAAAGAAAAAGAAAAACGATAGAAGTAAACAGCAAATTATTTTGTATTATTTTGTAAGAAACCGAAAGAAACTCGACGCGTGTCCAGTTACTCATCAGGAGTTGAATTCAACTCAACGGAGACTCGGCCCTGGGTGAACTCAGCTACTAAAAGAAAAAGAACCCCTTAAAAGGATTAAATCCAACTCCACAGTCAAATGGACCTCACATACAGGTAGTCCTCGACTTACAACCACAATCGAAATCAGAATTTTCATCCAGATGCTTGTTGAGTGAGCCACGTCTGATTTTACGACCTTACATCGCTGTGGTTGTTAAGTGAGTTGCTTGGTCGTTAAATTGCTTCCCCCTCCCCCCATTGACTTTGCTTGTTGGAAGCCCGCTGCGAAGGCCGCAAAGAAAGATCACGTGACACACACCCCCGGGAATGCTGAAACCGTCATAAGTACATGCCAGTTTCCCAGCGCCAGGATTTCGATCACACAATCGTGGGATTGCTATGACAAGTCGTTAAGGGTGAAGAAGACTAGCTTTTTCCCGTGCCATTGTAGCTTTTAAACGGTCACTAAATGAATGGTTGTTAAGCCGAGGATTACCTGTATCAAGAAGGGGAAGGTACACATTGACCTGATCAAGGAAGTTGGCTTGAACAAAGAAACCAAGATTAGAAAATCATCGAGAAAAAACATTTTTTACGCATTTTACAGGATGACAGAAGGGAAAAAAAAATCTCAGAAATCAGGAAAGCGACTCTGAGAAAGACACTTAGAAGTTTTGGGGTGGTTTTGCAAAAACAGGAGCGATTTCCCCCCCCCATGTGTCGACCCCCCGAGCTCCAGAACTAACCACGATGTCACTCAATCCGGTTTAGGATTGATTCTGAAAGTCAGGCTAAAATGCCTCTGGTTTTCCCTTTTTCCTTTGCTTCATCGCCGTTTGGAAAAAAAATAACACACTTGCCTGATGCAAAAAATTCTGGTTTATGCTCCTTAAAAGATATGACCCAACAACCATCTGAATTTTTTTTCCCCGCCCCTTGGACCAAAGGGGTTGGTTTTTCTTCCAGCTGCACACTGAAAAGCCATTTTCAGAAAAGTAGTTTTGTGTTTGGAACAGAAGTAAATCTGAATAATTTCAGGTTTGGGAGAAAAGCGGGGGGGGGGCCTTCGGAGAGCGTTCATCTCCCGCGAACACCCCGTGAAATCTGGATGTTGCATTTAGAGTTTTCTTCTGTTCTGGAGAACCATGGGGCCTGTTATTCGGGTTGTAGTTGAGAATAAAAATTAGGGGTGACTAGAAGATAGTCCTCTGGCTTGAAGTCTGGTGGACTTTTCCTTGCCATTCCTTCAGATGGAGTCTTATAAAACGGGCTGGTTTAAAAGCAACGGAGCAGAGATCTTGCTGCCGTCAGAGGTGGAAAATGTTCCGTATTCTCCTCTCCCTTTAAGGAAGGCTCGAGAGGTCTCTTTCCGGAGGAGGACCTGAAAATTTGGGGGTGCTTTCTTGACTCTTGCCTTCAAACATCATCACCCTAAAAGAAGAGGACAGCAAAGGAGAGAAGAAGAATTAATGGAATATTACCAGATTAGACTAACCGAGTTGGAAGGGACCTCGGAGGTCATCTAGTCCAACCCCCTGCTCACGCAGGAGACCTGTACTAGGGATTCGAACCGCCGAACTGCCAACCTTTCTGAAACGACAAGCTCAGTGTCTTGGCCACTGAAGGTCTCTTGCCTTGGGCACGGCGTTAGATTAGAAGATCTCCAAAGTCCCTTCCAGCCCTAGCATTCTATATTCTTCTACCCCCTTTGAGAAGAACCGACGTTCACCTGTAACTTACTCACCTGAGATGCCCCGTAGCTACCCTAGCTCTCCAACTTTCTCTGCTGAGGATGGCTAGACTGCTCCCTCTCACTTCCCTAGGTGGCTGCCTCTCTAACCCCACGCCAGTTACAAGTTCTCCTTCCAACATCACAACCCACGGTCTCCCTCTGGCCAATCTTGGGGTGAATGGCCTGGGTCAGCCGTGGAGGAAGGACGCGAGGCCGGAGGGCAAAGAGGAGGGGAATCGGAAAACTTTGATAATAATGGGAGCCAAATCCCTCGTGCCCACACAGAGTTCGGAGTCATTGTTCTCCGTCCAGGATTCAAAATTTGGAACAGGAATGGAAACCGAGACGGGGATCGAAAGACAATGGGCAGTTTGTTCCTGCCATTCTTGCATTTTAGCAAATCTTTAGCAAAATAGTTTTTAGTCTTAACTGGAGTCGTGGGGAGGAAGAGGAATTCCTTTCTCTGTTGATGGGGCGTCAACAGAGTTCTCCGAAGTTTTGGGGGCCAATACATTTAAATAAATCAACAAGAACGTTAGGACACGGTGGCTCAGGGGCTAAGACGCTGAGCTTGTCGATCGAAAGGTCGGCAGTTCAGCGGTTCGAATCCCTAGTGCCGTGTAATGGGGTGAGCTCCCATTCCTTGTCCCAGCTTCTGCCAACCTAGCAGTTCAAAAGCACATAAAAAAAAATGCAAGTAGAAAAATAGGGACCACCTTTGGTGGGAAGGTAACTGCGTTCCGTGCGCCTTTGGCGCTGAGTCATGCCGGCCACACGACCACGGAGATGCGATCTAGATCACTGATACATTTAAACTGGCTGTTCTTTGACCAAAAGGCTGGGCTAGAAATGGATGATTTGGGAAAAATGGCTTAGAGAGTTTTGCAGAGGCACAACGGTGGCCGGGCAGCAGTTGGCAAACTAGCCAAGATGACTCGCCCAACAAACTGTTTGGAAACACTGCATCAAAACCGCACCACATTTTGCTCCTCTCACGGATACTCACAGCTTGAGGACGGCTGACCTCTTGCCCAGCATCATGGTCACAAAATCCTGGTACGAGATGGTTTCGCTGATCCCTCCGGTGACTTCGGAGATCATTTTCTTCAGCTCCAGGTGGGTCTTGGGCGTCCCCAGTTTCTCCATCATTCTTTTCACAGACATGAGATCTGCGAGGAACGACAGGCGGAGAGAAGACGCTTAAGGCCTGCAGAGGGGGACGCTAACGGAAAACCAGAGAAGAGGCGCGTCTGCCCCTTGACTTGCTGTACAGGCAGTCCTCGACTTATGACTGTAGTGGAGCATAAATCGTCAAGGTCGTAAAAGGGATCAGTCACGCGACTGACCCGATTTTGTGACCTCCCTGGAGGCGGTTGTTCAATGAGCACCACGGTCATTAAGTGAGCCCATGGCTCGGGAGGGTGTGCGGCTTTGCTGGAAGTCGAGACTAAATGCCAGTTTTTTTCGGCAAAACCGTCATAATATGGTTTGTAAGCTCCCCAGAGTGACTCTGAGGTAAGATTGTGGGGGGGGCCTATAAATTAAATTAAATTAATTAAAATAAAGTAAAGTAAAGTAATAAAATACAGTACAATGAAGTAAAATTAATGTGCTTGTCAGAAGCCGTCTGGGAAGGGTCGCAGGCAGAGATCACGCGATTCCAGGGATTGCTACAACCGTCATAAATACATGCCAGTGGTTGCCAAGCGCCCGGATTTTGATCACGTGACTTTGGGGTACCGCAACAGCTTTAAGCGCGAGGACCAGTTGTAAGTGACTTGTTTAAGCGCCGTTGCAACTTCGAACAGTCGCTAAATGAATGGTTGTAAGTCAAGGACTCCCTTTATCACGTAAAAACCAAACAAAAAACAACACTGATTTGCTCTTTTCAAGCGGGGTCAATTGGCCAAAGGAGCATCTCACCGATCTCGCCGTGATTATTCAGGTCGAACTCCATGTATTTTTCTAGAAAGGAGAAACAAAGGTTAGCGCCATCCAAACTCAGCCCTTAGAACACAGCACCGTAGAATAAACAGAGTTGGAAGGGACCTTAGAGGTCCTCTAGTCCAACCCCCTGCTCAAACAGGAGACCCTATGCCAGAGGTTTGCAACCTTAAACACTCAAAAGAGCCATTTGGACCCGTTTCCCACAGAAAAGAAAACACCGGGAGCCACAAAACCCTTCCGGTGCCTGACTATTTCTTGAGCGGCCACCAAACTAGCATCTGTAGTTGAATTAAATGTTCTGTTTTCTTCTGAAGCTTTTCTTTTCTTGGATTTATCCATAGTTGGTCTACTGGGGGGTTGAAAAGCTCAATAAATCGCGTGCCGGCGGGTGTCGCACATTGGCGGTTGTGACGCATATTTTCAGCGACAGGGAGCCGCAGCAGAGGGATGAAAGAGCCACATGCGGCTCCAGAGCCGCAGGTTGCTGATCCCTGCCCTATACCATTCCGCACAGGTTTTCAATCTCTGCTTGAAAACCTCCAGCGAGGAGCCCCCACAACTTCTGGAGGCAAGCTAGTGTGCAAGATATACATATTGGAGCCATTGTTTTGGAGAAATAGGATGATGGGACTGCTCTTTTCTTTCCTTTGAGGCTGTGACTTTGAGATGGCAGACCTCCACAAGAATGCATCGTCTCTCTCTTTTTCTTCCTTTTTTTCTTGTAAGCTTTTGGGTTGAAACAAGGCAAAAAAAGAAAAAGAAAAGGTCTCCGTTAGATAAGGGGAAAAAAAATCCGATCCGTTGCATGTTCACTTGTAAATAAATGCTATCCAGTTTAGGCAGCAGCAGGGAAAATATTCTGGTTTTCTCCTCCTCTCTCTTTTTTTTCTCTTCAGCCTTTTTGTCTTGCAACACGTACTTCCCTGTTTTGAAAGATCTGAAGGACGATCCCTGTGCCAAGATGCTGGAAAATGCCCTTGACTCGTTTCCTGTTCCTGCCGGCTATTTTATTTTATTCAATGCGGCTTTACTTTTGATGTCTGTTTTCTGCTGGTTTCCAAGTTCTCTTTTTGAGAGAAAAGTAGACTTCAAAAGCAGCTGTTTCCTCCTGGGAGATCAGGCAGGGGTGCTTAATATTACAAGAAGAAGAAGAAGAAGAAGAAGAAGAAGAAGAAGAAGAAGAAGAAAGGGCGGGGAGAGAGGGAAAGAAGAGGAAGGGGAAAAAAGAGGAAGGAGAAGGGAGAAAGGAAGAAGAAGAAAAAAAAGAAAGGATGGAGAGAGGAGGAAGGGGAAAGGAAGAAGGAGAGAGGAGGAAGGACAAAAGAAAAAGGGAGGAAGGAGAAGAAAGAGGAAAGAAGAAAAATAAAGGATGAAGGAGGAGGAAGAAATGAATGAATGAAAGAAATAATGAAAAATGAGGGAAGGTGGAAGGAAGAGAGGGCAACATAGAAAGAAAGGAAGAAGGAGAAATGGGATGGAGAAAAGGAAGGAAAAAAGAAAAACGAGGAAGGGAGGAAAGAAGGAAGGGAGGGATGAAGGAATCTAGTTATAAGTGAGTAAGGAAGGAAGGAAGGAAAGAAGGAAGGAAGAAAGGAAGAAAGGAAGGAAAGAAGAAAGGAAGGAAGGAAGAAAGAAAGGAAGGAAGGCAGAAAGGCAAATTACAAAACCTAAAATCCTATTCCCTTCTTGTTTGTTTATCACACTTTTACGCGGTAACATTCCTTTCTTTGGCGTGTGGCCGTATCATAAAAATGCCCCCCCCCCGATTCCGTCCATAAAACAGGCTTAAACCGGATGATTTAAGCGCTCTCCAACCACCTGCTGAAGGCTTGCTTTATGTTAATCCTTGCCTTGTTGCTCTTCCTGGCTTCACATGTTGCACAAATGAGTTGAAGGTCCACATTCCTGCTTGGCGTTGCTGCTCAACGCTTCCCAGAATTCGCTCCCAGCGAATTTCATGGAAAAACAAGAGACAAAAAATGCTTTAAGAGGAGAGAAAACCACCCTGGCTTCAACAAACTACTTTGCTCCCAGAAAAAAAAGAAAAAAAAAAAGGCTTGGAGATCCTGCCTGTACATATCCTCACTAACGGGGGGGAGGGGGGGGGAGGGGGTGTACAAATCCTGAGTTTGCAGCGTGTTTTGTGAGTGTGTGTGTTTCTGTGTGTGTATCCGGTGGGACAAAAAAAGGCGTAGAAACAAAAGCTTTGATTGTTGGTCAGTTCCAAAAGAGAAAAGTTTTTGATCAGAGAAATGCTGGATTTGCTGGCTAGACGTGCACAGGAGCAAAGATTTGGAAAGAGGAAAAATAAGTGTGCATGCTTTGCACGTGTGCTCACAATCAACACAACCTTAGTCCTTTCCCGAGCAGCGTATAAAGACGCTTTGCATGCTGAACCCCCCTTTTGCCCAAGGTTGAATTTTCGTGGTCTCTGCAGCAGGCACGGATTTCATTTCACAACTTCGAGTCTCGATTCTGCCCGAGCGAGAATTTTCATCGCACGATGGTGGGGAACGTTGCAAGTGTGAAGGCTTGATGGTCAGTCACATTTTTTTTCCGGCACCGTCGTAACTTCGAACAGTTGCTAAGCGGATGGTTCTAAGCAGTGGTGAAATCCAAATTTTTTTATTATCACCGGTTCTGTGGGCATGGCTTGGTTGGACGTGGCTTGGTGGGCGTGGGGATACTGCAAAATCTCCATTCCCACCCAACTCCTGGGGGAAGGATATTGCAAAGTCTTCATTCCCATCCCACTCCAGAGGAAGGATACTGCAAAATCCCCATTCCCACCCCACTCCTGGGGGAAGGATACTGTAAAATCTCCATTCCCACCCCACTCCAGGGGAAGGATACTGCAAAATCCCCATTCCAACACCACTCTGGAGCCAGCCAGAGGTGGCATTTGCCGGTTCTGCAAACTGCTCAAAATTTCCGCTACCGGTTCTCCAGAACCTGTCAGAACCTGCTGGATTTCACCCCTGGTTCTAAGTCGAGGACTACTTGCAGATCCGCTGCTGATCAGTTGTCAATCCTGTTTGCTTTTCCTGGTTGAGTATATTTTGCAAAACCGAGCCTGGTCGGTTACTTGATGATCCAGTTGTTTTTGTGAAACCATACGGGCGTAGCCTACGAGATCTCGAAGGAGGCCAAACATGTTTAAAAATCAGAGGTTCCAATCCCATCTGTTGCACTGGCAATAATAATATTCCCAGTTCTCACCCACACCCTGATCTTGTAGCCAAAGACAGATTTTTAATCCCGCTTCCCAGCTGGGAAAAAAAAACTAGCCACCATTGCCAGTTCCTCAGATCGGATTTGGCCACGAAACCTGGCCACTGGTGGGATGCAAAATCCCTTCCAGATGTGCTGGATTTGGAGCCAGGGAGGTGGTGGCCCCAAACATCTGGGGAACTTCAAGCTGGAGGAGACCACAATAGGACTTTAACATGTCCTCCATTTTTACTTTAAAAAGTAGAGGGAAAGAAAAAGAGGAGGGTGAATGGAAGTAGTTTTTGAAAGTAATTTTGACTGGTAAAAAGAGAATAAATTCTCACCAATCTCCTTAAAAGTGAGACAAAAAACTGGTTTCTATCCACTGCGGGGGACGACTGAAAGATTTCCTATCTCCTTGGCTTAGATAGACTCTCATTCTCCAGGCAACTGAAGTTTGGTCCAGGGTATTTCCCAGATATGGGACTTCAACTCCCAGAATTCCCCAGGCAGCATGCTTTAAGATACATGGACTTCAACTCCCAGAATGCCTCACTCTGAATGCTTTAAAATGCACGGACTTCAACTCCCAGAATTCCCCATCCAGCATGCTTTAAGAGGCATGGATCTACCCAAAATAATAACTTTGGAGATTATCACATAGCATTGTTTCTTTTTCCATCTTCTGGACAATTGCAGTGCGTCTGGCCCTAACCCAAAAGAAAATTCTTTTCTACAGGTGGTTCACTCAATGAGGACCAGTACCTTTAAAAACCGCAAGCTTTTCTTCCAGGTCCTCTTCATCGCTAAATTTTGGGTCGCAGAGAAACTCCTGAAACAGAGGGGAAAAAAAGGATTAAAAAAAGGAGGCGATCAATAGGTTTAAGCAACAATCAAATCTTCCAGCAGCTTCTTTTGTGTGTTGCCTCGGTAGACACAGTGTGTTTACAGAAATTTTGGGCTCAGTTGTGGTCATAAGTCGAGAACTACCAGTATATACAAACTGTCACAATCTCTTTGCAATTTTAGCTAAATTTAAACACTTTACACAATCAAAATAGCTTTGTTGGGTGCTGCAGGGTGGAAAAAATATTGCAAAAATTGGGCCATTCTGTTAAAAAAAAGAAGGAAAAGAAACTGCCAGAAAGAAAAAACACAGCATTAAAAGTAGAGAAAAGCGTCAACAGTCCCTGAATTAAGGCTGAGGGTTAGGAGTCAATTTTCAACAAAGTTATCTTGAAGTAGAGATTGTAGAGCCTTGAGCAGAGATAATGAACAATTGTGTCAGCAAAGCCAAACTGGACTCCGTGGGATGCATGATAAAGAAAGTCAATTCAGACAAATGGAATGCAGATAATCCTCTCTACTTATAGAAGCACAGGGCTGGAAGGGAAGGGACCTTGGAGGTCTTCTAGTCCAACCCTCTGGCCAAAACAGGAGACCTTCTACCAGGCGTCCTTGGTGCTCCCTGAGCTTGATTTTTTTCTTGCAGACGTTTCATTACCAAACTAGGTAACATGATCAGTGCTACTGATGACACATCTTCAAGCTCAGAGAGCACCAAGGATGCCAGAATCCTCCTTCTCCTATGCTCCAAAGCCCCTGAGGGCAGGACAATAAGCAAAGGGTGGAAACTAATCAAGGAGAGAAGCAACCTGGAATTGAGAAGAAACTTCCTAACAGTGAGGACAATTAACCAGTGGAACTCCTTGCCTCCAGAAGTTGTGGATGCTCCATCACTGGAGGTTTTCAAGAAGAGATTGGACAGCCATTTGTCTGGAATGGAATAGGGTTTCCTGCCTGAGCAGGGGGTTGGACTAGAAGACCTCCAAGGTCCCTTCCGTTATTCTACGTTCATTTATTGACCGTCCGACTTCAGAGGTTCCAGTTTTGGCCGTATGTCGAGGACTACCTATAATCCTGACCATCAGTCACAGAGCTTCCGCTGGCATGCTCCAATTTCTTGAAGCATCTTCTCCTCATTCTAAAATCCAGCCAGTTTCCTATCTCTTTTCTTTGGCAAAAGGCACAAAAAGAAAAAGAAAAAAAAAAAATCCTTTTGAGAATCTAGAGAGATATATTTTCATAACTCTCCGCCGTACCCCAAAGGAATTTATTTTTAAGATTTTAAAAAACACACACACACACATCCTTTTGAGCAGGAAGGGTAGAAATTCCTGGAAGTCACTACCTGAAACTTCTCAAGCAGGTTTTTTCACCTTTTGCAGGCTGATACCAAACAGGGAAAGACGTGGCTTGCATAAATCATCAGTTCAAGCCAGAGGGCTGTTTGGAAATCTGTTTAGATTGCATCAACAAGAGACACGCGTTTCTTTTTAAGAGCCAGCACATTCCCTCGTGAAAAAAAACCGAAGCTGGCAAGGACAATCGGAGCCTTTTACTCTGGGTGATGATCCAGTCTGGGAGGGATCAGAAAGTGCAGATCTGGCTGATTTCTTGAATGCCGCAGAAGTCTGATTGCCACCCTCCACGTTTCTTCACACCTCTGTCTGCTCCCAAACCCACATCCAAAGCTTTTCACCAAGACAAAAGACAGCTTTATATATATATATATACCACAAATGCAAAATAAAGCTTCAACGGCCAAAGAGAGAGAGAGATGAGAGAAAGAAAGAGAGAGAGAGAGATGACAGAGAGAGAAGGGGGGAGAGAGAGAGAGAGAGATGACAAAGGGAGAAACATGAGAGACAAAGAGAGAGAAAGGGAGCAAAAGAGAAAGAGAGATGAAAAAGAGAGCGAAATCAGAGATGACAGAGAGAGAAAGATGACACAGAAAGAGATTAGACAGGGAGAGAGAGATGAAAGAGAGATGAGAAAGACAGAGAAAAAGAAAGAGATGAGACAAAGAGAGAGATGACAGAAAGAAAGGGACGGAGAGAGAGAGAGAGAGAGAGATGACGACGAGACAGTATTGTATTTATTTTTATTTCTATTTTTTACTTTTTGATCGGGTGATGGACACGTGTTTATCCCAAGTGTTGTTGTTAGTTGCAAAGTCGTGTCCGACCCATCGCGACCCCATGGACAACGTTCCTCCAGACCTTCCTGTCCTCTACCCTCCTCTGGAGTCCATTGAAGCTCCCGCCGACTGCTTCAGTGACTCCATCCAGCCACCTCCTTCTCTGCCGTCCCCTTCTTCTTCTTTTGCCCTCCATCGTTCCCAGCATTAGGCTCTTCTCCAGGGAGTCCTTCCTTCTCATTAGGTGGCCAAAGTATCTGAGTTTCCTCTTCAGGATCTTCTAAAGAGCAGTCAGGGTTGATCTCCTCCAGGACTGACCGGTTGGATGGCCTTGCAGTCCAAGGGACTCGCGGGAGTCTTCTCCAGCACCAGAGTTCAAAGGCCTCCATTCTTTGGCGCTCAGCCTTCCTTATGGTCCCACTTTCCCAGCCATCCATTGCTACATCCCAAGCATGTTTAAATTCAGTTTCTACGCCTGATCCACAATCTCAGCTGGAAGTTGGTTCCAAGCTTCCATTATTCCTTCTGTGAAATCATAATTTCCAAAATAACTTTGGAACGTCCCTCCTGTCAGTCTGAGGTTGTGCCTCTCGCCCTCCGTGTTCTCTTCTTGGCAATTCAACAAATGCCCCGATAGGTAATCCTTCGGAGAAGGCCAGGAAAGCATAGTGTTAAAAAAAAAAAATTAAAAATAAGGCTGAAGAAAAAAACCTTGAGTGTTTCCTGGATCACAGAGCAGACTTTGGGCACCGGAAGGTAATTGGATGATGAATTAACTAGAAAATACCATAGTTGGCAAGGATGAAGGCTGAAAATGGGGAAGATAAGGAACAGGAAGGTCCTCAAAAGAGCTAGGATAGAATAGAGTTGGAAGGGACCTTGGAGGTCTTCTAGTCCAGCCCCCTGCTCAAACAGGAGACGGTATACCATTCCAGACAGATGGCTGTCCAGTCTCTTCTTGAAAGCCTCCAGTGATGGAGCTTCCACAACTTCTGGAGGCAAGGAGTTCCACTGATTAATTGTCCTCACTGTTAGGAAGTTTCTTCTCAATTCCAGGTTGCTTCTCTCCTTGATTAGTTTCCATCCGTTGTTTCTCGTCTTGCCTTCTGGCGCTTCGGAGAATTAACTGATCCTTATTTTCTGTGAATGATCAGCAGGGAGAAATCAAAACGGACCACCTGGTCTCCAAAACTTAGTCTCAACTCGGCAAAAATCCGTTTAAATGCTCCCATTCAACCTGGCTCAAGATACAGGTGGTCCTTGATTTACAATCATTCCTTTCGTGACCGGGTCGAAGTTAAAACAGCCCTGAAAGAAGTGACTTACGACCATTTTTCACATTTAAGTACCGTTGCAGCATCTCCAGGATCACGGGATCACAATTCAGACACCCATCCACTAACCCGGTTTTCTTCCTATCCTGGTTACTGACTGGTTGGTTGGTTCCAGTGGTGGGTTTCAATTTTTTTTACTACTGGTTCTGTGGGCGTGGCTTGGTGGGCGTGGTTTGGTGGCAGGGGAAGGATACTGTAAAATTCCCTCCCCAATCCAGGGGAAGGTTACTGCAAAATCCCCATTTCCTCCCGATCAGCTGGGACTCGGGAGGCAGAGAATAGATGGGGTGGGGGCCAGTCAGAATTTTTACTACTGGTTCTCCGAACTACTCAAAATTTCTGCTACCGGTTCTCCCGAACTGGTCAGAACCTGCTGAAACCCATCTCTGGAGGAGTTCCCTTTACCGGGTTAAACCTCAAAGCGAATTTTGACAGGCACAGAAAGGCACAGACCGAGTGAGGCGAACCCGAGTGGAGAAAGCTGCCAGAAATTGTGCGCCTAGAGATTTTGCAAAGTTTGTCGCTAAAGGGCTGTGTGAATGTGGGTTCGAACTTGGCAAGAGAGAAAGAGAGGAAAAAGTTGCACTTACTTTGTTGATTTCCTCTAACCTCCCTTCTTGTTCAGCTTTCAGCAAACGGAACGCTTTTCCCCCTGTGGATCAGATAGATAGATAGATAGATAGATAGATAGATAGATAGATAGATAGATAGATAGATAGATAGATAAATTCATTCATTCATTCATTCATTTTGTCAAGCATGTATACGATAACAGATATAAGTATAAACACAATTATGAACACAGGAAATGGGTACGAATAATTAGGACAGGGACGGTAGGCACGCTTATGCACGCCCCCTTTACTGACCTCTTAGGAATGGGGTGAGGTCAACAGTAGACAGTTTAAGGTTAAAGTTTTGGGGGTTTTGGGAATGAAACCACAGAGTCAGGTAGTGCATTCCAGGCATTGACCACTCTGTTGCTGAAGTCGTATTTTCTGCAATCGAGTTTGGAGCGGTTTACCTTGAGTTTGTATCTTATTATTTGCTCGTGTGTTGTTGTGGTTGAAGCTGAAGTAGTCGTTGACAGGTAGGACATTGTGGCAGATAATTTTGTGTACTACGCTTAGGTCAGACCGTAGGCGGCATAGTTCTACGTTGTCTAAGCTCAAAATTTCAAGCCTGGTGGCATAAGGCATTTTATTGTGAGTAGAGGAATGGAGGACTCTTCTCGTGAAATACCTCTGGACTCGCTCAATTGTATTAATGTCCGATATACAATGCGGATTCCAGGCAGTTTTTTTTTAAATTAAAAATTAATTAAATTTTTTTTTTAAATTCCAGGCAATTTTTCCTTATCTAAAGGGGGACTTTCCTTGCTCCCTTTCGACCCCATCCCGTCAAGAAAGAAAAAAAAAGAAGAGAGAGAATCTTTTTTCTGGAGAAGATTTCCCGTCTCAAAGTCGCAGCCTTAAAAGAAAAGAAGAAAAAAAAAAAACAGAAGAGGAGGGAGAAGTAAATAGCCAAGTCCCATTCATCCTGTCTTCTTCAAAAAAGGAGTGGGGGATTGAAACTGCGTCCCAGGGGAATTAAAAAGACCCCCCCCTCCTCCCTTTGCATTCGCAACAAGCAATCTTGTGTGCCTGGGAAAGCAACTGAAGCAACTTTGGGAGTTTTCCAACACCAACACCACACAGCTTCCACGCAAGGAACTTTCTTCCTCTCGCTAACCCCCCCCCCCCACGCACGTACCTTGGTGGGCATTGTTGAGCATCACAGACATGGTGGGATGCTGGTGGCCGGTTCTGGAGGGTGGTGGGGGGAACGGGCTGGACGCTCTCCCCTAGCCCTTTGCTCTGCTGGGTTTTTTTTTTTCTCCACCACCGCCAAGCCGAGAGGGAGTCGTACTTTTGTGCACCTAAGCCAGCCCATTTCTCTTCAATGAAGCCATTCACAAGCCGGGTTGAGTGGCGGGTCCCTCTGCTGGGATTGGGGGAGGAAGGCTTTGCAAAGGGCTCAGTGCCCCACAGCCGGGGCCTCCCTCCCTCCCTCCCTCCCTCCCCCTTCTGCAGTTGCAAAGAAAGCTGGCAAGTTAACCCCTTCCTTGGTTGTGCCATGAATGCCTTGCTCCGGGCATTGGCGGAGAGGGTTATTATAATGATCAGGAACCTGGTTTCAGGAAGGCTGGAGAGACACACAATAAATAACCCAAGCTGGACGTTGGGTTAACACAACACGAGACTTCGGTTTCTTCCCACCCACCAACAAACTTAGAACTAAGGAGGAATTTCCTGACAGTGGGAATAATTCATCGGTGGAAGGGCTTCCCCCTCCAGAAGTTGTGGGTGGCTGCTCCATCACTGGAGGCTTTCAAGGAGAGATTGGAGAGCCATTTGTCTGGTAAAGGGTCTCCTGCTTGAGCGGGGGTGGGGGTGGGGGTGGGGTTTGGAATAGATGACCTCCAAGGTCCCTTTCGACTATGTTATACGGCTAACTTTCCTTGTCCTGGGGAAATGATGGGAAATTGCCCTGCTGTGTTTATGAGGTGTGGGTTGAGGTGTGAAAGCGGACCCAAGGAAGGGAAGGGAAGGGAAGGGAAGAGAGGGAGAGGGAGAGGGAGAGGAGAGGGGAGGAGAGGAAAGGGAAAAGAGATGGGAAGGGAAAGGAAGGGAAGGGAAGGGAAGGGAAGGGAAGAGAGGGAGAGAGAGAGGGAGAGGGAGAGGGAGAGGAGAGGGGAGGAGAGGAAAGGGAAAAGGGATGGGAAGGGAAAGGAAAGGAAGGGAAGGGAAGCGAAGAGAGGGAGAGAGAGAGGGAGAGGAGAGGAGAGGAGAGGAAAGGGAAAAGGGATGGGAAGGGAAAGGAAGGGAAGGTGAAAGGAAAGGAAAGGAAAGCTAGGGAGGGAAGGGAAGGGAAGGGAAGGGAAGGGAAGGGAGAAGGGAATGAAAGAAGGAAGGAGAGGAGAGGAAAGGAAAGGAAAGCTGGAGAAGGAAAGGAAAGGGGAAAGGAAAGGAAAGGAAAGGAAAGGAAAGGAAAGGAAAGAAGGAAAGGACAGATGACAGGGGAAGGAAAGGAAAGGAAAGGAAAGGAAAGGAAAGGAAAGGAAAGGAAAGGAAAGGAAAGGAAAGGAAAGGAAAGGAAGAGCTACATATATGGAAGGAAGGGAAGAGAGCTGAGAGAAGGAAGGAAAAATAAAAGGAAGGAATATAGAAAGGCAGGGAGGGATGTGAAGAAAGGGAAGAAGACAAATGAAAAATTAGAGAAATAGATGGAGAAAGAATGAGAGAGGAAAAGAGAGAAGAAAGGACAGAAAGAGAAAGAAAAGAAAGAAAAAGAAAGAACGAAAGAAAGAAAGAAAGAAAGGAAAAGAAAGTTCATCCCTGCTCTATTCTGCTTTCAAATTTCCTGGGAGAATATATATATCTATATTGGTTCAGAAATGCAACCAAACAGGCGTGGACCAAGGCGTGGTTGCCGGGGACCCCCACCCACCTCGGTGAAGCCAAGATTCTGAATCACCGCCTGAAAGGCCCAAAGCACTTATTATCCACAGCATTCCTGGCGAGGTTTGTCAACTTTGCCGAGGACGGAGAGAGCAGCCGAGGGAGGGTCTCCTCCACCCTGCCCATCACGTGGGTCTCCTGCAGACCCAGGGGCCGAAATCAGGTTTTTCCTCTTCCCTCCCAAGTTCCCTTTCCTCTCTAGCGTTTCCCTCCTTTTTCGACCATCAGCCTAATATCTTTGCTTTATTGCAGCTGCCCAAACGCCGGATCTCGGAGCTAAAAGCATTAACATCACGGAAAGTGATTATGCCACTTGACACGGCCCTGGCCAGACGACACCTGGACTGCAGGTAGCCCTCGACTTACAACCACTCACTTAGTGACCGTTCGAAATTGCAACGGCACTGAAGAGAGAAAGTTACGTCCGCTTTTCACACTTAACAACCGTGGCAGCATCTCCGGGGTCACGCCGTCAAAATGCAGACCCTTGGCAACTGACTCCTATTTATGACGGTTGCAGTGTCCCGGGGTCATGTGATCTCCCCTTTCGCGACCTTCTGACAAGCCAGGTCCATAGGGAAGTCCAGATTCACTTAACAACCGTGTGACTCGCTTAACAACCACAGCAACAACTGGGGCACGAAATTTCGCAAAATGGGGCAACGTTGACCGAACAAACGTTTCGGTTAGCGACAGAAGATTTGGGCTCGGTTGCGGGTCCAACTGTGGTGGCCACAACTCAAGAAGGATGTGGAGGACCTGGAAAGAGGGAAGAGAAGATGGTGGAGGGTCAACCCTTATATAGAAGTGGATCAGTTTAGCCTGAAGAAGAGAAGATTAAAGAGAGACACGATCGCAATCTACCAATTCTTGAAGGGTTGCCTCAGAAAAAGAAGACATGGACTTAGTCTTCATAGCACCGAAGATGGGAGAAGAACCAGCGGATGGAAGCTGTACATAAGAAGATCCAAACTCAAAGTCAGGAGGAACATCCTAACTGTGAGAACTGAGACCACGAGGTCTCCATCACTGCAAGATCTCAAGCAAAGGTTTGATCACCATTCATCTTGTCAATCTCAGGATTCCTGCTCTGGGGCAAGATTAAAGTAGAAGCTCTCTAAGATCGTCTTATAAGCCTAGGAGCCTCAAAAATATTTGGAGTAGTGGCCAAAATTGTGGAAACCTTCTGGGAAAAGTGTATTTTCTAAAACTAGCTAATAACACCACTTTTTTTGGGGGGGGGAGTAGTATTATAAAATTATATATCAATGGAAAGATAATTTAATCAGGAATGTAATGCAATAACTTTTATGAAGGATTTGCTACTAGAAGAGCAGTTATGGTATAAAGAAGAAAAGTGAGACACGTAGAAAAAACGAGATATACAAAAATGATCCCCATGTCAGTTAATCCTTCGTTGGGTAATCTTTAGTATGAATGATGACCTTACAACATTTTCCCATGGAGTGAACCAAGCCTTTTAGTTCTGCAGCTGTAATCATGTGAAACCAAGATTGAAGGATTGCTTCTATTAACTGGGTTTTATTGCTGGGTCGCTTCTGACTAACCAGTTTCTTTAGTCAGCTCCATAGATTTTCCACGGGGTTAAGATCTGGGCTATTCCCAAGCCATTCTAGCAGTGGAATAGGATTATCTTGAAACTCCAAAATAGAAGTGGTGTTATTAGACATCAAACCTCAAAAATACATTTTCCCCAAAAGGTTTCCAACAATTTTGGCCGCTACTGTAAGATGATCACAACTAAAAATTTTGGAGGAGAAACACAATACTTGGAAGGAAACTGGCAGGAACACTGATTCCTTAAATCTCAATCATTCCTTCTTCCCACCCATCTCTTTAAGGAGACCCTCGAAAGTGGGTGTCTTTTGCTTTTTATTTTTGTTTTCTTCCTAGTCCTCTGCTCTTCACCATCCAAAGTCAGGTTTCCAACGCTGGTGAGAAGATAAACCGAGATTTCCCAGGGCCGAGTGAAGTTTGCGCAAGGATTCCAATGTGTTAGTAATGTCCTTGGGGGAAATCTACTCTCAGTGTTGGAATCTGCTCTCTTGATTATCTCATTTTTTTTCTTTCTTTCTTTCAAGGTGGAGGGACAACGGGTTGGGTTGTTTTCTCCCACACTGTTTTTTAACACTCACATTGGCAAGGCTTAGAAAGATACGGAAGGAAAGAATTCAGATAAAATACGTCCTTTTTTCCTTCTCTATAAGGAAGGCAACAAAAATAATAATAATAATAATCACATTTTTTTCCCTCGGTATAAAAAGCTCATGCAGTTTAGCTACGAGGCAGCCTCAGAAAGAGGAGATAAAATTCAAACGTGTTTACAATTGTGGAAACCTTTTGGGAAAAGTGTATTTTTGACTCACTCAACAACTGCAGTGATCCACTTAACAATCGAGGCAAGAAAGGTCATAAAATGGGGGCAAAACTCACTCAACAGGTGTCTCAATTAGCAACAGAAAATTGGGGTTAATTGTGGTTGTTAAGTCAAGGACTGTCTGCATCGCATACAAAACTATAAATTTCCCTTTCTGGTCTTATTCGTGTCAGGACGCCCATTGGAAACTATCAATCATAGTTTAGGGATTACCCAGCCCATCGTGGCTCCCAGCTAAATACGGGGTTATTAACTCAGCCCGAAATGAATCTTAAAGGACTGGTGTGTCTGTTAATTTGAGCCACTTGGTATTCTTGCTGAGCGATTTTTGTCTCGTTCTTTGGAGGTGACGGAAAGGCATCATTTAAATATTTAAAATGCAAATCGATCGATTTATGCATGCAGGGAATTAGGATGTAAAGAGGATAAGCCCTCCGGGGTGTAGATGGGTGTAATATGGATTTAGCATCCCATTTGCTGATCCTTAACAAATACAATCCCAAAGTCTCCTGCCCAGGCTGGGAAACCCCCCCCACCCCAAAGATAAGATATTTGTAAACATTCACACCGTCAGCTCATTGCCGTTTTAAAGCAGGATTGAAAAGCTGGGGTCAGGAAAAGAGATATATTAACACACGTAGATGTACAGTACAAATCCCGTATTCTTAAAAAACTCAGATAAAGCTTTCCCGATTATATGCGTGAATGTAACCGCAGAGTTTCTCTCTTTTAAGCTCAACAGGGCTGAAATAGCTTTCTATGTCAGCAAGCGAATGGATTCCAGATCGCTGATATACAAGAAGGATTTGCCATTTGAGAGAAGCGTTCCGCAGTTTGCTTGCTAGAACCGTGATGGTGAATCTATGGCACGCAAAGCCATATCAATGGGCACGCGAGCTCACATGCGCGCCGGCCAGCTGATTTTCGGGCCTTCTGGGCCCACCAGAAGTAGGGAAACAGGCTGTTTCCTTCTTCCGGAGGGCCTGGGGGTGGGTGCGGGGTGGGGAAGGCCCATTTTTTGCTCTCCTCAGGCTCCAGAGCCTTTCTGGGCCACCGGAAGTTGGCAAGCGGGCTGTTTTCAGCCTCCGGAGGGCCTCCGGATGGGTGGGGAAGGCAGTTTTCATCCTCCCCAGGCTTCTAGAGAGACCCTGGAGCCTGGGGAGAGCAAAAAACGGGCCTTCCGGTCCCACTGTGCCATCGCATGCCAAAAGCAGGGGGAGGGAGCCGTGCGTGCATGCATGGGGGGATGGGCGCATATAATTATGAGTGTGGGCATGTACGCACGACCCTCCCGCACTCCCCCCACTTTTAGCACACAATGGCAAAAAGGTTAGCCATCACTGCCTTAGAACGTCGCAGGTTTGGGTCCTTGGTTGGCGAAGGTGGTATTTTTTCAGGACAAGGGATGGGAAAATATCAAAATTTTGGATCTTCTGCTTGTTTGTCGATTTCCCAAAACACTGTTTCTTGTCCAGTTTTCACCATTGTGGGTGGGTCAATTTCATAAGATATTGACACAACCTGGGTCCAGTCAATTTCACCACCATTTTGTCTATTCAATTCCACAGCTAAGAGGTTGTTTTTGTTGGTTTTTAACGCTTGTCTTAAAAAGAAAATGAGAATTTCTCTTTAAAGCATTTCTCAAACTTCTGAAGAACTGGAAACAAGCAAATTCTACATCCCTGGCACTGGAATTTACTCCCGATCCTGGCAGCCAATTTTCAATTTTTCTGCATCAGGGTTTCAAATCTCTTCGAATCTTTTTTTTTTTCTTTTTTCTCTCCCCACCAGGGTCCAAAACTCCTTGGACCAAAAAAAGCACAAGGCTCAGTTTTCCCAAGACTTGCAAAATGGCTGTTTCAGGTTTCTAGTCCTCAGGACTGCAATGAATTTGGGAGGTCTCCATTTCGGGGTTTGATTCTTAAGGTTGGTTGCGGCAGCCCAGAATCACAGATGGTTTACTCAAGCTATTCTCTGTCCCTGACAAAGATGCATTCTGGGAACATTTCCTTTTTTTAAAAAAAGGGTCTATATTGATTCCCTCACTGCCACTCCTCAATTTTGCAGGCCTCCTTTCAGCTCTAACAGCCGCTGGGCAAGCTCCGAAGAATAGCTTCTAGGTTCTCCTTGTCGCTCTGGATCTCCTCCAGATCTTCTTCGAAGGCTTCCAATGATACCCGTTGTTGCTCAGCTTCCCGTACTAAGATGCCCAGCGTCTGATTCAGGGAACCAGGTCCTGCCAGGCGCAGCCTCAAGTTTGCCAGCTGGACCTGGCTTGCATGGAGCACAGCTGCCGATTGATCCAGGTTTCCTGGGTTGCGGTGGGGGGGGGAGACAAAACAAGAGTGTTGTCACTAAGGGAGGGGGACGGACACCCCCAAAAAATCACAGCTCCAACATCACAGCCCTGCTAAGTAGACCAGACTGGGAAATCAACTCCACAGCACAGAACCTGTCAGGGATTTCACCCCTGAATTCAGCAGGTTCTGACAGGTTTTGTAGAACCTGTAGCGGAAATTTTGAGTAGTTCAGAGAACTGGCAAATGCCGCCTCTGGCTGGCCCCAGAGTGGGGTGGGAATGGAGATTTCGCAATATCCTTCCCCCAGGAGTGGGTAGGGAATGGGGCTTTTGAAGTATCCTTTCCCTGCCATGCCCACCAAGCCACGCCCACAGAACCGGTAGTAAAAAAAATTAGATTTCATCACTGCCTGAATTGTTCCAAGGAAGCTCAAACCCAAAGTAATTTAATTTAATTTTAAAAAAAATCTTTATGGAAAGAAGAGTCTGCCCTCTAGTGGAAGTGACTGGGAATGCTGAAAGCTTGGAACAGGTGTATTCCTTGCCAGGTAAAAGCTAAATCCACAGGTATATTTGATCAACTTTCCCTCGGATGCCTTTTAAATATCTGTTTTAACACCTCAAGGACTACCTGGAATCACGGAACGAGGCAAGCTTGGATTGGGCTAATCTTGGTTAGTTCAAGGTGACCATGAATTGAGGGCTTACCTAGCTTGGAGAGCAGATGCTTGAGGGCCTTAATGTCCATCTCCAAGGAGCGTTGGGCCACTTGGAAGTTCTGACCAAGCCTCTTCATCTCCATTACGACCTTCAAACAAGACAAGTCTTACGTTAGCGTCCTCCAATGGTCCCTTCTCCTGATGTCTATTCAGATTCTCTGTCATCCAGGTCATGGCTGTCCCAAAAAGTTTGCTTTTCCAAAGGGCAACTGGACTTTGTTTTCCCTTGAAGACATTTCACTCCTCGCCCAAGAAGCTTCTTCAGTTCCGGATGAACTGAACTCGACTTAGAACTGAACTTCTAAGTCAGAACGGAAGAAGCTTCTTGGATGGAGGAGCGAGACGTCTTCAAGGAAAAAAAAAACAAAACCAAAGTCGAAAGGCGCTTTTGGGACATCCCTGCCCTGATGTACCTTGAGGAATGGTGACCGACCTCCTCAGGTTTTCCAAGTTGGACCTGAAGCTCTTTGGCTTTGTCTTCCTGTCTGGAGATCTCTGCCATCGTAAGAGCAACTCTGGCAGACATTTTGCTGGCCTGCTTCTTCTCTTGCTTGGCCTGTCTTAGCACGTCTTCGGCCGCCTGCAGAACAGAAGAGTGAAAAAGAAACAGAGGAGAATGAATGACGCCATAAAGCTGCCCTCGTGCCACTTTGGTGATTTGAAAGAGAGAGAGACCTTCCCGTTGCTTCTCCTTGGTCCCCAAAATAGCCTTTTTTTCTCAGCTGTTTTTTCCATTCCCCATTTTCTAGCCAGGATTTCTTAGTGGTCTCCCATCCAAGAATTTACAAAGTCTAATTCTGCTTATTTGTTGTTGTTGTTGTTGTTTTGTAAAAAAAAAAAGATTTTTATGAAACAAACAAATAAAAGAGGGACCTCAGAGAGAAAAAAAACCCCCAACAGATACAATATTTGTGTGTGTGTGTACTTTTTTTAAAAGGATAAGCCAAGGTCTAAATATTTATCAACCTCAGGAATGTTAAAATATGTGGCTTGGATTGGCAGAATTCCTGAGCCAGCATTCAACATACTGGGCGGGGGGAATTCTGGGAGTTGAAGTCCAGACATTTCAAAGCATGCTGCCTGGGGAATTCTGGGAATTGAAGTCCAAATATTTTAAAGAAAACTGCTTGGGAATTCTGGGAATTGAAGTCCAGATATTTTAAAGAAAGCTGGCTGGGGAATTCTGGGAGTCGAAGTCCAAATATTTTAAAGAAAACTGCTTGGGGAATTCTGGGAGTTGAAGTCCAGACATTTCAAAGAAAACTGGCTGGGGAATTCTGAGAGTTGAAGTTCAGATATTTTAAAGAAAGCTGGCTGGGAATTCTGGGAGTCGAAGTCCAAATATTTTAAAGAAAACTGCTTGGAATTCTGGGAGTCGAAGTTCAGATATTTTCAAAGATGCTGAGGTTGAGGAATTCAACTCCCAGAAGTCCAGACATTTCAAACATTGATGCCTAAGGGAATTCTGGGAGTTGAAGTCTGCATATTTTAAAAGGATGCTGGTCGAGGGAATTCTGGGCATTGAAGTCCACACCTCTGAAGGTTGCCAAGATTGAGAGTTACTGGTCTAGGAAGCACAAGTACCTTAGCATTCTTCTTAGAGACCGATTCCCCATCACGGGCAATTTCGAAGGCCTTTGCAGAAACGGTTCCAGAATTTCCCAGGGCTCTCTGGACCTGCCTGACCTTCCTCTGGGTCTCCGCAATCGTCCTGTCCCGCACTGCAACCCTCTTCCTCCTGATTGCAGCGCGGCCTTTAGGGTTTTCCATCAGGGTCTTTATTCCTGCCGGCAAAAAAGAAGAAACCGGTTATCCTGTTTCAGGCTGGATAAAATTACACCCCATTACAAAGAAAGGCTGAGATCGCCATCGGGACCAGAATTGGCGTGGCTAAGGATAGCGTTTGTTAAGTGAGCCGCACCCATTTTATGACCTGTTTTGTCACTGCTGTTGCAAAGTGAATCACACAGTCGTTAAGCAAATCCAGCTTCCCCATTGACTTCGTTTGTCGGAAGCTGGCTGGGAAGATTGCCAAAGGGGATCACACGACTGCAGGACAATGCAACAGGCATAAGTACTTGCCAGTTGCCAAGAGTCTAAATTTTGATCACGTGACCATGAGGATGCTGTGACGGTCATAAGTGCAAGGACCAGTCCGAAGTCATTTTTTTCAGCGCCGCTGTGACTTTGAACAGTCGCTAAACAAATGGTGGTAAACCAAAAAGTTTTTTTTTTAAAAAAAAATATATTTTGTTGTCTTTTTTCTGCACTCCCAAATTTGTCTATAAGATTGTCCTGATTCATAGTAAGTCCAGTTCTGGATGAGAGTTCAGAAGTTCCATAGAGAACTGGAGGGTCTGGGTGCGAGTTTACCCATCCGGGAGAAAATGTTCTTGAGATTAAGTGGTTAGGATTAGTCTCGTCTTACCGTCCAGTGTGGTCACCAAAGCCTTCGCTTCAGACACCACGGCCTCTCCGTTGGCCAGGGAGGACTCAGCCAGTGCTTGTGCATTGTCCGTTCTCTGCCATAGCTGTGAAACAGAGAAAAGCAAAATTAGGCTAAAAAAGTCATAACTGCGAACATTCGCTAAAAATGACCAGTAATTATTTAACTTTGGAGCAGGCTTGACTTGAGTTGATGCCCTAAGTAAGCCATCCTGTTAGATTGTGAGTGAGGATGATGGGTGTGTGTGAACCCAGCCAAAATGTGAATTATTCGGTTATTATATTGCACAGGGCGGTAGTACCGGGGCTGCAAATCTCGCGCTGATCACCAGAGGGCAGACCAGAGTTAGTTTGAAATACTTCTTTGCTGCCCCCTAATGGCCATTTGTGGCATTACGGGGTTGATAGCGAAGCCTTTTAAAAGACGGAGTCAATCAAATAAGTCTAGGTTGTTGACCCCCAAGATCTGACCACGAATGTCAGCTATTCCTTCAGTTGATTGTTTCTTTGCATCCTGGTTTGTTGTGCCAAATTTTGCTGCCAAATAAAAGGCAAAATCAAGCCACAAAGCACTCACTTCTTCCAAGGGCTGAGTCCTCTGTAGCATTTCTTTTAACCCAGTTTCTACAGCCAAGGATTTGTTGGTTGCCAACCGGTGTTTCCTTTCAACCAGTTGTTGAATTTCCTCTGCTTCTTGGACCAGATTTCCAGCTTTCTCCACCAGAGGGCGCTGCAAGATCAGAGGCTGGGGATTTTAATCAAAATTAAAAACTACCCAGAATTGGAAAGACAAATTTATTACTAGAATTATGACATTTATAGATTGCTGGGGTACTTTTTTTGGGGGGGGCTCCATCTGAGCCCCCAAGATAGCTTGTGCTCCATAAATCAGCCGTGTTTAAGCACTAGCCTTCTCTCCATAGGCCACCAGAATCTGCCTACGGGCAAATACGCTGAATTCCATGCAATTATAGAAACAAGCTAGTGGAAAAGAGATGGAAAGATTTTCTGCCTTATTTTTGCCTCATCCCACATTTAAATCAAACTAGGTGTCTATCCCGTCATTACCTGAAAAAAACCAGAAACTTCCTTTTTCTTCCTCCAATTCTAGAAACTCAATAATTGATTGATTGATTTTTTGGGCAGGCTATTAACACCCCTATTTTTATTTTCCAGGTTGCTTTGCACAGTGCACCATACTAAAAAACCTTAGCAAAATGAAGAAATAAAGCTAATTTCCTTAGACCGCACCCAAAAGACCACCATTAAAACAACAGGGACTAACACAATAGTTATGCTAAAAGTTTTCCTTTGCAGGAAAGATTTAGGAAGGCATTTCTCCACTTTAGCAATTTTAACATGGGGTGAACTTCAACTCCCAGAATTCCCCAGCCAACTTGCTGGAGAATTCTGGGGGTTTGGCAGCCAGCATGTTTGAGAAACATATTGGCTGGGGAATTCTGGGAACTGAAGTCCATGCATCTTAAAGCATGCTTGCTGGGGAATTCTGGGAATTCTACCACCAGCATTCTAGGGAATTCTGGGAGCTGAAGTCCACGCTTCTTAAAGTTGTTGAAATGGAGAAACACTGATTTAGAAGACCTGGAATCAAACTGGAAAAGACATTAAGTGGATAAGGAATATACAAAATATAATCCAATATAGAGAAAACCTGATTCCATGAACAAAGGATGTAGAGAAAAAATCATCCTGTGACTAATGCTTACCAGTTCCAAAGTATTTGTCTGAACCAGGGTTATGTTGCTCTGATGGCCTGAAACCAGGATCTCAGCATCTTCTATTTGCAAGACGAGGGTTTTTTGGGTCTCTTCGATTTTCTCACCACTGCAAGGCAAACGTTCTCAAATTATCAACTCATTTAAACGGTGGGCTTGGTCTCTGTGGGACTTCACAGATATCCTTGTAATTTAACAAAGATCAAAACTGGAAGGAAATGAGTTTTAGCAGTGGTGAAATCCAATTTTTTTTTACTACCAGTTCTGTGGGCATGGCTTGGTGGGCATGGTGTGGCTTGGTGGGCGTAGCAGGAGAAGGATACTGCAAAATCTCCATTCCCACCCCACTCCTGGGGGAAGGATATTGCAAAATCTCCATTCCCACCCCACTCTGGGGCCAGCCAGAGGTGGTATTTGCTGATATTTGCTAGGATAGAAAAATTAGAGCTGAATTTCAGGCAGGGTCTTGCTCATTTTATTTTAAAGCAGTCTGGCTGAGGATTTTTGGGAGTTGAAGTCCACAATGCTTAAAGTTGCATGCTGGCTAGGGAATTCTGGAAGTTGAAGTCCGCCCATCTTCAAGCATGCAAGCTGGAGAATTCTGGGAGTTGAAGTCCATCCATCTTAAAGCATAAAGGATTGGTGGAAGTATTTCCCCCCACATCCCCCAAGACTCAAAGAAGCTCTGCCAATAAATGCCCCATTTACCATGCTTAACCTGTTCTTTTAGCTGTTGCCTCAAACTCAATTTTCCTGATCTTAATTTACTTTAGTCTAATTTAATTTAGGTTGGCTTAATTAGGAAGGCCTTATGCAAATCTCAAAACGTGGCTGAGGCAGTCTTAGAGAAAACACGTAGCCATGTTAAGCAGAAATGTTTAAAACAGGCCTTTCTTCCTGTTTACCACATCGCTTTTTAAAGCCCATCGGGGCATCTAGTGGCTGGGAGTTCCACAGTTTTAACAAAGGAAGCTCCGACTCTCAGGTTGCATGGAGCACACAGCAGAGGGCCCAAAGAGCCGCATGCGGCTCCAGAGCCACAGGTTGCTGACCCCTGTTCTAGACTCTGTGTCACCATCCTGGACCTCACCAACTCACCTTTCTTCCATGTCTCGCCTGAATTCCTGCATCCTCTTGCTGACGTTTGCAACATTTTGCAGAAGTTGATAACTCGAGTTGGATGCCTGGATGGCTCTTCTGGCCAGATCTTCCACCAAGGATGCAATTTCAACATGGCTGCAAAGAGGGGAAAAAAAAACCACCACCAATCTGGTGACTTTGGTGGTGGACGTCTCCCAGCCTAAAGATTTTCCCAAATCCCAGGTCTGGAGAGAAAATTCTCCATATACTTAAACCATTCAAGATATTTTAAGTCATTCGATCAACTTGATAGTACAGTGGTCTACACAGCCTGCAATTAACACAGCTGCCTGCAATTACTGCAGGTTCGAATCTTACCAGGCTCAAAGTTGACTCAGCCTTCCATCCTTTCTAAGGTAGGTAAAATGAGGACCCGGATTGTGGGGGCAATAAGCTGACTTTGTATAAATATACAAAAGGATGAAGGCTATTGCTTAACGCATTGTAAGCCACCCTGAGTCTCCGGAGAAGGGCGGCATATAAATCAAATTAAAAAAAACAAAAAACTTGAATGAGTTGACTAATTAAACTAGTCTGTATAAGGATGGGGCAATTTGCATTTTTACGAACAGCATGTAAAACTTACCTGCGAGCCAAAGCGCTGGATCTGATCGCATGGCGGCTCCAGTTTGTAGACGGATAAGAAATCTCAGAAGAAAATTCCTAGCAGGGGGAAAGAAAAGAAAGAAAGAAAGAAAGAAAGAAAGAAAGAAAGAAAGAAAGAAAGAAAGAAAGAAAGAAAGAAAGAACAATTGCTCTTTTGACTGTCCAGTCTCTTCTTAAAAACCTCCAGTGATGAAGCGCCCACAACTTCTGGTGGCAAGCTGTTCCACTGGTTAATTGTTCTCGATTAACCAACATGTTTGTTGCCAACTGCCTAAATTTTGATCACATAACTGTGATAAAAATGTAGAGCATCAAAATTTAGAGCATGCTACAATGGTCATAACTGGGAGGATCAATTGTAAGACTAGCACTATTTTCCGGTGCTATTGTAACTTCAAATGGTCACTAAGCAAGTTTTCCTGTACTGTATTGGGTCGCAATTTCTTCCCCACTAGGTGGCACCAGTTAGCAAACTTTGATCCAGTTGAAAAACTAAGTAGGGTTATTTTATTATAAATTAGATCTTGAGAATAATATGAAGATATACAGGAAGCTTCCTGAAATGGGGCCAGAAATAAGGACATACACAAAGCTGTTGATTGTCCATAGTTTTTTCTTTAAAAAAATAACGTGTAATTGGCGTGGGAAGCCAACTACAGTTAAATAAGTAAGTTGTGCTCGTTTGCAACCGCCACCGAAAGACAAATGAGCAACTTACATGTTAATCGCTTTCATTTGGCACCGGGTGGCAACGGCACATAAATAAACAAGTGTGCACTCATAATTTACAGCAGGCACCAGGAGCCAATTTCACAGGAGTAAACACATGCAAATGATTGACAATTGCCTCTGCAAGTCAATTACAAATAAACAAACAAACATTTGCAACTGGCATTAGGATGCCACTTGCAAAGGAGGGATGGATAAACAGAGAGAGAGAAATAGATAGAGATATGTCAGATGGATGGACGGACGGATAGATAGACACAGGCAGACAGATAGAAAGAAGGTAGATAGAAGATAGATAGATAGATAGATAGATAGATAGATAGATAGATAGATGGATGATTAGAGAAAGTGATCAGAGGGATGGATAGATAGACACAGAGAGATAGACAGAAAGAAGGTAGATAGAAGATAGATAGATAGATAGATAGATAGATAGATAGATAGATAGATATTAGAGAAAGTGATCAGAGGGATGGATGGATAGACAGAGACAGACAGACAGACAGAAGGGAGAGAGAGAGAGAGAGACAGAGAGAAGAGAGACAGAAAGGTAGATAGGTAGATAGATGGTTGAATGATACATGTAGGTAGATAGGTACATAGATATTAGATACAAAGATAGATGATATATGATAGACAGATAGACAGACATGATAGTTAGAAAGAAGACAGACAGACAGACAGATGCTACTAATTTACTCCTGGCTTTGCAGTCAGGACAAATAAATGTGTTTCAATAATTTGACTCTGTGTAATTTTATGATGTTTGTGTGTCTATATTTTTCTTGACTGTACACCGCCTTGAGTCCTACGGGAGAAAGGCGGTATAGAAATATAATAAATAAATAAATAAATAAATTGAATTACAGACCTAAAAAAACAGATCAAAGGAAAGCCTTCTTTGATACAGATTTAGTACACAGGTCAAGTAGAGCCTCTAGGCATAGGAGCAGTATATCTTGGAACTCTGGCTACAGAGGGAAACAATGAGGTTCCTTGTTGGGAAGGGCCTACAGGACCTTACAGGACGTCCTTGACTTTTAACCAAAATTGGGAGCAGAGTTTTCCATGGCGAAGGAAAGCGGTTGCTAAATGAGTCCTGCCCTTACAATGTTTTTTTTTTTTTCCTTTTCCCCATGGTTGTTAAGTGGATCGACGCAGATTGCAGTCCTTAAGCAAATTGGCTTGTTGAATGCCATGATATGCTGCAACCAACGTAAATACATACCGGTTCCCAAGCACCTGAATTCTGAACACGTGACTGTGGAGATGCTGCGACGGTCATAAGTGCGAGGACCACTTTTTTTTCCCCCTCCCCAGTGCTGTTGCAACTCTGAATGGTTGCCGAAGGAAGGATTGTAAATTGAGGTCTAAACTGCACTAACGGTTGAGTTAGTTGCGCCAGTTTTTAGTGACTGATTTTTCCCGTTAACTCAGTTTTCAGCGTATTGAATCCAATTGTTCATTGGCTTGTGAAAAGACCAGCAGGGACTTTAACAGTCTCCGTGTTGTGTTGTTGTTGTTGTTGTTGTGTTTCGAAGGGAAGGGGCTTCATTTATCAGTGCTTGGTCTGTTCCCTTCCAAGCAGGAATTTATTCCATCCATTAAAGTTGTTTTGAAGGACTCATTAGTTTGGGCAGATGCCCGTGTTTTCCCAAATTAGATACTGATAGTTTGGAAACTCGGAGAACGAGAGCGGAAATGCATCCAGCTGGCTTTCCCGACCGCGGGAAAAAAAAAATGGCAAAACTTTTCTGCCTTCGCTGTGAAATTATCTCGTTTGATATCCGAATTAAGCTTTCGATCGCCCCCAGCTCTCTGCTGGGAGACTGCTTAGGAATTCAGATCACGGATCGTCGCTCCTGTGTCTCTCGGCGGTCCTCTTCTTGTGGCTAAAGCAACTTAAGTCACATTGTTGAATGTTGTTGTTATGGACATTTATGTACCGATATTTGAGGATATTGATAGCTCAGGATTGGAACCGTGAGGTCCTTGGGGATCTCTGAGCTTGGTGGCTTTCTCGCAGACGTTTCATGACCCAACTAAGTGACGTCATCAGTGCTAGAAGGGAGAAAGAGCAAACCCCACTCCCTTCTAGCACTGGTGATGTTACTTAGTTGGGTCATGAAACGTTTGCAAGGAAACAAACAAGCTCAGAGAGCACCAAGGACCCCACGGTCCTTTTCCTCCTCCTCCTCCTCCTCCTCCTCCTCCTCCTCCTCCTCCTCCTCCTCCTCCTCCCTTCTATCACTGATGAAGTTACCTAGTTGGGTCAGAAAACTACCTGTTGATAGATCAGTAGATGGATTTAGGAGAAGAAACAGACTGTGGTTAAGATTAATACAGGTAGTCCTTGAATTACAACCATTTGGTTAGTGACCAAAGTTACAACAGCCCCGAAAAAAAACTGACTTACGGCCATTTTTCATACCTATGACTGTTGCAGCACCCCTGTGGTCATTTGATCAAAATTCAGACACTTGGCAACTGACTCATATTTATGGTTGATATGGGTTGCTGCCAGCATCCTAGGGATCAACCAAGTACATCATCATCATCATCATCATCATCATTATAATATATGTATCAGGTACCGTGCTCTCCAGGATCTCAGTGGCCAGCTGGATGTCCTCATGGGTGGACCGAAGGGTGGAAGATACATCGGAAAGGAGTCCGCACACTTTGGTGGCCCGTTGACTGTCGCAAGCGATGGCTCTGCTGGTGTTGCTCAGCCGATGGTGGGCATCTTCCACCAAGCCCTTCAGATCCGTCATCTTCTCCAAGAAAGCAGCTTTGGCACCTGGAATCAAGACAATGTCATTCGGGGTGGAATCCCCTGGTCCATGATGCCTCTAAAGCTGGACCCCGAGAAAGCTGACGAAGAAAAGCCAAAACAGAGGAGTCCTTGTCAAGAATCCCCTCCATAGCCCTTCCATTGATCCGATGCTAAGTGAGATATGGACCTTCAGATCCTGAAATTTCAACTCTTCCCTTGGCCAAAGGGCCAAGGAACTGATCTGTGAATGTTTGGAAACAAAACATGGAGATTTGATGCCCTCTTTGGTGGAACTCCAACCATTGAAAGCCAGGAGACATTTGTCAAAAAGCACCAGAAGGCAGGACAAGAATCAACAGGGGGAAACTCACCAAGGAAAGATCCAACTTAGAATTAAGTAGGAATTTCCTGACAGTGAGAACAATTAATCAGTTGCCCAGGGAAAATGGTGTCTCCTGTTTGTCATAAGGTGATTCCCCCTTCCATTATTTTTACCTTCCAACAGGTACGGGCGCTGAAGGTTGTCTCCACGTGGGCTCTCGCCAAACATCGCATGATAATATTCGCCTTTGGATCGGTCACAGCTGGGCTTCTGGAACCAGGCTTCCATTTCGGTCAGCTTGTCCTTCAGTCTGTCTGCCTGCACAGGAAAGAAGTCCTCATGAGTCTGTCTTGGAGAAAGACCTCACCTCTCTCTAAACGTAACAGAGCTGGAAGGGACCTTGGAGGTCTTCTAGTCTGACCCCTAGGGAGACCCTATCCCATTCTGGACAAGTGGCTCTTCTTAAAAACCTCCAGTGATGGAGCATAAGAAGAATCAGAATGTAGCATGTAGACCCAAGGACGGTTTTCCCCCCATGCCATCAGTCTGCTAAACGACTAATTCCCACAACACTCTCAAACTATTTAGTAAGACTCTATTAATATTAGTCTTCTTATCTTTCCTATCTCCTTTTCTACTCATGACTATAACTTTGTTGCTTGTATCTTAACAATTTATATGGTTTTATTGAGTTTCCTAGTACGATTTATGTTGGTTCTATCACTGTTGTATCTTATGATTGATGATGAATGTATTTTTATGATGAGTATGATCATGGTTTATCACTTATAGCGTTTATGTACAATGAGAGCTTAGGCACCGAAGACAAATTTGTTGTGTGTCCAATCCCACTTGGCCAATAAGGAATTCCCTTCCCTTCCCTTCCCTTCCCTTCCCTTTCCTTCTCCTCTTCCCTTCCCTTCCCTTCCCTTCCCCATCTTCTCTTCTCTTCTCTTCTCTTCTCTTCTCTTCTCTTCTCTTCTCTTCTCTTCTCTTCTCTTCTCTTCTCGTCTTGTCTTCTCTTCTCTTCCCTTCCCCTTCCCCTTCCCTTCTACTCTATTCTATTCTATTCTACTCTACTGTACTCTACTGTACTCTACTGTACTCTACTGCACTCTACTGCACTCTACTCTACTCTACTCTACTCTACTCTACTCTACTCTACTCTACTCTACTCTACTCTACTCTATCGTGCAGCTAGTCCTCTCATTCAGCCACTGTTCAATGTTAGGATGGCTGAAAGAAGAGGTCTTAGGGCAGATTCTCGTATTTGTGGCCATCACAATGTCTGCCAGGCCATGTGTATCTATTTAAGGCTGATTGATCTACCATTAAGGGCACCGAAAGGCCGATCAAGAAAGTTGATATTTCAAGGCTGATTTGAGTGAGAACGTTCATTTAATCGGACTGAAAGGCTTACTAAATTGGCTGATCAAAACAGAATCTTACCTCCTCTTTCACAAGGCTGTAGCAAAGGGGACACTCCCGGCATTGCTTGATTTCCAGGTCAAAGAAGTAGTTCGCATCACACTCTTCGCACTTGTTACCCACAAAGCCCTTCTTACACACGCAAGTGCTGTTGTCTCGGCATTGGAGTGAAACCGAACCAATCTGGGAACAGTTGCAGGCTGGAAAGAAACCAAAATGCATTTGGGGGGGGGTCATCACGAGGCCTCCTGATGTTTATCTTCAGTGGGTACCAAATAAAGGAGAAATAACCGAACTAGAAGGGACCTTGGAGGTCCTCTAGTCCAACCTCCTATTCAAACATATACCCGTGATGGCAAATCTATGGCACACGTGCCATAGGTGGCACACGTAGCTATATCAGTGGGCACGTGAGCTCAGATTTCAGGCCTTCTGGGCCCACCAGAAGTAGGGAAAGGAAAGGGAAGCTGAGCCTACCTTGGCAGCCTTGGGAAGAGAATTGAAAGAAGCCAGCCTGGCACTGACTGCACGATAGCCCCGTCACGCCGGGATGGCAGATGCATTGCCCTGCAGTGGGGTGACAGATGTTGCTCTGGGCTCCCATTGGGTGGCACTGACAACTTGGAGGGGGTGGGAGAGAGAGAGAGAGAGAGAGAGAGAGAGAGAGAGAGAGAGAGAGAGAGAGAGAGAGAGAGAAGAGGACATGTTATGTTTAATGTTAGTCTGATTCTCCTCGGATGGGAACATCCTCAGTTGCCAAGTGTAGTCTGGAGCTGCTTTCTTTAACTGGGCAACTTTAAGAGGTGTGGGCTTCAACTCCCAGAATTCTCCAGGCAGTATGTTTGGATTCAACTCCCAGAATTCTTCATTCCTTCATCCATGGTGGGCCATCTCCCAGAATTCCATAGCCAGAATTCATTTCTCTTTGATCTAAGAGAAATGTTCCTCAGCCAAGACGTCTGGACTTCAACTCCTAGAATTCCCCATCTAGCGTGCATGGGCTTCAACTCCCAGAATTCTTTATTCAGCATGGCTGGACTTCAATTCCCAGAATTCCCCAGCCAGCATTCCTTTTCCTCAGCTCAGTGTTCCTCAGCCAAGATGTGTGGACTTCAACTCCCAGAATTCTGCAGCCAATGTGTTTGGACCAATTAACTTTCCATCCAGCATGTTTGGACTTCCACTCCCAGAATTCCTCAGCCGGCATGCTGGCTGGAGAATCCTGGGAGTTGAAGTCCACCCATCTTGAAGTTGCTAAGGTTGAAAACTCTAGAGAACCAAGTCGTAATCCCAATGCATCAAAAACCACCCATTTGAAGGAAGATGGGTTATGTACCCCTCTTCTGGCCTTTTCTGGAACATTCTCACCCTTCTCCTCCCTCAGTCCCCCATCCGTTACCTTCTGCACCCCACTCCTGGCTGTAGATCAAAATAGCCTTCCAGGCACTGGGTGCACTCTCGTCCGGTTACATTGGGGAGGCAGCGACACTGACCCGAAACGGGATCACAAGTTTTTGGTCCCTGAGTAGAGCCATCAGGGTTACAGTTGCAGGCTAGGAAGAAAGAGAGAGAGAGAGAAGACAGAGAATGTGAGAAAGAAGGAGAAATAACGTGAGGCTGAAATGCAGCCAATCAGCTAAAAAAACCTGCATAGTTCAATCAAAATAGAGCTGGAAGGGACCTTGGAGGTCTTCTAGTCCAGCCCTCTGCTCAAGCAAGAGACCCCTCTACCATTTCAGACAAGTGACTGTCTGGTTTCTTCTTAAAAACCTCCAATGATGGAGCACCCACAACTTCTGGTGGCAAGTAGTTCCACTGGTTAATTGTCCCCATTGTTAGGGAGTTTCTCCTTAGTTCTAGATCTGGATCTCTCTTTGATTAGCTTCCATCATTTCTTGTTTTGCTCTACAGGTAGTCCTCGACCTACGACCACAATGGACCCCAAAAGTTCAATTGCTAAGCCAGACAGTCGTTAAGTGAGTTTTAATCAGCGGAATGGCTCACCTCCAGAAGTTGTGGGAGCTCCATCACTGGAGGTTTTTAAAGAAGAGCTTGGATGACCATTTGTTCGGGAATGGTCTAGACTAGAGTCTCCTGCTTGAACAGGGGGTTGGACTAGAAGACCTCCAAGGTACCCTCTTCCATTTCTATTATTCTGTTATATTCTTGAGATCAAAAGCAGCCTTGATTTACTTGCTCACGCTGTTGACGCTCCCACCACATCTTAAGGAACTTTTGGGATGGTTCTCAGCAGTGGTGAAATTCATTTTTTTTTACCACGGGTTCTGTGGGCGTGGCTTGGTGGGCAGGGTGTGGCTTGGTGGGTGTAGCTTTCTGGGTGTGGCAGGCGAAGAATACTGCAAAATCTCCATTTCCACCCCACTCTGGGGCTAGCCAGAGGTGGTATTTGCCGGTTCTCTGAACTACTCAAAATTTCTGCTACCGGTTCGCCAGAACCTGCTGTATTTCACCCTCGGTTCTCAGGTTTAGCTGAAGGACTCACGCGCACACTTGGTGGCTGGGTTGGCAGCCAAAGGATTCCCATAGAAGCCCTCCTGGCACCGCTCGCAATGCTCCCCTGCGGTGTTGTACAAGCAGCGTAGACAACGGCCGGTGAAAGTGTCACAATTGCCCACTGCGTTGGGGTCCGTGTTGCCACGGCAATCGCAGCTCTTGCAAGGACGCAGCGATCCGTTTCTTCCCAAGGGATCCCCAAAGAAACCATCATCGCATAATTCACACAGGCGACCTGAGAAACGCAAACAGAACATTTTCTGTGATAATTGAGGACGAGGATGGTAATAATAATAATGATGATGATGAATTAGAATATTTTTATTGGCCAGGTGTGATTAGACCCACAAGGAATTTGTCTCCGGTGCAGAAGCTCTCAGTGCTGTTGTGGCCTGCTGGCGGCCAGCGGAGCTGGTAGCAGAGTCGGACAATGAGGAGGTTGGGGAGGAACATGGGGCAGTCCTGGGGGCTGGGGAAAGCTCGGACGAGAGCTCTGCGTCGGAGGCAGAGAGGGAGATAGACAGCAGTGAGGCAAAGGAACAGCTGGAGCCCGTTCCCAGTGTGCACATGCGCAGAGCTGCCAGAAGACAAGAACAATTCAGAAAGCAGGGACGACTTGGAAGTAAAGCCACACCTTGGGAGGTGATTGGCTCTTCCCATAGGAAACAAAAGAGGAGCGAATGGGGAGGGGGCTTTTGCGGAAAACAATTCATACGGCAGATCCCAGATCTTCACACCTTTCACCGTTCCCTAAAGACATTTTTATTCCAGCAAGCCGGGCTGGCCTAACTCTTTTAAATTGTTTTAATTTTTAAATTGTTTAATTAGGGGTCTTAATACAGGGGTGTTTTTAATTGTGGGCCAAATTAATTTAATTGGATTTTAATACTGTTTTTAAATTTTGTATGTCTTGTGTTTTATCTGTTGGCTGTTCACCGCCCTGAGTCCTTCGGGAGAAGGGCGGTATATAAATATAAACAATAAACAATAAATAAATAAATTCGTCCCGTGATTCTGAGAAACTCTGTGCCAAGTTTGGCCTTGTACTGCGTTGGGAAATCAGTTACGTGGCAGCTTGCCAAACAAGATAAGGTGTGTTGAGAAACATTCCTTTGCAAAACTGTTTGGACAAGCCTTGCTGACTGTGAATGACCGTAATTCACAGTCGTGTAAATAAAAGAGGTTTTGCCGGGACCAATTCCTGCCTCCTGCTTGTTAAGGGAGGCAAAGCAACAGAGTAATAATAATCAGAATCAGAATAGCAATAGCACTTAAACTTATATATCACTTTACTCGGTGAGCATTGTGTTTGGGCCAGTGTTGCTTGCCGTTTGAGGTTAGAGGGCTTGGTGCCCTGCTGTGGGGGTCACTTACCTCTCTGTCCTGGGGGACAATGCGTGCAGACCACTTCTTCGCTGTCTAGCATGGTTGCGCAAGGCCCTTGCCCTGGACACGGGCAAGGTTGGCAGTCATCAGGCTGCCCAAGAAAAGGGTTGCCGTAGAACCCCACAACGCATCGCTCACAAGCGGGCCCTTCGGTGTTGTGTAGACATTGGCAGATGCCTGTGGAAGGAGGAGGGGGAGGAGGGAAGGGGCAGAGACAAGGAAACCTTAGGAAGATTTTCTCAGAAAGAAAAGACCTGAGGAAGTGTAACTGTAGGAGATGACACGAATGAACTGGAGGGAGGAGTCAAATGTGTTATCAGTCTCGAATCCCTTCGTGCTCAGAAGAGATCTAAATCCAGAATTCTTTTTTTTAAAAAAATAATATTTATTGAAATTCCAACATATAAAACACACCATACAAAAAAACACAACACACACACACACACACAAACCCCACAGAAAAAGACATAGCAAAAATGTAACACTAATGACAGCTTTTCTATATCGGTATCTCTATCATAACAAACATATTTACAAAAATTCTAATTCTATATCTCTCTATCTTAAATTACATCCTTATTTGAATTGTAATAACATCAATTCATAGTTCAGTTTCATATCCTATATTTCTTCAGCAATTTTACCTTCTACATATTATATTTAAGAGATTATCCCTTAGGTTTTGCGTTTACTCTCAAGCCAGGAACACCATCTGTCCTAAATTTGATAGTATTTATACTCACCCGAATTAGGATCACAGCTCCCGTGCTGGTTGCAGGTACAAGGCAAGCAACTTGCAAACGGCCCGCCCCAAGCAATCTCCCGTTTGTAACCCGGAGCGCAAAACTCGCAAAATCGGCCTTGGTACCCCTGGGGGCAGAGGCATTCTTCAACCCACGGAGCCCGCTGGGAGAAACCCGGATGAGCAGAGGCCAGCCGAACCTCCTTTAGCGCAATTCTGCCTGTAGAGGAAGAAACGCAGGTTTTACAGTGAGAATGAAAATTCACCTGCCTTCCATCCAGGGGTGGGTTCTACTTACCTTTAGTAAGTAGTTTGCAACGGGGTCGTGCATGCTACACACTGTTAAATAAATAATTCCCTCAACACTGTCAAACTATTTACTAAGTCCGCACTACTACTACTATTAGTCTTCTCATCGTTCCCATCACCCATCTCCTCCCACTTATGACTGCATGACTGTAACTTGTTGCTGGTATCCTTATGATTTATATTGATATTGTTTCCTAGCATGATTTGATTGCTTATTTGTACCCTATGACTATCATTAAATATTGTACCTTCTGATTCTTGACGAATGTATGTTGTCTTTTTATGTACACCGAGAGCGTAGGCACCAAAGACAAATTCCTTGTGTGTCTAGTCACATTTGGCCAATAAAGAATATTTCTATTCTATTCTATTCTATTCTATTCTATTCTATTCTATTCTATTTATTCTATTCTATTCTATTCTATTCTATTCTATTCTAAGTCTAGTTTAGTCTAGTCTAGTCTAGTCTCTACTCTACTCTAGTCTAGTCTAGTCTAGTCTAATCTAGTCTACTCTACTCTAGTCTCTACTCTACTCTAGTCTCTACTCTCTACTCTACTCTAGTCTTTACTCTACTCTACTCTACTCTAGTCTACTCTACTCTAGTCTTTACTCTACTCTAGTCTTTACTCTACTCTACTCTACTCTAGTCTTTACTCTACTCTACTCTACTCTACTCTACTCTACTCTACTCTACTCTACTCTACTCTACTCTACTCTACTCTACTCTATTCAGAGGTAAACCGCAGTGACCAAGTTTCATTTTTCTCCCTGAAACTAATGAGGATTAACCTTCTTTGGCGGTTGCGCTTACCCGATCTGGGTTTACTTTTAACTTGGATCCGAAGCTTGGTCAGATTGGAAAGCATCCGCTGAAACTGGAAAGGCGACAGAACCGAATTCATGGCCTCTTCTGCCTCGTGCAACCTGCAACAAGCCGACCCAGGAACTGTCATCAAACAAAACTTGCAGAAAAGTCACCTGAAGGATTAACAGGTCCTTGCTCAGGCTAGGTGGCGTTGTTTTTTTAATAAAAACCTTTTAATTCCCTTCTGCTGAAACCCCGGCCCTTGCTGTTCTCTGGATATTTATAGCTTTCCACAAAGAAAGGGATGTAGCATTGATCAGCTCATCCTGCTGTTGCGCCAGCAGCGGTTAGAGTTAATTGAACAACATCAAAAGGTATTGCAGAGCCCGGCATGGATATTACTTTGTTAAAAATAAAATAAAATAAGCTGCCTTTAGGAAGACGTCTGTGGCGTGTTACACGTTTACAGGCCTGTTAACTTGAGGCCCTTCGTAGTCCGGCATTTCGGTGCTCAGAGGGGTTGACTAGATGCCTCTGGGGTGCTCACAAGCAACAGACGGAGTCCCACCTTACTCCAAGGCGGTGTCTTCAAGACTAAGAGCCCTAATAGACTTGTTCTCCAAAACGATAGGCAGTCCTCGACTTACGACCACAATTAAGCCCACAATTCCCGTTGCTAAGCGAGACAGTTGTTAAGCGAGTTTTGCGCCACAACACCTTCCTTTGCTGCTGTGTCTCTCAGCCTATAACCCTGAATGTCGCGATGGTTTTTACAAGTTGTTTTATCGGCTGTTTTAAAGAGCTGTTTAGTATGCACAACAAAGCTTGCATTTAGGCAGGGCAAAACTCAGCTTTAAAACCCCGGAACAATGAACACCCCTCATTAGGTTTTCTCCGATCTAGAATAATCTGGAATAATTGCCACCCGCTATTTATAGCTTTAATGGGATAGCGTAGCTACATCTGTGGCGTTTTCCTGTATAAAGAATTGCAAAGGAAAAACAACACAATTGATCTTTGCAACCGAGCTGAGAATTGAAGCAGGCGGAAGGATACCTGAAGGACACGATCCGTTCCTTGCATGGAATTTCGTTCCCTTTTTCTTCCGGGTCCTCGTGTCTCGCTGATAAAAAGACCCCGTTGCCTTCCAAAATTAGCTGGACGGAAGGAGAAGGCACATCCGTTGCGTTGTCTCCGAAGTGAAGGACTGCCGAGAGCAGCTGGCCGTAGCTGAAACGCTGATCGCCTAGGAATTTCTCTAAGCGGAGTGGAGAGCCAAGCCAAGAGCAGACAGGAAAGAATTATACATTGCCAGAAATTACAGGAGTTGCTCGACTTACAAAACCACAACGGAGTCCCAAATTTCTGTTGCTAAGGGAGATAAGAACAGCGAGGACAGTCACTTGTGTGAGATGGTTGTCCTGCCTAAGCAGGGGGTTGGACTAGAAGACCTCCAAGGTCCCTTCCAACTCTGCTATTCTATTCTATTTATTCTATTCTATTCTATTCTATTCTATTCTATTCTATGCTATGCTATGCTATGCTATGCTATGCTATGCTATGCTATGATATGATATTTTACTCTACTCTACTCTACTCTACTCTACTCTACTCTACTCTACTCTACTCTACTCTACTCTACTCTACTCTATTTCTATTCTGAATAGAATACCCCCAGGTCACTGTGAAAGTCATAAATAGGAGTCAGTTGAAAAAGCATCTGAGTTTGGATCACAAGACAACAGGGATGCTGCAAAGGTCGTAACTGTGAAAAACGGTCATCAGTCACTTCGTGGTAACTTCGAAGGGTCATTAAATGAACTGTCGTAAGTCAAGGACTACCTGTATTAATCACATCCAACCGTGCCTACTGGTTTAGCAAGGAGCTGTCCTACCTGGTGCCTTGAACCCAGTCACCTCCCGTTCATTTTGGTCTACGAAGATGACGTCTCCATCCCAGCGTAGTAAAATCTCTCTCCCGTCTGAGTTTTCTGCTTTCCAGCCGTCAATTCCTGGGTTAAAAAAATGGGAGGAAAGAAATTACAGCACGACCACATTCGTCTAGTCTAAACCGATCCTTAGCATCCTTACTCATGGAGAGCAGAAAAGATTGCATCTTTAATTACATGTCACTGAAAGACTGCAAGTCTTTTATTTTTATTTTTTTTTTAAAAAAATACAATTATCTCCGTGCTTTGAAAACGTTGCCCTTAAGTGGCCAAGCAGAAATAGGTTGAATTTTCCATGCTAAACAGAGGCAAAGGTTAATTCTGCTACAAACCCAAGAACGCATTAAAATTAATGTGGCAATTCACATTCCATTTTAAATATAATCAGGATGGATTTTTAATATGGTGGCTTTTCACACTCGGTCCGTACATACCCACCCACACATCCACACAGAGGGGTTATCTGTTTGTTTTTAAAGACAAAGCTACGTGGCCTCACTTATTCAAAGCTATTTTTTTTAAAAAAAACAACAACCATGATTGAGCCAGACGTGTTAAGGATTCTGCAAAGAATAATTGGCCCAAATGTTTTTCACAGCAGAGCACAGATTTAGTAGTTCAGATAATAGTTCTGTTGGGGACCTTCAACTGAATGAAAGGTTTCCCAGGGACAGTGTGATGTGCCCCCAAATTTCATCCAAATGCTCCACGGAGAACATCTGGGACAGTTGTGTCCCAGCCTCGGATTTCTTTTATCTAATTGCTGGTTTGATACCAGTTTTTCCTTCTGCTCCTTAAGATTGTTCCAGATGGATGGATGGATGGATATATGGTAGACAGACAGACATACACATACACAGATAGATGATAGATAGATAGATAGATAGATAGATAGATAGATAGATAGATAAATAGATAGATGATGGATGATAGCTAGATAGCTAGATAGCTAGATAGATGGATGATGGATGATAGATAGATAGATAGATAGATAGATAGATAGATAGATAGATAGATAGATGAATAGATAGCTCGATAGATGGATGATGGATGATAGATAGATGGATGGATGGATGGATGGATGGATAAATAGATAGCTCGATAGATGGATGATAGATAATGGATGATAGATAGATAGATAGATAGATAGATAGATAGATAGATCAATAGATGATGGATGATAGCTAGATAGCTAGATAGATGGATGATGGATGATGGATGATAGATAGATAGATAGATAGATAGATAGATAGATAGATAGATAGCTCGATAGATGGATGATGGATGATAGATAGATGGATGGATGGATGGATGGATAAATAGATAGCTCGATAGATGGATGATAGATGATGGATGATGGATGATAGATAGATAGATAGATAGATAGATAGATAGATAGATGGATGGATGGATGGATGGATGGATGGATGGATGGATGGATGGATAGATAGATAGATAGATAGATAGATAGATAGATAGATGGAGTACATAAATGTCAGTCTTTCAAGGTGGACCAGGAACCCAAACCAAAATCATCCAAGCTAATTTTAGTTTTATTACAATGTTGCAGGAAGATAATTGTTCCATTCTGAAGGCTTCCGAGATTCTAGCCTACCACAATTAAGAGCATTTCTGGAATCACTGCTGTGGCTCTTTCTTCGTTTGTGGAAGGGCTTGCCTTCAGAAGTTGTGAGTGGTCCATCCCTGGAGGCTTTCGACCTTTCGATCGACAAGCTCAGCGTCTTAGCCACTGAGCCACCATGTCCCTTCTTGGAGGAATTAGGAGGGTTTTATTTGCCCACCTACCTTGTCTGAAGTCGGAGACAATGTCACGGGGCTCGTATCCTGGAGCTGTTGCACAGACGGTTGAGTGTCCGTAGCAGAAACAACTTGTACACCCCTCTGAGTTGTGAGGTTGTAGGTTAAAACTGCCAGGCTGACATCTGTGTGAACAAAATTACGAATGAGGCTCCTTCCGGGAAGAAAATTGCTTTTAAGGAAAGCAGGGCCATTTCTCTGTAAACTTAAAAATCCCCTGCCCCATCCCAAAAAAGAAAAAAAAAAGATTGTTAATAACAGTAACAACAACAACAAAGTAGGTAAAAGTAACAAACTAACCCAGCTGCTGTGGCTTAGAGGTGGAGCTCTTGCCTCACAATCAGGAGGTTGTGAGTTTGATCCTAGGTAGAGGCAGGGAGGTTGGACTAGATGACCTGCAAGATCCCTTCTGTTAAATCTGTAAGCGGACAGTCTTTAAACACCGGATCTTCAATTTTGCTTGGCATTCCTCTTTCGAGGGCCGCCAGATGCTCTACCACCCACCAACTTTTACTTTATTTATTGTGATTTAGTTCCTCGGGTTTGTCTTCCAAAGGTATTTCCTTTAGATTCCTTTAAATAAAACAACAAACAGGGAGCTGTTTGCTAACTAAAGCTTCAGCCTCTGGAATCAGAATAGCTCCTACCGGTGCAAAAGATTTCTTCTTATTTATTTTTTTTCCAAAATAAATGAGGCGAATAGATGAAACTCTGCTTGTTGAGAAGGGAGCTGACTTGTCCATAAAAAATAAAATGGAATACAATGTTCTGCTCTGTTCTGTTCTAAGGATGAAACGTTAAAGAAGTGGAGAGGTTTTTGTTTTTCCCTGACCAGATGTTCCAGCTATTTTTGTGTGTGTGTGCGTGAGAGAGAGAGAGAGAGAGAGAGAGAAAGAAAGAAAGAAAGAAAGAGAAATAAATTTTGTAAGAGGAACTATTAAGTAGTTCATGATGGACAGGGAAAGCGAGGTAGATGGAAAAGAAGAAAAGAGATTTGAGTTTTCAAACATTTCACTTACCTGTTACACAGGTAGCCTTCCACTTTCTTCTTGCATCTGCAGTGTCCTGAATTGGGGTCACACACACCCAAACTTCCAGCGGAGTTACAAGCACAAGGTCTGCAAAAAGAAAGCTGGAAGTGGGCAGTCCATTTGATATCCGCAGCTCTTCCACAAAAGAGCAGGTGACTTCTCCATGCTTACTTCCTTGTTACTCACCTGCACCCTCCTTCACTCAGGGAATGGAATCCTTCTTGGCATCGCTCGCACTTCCAGCCTGTGACTGTCACTTTGCACTCACACTTCCCTGCAGCATCGCACTGAGGGTTTAAAGAACCTAGGAAGACAGAATGAATAAGAAGACAATGAAAGGAATAGTATGAAGAAGACAGGGGGAATAAGAAGACAGAAGGAATAAGGAAAAATCGGAAGCAATAATGAGAAGACAAAAGGAATAAGAAGACAACAGAGGGAATAAGAAAAAAACAGAAGCAATAAGAAGCAATAATGAGAAGACGGAAGGAATAAGAAGACGACAGAGGGAGTAAGAAAAAAACAGAAGCAATAAGAAGACAGAAGCAATAATGAGAAGACAAAGGAATAAGAAGAAAACAGAGGGAATAAGAAAAAAACAGAAGCAGTAAGAAGATGGAAGCAATAATGAGAAGACGGAAGGAATAAGAAGACGACAGAAGGAATAAGAAAAAAAACAGAAGCAAATAAGAAGACAGAAGCAATAATGAGAAGACAAAAGGAATAAGAAGACGACAGAGGGAATAAGAAAAAAAAACAGAAGGAATAATGAGAAGCCAGAAGGAATAAGAAAAAGACAGAGGAAAGAAGATAGAAGCAATAATGAGAAGACAAAAGGAATAAGAAGAAGAGGAAAGAAGACAGAAGCAATAATCAGAAGTCAGTAGCAATAACAAGATTACCCAACCTTAGGCTTCAATGTCCATCCAATCTTGATTAAATCTGGAACCCCATTAAAGAAAGAAAAGGGGGCCAAGAGGAAAAATGTCAAAGCCTGCCTCTTGAAATATAGAGGCTCCATCACTGCAGGGTTTCAAGCAATGCCTGGATAGCATTACTCTGTTTCCTGCTTAGAACTGGAAGATCCTCATGTCCCCTTCCAAGCTTAGAATTCTATGACATGCAAATAAAAAAAGAATTTGCTTTCCATTTCTATGGAGTGGAATTCTTGTGGAAGATTAATGATGCTACTATTTCCCTTGGCTGTTCACCCATCCAGGTAATATAAAGTATTGTCCCATCTTCTCACCACCCTACCTGCTCGGTTGCAATTGCAGGGCTGACACACCATCTCATCATCCCAACGATAAAAATTTGGCCGACAGTATTCACAGTGGGGTCCGGCGGTGTTGTCCCGGCAATTCACGCAATGACCACCATGCCCGGTGCGCCGGTAGAGTTCCCAGTCGTAATAACATTCCTCGGATCTACCGCTACAGTTGCACGCTGGATAGAGACAGCAGAAAAGCATGATGGATTGTTTTATTCTTGTGAAGCTAAGCCTTGTTGTCTAACTTCAGATTGTAAGGTCCTTGATGACAGGGACCGGTACCTTGGTATTCAACTGTTTTTGAAACTCATCGAATTTGGGACTCAATGCCTTTTGACATGAGAATTTTGTCTTGTGTTGAAGACAAAATTCTGATTCTGACTACAGAATCTTATCTCTCAAGCCCGTTGAGATTGACTCAGTACCGACACACAATTTTGCTACTTTTGGGTGTCAGCTGATACAAGTTGGTGGGAATGAGCTGCTTGTAAGAGTTGAATGGACCCCGCCCCTTAAAACGGAGCCAGGAGGACTTACGAAGGCATTCGTTGGCAGACTCAGCGGTACCCCTTGCCCAAGGGCGGTCCTGGTAGAACGGCTGGCACATATCGCAGTCTACCCCGGTAGTGTTGTGTTGACAGAGGCAAATCAGTTGGTCTTCTTCATTAGGGATGCATTCGCTGGCATGGCCGTTACACTTGCATCTGGCAAAGATACAAGAGGCAGATTTTTGAGATCGGTGGCCCCACTACTCCTGGGTGTGGTGGAGAGCCATCTGTGCTTGATGAAGGAAGCTACGGTCACAATGGCTGGATGCCCCCCTCCCTCCCCCATGGATTAGGTCTTGCCATTTCTCTCCAACTCTTTAACCAATGGGTTAATCTTCTTGAATGTTCCTGCTCCATTTCAACCTACGTACTGGAACGCTATTCTGTCCTTTCTTCTCTAACATTACTCCAACCTACTCTAGCAGTCTTACTCCAACTCTACTCTAACCTCCTCCAACTCCAACCTACTTCAGCTCCTACTCCAACATTTCTACTCCAACTTATTTTTTTCTATTCCAACCTACACCAAGCAATTCCTATTCCAGGCTATTCCGATCTATTCTAGCATTCTGCTCCAGCATTACTCCAACCTATCCTACTCCTACTTATTCCAATACTTTAATCGTTGTTCTCCTCCAACTGATTTGTCATTCCTTTCTTATACCACTGAGTATAATTGCCTTCAGAAGTTGTGGATGTTCCATCACTGGAGGCTCTTAAAAAGAGACTGTACATCCATCCGTCCATCCATCCATCCATCCATCCATCCATCCATCCATCTATCCATCCATCTTGCTCTCTGTCTGTCCATCCGTCCATCCACCCATCCATCCGTCTTGCTGTCTGTCCGTCCATCCATCCATCCATCCATCCATCCATCCATCCATCCATCCACCCACCCACCCACCCATTCATCCATCTGTCTTGCTGTCTGTCTGTCTGTCTGTCCATCTATCTATCTATCTGTCTGTCTGTCTGTCTGTCTGTCTGTCTGTCTGTCTATCTATCTATCTATCTATCTATCTATCTATCTATCTATCTATCTATCTTCTAATAGCAGTGGTTAGAATGCCATATTGCAGGTTGATTCTGCCCACTGCCAGCAGTTCGACCCTGACCAGCTCAAGGTTGACTCATCCTTCCATCCTTCCAAGGTCGGTAAAATGAGGACCCAGATTGCTGGAGGCAAGATTGTGAACTGCCCAGAGAGTGCTGTAAAGCTACTATGGAGCTTTAGATAATCCTAAAACGCTATACTATAAAACCACTACACCTCTGAGTAGAACAACTAGAACATTCCATCTCACATTAGCTACTACCTCCCTGGCTTCAACCTCAGGCCAATGGCCACCCACCCGCCCGATTTCTACAATGCTTCCTCTTTCCAAATTTCCTCCCTTAGTTCGGGAACACGCAATCAGCAAAGTTGGAGACCAGCAACACAAATCAAATTGTGTGGCGTCCTTGGTCACCTCTTCTCCGCAGAACGTCCCTCCGACCCCTGCTTCGGTCTAGGGGTCGTTAGGCTTTTCAGCTGATTAAAAAGTTCCAGCTGTCTAAGATGACGGAGTAATAAAACCAGGGTGGTCTTGGTTAGGATTTTATAAGAAACCTATTTCCTTTTCCCGCAGAACACAATTCAGGACTCCGGCGAAGCCACAGGCAGTGAAAATTAGCAAGGTAGAGACCAAAGAAAGAAAGAAAGATATATATTTTCAGAGCAGACCGCTGGGGAATATCCCCTCCCTGCACCGAGGGAAAGCGTCTATCATATTTAATTTGCAAGGTGTAACACACCTCATTTAAAAACCCCACCGCGTGCCGAGACCACCTAAGAATCCAAGGAAAATATATGTCCTCCCTTCCCAAACATGGAATATATTCAGAGAGGCTGTGGCAGGGAAGGGAAAGGAGCCCTTTTCATGAAAAATAGCCACCGTTTCATCAATTTTATAAATGGGAAAGACGATGGGGCTTAGTGGGGAAATAATGAACTTAGTGAAAAAAAAAAGAAAAGAATTCATGGCAATTTCCACCCTGGGTAGCCCTCGATTTATGACCACAATCGAGCCCAACAATTCGGCTGTTAAGCAAGACAGTTTGCTAAGCGAGTTTTTTTTCCCCCATTTCATGCCACCGTTGTTAAGGGAATCACATGGATGTTAAGCGAACCGTGCTTCCCCATTTACTTTGCTTGCCGGAGGCCGGTTGGGAAAGTGGGAAAAGGGAATCACGTAACCCTGGGATACGTCGACCGTCATAAATACAGTCCGGTTGCCATGCGCCTGGATTTTACATTTTTTACATTTTACATTTTATTAAATTTGTATACCGCCCTACTCCCGAAGGACTCAGGGCGGTGAATAGCCATAAAATAAAACATGTAGATACAAAATTTAAAATAGAGATAAAACTAATTAAATAAATTTGGCTGAGACATTTTAAAACCCCAATAAATTAAAACCAAATTTAAAATTCCATTTAAAAAGAGGAAAAGTTTAGATTTTGAGGATGCAACGGTCGTTAAATGTGAAAAACGGCTCCTAAGTCACTTTTTTTCAGCGCCGTCGTAACTTTAAATGGTCACTAAACGAGTGGCTGTAAGCCAAGGTCTACCTGTATTTTAAACAGCTGGATGTCTCCCCTAACTAATCTTCATTCGGCTGAACTTCTGCAATTTTTAAAAAACTATCTATTTCAGATAGACTTTAATTGTGTGTTATAGCACTTTAATCACATTTTAATGCCTTATTCCCTAATCAAATCTAGGGATAGAATGCGTCCCTCACTGTCAGCTGATGAGCATCCTTCCAGACATGTTTTATTGAACGTTTCTGCTTAAATATGATTTAACCGTGCCCTGGTGGATTATTTCCGTTATCCTCCGACATGCATGCCGCGTAAAATTTCAATACCTCAAATGAGTGAGACATAATCTTTACACGAAGGGCACTTTTCCTAAAACCCGAGTAGAAGCTACAGCATTTCAGGCTTCAAGTGGAAGACAAAAACGCTACGGAAGATTTAATACGGTTAAAAACAAGGAGGCGTGCTTCTCCAACATAAACGAGAAAAAGATAATGTAGAGAGCATTCCCTCCTTGTTTATATGTCACCTCCCCAAGAAAAATCAATGAATCAAAAGACGACCCACCTAACATGAAAAGAAAAAAAAAAAGATAGTAATTCTAGATTATAACATACAGGCAGTCCTTGAATTATGGCCACAGTTGAGCCCAAAATTTCTGCTGCTAAGTCGAGGCGTTAGTCAAGTTAGCATTGTCCCATTTTATGACCTTTTTTGCCACCGTTGTTAAGTGAATCACTTCAGTGGTTCAGTTAATAGAATAGAATAGAATAGAATAGAATAGAATAGAATAGAATAGAATAGAATAGAATAACACGAGTTGGAAGGGACCTTGGAGGTCTTCTAGTCCAACCCCCTGCTTAGGCAGGAAACCCTACACCACTTCAGGCAAATGGTTATCCAACCTCTTCTTAAAAGCTTCCAGTGTTGGAGCATTTGCAACTTCTGATGGCAAGTTGTTCCACTGATGAATTGTTCTAACATTCAGGAAATTTCTCCTTAGTTCTAAGTTGCTTCTCTCCTTGATTAGTTTCTACCCATTGCTTCTTGTCCAGCCCTCAGGGGCTTTGGAGAATAGCTTGACTCCCTCTTCTTTGGGGCAGCCCCTGAGATATTGGAACGCTGCTATCATGTCTCTCCTAGTCCTTCTTTTCATCAAACTAGACATACCCAGTTCCTGCAACCGTTCTTCATATGTTTTAGCCTCCAGTCCCCTAATCCTCTTCGTGGCTCTTCTCTGCACTCTTTCTAGAGTCTCCACATCTTTTTTACATCGTGGCGACCAAAACTGGATGCAGTCTTCCAAGTATGGAATATTTAACAAGGCCTTATAAAGTGGTATCAACACTTCACATGATCTGGATTCTATCCCTCTGTTTATGCAGCCTAGAACTGTGTTGGCTTTTTTGGCAGCTGCTGCACACGGCTGGCTCCTATCTAAATGGTTGTCCACTAGGACTCCAAGATCCCTCTCACAGTCACTACGATTGAGCAAGGTCCCACCTATACGGTACCTGTGCATTTGGATTTTCTTGCCTAAATGTAGAACCTTACTAGTAGCACCATTGTTAAGTAAATCTGGCTCCCCCATGGACTTTGCTTGTCAGAAGGCTGCCAAAGGGGACCCTGAGTTACAAATATTCCCTCCTATTCATAAAAGCTACCTCATCCCACACTCCAAACTTCCTCAGAGGCTTCCTCTTATAAAGTTTCATCTTACCTTCCCCCGACGGAGAAATCCGAGATGGCATAATAGTAAGACTGGAGCACTTTGGGGTCTTTGAAAATATCATCCCCGAAGGTGTTCAGGCGATCCAAAGAAATCAAGAGATCGGTACAAGTCACCCATTCCTGTGGAATAATAAAAATACTGAAGGCAACTCACTGGTCTGGAATGAACGTTGGCAAAAGATTTGAGGAACACCAAGGAGAACCTGACTTTTTCAAGTCTACTATCCAAGACCCTTTAAACTGGAGGTGGCCATGTTTGAATTATGAATTCTTCGTGTCCTTTTTGGGTCTTTCCCAAACCAACTCGGAAAGAACTGAAGAGTTTTGGAGGCCTCTAAATGAGAGAAGGACACCTTACACCTTACTTCTCCCTTGGGGTTTAATGGTGTTGTGGCCCGCCAGCGGCCAGTAGATCTGGCAGCAGATTCGGACAGTGAGGAGGTTGGGGAGGAACCTGGGCCAGTCCTGGAGTCTGGGGAAGGCTCAGACAAGGGCTCTGCATCGGAGGCAGAGAGGGAGCCAGAGCCGTCTGACAGTTATCAGCTGCCTTCGGAGTCGGACATCAGTGGGGCAGAAGAACAGCTGGAGCCTGTTCCCAATGTGCGCATGCACAGAGTTTCCAAATGAAGGGAACAGCTAAAGAACAAGGGTCGACTCAGGAGTAAGGCCACAGGTGGACGGTAAATGGCCCCTCCCAGAGGGAATAAAAGAGGAGCAAAAGGGGAGTGGAGTTTGCAGGAGACAATTAGTTCTTTCCTGCATTCTTGCCAAGTATTGCAGGCGTCTGAAAGATATCGGCCTGGCCACTCTCCAAGCCTGATAAAGGTCGATAATGGTGAACTATCTTGAAAGACTGTGGGAGAAGAAAGACTTTGCTGGAGAGGAATTCACTGTAAATTAAATAAAAGGGGTTTATCGGGTCGAGGACTCGGCTTCGTGCTGCTGGGGCAGCCTAGGTCAGAACAAATGGAGGTTGGGAAACCACAGGAGCTCCAGAGAAGTGGCTCTAAAATTAAAAAGGAGATTTCCTCCGCATCATGTAGCTTCCTGTACACCAAGATCATCACCAGAGAACCTCTGGGAAATGGTGAGTAGTTTACTCGAGAGTGGAACTTTTCAATGGTAGCCCTCTGAATTGGGAATCAGAAGTTCCACTATCTATGTTGCTTTTTAGGGCACCGGGCAAGACCATTTTAATTTTTTTCAGATTTGCTAATAACAACAAGAACATGTCAATGCATTCATGTTGAATCGTTTTTAATTTGAGCGCTGCTTTTATCCTGCTAGTATCCAATTTCTAATTTATATTATATGTTTAGCTCTGGAAACCTATTCAACCTTTCAATGTATGCTTTGGTTGACTGCTTCAACTGTTTTAATTTTGGGGGGTTATTTATTTATTTATTATCTAATTTATAGGACGTCCATCTTACCTCAAGGTAACTCTGGGTGGTTTACAATGATCTATCTATTGATCTATCAATCAATTGATTGATTGATCAATCGATTGATCGATATACACACACACATATACATATATACACTCCATATATATGGGGTGGAGTCTGCTGGGCAACTGAATGGAACTGAGTGTTAACTGGCCGGATGCCTTTCCTGTTGCCACTGCTGAGTTATATTCAGCAGATATGTTCTCATCATGCCCAGAGAGAGAAATATCTGCCTCTATCTAGGATTGAACTCACAGCCTCCTGATTGTGAGGCGAGAACTCCACTTCTAGGCCACCACAGCACTCTCTCTATATAACGCTTCAGAAATTCCTTTCCATCGGATGCAACGAGAGTTGGAAGGAAGCAAAAGGCAGGAAGAATCCCATTAGGATTCTTCTACCTGTCTAGGTTTTAATACCTGGAGGAGGGGACTCTGGTCAAAACTGTAGGCGCTGGGCCGGCCTTCTAAGGTGGAAAAAGCCACGTTTCCACCACTGAGAGGAGATATGTCGCTGAACTCATCCGTGCAAAAGGCCGCTTGCTCGTGTTCTCCGGATCTCAAAAACTGCCTTTCCGCCTTTCCATACGTCTTCTTGCAAGAGGCGCTGTAGAACTGGTATGGGATCCAAGGTCCTTCGGCCCGACTTCTTTTGTAAATGGCAAAGCTCTCTGGACGGCTGGTGTGGAATTTCAGCCTCACGTAGGTGATTTCATAAGACTTCCCTAAAGAGAGGGGTGGGGGAGAGGAGAATTCTTAATTAAATTCCAGGAAGGAAATTATTCAGGGTAGGAATGAGGGTCTTTTCAAGATCCTTCCTTCAAGGTAGGGGTGAAATCCAGCAGGTTCTGACAGGTTCTGGAGAACCGGTAGCGGAAATTCTGAGTAGTTCAGAGAACCGGCAAATACCACCTCTGGCTGGCCCCAGAGTGGGGTGGGAATGGGGATTTTGCAGTATCCTTCCCCCAGGAGTGGGGAGGGAATGGGGATTTTGCAGTATCCTTCCCCTGGAATAGGGTGGGAATGGGGATTTTGCAGTATCCTTCCCCTGGAGTGGGGTGGGAATGGAGATTTTGCATCATCCTTCCCCTGAGGGAATGGGGATTTTGCAGTATCCTTCCCTTGCTATGCCCACCAAGCCACATCACACCCACAGAACCAATAGTATAAATTTTTTGAATTCCACCTGTTTCAAGGCTATTCATGGTACAGTTTAGCATCCAGTTTCCCCCCCCCCATTAAATTACCCCCATTTGCTTTCTTTATTCTGTGATTGTAGGACTTGAGTGCACTCTATGCACATCTACTCATGCACACGCATGGGGGATTTGTTATGCTAATGTTGCACACTCACAGGGATTTGTTATGCTAATGTTTGATTCACTCCTCCGAGATGCTTTCTCAAAGAGGTGGCAATTCTGTACAAATGTTTTGTTGATGGGTTTTTAATTTGAAAACTACTTCAAACCTTCCTTCAGTTAGACTCAGCACTCAGCAATGTTTACAACCGCAGCAGAAGCAACAACAGGATTTTCCCTCCCCGATTTTGAGACCTTTATGATGTGCTGGAATGTCAGATCCCAGAATCCCTTGCAAGCAGGTTGCTGAAGAATTCTGGGAAATCTGGCAGAATTCAAATGCCAGAGAACTGGGAAAGTTGATCCACAAAACCTTCCACCAACTTTTATTGCAATTTCCTTCTTCCATTTTTAAGGGCAGCCTCCCCCGTTTCTTTCTTGGAGGTTGCTACTCAAGCAAGCTGAGCTAACCACCTCCTGGCTATAAAAAAAAACAAGCTGCAGATTTACTTTCCCCACCGCTATCTTTTTCCATCTGAACTGTAATGTTTATTTCTTTGCCCCGGCTTCTCCTCCGGATCAACAAACAAAAGGAATCCCGTCCAAAGAAAATGTCTGTTGTTGTAGTAACTGGTCTCAGCCATTCCTGGCCGGAGAAGAATGGAAAGGAAACCCAGAACAGATGAAAGTTTCCTAAGGCCGTTTTGCAAGAAAAGTGGCTGTTGGCATTGGTGTGCGTGTGTGTGAGAGAGAGAGAAAGAAGAGAGGGAGAGAAAGAGAGAGAGAGAGAGGAGAGAAGAAGAGAGAGAGAGAAAGAGAAGAGAGGAGGAAGAGAGAGAGAGGAGAGAGAGAGAGAAAGAGAATGAGAAGAAGAGAGAGGAAGAGAGAGAGGAGAGAGAGGAGAGAGAGGAAGAGAGAGAGAGAAGAGAGAGGGAGAGAAGAGAAAGGGAGAGAAGAGAAAGAGAGAGAGAGGAAGAGAGAGAAGAAGAAGAAGAAGAAGAAGAAGAAGGAGAAGAAGAAGGAGAAGGAGAAGGAGAAGGAGAAGGAGAAGAAGAAGAAGAAGAAGAAGAAGAAGAAGAAGAAGAAGAAGAAGAGAGGAAGAGAGACAGAGAGAGAAGAGAGAGGGAGATAGATAGATAGATACCATAAATAGATAGATATCATTTGGATCCTGCCCATACAGGCTGATTTTATTGGACAATTAACCAGTGGAACTCCTTGCCTCCAGAAGTTGTGGCTGCTCCATCACTGGAGGTTTTCAAGAAGAGAGTGGACAGCCATTTGTCCGGAATGGAATAGAGTCTCCTGCTTGAACAGGGGGTTGGACTAGAAGACCTCCAAGGTCCCTTCCAAATCTATTATTCTGGGTTGTATGTTCTATAAACAAATCAGATCAGCTAAATTTTATTTTCATGTCTGCAAAACTAGAGGTATTGAACTGCAAAATATCTAATGCTGATGTTTCATGACTGTGTGTTTTGTAAATTCAGTGTGTCTGGTTGATTTAGGACAATCTTCCTATCAACAGGAAAACAAATTAAAGCCGTAAACAGGTTAACTGGGTTCATATGAACTAAACCAGTGTTAACAATATTGGACAATCAAATACAAGACATAACAAGGTTTTTCTAATCTATGCTTTCTTAAGAATTATGTTCACAAGTTACTTTAAGTCATCACATGTTCCCCCAGTGCTTTTCAAGTTAATTTTTGGTGTGTCCTGCAAACTCAGCAAACCACTGTTCTTGGGATCATGAAAGCTATGGAGGTTTGTTCAACAAACCATGGTTAAAAGAAGCCATTGTTCACTGTAATGTTATGCCCAGCTGTTGCCCTGTTTCAATAACACTAATCAGAAGCAGATCAGGTTTTTGTTTTTTAATTTTTTGGAAAGAGGACGTTTAATCTGGAGTTTGGTTTGCTTTCTTTTTAAAACCAGCCTCAAAGCAAATTATTATTATTATTATTATTATTTTTAGGAAAAACTCCCTCCATGAATAAGCAACATCATGTATGATGTCCAACACAGCGCAATTAGCTGTCAGGCGGGACGCTAAGGAGACTAAACGATTATGGAAAAATGGCAGTTATTCTTAAGCAAGATTAAAACAAGTTTTAATTGCACCCATATGAACATTGTCTGTGGAGGAGGAGCCCAGCTGACGCAAAAGAGCTGCAGGGTTAACTGCGTGGAGCTATCCAACAACTCCGGCAAGGGAAAAATGTCAGCATCTGCCATGGATGAGCAGAAGAGAAGGAAGGAAGATGTTTCTGGTTTCCACCAAGGAAACACCCAACCAATAGCTATTTTTTTTTCCAACCATGATTGTGGGATGCAGGCAAGAGGGGAGGAAGGGAAAAGACAGTGGTTTCAGAGGTGGGGTTCAGCAGGTTCTGGAGAACCGGTAGCGGAAATTTTGAGTAGTTCGGAGAACCGGTAAATACCCCATCTATTCTGTGCCTCCCGAGTCCCAGCTGATAGGGAGGAAATGGGAATTTTGCAGTAACCTTCCTCTGGAGTGGAGAGGGAATGGAGATTTTACAGTACCCTTCCCCTGCCACGCCCACCAAGCCACGCCACACCGCGCCCACCAAGCCACACCCACAGAACTGGTAGAAAAAAAAATTCGAATCCCACCACTGAGTGACTTGCCAATGTTTTTGGAGAGCAGGAGGAGATGAAAAGGAAGGAGGAGGAGAGGAGGAGGAGGAAGAGGAGAAGGAAGATATGAAAAGGAAGGAGGAGGAAAAGATGAAAAGAAAAGGAGGAAAAGAGGAGGAGGAGGAGGAGGAGGAGGAGAAGATGAGAAGGAAGAATAAGGAGAAGAGGAGGGGGAGTTATAAGCTCAAATTCGGGGGGGGGAAAGTAGCTGGAGTTGCATTAATTCCCTAATACTCTCCCTCCCTCCCTCCCTTCCTTCTTTTCCTCCCTCCCTTCTTTCCTTCCTTCCTTCCTTCCCTCCCTTCCTTATTTCCTTCCATCCTTCCCTCATTTCCTTCCTTCCCTCCCTCCCTTATTTCCTTCCTTCCTTCCTTCCCTCCCTCCCTTGTTTCCTTCCTTCCTTCCCTCCCTTATTTCCTTCCTTCCTTCCCTCCCTCCCTTATTTCCTTCCATCCATCCTTCCCTCCCTTGTTTCCTTCCTTCCCTCCCTCCCTCCTTTCCTTCCTTCCTTCCATCCTTCCCTCCCTCCCTTATTTCCTCCCTTCCTTCGCCACCTTTTCTGGTAGAGGCCTAAGCAGTGGCTTGTAGAAGTGGGCAGATGAGTCTTATCTGAAGGTCTGCAGGGAGCTTTTGAAATGAAGATCTGAGGCATCTTCTTCAGCTATCTGTGCTCCCTTAATGAAGCAGAGATTTGCAGAGGACAACTTTCCAAAATAAATTAGTTCCCCTTCAGGAAGGGTCTCAGCGAGGGAGCCACTAAAACATGTGAAGAAGAAACTTTGAAGGACCTGTTGGCTCAGCCTGGAGGAAGCCACCACCATCTCCTAGCCGTGATCCAACAGCCAGCATTCACAACTCCCACGTTGCTCCAGCCTGACAGTTTTCATTTTGGGTGTTCCAGAAAAAATCTCCAAGGTCCCACCAGGTCACAGCTAAGAGATGCAGCATCCTCCCAGGAGGTCCAAGACAAGGCCAAGAGAGTGGAAGTGTAAGAATGTGGACTTCGATCTCAGCAACCTCTGTCTGGTTTTTCATCGTAAGCAGGAAGTTCTCTCAATTTGGAACAGATGTTGGCAAAGTCACAGGAGGCTGGGAAAACAACAGCCTCTCTCCCAGAAAGATTCTCTTTTGAGAGAGAATAGAATAGAATAGAATAGAATAAGATTAGATTAGATTAGATTAGATTAGAATTAGAATTAGAATTAGAATTAGAATAGAATAGAATAGAATAGAATAGAATAGAATAGAATAGAATAGAATAACAGAGTTGGAAGGGACCTTGGAGGTCTTCTAGTCCAACCCCCTGCTTAGGCAGGAAACCCTACACTACTTCAGACAAATGATTATCCAATATTTTCTTTAAAACTTCCAGTGTTGGAGCATTCACAACTTCTGGAGGCAAGTTGTTCCACTGATTCATTGTTCTCACTGTCAGGAAATTTCTCCTTAGTTCTAAGTTGCTTCTCTCCTTGATGAGTTTCCACCCGTTGCTTCTTGTCCTGCCCTCAGGTCCTTTGGAGAACAGCTTGACTCCCTCTTCTTTGGGGCAGCCCCTGAGATATTGGAAGACTGCTCTCATGTCTCCCCTCGTCCTTCTTTTCCTTAAACTATCCATGTTCAGTTCCTGCAACCGTTCTTCATATGTTTTAGCCTCCAGTCCCCTAATCCTCTTTGTTGCTCTTCTCTGCACTCTTTCTAGAGTCTCCACATCTTTTTTACATTGTGGCGACCAAAACTGAATGCAGTATGTGTGTGTGTGTGTGTGTGTGTGTGTGAGAGAGAGAGAGAGAGAGAGAGAGAGAGAGAGAGAGAGAGAGAGAGAGAGGAGAGAGAGAGAGAGAGAGAGAGAGAGGGAGAGGGAGGGAGGGAGAGGGAGAATAGATGATTAGGAGTCTGGAGGCTAAACTGTATGATGAATGATTGATGATGGAAACCAATCAAGGAGAGGACCAACCTAGAACTAAGGAGAAATTTCCTGACGGAGAGACCAATCAACCTTATGAATGGCTTGCCTTCAGAAGTTGTGTATCCCTGGAGGTTTTTGAGAAGAGACTGGACAGCCAGTTGTCTGGAATGGATTAAGATCCCCTGCTTGATCAGGGAGTTGGACTAGAAGACCTCCAAGGTCCCTTCCAACTCTATTATTCTATCTTCTACCTTAAGAGAGAACCTCCATTTTCTACTTGCCGAACCCCAAAAGTCCTTGTTTCCTTTGGAGCTGAGGACCCTCCTTTGAACATCTCATCATCTTTGGCCAACGGGATCCACCAAGGAGGTCTGGAATAATCCAAAACTGCAGAGCATGAAGTCCATTTTGGAGATTCAACCGAGAAGCTGGATTCACTTAACAACCATGTTACTACCCTGTTTTCCCCAAAATAAGACATTCCCCTGATAATAAGCCCAATCGGGCTTTTGAGCGCATGCCAATAAGGCCAAGCGCTTATTTCAGGGTTCAAAAAAAATAATAAAATAAGATAGGGTCTTATTTTCGGGGAAACACGGTAACTTAAAAACCACACTGACTCCCTGTGGCAAGAATGGTCGTTAAATGGGGCAAAATTCACTTAACAAATGTCTTGCTTAGTAACATGCGGTCTCAAATAAACAATGGTTCCCATCAAAGAGAATATCTGTAGCTGAGGGTTGAACGGTGAGTTCCTTGGGTGTTTCCTTGCAGATGTGTCATGACCCAGCTAGGGAACATCATCAGTGCTCCTGAGTGTGGCTTGCTTGCTCCCTTGTTTATATACAAAACCTCTGGGCTTTGTTTTCCTTAAGACGTTTCATGGCCTCACTAGGTAACGTCATCAGTGCTGGTGAAGGTGGCTTGTTATTTAAAACTCTTGAGCTTGGTTGTTGCCTTGTAGACATTTCACGACCCAACTAGATAATACCATCAGTGTTCATCACTTATTCATGATCATTCATTCACTCTTCCAGGCAGGGTTTTTTTTTTTCACCCAACTAAGAAACATCTTCGGTGTTCATTCGTTCAAAGCATGCTGGCTGGGGAATTCTGGGACTTGAAGTCTATGCATCGTGAACTTGCCAAGTTTGACAAACAGTGATCTAAAGAGGAGCACCTTCCCAGACGAACCCAAAAAGCGTCGGCTTTTGCGAGCCACAGCTCCCTTTATCCCGTGCCAATCGGGAAAAAAAAAAAACCCAACCCAATGCTTTTTATAAAAGAGATTCATGTGAAACCTGCCATCTGGTTTCTTCAGCTCTTTCCTACAAAGAAAGTCCCAGATCACAACGAAGAAGCAACGGTGCGTGCTCGAGACGAGGAATCCCCCCTTCCCCGACACCCAACCTACTCACCCAAGTGCAGAGTAATGTTGACAGAGGTGGGGTGCTGAACCCCGAACGCCATGGACTGACTTTGCCACCACGTGGGCTCTTCCTGGCTGTGGAAGTCGGTCAGGTAAGAGGCGTTGTGATGCGCCAGGGGATCCTCTGCGTCGCAACGGTGGCACAGGGTGCTGGATTCCCGCGTGCCCATCTGCAAGCAGTAGGTTTCGGGGGGCCAGCCACATGTGTTGGATGACTGCGCCTGCCGGCTGAAGGCTGCATTCTCGAAAATGGGCATGCAACGCTGGGCACGGCCCTGGGAGTTGTAGCAGACATCCATGGCTCCCTTGGCCAGGCAAAAGAAGACGACAAAAGCCAGAGAACAAAGCAGCAGCTGTGCCATGACGGCTCTGGGAAGAATCTTTCTGATGTTCGTGTTTGCACAGTCCCAGCCTCTAAAGCTCTCCTCCTCCTCCTCCTTCACGGAGGATGGGGAAAAACAATTTCCCAGCTGCAGGATCTCTCTCTCTCTCCCACTCACTTCCATCTTGTGGACGGAATCAGGAATGGCCCCCCCTGTTCCATCAAAGTCTCTCTTTCTTGGGAACAAATAAAGCTCCTTCGGAAAGAAGGATTTATTCTAGCTGGGTGGAAAAGCAGTGAGACACACTTTCTTCTTTGCACAGAATGGGGGTGGGGGGCGGGGGGCAGACGCAGGCAAGAGGGATGCACACATTAAGCCCTCCAGAAGAAGTTGGGGAAGTTGGAGCCTGACCTGAGGGACATTTTGTGGGATTGGGATGGCTGAGGATTGATGCTGGGTGCAGAATAGACCAAGGTTAGCGCTTCCTGGAATCACACAGCTTCAAAATTGTTGGGTGGAGGGGGTTCTCCCAGCCCAAAGTTTTTTCCAAGGTTCTTGTGAAGGGAAAGAAATGGTCCAGACATTTTCATTTTCCATGTGATCTAATCTTGATTTCTCTTCTCTTCTCTTCTCTTCTCTTCTCTTCTCTTCTCTTCTCTTCTCTTCTCTTCTCTTCTCTTCTCTTCTCTTCTCTCACTCCACTCCACTCCTCCACTCCACTCCACTCCATTCCTATTTTACTCTACTCTATTCTGCTCTCCACTCCTATTCTACTCTACTCTACTCTACTCTCCACTCCTATTCTACTCTACTCTATTCTCCACTCCTATTCTACTCCACTCCACTCCACTCCACTCCTATTCTATTTTACTCTACTCTACTTCTACTCTACTCTACTCTATTTCTATTCCAGCCTTTATTTTTACAAATAACTCAAGGTGGTGAACATATCGAACCCACCTTCCTCTTCCTATTTTCTCAGAACAACAATCCTGTAAGGTGGGTTGGGCTGAGACAGACTAATTCAAAGTCCAGATGCCTTTCGTGCCTAAAGCGGGATTCAAACTCACCATCTTCTAGTGATTCTCCCAAAGTCACCCAGCGGGCTTTCGTGCCTAAGGCAGGACTAGAACTCAGGGTCTGGCCTGGCACCTTATCCATTAGACCAAACTGGTTTCTTACCCATTAATATTGGGCAAATCTGCAGAGGCACGCACATACTTTTATGGCAACCACAATAATAAAATACTCCAGAGTAATGCACAGTAGTTAGTCCCAGAGCGGTACTTTTCTGATGTCAGAATCCAAACAATTCTTGGAATTTCCAATTCTTGTTCTGATGGTATAAGGGCCATCTAAAAAACTTGCAAGAATCGCTCCCCACTGTAGATGGCAGAAAGAGAATATGTCTGTAGCTCCCAGCAAATTTTTTTCCTCTTTGTAAATTGAGAATTTGTTTCTTACAAGAAAAAGCTGAGGGACTAAAATAAATTCCCAGGAGAGTTTACACAAAGTGGAAGACTAACATTTGTGAGTTTCTTTGCTGAACTCTTTTTTGTTGTTGTTGTTGTTCTCGTTATTCTTTTGCGCTGTGCCAGAACTTGATGCTGAAAATCTAGGGAACCTTTAGGTGGCAGCAAAGCTTCACAGTATGTATTCTTTGTCTCACTACTGCCACCAAGTGGCCACCTGTATTTTGGCAGCCAAATTACAATTGGCCATCTGAATTTACAGGTAGTCCTGGACTTACAACCATTCGTTTAATGACCATTCTGAATTATGACAACATTGAAATAGTGACTTATGACCGGTTCTCATGACTATGGCATTGTCCCAGCGGTCATATGATTGCAATCTGGGCACTTGGCAACCAGCTCACATTTTTGAGCACATTATTACAATTGTGATCTTCCCAGCCAGCTTCCAAAGAGAAAAGCAGAGCAGAGGAAAACCGGAGCAGAGGAAAACCTGAGATCCAACTAGATCCAGATTTTCTGAAAGTGAGAACAATTAACAATTGAGAACAATTAGGCATGTCCACCGTCCAACCTACTCTACTGGGTTGTTGTTATAGAAAGAAAAAAAAAAACCAAGAGGAGGGAATATTATCCATTGCATCTTCATCTCCCAAAATAAAGGTAGGATAAAGATTCCCCTCGCATATACGTGCTAGTCGTTCCTGACTCTAGGGGGCGGTGCTCATCTCCGTTTCAAAGCCAAAGAGCCAGCGCTGTCCGAAGACGTCTCCGTGGTCATGTGGCTGGCATGACTCAATGCCAAAAGCGCACGGAACGCTCTTACCTTCCCACCAAAGGTGGTCCCTATTTTTCTACTTGCATTTTTTTTTACCTGCTTTCGAACTGCTAGGTTGGCAGAAGCTGGGACAAGGAACGGGAGCTCACCCCGTTATGTGGCACTCAGGATTCGAACTGCTGAACTGCCGACCTTTTGATCAACAAGCTCAGCGTCTTAGCCACTGAGCCACCGCATCCCAAAGGTAGGATAGGAGGGTAATAAACTAGTTAACAACTATAATTGACAGCATTTTGCACCCTGCTTCAAAGATTTTGGATGAAGTGATCCGAAGGCCTGAAATATTACACACTAATCCCAAATTCCTAGTGATATCTAGACATTTTATTTTCTTCTGAACTTCAAAACCCATTTTATTCATCAGTTCTGTTTGAGCATCCAATTTCATGGTTTTTGTTAACATCTTCATCTTCCGTTTGTTAGTTTTAAAACCTGCTAACGTACCAAATTATCTGTGTCTTCCCATTGATGTTTCAATTCCCTTTAAAGGACCTTCCAGAATCAACAACGAGTCATTTGCAAAATCTGCAAAATGACTCTTTTTTTATATATATAAAAAATCTTTACTCCCACAATCTTCTTGTCTTGTCTTATATTTCTATTTAGTATTTCATGAACGAAAATAAACAAGAAACGAGACAGTGAGCATTCTTGTCTTTTTGTATCTTACAAGGTTTGGTGGTTAAATCTCCATTAATGATGTGGGGTTTTTTCTTTTGTGTTTTCTGTCAAGTCTAAATCGATCTTACTCGTTTTATACAGGTCTCTCCAAAATTCATATCTTCCAAAATTTGCTGGTGTGAAATCCCAATTCAAATTGTCAAAGGCCTTCCTTCCTTCTCCGCCTCTAAGAAAATCAATGCGGTTTGTTTTTCGTGACATCTCTCCAAATATTCTAGAACGTGTAACATATGTCTAACATTACCCTTTAACTATCTTTTAGGAAAACGTGACATCGATCCTCAGGAAAACAAATTCCTGCAAACCCATTTTCCGTCTATCGGCTAACAACTTGTAGACCTTCATTCAATAAATATTGGCTATTGTTTTCTTCTTAAAATCAAATCTTGTCCCACTTTAGGCATATTGGATTCTTTATAATTCATGGACACCTTTCCCGTAAGATATATTTCATCATACAGGTAGCCCTGCACGACCACGGTGGAGCCCAACATTTCTGTGGCTAAGCATAACAGTTGTTAAGTGAGTTTTGCCCCATTTTACGACCTGCCTTGTCACAGTTGTTAAGTTAGGGACACTGTTCTTAAGTGAATTTGGTTTCCCCGTTGACTTTGCTTGTCAGAAGGTCACAAGAGAGGATCAAATGGCCCCGGGATACTGCAACCGTCATAAGTACATGCCAGTTGCCAAGCATCTGACTTTTGATCACGGTCGTAATGTTGTGGTCCGCCAGCAGCCTGCGGAGCTGGCTGAGGAGTCGGAGAGTGATGAGGCTGAGGAAGAACGTGGGCCAGTCCTGGAGGCTGGGGAAGGCCCGGATGAGGGCTCTGCGTCGGAGGACGACTCGGGAGTAGGGCCAAGAGATGATTGGCCCTTCCCATAAGGCTTAAAAGACCAGCAATGGCTCTTGGCCTCTTTGCCAGAAAACAACCGTTGAGAGAATTGCTTCTTCTTTTGCTGAAGTTATTTCTTCTGTTCCTGAACTGTTGCCAGGAAAAAGCCTCTGGCAGTTTGCCTAATTATCCCAAGGTCAGAGATAAAGTAAAGACTGGTGTTTTGAGGACTTTGCTTTCATTCCATTTGGAATACGCTGAGAGTGAGTTAATTCTCAGCTGTTTTAATAAAACCTGTTTGTGTTTTTTGGAACTGTTTTGCATTTAATATCAATTACTGGGTCACAACACGTAAGGGTGAAAACCAGTCCTAAATCACTTTTTTTTCAGTGCCCTTCTAACTTTGAATGGTCCCTAAATGAAGGGTTGTAAGTTGAGAACTACAAATTTTCTGACGGTGACCACAATTAATCAACAGAATAGCTTGCCTTGTTGGTGCTCCATCACTAGAAGTTATCAAAAATAAACTGGACAACTGTTTCACTGGGATGATATAAGTCTCCTGCCTTGAGCAGAGGGTTGGACTAGAAGACCTCCGAGGTTCCTTCCAGGACTATGATTCTAAAGTCTTGCCAGAACAGGCGAGAGAGTGTTCAAATATTTAGAAATCCATTCCTTCATTCCTTTTTTCCCCCCCAAGATCAATGTGTTATTTAACATACCGACATTCCCTAAACGCAAGAAGACACACGCTACGCTTTTAAAAAGATTTGAAAAGGTTTAAATGTTGAATCTTTGATGAGGTTTCAGTGCGAGTCAGAAAGGTGTTAGGTGGAACAGCATGTGCTTTGACTGCTTCTGAAAACAAAGCAGTTCATCTTGTTTGGCTGGTCATCGCCTCAAGGCGTCTTCCAGCTGTTCCAGCAGCCAGAAGGAACTTCTAGGCTGTGCATGATTGATGGACTAGAAGACACCTTGAACGGATGAACTGTGTCATACCAAGAAGAAGGAAGGTTGCCTTAGTCAACCCCAGTCAAAAATTGATGACAAAGTTTTCCTGCCAATTTCTTAATTTTTTCTCCCCTTCTCTCTTTCAAAGGGTCTTTTGGTTTCTGACATATTTGCAGGGTAGAATGTTTTTTTTTTCTCGGTTGCTTTTGAGCGAGTTTTGATGTTGGAGATGGTGACCACAACAACATGTGGACTTCCAAGTCCCAGAATTCTTCAGCCAGCCTGATGGGAGTTGAAGTCGAGACTTCTTAATGTTTGCCAAGTTTGAAAAACACTGATCCAACCTCAATTTCTGCAACGTGCAGAAAAACCAGTACATTATCCACAAGAAGTGGC